CCATAGAACCATTCCTCTCGAATACTGTTTCTCCTGCTGAGTAGCCCACTACTCCAAATCCCGTGTATCTCTGCCCTTCTTCTGTGAACTTGGATCCGTCGGAGTACACGAAGAGGAAATCTGGGTTGTCCTCGTGTTCCGTCATGAATTCCAGGTGGTCGTCTGTCCATGTCTCTTTGGCGGATTCGCCTGCGACGTTCTCTGGTAGGTAAATCTGGATACGGTCTTCGATATCGAATTCCGAGATATGCCATGGGGCTTCGCTGTGTGGGCGGATCCTCTCTGTGCCGTGGATTATATGGTCCGCGATGCGAGTGATGCACGTTGAAAAGGTGTCCCTTGGGTCTATTCGATATCTTCTGTGGGGGTTGAATACCGGTAGTGGTGGTACGGTGAATGGTGTTGTTAATCTTCTCTGCCACGGGTAGAGGCGGTTGGTGACTGGGTGGTCATCTGGGAGTCGGGCCAGGTGTGTTGCCTCCATCTTTAGTCGGTATTCGGGGAGTAAGTCGATAGGTGGGATCGATGCTTCGATTTCCATTGCCTGTGTGTTGGTTGTACGAAATGCTCCTGTAATCATGCGCAAGCATCTGTTCTGTAGTATAGAAAGATGTTTAATGATCATTTTAGATTTTTTGCGCCAATATATTGGTAGACCGTAAAGTGCGATAGGCAGTATCGCTCCCAGGTAGAGGCGCTGGACATGGGTCTGGTGGAGACCTCTCTCTGAGTTGCCCAGCATACGAAGGGCTTGGGCCGCGGATGCCGCTTTGGAGGTGATCCTCTTGATGTGCTCCGTGAACTTGAGTTGCGGGTCGAACCATATGCCTAGATATCTCATCAGGCTGGATGGGTTGACTGTTTTATCGGCGTCGTTTATGTGTGAGGGGATGGTGATGGATGGGCCGGGCCCGGCGTTTCTGCCTGTTCTGGTTTGGGTGAAGTGCATGAGTTCGTTTTTAACTGGATCGGTCTTCAGGCCTCTTTCCCTGAGCCACTCGTGGACTATCTGGAAAGCGGCCTTAATGACTTCAGTGGATTCTTCTCTGGATGCCGCTGATGCTGATATGGATCCGTCGTCTACATAGAGAGTGAGGGGCATGGGGGAAATCAGGCCGTTGTTAAATTTCGTGCTTAGCTCTGTGTTCTGTGCAATCCTGGTTTGGACTCCTTCCACAGCTTTCGCCAGCGGGGACGTGAAGTATGCTGCCAGAATAGGAGAGACACATGAGCCTTGTGGGACGCCAGTGAAAATGGGCCTTAGTTGATCTCATTTTCCATCTAGGCAGATTGCCGCTTCTCTGTCCTTGAGGAAACTGAGGACCCATTTTACTGTGGGGAGCGGGATGTGGTAGGCTCTTAGCATGCTAATTAGGTGAGAGTGGGGGATATTGTCGAAAAAGCCGGTGATGTCAAAGGTGAGCATGGAGACTACCCTCTTGTGGTTCCATGCTGCCTCGATGTTGTGCACGATGGTAAGGAGGGCATCTTGGGCTGACTTGCTGGGAATTCCACCATACTGCGTGCTGGGGAATAGGCGGTGTCTTGCTGCCAAGTAAGCTAGCCTACGGGCTTGGATCCGTTCAAGAGCTTTCCCCGAGACTTCTAGTAGTTGAATCAATCGATATGATCTGGGGAGGGAGTAGTCCCTGTTTGGTTTCTGCAAGGCCACTGCGATGGATGTGCGCCATAATTTCAGGTGGTAGCCTGAGTCTGCACATAGCCTGAGGAGGTGGAATATCTCGTCCCCAAGGGTCTTCCATGCCCACTGCCAAGCACGCCCCGTAAGTCCGGAAATCCCTGGGGCATTCAGTTGAGCGGCTGTGAAAATGGCATCTCGGACTTCACGTTTCGTCACGCTGACATATTCTATGTCATCGTTGCATGGGTCTAGAGAAATTGGCGGAGAGTTGGCGAGTCTCGGGAGTTCTGGGAGGAGGTTCTCCCGTAAGGTTTGGCACTTGTCTATATGGCTAATGGCTGGCTCTAGGTTGTCACTGCGCTTTATAGGTGGCGATATATAAGTCCTGTGGCATTTGGTCCACTTCCTTATGTCCCAGAGGTTGTGTGGGTTTGCCTTTTCCATGATGTTGCGGAAGTATTCCCGTTTGGCCTTTCTGATGCGCATGAGGACCTCCCTCTTGAGGTCTTTTACGTGGCCTGCCAGGAATGTTGAGGGTCGGTGCAAATCTCTGGTCCAGTCTTTCAGCATTTCCTTGGCTTTGCGGAGTTCCCGATATGCTTTTGAAAGGTCTTCTGTCCACCATGGTTTCGCTGCTTTACTTGGCCGTCTCACTGGAACTGAGTCGTTTGCTGCTTTTTCTAGGTACCTGTGCAAGGTTTCTGTTGCTTTGTCGAGTTCTTCTGAAGTAGCTGTAATGCGGCGTTCATTGAGGAGTTCGTACACCAAATTGTCGTGGGCCGGTTTGTTGTTTTCAATGGTCACTTTCAGGGCCTCTGTAAATTTGTCCTCCGACGCATGTTTCCAGTTGAGTTTTTCCTCACACAGGTTGTCTACTTCTTCCCTGGGGGAGCCTAGCTGGAAGGAGAGGGCATGGTGGTCCGACAGACTGCCGATTTCCATATCTACGTGGTGTCCCGTTAGGACGCCTGCTCCGAGTGCTGCTGCATTGGCAAAGGTTAAGTCAATAACTGATGAGTGTCCCATGTTGTCCTCCCGGGTTGGGATGAAGGGTTCGTTACAGATGGAAAATGTTTTCCCTTCGAGCCATTCTAGGGTCTCTGTTGTGCGGTTGCACGGGGCTTCGACCTGATCATCCCAGGTTGGATGTCGCATGTTCCAGTCGCCTGTTATGACCGTTGGGACATCCACATCCAGCCTGGTGTTAACCAGTCTGTCCGCTGTGTATTCCCTGCTTTGGGGGTCGGTGAGGGGTTTCTGATTATAGATATTAATTAGTCTGATCGGCGTGTACCGCTCCTTCTCTTTTGACTTCCAAGATCATGAAGTCTAGATCTGATGCTAAGTCGTTCCTTAGTGTCAGCTCTATTTGTGCATTCTGGCAGGTGTAGGCCATGCATCTTGGTCGTTTGCCTTCAGCGATAGGTAGTTTGGGGAGGATTGCTTGCCACCCCTTTAGGGTGGCTGATGCGTATGTGCTGTTGATCTTCTCCCACCACGGTTCTTGTATGAGTAATATGTCTGGCTTTGGGTTCTTTCGTTTGGAAATGATATGCATTGCCGCTTGTGTCGCCGCATTGGACCGATTCATGTTCAAGCTGCATATCGAGAGTTGGGCTGCTATTTTGGGTGTGCACTTCATTGGGGGAGGTGAGGTGAGGGCTTGTCATTTCAATGTCCATTTTTTCCCCGCTTTCCGCGGTTGACAGGTTGGGTTGATTGGTCTGTTTGACAATTTTTGTCTTTGACCGTGTGTGGACAAGCTTAGCAGTGGATGCCCTTTGGGCTTCCGGAGACCGGTTCTGTTCTAGGATGCGGCTTACATCATCGCCCGATAGGCCAATGTCTATGCTTGCTACCTCTGATTGATTGGTTGCCTCTTCCTTCCCTTTGCCTTTGTTTCTCTTTTTGTTGCCAGCCTTCGGCTGTGCAGTTTGTGGCTGGGGGTTGCTAGGTGGCTGCGCGGTCTTCTTCGGGATGGGTTTGAGGCCCATTTTGTTTCTCCTGATCTTACATTCTTTGAAGGTGCTTACATGTGCCTCTTTGCAATTTATGCAGCGAGGTTGCACATCTGCTTGGTGGTCATCAGTGTTGTGGTCCTTTGCCCCGCACTTTAAGCACCGTGGCTGTGCGCAGTTGGCCATGCGGTGGGAGTACATGCCGCATTTGCTGCATGCGAAGACTTGAGCACGATCTTCATACGGTGTAATGGTGCATCTGTAGTTAAATAAGTACACTGTCCTGAGTTGGAAGAGTGTATCTCTGTCTTTTTTGTTAGTCAAGTCCAGTACAATGGATGCAAAATTCTTAGCGTAAATGGTGGCATCTGAGCCCAGCCATTTGGGTGGGCACCACTGCTTCAGTTCCCTGTAAGGTGGGCAATACATCATTAGCTCTTCATGGATCATGTTGATCGGGAGTGGGTCATTGCCGCAGTGGGTGGGTATTTTATTGATTTTCACGCGGTAGTGTTCCATGTCTGGTAGGGTTGAGAGAACCTCGTTGTCTGTGATGGTGGCCGCAATGTCGTTCCCGTAGTCCTGTAGGTCGGACGCCTTGCAGGTTGGGGCCGTCGTAACTGTCAGAGACCAGACTTGAGACAAAGGAATGTCTCCGTAACGGAGGGCTTTGGCCTCAGCGACTTCTGCCAAGAGCGCTGTGCCTAGTGACACATCCGTGCCCTAACTTACTGACTGGCACTTAGAACCTAGGGGGGGTAACTCTAGTTGATTTATCTGCTGGGGCGTAACCTATGTACAAGTGGTGTATATATATGGTTACAGCGGAGACGGTTCCGCAATTGGCGGAGCCGAACGGAGCGGAGCTAACGGGGTTAAGACATTAGCCGACTGAATATTACCGACGAGTCGGTTCGCGGGGTTAGCGGAAAGGCAGGCGTTAACCCAGAAACGGAAAGGAGGGATAGGCCCGAAGGTGGGCTCTGCAGGGCAGGCGAGTGTATTGCCCAGCGGAGGCAGGAGTGCGCTAGCGGACGTCGGAGCTGTCCGGAAGTCTTCAGGGCTCCGTACTTAGGGAGGTGTAGGTAATAAATTGAAATGAGGGGGTGGTGACCATCGAGGGGTACCGAGAGGTTTGCGGAATACGGGGGCTCCGAGGTTGGTGAGGGGGGAGCAGAGTTAGAACGGAGGGATCGGAGAGACCGGAAGTCGATGGCCGGGGATGGATATGACAGTAACCTTGATGTTCCCTGCTACCGAGTATCCCACTGCCATCACCCTGAGGTAGTGCGGGAGATTCTTTTTCTCTAGCATGTCATTGATCTTCTTACAGATCTCGATGCCATTTGGGCGTTGGTCTGGTTTCAGGGGAGGGTTGATGCGGGTGATTAGGCAGTGGGGGTCTGCCATCTGTTTGTGTTCCGTTCCCTGTGTGGCTGTTTCGTGGGCTTGGTCTGGCGGTTTCACTGTCTGTTTCTTTGCTGTTGCCTGTCTGGGTTGCGGTTTCGGTGGATTCTTTGCTGCTACGCTCACCCAAGACTCGGTCGGGGCCACCATTGGTTTCGCTACGGTATCCGGGTCCCTCTCTGGCAGAGGTTGGGTTTGGGCCGTGGACACCTTGGATTCTAAGGATTTCAAGCGATTGGATAGGTAAGCGTTAGTTGAAGCGAGGTTGGAGACATTAGCTTCTGCCTCCACCAGACGGCTTTCTAGGTCTTTTCCCACCATCTTCTCACCATGGCTTTTGTATGTGGCTTTGGGCAGTCCTGCGAACCAATGGGAGTATGTTGGGAGGAGTTGTTCCCACAGGCCTGCAAGGCCGACAAGTGATAGTCTCTCCGTAACCTCATTCATACTCGTGGACGCTTCTTCCAAAAGCTTCCAGTTCCTGTCGTGTTCCTCATCCTCAGGGGTCGGGTCTTCCATCCACATCTCTTCGTTCTCCGAGTCGGACCATTCTTGGTGTTCGGCTTCTGAGGAGTGTTGAGGATCTGTGGTGTGTGTGCTGTCTTCCATTGGTACAGCGTGTCGTTCCATGTCTGGGGTGCTGGGCCATGACATCGGGATGCTGGTAACATCTAGTTGATCGGAGACTGGCGCAATCGGATAAGGGTGTTCAGCGAATTTGTCGCGGAGTAGTTCCATTTCTGGGGTACTAGTCGCTGCCGCTTCGTCCCAGGGGCTACTGTTGGCTGAGCCTGTTTGTCCTCTTGCTGTAGTTTTGGTACCACGACGTGGCAATTGGTGCGGCTGGAGCGGCGTGCTCGAGTTCGTGTTGTACATATCTCGCTTCGTGCTAGACTGTCTCAAGTTAGCAGGGTTAGCTGGCTTTTGGAGCCCTGCTTTCCCTCCTGTGTCAAACTTTTCTTGATCATCCATGGTTAGGAGATCGTGCGTGGGAAGGGGAAGCGGTTTGGGGGGAATGGGGGGTGGTATTGTTGTTTTTCGATCTCACTAGACGTTTTCCCTCTCTTTTCGAGATGGTGTCACGTGACCGTGCCATGTATGTAGTTGTTTTATATGTTGCATTTATTTAATCTAACACAATTTGTGTGTCTGGCACTTTCGTCGTAAACAACTATCAATAAAGCCACCCCCTCCCCTTAATAATTAACAGGCACAGACGCCGTTTTGATATTAATGACCACGCAGCTCTACATATAATATGATGGCTCCATGGCCCATGCATGACTTTCAGAGCTTCAATCACTCCAATATTAATTATTCATCACACTGCGCGCTCTTCGAAGGCTTAGATTTAGCTTCCAGCTCTGCATGAATGATCCTCATCCAATTGCCAATCGCGTCGGACACTGGTACTGAGAAAGAAAATTATATAAGGACGGAACTCGGTCATGATGGTCGGGAAACGCCACGGGCTCCGAGTCGGGCCTTTTCTTCTGGCCTGGAACTTGCACACTGATGATGGCATGAAGGACTACGCCGAAGCAATTCGCAAACAGCGTCTTTTATGGTAAGTCACAAGTACGTCATATATGTAGTTCCGCGGCGCTTGCACAATAGTGCATTGGGCATGCACAGAATGCCCAGGCCGCCGGAAGCTTGGGCGACTCCTCGGCGCCGCCGCGCAAATAACACGTAGGGGGCTAATAGCCGCCCATTTCGTGCGTATTCGGGATCACGATGCAAAGAGGACAAGTGGACTCAAAAAGGAGCTCCACGAATCTAGCTGGGGTACAGTGACTCTATACAACATGTATATATATACGATCGAGTTCGCGGAGCCTGACGAACGCGTAGCATCCCACCCCGATTTTGGGCTCTATCGTGGATAATCAAGCGTTTAGTCGCTTGGGGGGGGCACGACATCCACACTTCACACCAAATGAGGCGTGGCACGGTTGCGTCGCCTTTCCGGGGAACTCGATCTAGTGGCTTGGTGTGATCATAATCAACTTCTGTGCATTGCAGCTGGAACGAGCACGACGATGTAATAGCGTTGAGTGACAACAGCCTTCTCAATTAATTAGTGAGCTATCTCAACTGTTTCCATTGAGGGTTTTTAACGTTCATAACAACTGGGCGAAGATGAGGCCGAAGCAAGTGATGTGTGTGTGTGTGTAGAGTCGCTGTATCAAGCAGCGAGTTCGACCTCAGCGTGGACCTGGGTAGTACTTGCTCACGACTGCTGGTGGGAGTGGGGGGGGGAGGCAGATATACATACTCACTTTTTGATGAACACTTATTTAATGGTCGAGTTTTTTTTGTCAATCCAGTTAGATCATGACCGCCGTGCAACTTCGTGTCCAACACGCCAATATCGCGGACTGAATATGATACCAAAAAAACTCTCTCCCTGCTGAATATATATATGCACGGTAAGTAGTTGATCCAATGGGTCCCCCCTCCGTCATCGTTCCGGTTCTTGCCTCCTCATCAGCTCAAACTCGAAGAGGACAAAACATGGAGAACAGGAGGCACCTAAGAGAATGGCGCAACGCCGCACTGGTCGTCTGCTAAGCCATATAGTAGCTGAGAATGCCTGCAATTTGCAAGTCCCTTCGAGTTAGCTCCGGTGATGTAAGGCCTTAACTGGGCGATGACGATGGAGAGTTGGGATCCTCCACGAGTGCTAGGTAGGTCCCGGCGTGACGAACACTTAGCGCTTACGCTCGGTCGATCAAGTTGGCCTGTGCAAACTCCGATCGGGCGGACGGATTCGGAAAAACCCGTAGAGTGAAAAACACCAATTATCCTCTGCAAGTGGCGTCGTCAACCGTCCAGGCAACGCCAACGCTAGACAGCCGAGCCATTCAGACGACCATATCGCTGCCCAATGCACCGTTGTATTCCTGCGGTGCTAAGAGCAGGTGTATATCGCAGGAGTACTGTAGTATGGTTGTACGTTGGACTTGGGCGAATACTTGGTATCTAGAAGCTCGCACGGCTTTTAACTAGTATAACCTTCTATTCTTGGGCTCGTTTCTATCTACCCCCGTATTTCGTACATCATTTTGGAGCGCCGGAGTATGGAGTTGCTTATCGCAAGCACTGAAAGGGTAAGCCTTGCTGATGCATGTTGCAGGGCCAGCCCTGCCATGATTGCGTGCACAAGACTTTTCGCTCATCTTCTTCCCACGCCCCGTTGTCCCTTTGTTGAGGCCTCATCTTATTCCCCTTTCCCCGCCCTGGTCCCAAGTGCGATGGTTCCAATAACCATCAGTCGGGTGACGAAACTGCATTGCGAGGCAGATCTACCAGCTGTGCCGCGAACACTTGTCTCTAAATGATGGCTTCAACGCTTCTGTTTCGCAGTCTTATGGTATTTCGCCCTCTGCAGTCAACGCTCGCGGAATGGCGCGTAGTGGTCCTGGCACTTTTTGAAGCCCGACACTAAGTAACCGCTGAACTAGTTAATCGCACACTCGTACATCAATTCATGTTTTTGATTCTGCATCGGAGGCGGTCCCCCCCCCTCAGCTATTCGAAAATCAGTCTTGATTAGGGAGGAGAATAGCTCCTCTTCGATGAACCACACCTCAGACATCTCGCTTATCCTGTTCCTTTTCTACGCCGTGGACGATGCTTTCGTGTGGATTATTTATGCACTCTCAATAGTACTCCTTGCCGAAATCAGCTTGCAGTTGATCATCAGACTCAGCCACCAGCTTCTTGAGCTGGTAAATGGGTATTCAAAACTACAGATGGTGAGGAGAAATTCTCCCTAATAAGGTCAAATGCCCTTCCCTAAAACACAAGGATTAATCCCATCATCCAACAATACAACATAAACTAGTTTCAGACTTCAGACGGAGTGCTGCAATTTGGCCCATCCCCAAACCCGCTGAAACAAAAATAGCCTCCCAACCTTTCCCGTACTTATGGGTAGCTCTTCTCTTTATTGAGGATTCTCCCCGAGGTCCTTCCTCGTGGTTATGGAAAATATATGACCCTCTTCGTTGATGGAATCGCCTTGTTGAACAGCACGCGGGACAATTAACGAAGATGGTAGTTTTGAACTTTGACTATGGCCTCTCAGTTTGTTCGGGGGGAAGGGCCGAGTTCTCCGACTATTGAATGCTTCTGATGTTGTATTTCGTAGCGAATTACTTCGAATAGCGGAATAAATGCAGGTACAGCTGCACAATCCCCTTCTCCCTCTTCTATTTGCCACGCCGGACTTTGGCTTCTCTGCTCCGCGACCCACGGAGCAGACTTTAATGGATCCAGTTACTTTTAAAAAGCCCCATTGCATGACATAATGCTCTGCTCCCCTCTGAACAGAACCTCTGCCGTCCGCTGTCATGGACTCGATCTCGACGGCAGATCAATGTGATGGAACGCGACGAGTTTGTAGCCATCAGCTGAAAAATATCGGCGGCTTGACTTCAACATCTGGGGAATGTCTTACTACCTCTCCCACTGTTTACAAAAGTTACTCTTCGCAATCATACACCAGAATAGTTGGACACAGAGTCGCCAGCACTAGCTATATTAGTTCTTGAACTTCGTGTTTGTCCAACAGATAAGCAATGAAGTTTCCGGCGGTTAGAAGCCCCCGTGCAACTCTTTGCAAAGTAACCCCCAAAGGCAACGGGTTGCCATTGATATTGGTATGAAGGAATTAGCCAAACTGGCCCTTAGTATCGTCCCGGGTCCGAACTGGAGTATTCTTTCGAATCGTCCGCAGTGTGCCTACAGCGAATTCACCGGTGGAGTTGATGCCCCTTTTCAATAGCCAGGAATCTAGTAGGCTGGTTGGTGGCGACTGCCAGCTAGGGATTAATGAACACGGCTGAGCAATGCCCCGTGAAGTCAGGGTAACCAGCCCTCTCCGATTAAACTGCATGAGGATGTATATAACACCAAGCGACTCTTCGTAGCTGTCCTGAACCGAGAACTTCCACCCCTTACTCCCAGGCGATCTCTATCTCGCCAGCTACCGAGATGGGTATGTCCCTTCGCGAAAATCTCTTTGGAGGCCTCCTTTCCGGGCTTGTGCTCAACGCTGTGTACGTGCCACCAGTGGAATTAATGATATCTTTGCTCTTCTATCACCTTGCATTCATTTCGGGTGATTTCCTCCCTTAGTCTCCTCGGTGTAATCACCATTCAGGCCTTCCTCTATTACCAAAAGTATCCCAGAGACCATGTCATTTTAAAATTTGCGGTGGGGTTTTTATGGTGAGCTAATCAAATGATTTACACAACGGATGGTGCACGGTCGGGTGACTGTGCATTCCATTTACAGGTTCGTACAGACGTTTCAGGTGTGAGTCAAAGGCCTCATCGGGGTATGCCTTTCGATGATCTGTCCCATCTCTAGGGTAGCCACGGTGTTTTCGGTGTATCAGGAATCCATCACTCACTTCGGCATTCTGTCGCAATATTCAGTATGGTAAGCCAGCGCCACTCCCAAAACTCAATACAGTACTTATGACTTTCATTCTACGATAGGACTGGTACAATTTACCAGATCCTCACAGTAAGGGTCATGAGTCTACTCTAGTCTGGCGTGTACTCACGTATCCACCATAATCCACTCCAGGTCGTTTGTTCAACTGTCGTCCAATCCTACTTCGTCTTTCGGCTCTATCGATGTAAGTTGTCTCAATGATCCCTTATTCTCGTCCAGTATCTTGAGGGCGCGTGCTAGTTAGTGGAACGATCTGGCTACCAATGCTGCTTGTACGTTGTCGGCCGTCTGTCTTACAATGTTCATTAATGCTTGTGATCATTATTGACAGGTTCTGTTGACTCTGGGGCAAGTTGGTGAGTGAAACGAACGATCGTGTATTTGGAATGCCTGATGTGTACATATCCCAGGGACCGGACTTGGTATGATGGTGCATGAATTGTGGAATTAACTTCCTTCTAAATGCTCCTGCACTATTTGTAGCAATCTGTCTTAGAGTGCAAGTTGTTCCTCAAATTAGCGACTTCTACCATGGGTCATATGTTCTAATCATCCTGCCTGACAGAAATATCACTCGCGGCGGCGAAAGCATCGTCCATTCCATGCGCCCTCTTATGGTCTCTTGGTTAACACTAGAGGCACGTCTCTCTGTGCATCGGCTAAAAGAAACCCTCACTTACATTCGTGCACAGGCAGCGGCCGACCTCGTGATTGCCCTCTCCGTGTCATACTCCCTCCAGACGCGCCGCACGGGAGTTCTGCAGTAAGTAATTGATTTGTCGCTTGTTTGAGGAAGCAATTCCTGAACAGATGACTCCCCCCCCCCCACTGAAGGACGGATACGGTGTTACGAAAGTTAACAATATACGCTATCAACACCGGCTTGCTGACTAGGTACGGTTTTTGGGACTCTTCGGCGAAATAGGATGAGCCAACCCCCTATATTTGTGACTCAGCATTCTAGCGTTGGTCGTCATGTTTGTTGTATGGCCAATCCATCTTTTTTGCTGTACAAACAGCCTGACAGCCTTTCTTTGAGCAGTTCGCACTCTGCGGCCTCCACTTCGTCCACATGATATTCATACTGGTGGGTAATATTTCCATTCGGAACGGACATCTGACCTCACAATGGACTGTTCGTCCTAGCCGCTCGGAGGAGTTTATACTGCATCCCTTCTGGCAAAGTATGTATCGCAACACCATCACCTAAGTGAAATCCCTGGCTGGTAAACTGATGGACACTTTTCTCTTCCACTTTATCTCAGTCTACATTCGCGCTCGAGACTCTGGAAAGAACTTCATCATCAAGGAGAAAATGACTTTCCAATACACTTGTCCCACCTTTCTCCCAAGGCGAGAGAAATGTATCGCAAGGGAGATCACAGTTGACCCTGATTACAATCAGGGAACTTCTCCCGAATCTAGTAGAAGGTACCCACATCAGTCGCGTCTAAAGAAATTACCAAGACAATCAATCCAGCGTGAAATATACGCGCACCTTTGGGGGAAGACGAGACAGGTGTATCGAAGTACCATGCTCTTCAACAGTGCGAAGTCGCCTCTGCAACGTTGAACGTGAGTGTAGACTGAAGACACGCAAGAGGGGAATTGTTCATGAGTCACATAAGGTTCGGGTGCAATTAGTTCGTTCAGGCTCCTTACTTGGACAATAACGAAGCAGTGTAAACTCCTCCAAGTGGCTGTCGCACGAATTGGTACCAGTTGTATCAACTCAGTTTATGGCGCGGAACATGACGCACCAGTAGGAAAATGAGATTCACAAAGTGCAATCCGTAAAACGTGTACTAGTAGACAAAGAAGGTTAGATATAGTGGGGCGTCAAAGAGGAACTCACAGTGAACATGACCGCCATCGCCATCACGCTAAAATAAGGAACACATTGCTCAGCTCTTCATCTGTTAATTGATCAAAGGGATTTTACGTAGTTAGCATCCCAGTGTTGATGGCATAGATCATCAAAACCCGAATTATGGAATCAGTCCTTTCTCGCCAAGAATCAAATTTGATTCAGTGATCTCGCATCCATTTCGCAAGTGGCAAGGTTTGATCATACTCACGATCGAAACCCCGTACAGCTCTTCCGAAGGAAATAACACATTGAAAATGCAATGATAACGTCGGAGCCGGCCTAAAAATTGTTAGCCTCAGTCCGTACATGGCACACATGAAGGGCTGGTTGGGGTAAGTTCACGCCAAATTTGACATGAGCACCTACCTCTATCGTGAGCCAGGCAATCAGAAATGGCTTTAGGATAGGGATCAGATTATAAATCCCATGGTTGATGTTCCTGCCCAATAACGCGAAATAGGAGCTCAATAGGGAACAACTTACGCAGAGGAAGCTGGCGTACATATGGATGCAAATCACTAGAATGGCGGTGCGCACAAAATAAGAGGGGAATATCACTTGTTGCTCAATTAAATTGAGTGACAAGCGTTCATACCCAGCCCCATCGCTACTCCGAGAAACACCCAAGTCAATGTTGGTGCTTGAGGACGAAAGAGCTTCACTTACCCAATTGCGCCAAGGTCATAATAGTCTAGAGGTTCAGTGATCAGCACCGGCATCAGTGAGATCAGCCCACGGTAATATGTACCAACAGCAGCGGCACCCATTCCGATTGACCCACTGGAGTAAGTTCCGGCTAATATCGGTGCAGACTCATGGGAATGGAATTGAAGCACCACTTACATTTACGCAGCCGATGAATGAAGTAGAACTGGACAGTGACAGAGGATATAGTCTGTGGCTGAGATGAGATGCCGGGTCCTGGTGAATGGGCGACACGAGTGTAGCCGCCTGAAAGAAATTGCTACTCTACCGTAACCAGTGGATACATGGTATGATACCTGTGGTGATGATCATTTGAACTCAGGCTGCTCCGCAACTCAGGGACTCACCATTTGGTATCTTCAAGCAGATAACCAAACTTCATGATTCCGGCGTCGTACACTACGTAGGCCACAGTCACTCTACAGCCAAAAAGTGAATGAAGAATATATCAGCTGTTCCTGACCTGGCTCACACTTGGAATGCCTGTACGAGCCTAGGATCCAACATTCGCAAGCGTGTACATAAGCAACGCGGTGGACCCCAATACTGACATATGCCTACCATAAGAACCCCACAGAGGATCGAGCAACAGGACTGTCTTTAGGATATGTGCAATAGTAGAGCCAGGCCTGAACAGTGACGACACCGAAAACGCTGTTGAAGGTCACGAAAGTGAAATAAGCCATCCGCGAAGGCCCAGCAATTGGGGGTTATATGTGGAACAACACTTGGAATAGACCCAACGACGCGGCAGGGATCCCACTCACATCGCGCTAAGCACTAGTCCGACCAGAAAACCTCCATACAGATTCTCGAATTTTGACATGCCCATTCTAAGGGCAACAGATCGAGGCCGGGTGTAGGAGGGGGAGAATGAGAAGTCCAAATTTTGAAATCACCTTATATGCTATTCATTTTTGGGTGGGCAAGTCGAAGCTATGAATTGAGCGCGACCGGGCTCTGTACAGCCGGGTGGAGACAAAATCCCACGCATATGATTTCATTGATGTGTCGGGGGGCGTCTCAGCTGATGGGAGGAAGGATGGTAAAATGAATCCGCTGGAACGGAGGACGTTGACCAGATATCATAATCGCGCACCCACCCAGGAGCATTTCGTGTCAGCAAGACTTGTTGAATAGGTGTGGTCCGCATAATTCTGCTTGACCGGTATTCTGCTTGACCGGTTTGATCCTAGTAAGCACCATGAGACAAGAAGAGGATGCTTTGCATTCTGCAACCTGCTTCTCATACCCGGTTCATAGATGATCAATTATCTCGGATTATGGGTATGCATCATTGAAAGGGTTTGGCACGAATGATCCCTAAGGTATGAAGTATCGCCGACGACACAGAAAGGGGACGTTCTGAATTAGACCTGTGACATGCAGTTCATCAAAGAGCAGCTATTCATCTTCCTATCAAAATTGATGCCCGGGCGGCCGAGGGGATTTTGCCAACCCCAATGCATGTGCTGCTCGCAATTTTACGGATTTAGAGACCTGAATCCATAAAGGAGCGCATGATTTACGGTTCAGTCGTTCAGGTCAAACTTCGATAGGTGCGGGCCACCATCAACTATTCCGCGAGCCAGTGAACCACAGAAGCGTTAAGGCATAATATTTTACAGTAGACCGAGAGTTGCGAAACAGAAAAGGCATCATTTAAGCAGTGGAGTGTGTGCGGTATAGGCGGTCTGCCCCGCAATCCAGTTGCGCTACTTGGATTAACGGTCTATCGCACTCAGGCCACGGAAACAGGAAAGCATAGAAATAAGGCAAATCAGAGAAGGTGAGCAAAGTCTGTTGACAGTCACAGCACTAGGAGGAATCTTCCCCATGGACAACGCTGTATAGGATGGGAAGGGCCCAAACACGTCCATTGGATTTTGCGCGGCTCTACAGAAACAGAAGCCTACTCCATGTAAGGCTCGTCGGGCAATTTGACGCAATGACGCGAGTTTTTGAATGTTTAAGGTTCAGCTTATTTGCGCACAGCAACAAACCGAACCGAAAACCCCCGACATGCCAAAAATGAGAACAGCATGGTGAATGGTGAGGCAAGGACGCATCGGTCAATTTGGATCGATACCCAACATACAACCGCAAATGCGGTCCCGACCTCTGATGCCATGGGGCTCGTAAGGTTGTCCAGCACTTCTGTATGGGCTGGAAATCAAAGCGATATTATCCAAGATGAGGGGAGAAACTTGAGTTAGCATCCGCAGAAAATGCAATCAAAGAGAACAACCGATCCATCAGATGGCGTCCAGCTGGCACCGCTTACAGACTTGTACCCTCCTCCCCGAGCACGGCGACGGTTTGAGCTTCACACCTAGTGCCGCACACTAGAGGTTAGTTTCTGCTTGTTAGGATATTAATATCCATGGATCCGCTGAGTACGGGTCCAGACACCAAAACTGTCTTAGAAAGAATAGGTGTGGAGATGCCAGTCCCTCTGCATGATTGGTTATGTAGCTTCGGGCAAAAGAAGTAGATTATCCGAGCCAAAAAGAAACTCAAAAATTCGGTATTTCCTGATGATCTGGATGAACGGTGTGCGTCAAACTGTTGTTTGGCAGTGTTGAGGGCTGGTAGAGGTAGATAGAAGCAACAGGGCGATGGTTATGATGTTAGTTAGACCAAAGCAGCAGAGGACTGAGATTTGAGGCCGGTGGCTCGCGCTAAAAATCTGTCATGTGACCTGTATTCATGCATATCCCGACATTTTTGGGAAGATGAGCCTCAAATGTACCTTCAATGTGCTTCGTTTGCACGATTTTTGGTATTGTCGTAGATTAATTCTCTGTCTGTATTTTGGCCAAACGGATTCTCTAAATTGTTTGTCAATAAAAAGTTATTCTTGATACATTAAATCGCTTTTCAACATATTGCACTATAACTCAAGAAGTTTCGCACATGAACACTCCAAACTCCTAAGGAGCATCCAGATAACGTTGATCCATCTCTTAGCTTATTTTATATATTATTATAGCCGCATATTGGATAGGGATTGGGCTCACACCCATATAGGTTTCGGAGCCGCAGAATGTACCTTTACTCTTTTCCAAATGGCTTCAAACTTGGCACGATTACTGTGTGGATGTAGAAGTACGTTTTCGCCAGAGGGATTTCCATAATTCTTCCTGATGCATGAAAGAAGCGCGTACATTTTCAATGTCCCATGCACATATATGAAACTGCTTCAAAATGGGTTTATATCCTACATGCGTATTTTAATATTATTATGGGACTATAATTATGGCTATATTCAATATGTGTTGTGTGGTCAAGAGGAATGGTTTTCAGATGAGGACGGTGGCCATCCATTGTTGCACGTGACTGGAACCCGGCAAGCCTCAGCACTGTACATGAGGATCATCCTTACATGGTATGGGTGTCTGGGTGGTGTCTTCGGGTGACTGGGATCCGAGGGAGTTGTGTCGTCAGGGGGAGTTGTCGGGGTAGGTTATGATAGGGTGAGCGACTCCGCCTTGTTCTCCCATCATTGCCAGAGATGGCCTTGACAAACGTGCGGCACGACTCCTGCATTCGGGTTATGGAGACGTCCAGTTTCGTTTGGTCTTCTCTTTCATCTAGTTGTGGGACACCCAGCTCAATTAATTGAAGCTTTCCAAGAAAATTCAGCATGTGGCAGCAACTGTTAATGCCTCTGGACATCACCTCAAGTGCCTCATCTACCACAGAATCCAGGAACTCCTTCCTACTCGTACCAACTTCGGTATCGGTCTGTCCTTCGTTGAGATAATCAGCCCATGCACGTGCTAGCGCTGCTCCTGTTTTATTTTCGAAGATGGATTTCTTGAGAAGTGCACCGGCCTTTGTGAACAGCACGCGCAATAAAATAAAGACCATCTGCGGCCTCATAAACGACAGAGACGACCTAAAACTCGCCATCAGCTGGTGCCCCGGCCATTGTGGTAATGAACGGGCCGATGAGCTAGCCAAAGAGGGCGCCCGTAAACCCACTGATCGCCCCCACTACCACTCACTCTCCTATGTAGAAAGCCTACATAAACGCGAATTGCTAGAGGCGTGGAGAGAACAATGGACTTGCACACCCAACCCACCCAAATCTGGATTCTACCCAGCAAACCACATCCCCCCTCGATCAAACCCACCACCAGGTTTAAATCCCTGGACCGAAAAACTTTCAGCAGGATCACACAGTTCCGCACCGGCCACGCTCACATCGGGGAATACTACCACCGATTCGGCATCCAAGCGGAGAGCAAGGAGTGCACTTGCGGCGCATACATGCAGACCAGAGAACACGTCCTACAGGTATGCCCAAAATTTAAGAGATTCAGACACATACTGGGTCGCGGACGTCAGTCTAGGTTCGATATCCTCATGAGCAAGCCAAAAGGCATTCTCAGACTAGCGGAGTTCATCAAGAAATCACGAGCACTGGAGAAGAGAGGCAACGGGAGCAGACCCGAGGCCCCAAACGGAGAAGGAGACAGTGATGGACGCAGAGTAGAGCGACGCAGCCGACCGACAACTATTTATTTTTATATATGTAACATACACACATTACCCCGACAACTCCCAACAACTCCCGAGGATCCCACTCACCCGAAGACACCACCCAGACACCCATATCATGTAAGGATGATCCCCTCATGTACACACGCTGTAGCGAGTTGGGATGGCCGCACTGCCACGTTGACACCAGGCCGCGGGGTAACAAAATAGAGTACAACAACAACGCGCAACAAAATTGCATACTCTGCCTGCAGCCAAAGATCGCTTTTTATGTCATGACCTTGAAACGAAACCCTTTGTCCGGAGGAGGATACGCTAGCGGTAAAATTAAATCATTGATCCCAAATATAGGATTCGCGATGAAATACAGTATTGCGCACTTTTGAGACCATGATCAAGCTCCTCACGAATATGACTGCCAATGCTCATTCAATATCTCGATAAGCAACTTGTGCGTCTCTCCTCGATAGGGCTCTTTAAATGCTGATTGGAGACCTGATGCAACCCGTCAGGCAGATGAGAAACTCAAGATAAACAGGTGCTTACGGTCAATACTAGAACTGGTTGGAAGCCCATCACTCTTCGGATCAGTAATGCCCGTTAGGGGCTGCATATCGACTAGTAATGTCATCATATACACTATAATACTACCACAGAGTGAACATAATTTACCATCATTCAACAACTCGAAGAAAGACTGGTCGCGGTATGCTTTACAAAGCTTGGACAGTAAATTTGTTGGGGCAGCGCAAATATATTCATCACATGTATCCTCATCAGGAGCTTTGGTACCAGTGGGTAGAGCAATATATTTAGCAATTTGGTGTTTCGCAAATTCTAAGTTTTTCTCCGAAAAATTGCGGTGCGATAGTCATCGATCGCCTGGATAACACGACTATCAAATGTTTGCCGATCGCCTCTGTCAGCCCCGTAGAATCGATGTGATCTCGGGGTCGGGTTTCAAAACCAGAAAATCGACATTACGGCAACATCCGGCAAGGCATCGACGTAATGGTGAGTTGAACGGTCCTCGGAATAAATGGAATCGGCAGCGGACGATGGGAAGCACACGAGCAGTGTACAGTCCGTTAATACGGATGCGCCGCCCGAAAACGGGTCGTTCAGCTCAAATTTGGATATGTCAACTCCTCACCGAGGCTCCTCTAACTCATTGCCAGACAGTGCATCGGCTCTTGCTCCTAGTTCAGCGGCCACCTCCAGAGCACAAGGGACCGCTATTCCGCCTCCATCAAACCCGAAGCCTCTAAATCCTGTAGTCCATAATGCTAACCGTAAGGTTTCCGAGAAGAAGTCTAACCCATCACTGTCCAATGGCAAGACGGTGGTTCGGGATCGCCCATTTGCCCTGAACCGATTCATATTATACGAGACGAAGCGCTGGTTTTATGTTGTTGGCTCCAATTCCTCTGATACCCTACATAGGGTTCTGAAAGTGGACCGAACTACCCAGGATGAACTCATCGTCATGGAAGACGAGGTTGTCTATAGCGAGCGTCAGCTTAATGATTTACTACGGACGCTCGAGGATGGAAACAAGGGGAGCGGCGGTCTGACCAGAGTTGGGGTTTTCTTTGGCATCGCTGGTATGAGCACTTAACTGTATATTGTGTCCAGCTCCGACTCAAACCCTCCTGAAGGCTTTGTCCGCTTCACTGCGGGATGGTATCTAGTCGCAATAACGAAGAGAACTGTCGTTGCCCTACTGGGTGGTCATTACCTATATCATTGTGAAGAGACACAGATGTATCAAGTAACTTACAATCAAAAGGTGGAGAAACCCTCTGAAGAACAACGGTGCGCATGTCTTCCGTGCATCACCTCGCCGTCTTCTTTTCGGATGCTGAGCAGCTGTTCACAGTCTGATGGCTGCTTTTCGCCAAGTGGACATGACCCGAAACTTCTATTTCTCTCACACTTATGATATCACCTCGTCCCTCCAACATAACATGACGCGCGGATTCCTCTCGAGACAGCATGGCCACTCCCACAAACCCTGCGGAGGTCATCCAAATCACGACATCCCTGGAAAATCTGAGAAATCAGGATGGAAGTTCAATGACCGTTACGCGTGGAATTACCGCATGTTATTAGAAGCGTTCGATCCAGAGAAGAATATGCAAGCGAAACAAGCGGACGCAACGAAGAATCATTGGATTTTACCACTCATATACGGACATGTCGACCAAGCAAGTGCGTATAAGTGCTGGCTCTTCAATCCGTGTCCTTGTATTTATCAAATCGGTGGTGAGCGACTGACACATACATGTCTCGCAGAACTCACGGTCGGAGGCCGTGTCATTTTCGTGACACTAATTGCCAGGCGATCACGACATTTCGCTGGCGCCCGGTATCTCAAGCGTGGAATAACCGAAGAGGTAGAGGCTTAATGCGTCTGTCGTCTATCCTGCGTATTCTAAGCCATCTCTTTAGGGCAACGTCGCAAACGAGGTCGAAACAGAACAGATAGTCTCTGAAGCCCTGACGACTGGCTTTTATTCACCTATCCCCGAGACGAGCGGGAACGAATTATCTTTTTAAAGAGAAGCCCCAATGCCAGATACACAAGTTATCTTCAGGTCAGTCACAACTGCTCTGGTCCCCGATTGCGGGTCATATCTATGCTTGCTCCGTATCATGTCAGTATCGAGGCAGTGTGCCGATCTACTGGACTCAGGATATAACGAACATGAGTCCTCGCCCACCTATCGAAAGTATGAAAACTCCTGACCTCTGCTAGGAAGATAAATGGACTTCCAACCATACTCACGTTTCATAGTCACGGTGATGGACCCTTATTACACAGCTGCTGCACGTCACTTCGATAATCTATTCGAGCGCTATGGGACCCCAATCATTATTCTCAACCTCATCAAGGTTCTTTTCCGTGTGAAAGCGCTAATCTCATCCCGCTAATGAAGCACTTCAGTCAAGAGAGCCAACTCCACGAGAGAGCAAACTACTATATGAATATACGCGTTGTGTGGAATACCTCAATCAGTTTCTGCCGGAGGATAAGAAGATGCACTATCATGCTTGGGACATGTCGCGCGCGTATAAAGAGTGAGTTGAGCCCCGCGTGCCCGGTGAGGATTATCCGTCTAATGTTTGTTTGTTCTAGGAAGAAGCAGGATGTCATAGGAGTTCTGGAAGATATTGCGGAAGAATGCATTAATATCACCGGGTTCTTCCATTCAGGAGCCGAGCCGTACTCGCATGCATTGCGAGCCGAATCTGAGTAACTGCAAATCCGCATCCTCCCTGAGCCACAGCTACATACTCACCTACGCTGTTATAGGGAAATTCCGTATCGACCGAAGATTTCTCTACAGAATGGCATTACAAGGACTAATTGCGTAGACTGCCTGGATCGCACAAACGCTGCACAATTCGTCTTTGGAAAAAAGGCTCTGGGTCATCAGCTATATGCCCTGGGTGTAATCGAAAGTCCCCAGTTACCGTTTGATTCTGATGCGGTCAATATGTTGACCCAAATGTATCATGATCATGGCGACAGTGGGTGACGCCTCTCTCACTGCAGAAAAGGCTTGTTGAGACATACCCTATCAGCCATTGCCCTTCAGTACACCGGAAGCGCGCTGGTGAACCGCGTGGAAACGTACCGCCGGATGCCCCACTGGAATAGCCATTCGCGCGACATGATCGAGAACATACGACGTTTCTACGCCAATTCAATGCTAGGCAAGTCCACCTTTGCATTTTATGACCTATTGCGATTTCAGACAGCATCCGCCTTCAGACGCGGACAAGCAGACCGCAATCAACGTATTTCTTGGTGTCCCCACGGTCCCACCCACCATACCACGCTCACCCCCACCAAAGTCCTATCAGTTATGGTATAATCCGGAGCACTTAGAGACCCCCTACGTTGTAGACGACTGCGAAAAATGCCTATGGGATTTCTCCAATCAATCTGAATATTGGGTTGAGTATTACCGTCCGTCGGCATTCACGAGCCTCGGGAAACACTTTGCATACAGAATGAATAGCACAGCAAGGCTTCCCGGGTACGACTTCTTTGAGTCCCCTTGTTGCTGATAACTGAATCCCTCCGCTTCGCAGTGCCAATGTCAACGAGCCCGATTACAGCCCATTCCGAAACCGCGCAGAAACAGCACATCAACCTCCTCGGTCAGTTGTTCCATCTACTGCCTCAAACCTACCTCAACTTGAAAGTGCCTCCAGACTGATGGATGGTGTGCGTCGCCTGATTGGAGCGAATTCTGGCACGCCGCACAGAAAAATTAGTGACAAAGCAACGAAAGAAACCAAGACCGTACTGGTGAAAGATGAGGCGGACGATTTAGACGTAAACAGCATTGAAGCGATCACTGCGCGCTTACTTAAAGGCGAGATCTCAGAGTCAGAGGAAGCGGAGTACGAATGGTAAGGCAAATGGTTCGTGTTCTGGCGCCGCCAGTTAATTTTTTCCCCAGGTACGTCGAACAACCTCAAGCCCTGCTCACATCCTCTGGCCTATCTACGGACCGCAAAGACCTCGAGCTCTATGCCAGTGGGGTCGCAATTTCCCAAGACCCAGATTTTCAAATGGATGGACCACCAGACAAGGCGTACATTGCTTACATCCAGCGAGGACAGCCGGGTGAGCACACGTTGTCTAGCACTGGGCCATCACCCGCTCCGAACCAAGGTTCGGGCTCTGGAGGGTTTAGCTATGAGCGGTGGGTCGCCAGCGGAACCCGTAGAGTCACAAATGATTTGTTCCACCTTCCGTCAAGTTCTGCAGCGCCATAAATGCTCGAAGACCCCACCTTTTCTATCTCAACTAACCATCTCTCATTCCTGTCATCACCTCCAAGAACCGATTAATGGTATTTATCTTCCGTGCTTATTCGATCCATAGAAGATGTACGATGTCTTGTATAAATATAATCCGTATCCACTATTTGCCTGTAATCATTCGCAAGATACGGACCACCCTTCCCAGTCCACCTTGCCCTCTTGAATAGCAATTAATGTCCGGTAGAAGGTACCTGCCACAGGACCCAAACCTTCTTCATGCACAGGCAAGAGAATATCAGCCTCTTCATAACCAATCCTCCCTATGGGGGCGATAATCGCTGCTGTACTAGCCCCAAACGCCTCAACGAGCTCCCCTGACTTCGATAATGACCGGAGCCTCGACATAGTGATGGATTCTTCCCTCATGCGAAGCCTTTTGCCCTTGAGGGCTAGAGCATAGCGCTGGAGAGCAGGATCCGAGAACAGCAGGGATCCAAGAGCAATCACAGACGCGCGAGTCACCCCGGGTAGGATGGTGCCATCTAATGGAGGTGTTACGACATCGAAATCTGTTTGGGGGGGGGGGTAAGTCAAAGATTAAATGAGAACTTGACGCCATAGTTGCATCAATGAGATGCTCACCGCCATCGCTCCGTTCAACTACTATGAAGAAGTTCATCTGACCCACTTCGGTAATATGGCGATCTTCGCCAAGGATCCATAGAAGCTGTTGATAGCCCCTCTTACTGGCCTCCGCTTGAGGCTGAAAGCATGGTGTATAATTGATGCCTAATTTGTAGGCACCAGTACCGCCAGGCCATGACCTGACAGCATCGTACTCAGCGTATAGAGATATAGGTTTGAACCCAGAGGGGAAATAAGGCCCGGTTGGTGATAGAATTACAAAAAGCTTTGCATGTGACGACGGTGCCACACCCAAAGCTGCAATGCATCGGTTACGCTACGTTTGGCTTTGAGTTCAGAGTACCCACTCACATGGGCGTGTCCCTATCAGAGTGGGTCTTATGTATAAACTATATCCAGGAAGGGAGGGTATCCAGCGTTTATCAATCACGACAAGCTTCTTGATTAGAATTAAGAGAGCGGCAGTATTAAAAGCCTAGTGAGGGTTTCAGTGTCACAATGGCTTTCTTTCAAAAGGAGGCAGAGTGCGTTTTACTGGTAAAGCGAGGCGAGCGGTGCTTGCGGCCATTCGCTTCATATTCAGTTCAGGCCTAAACAAAAGAGGTTTTCCGCTTGGTCCAAGGTACGCCTTCATCCCTTCGAATAGTGCGGGGGTATAATGGAATACTACAGCTCGTTGGTTAGCTGGGCGATGATATCAGTGATAATTAACAGGCTCGTACTTGAGCAAGCAGGGTCGAGGCTTATGGACGCATAGGGCTTTATGACAGGCACAGACCAGCCCGTTGCAGGATCGTAGTCAATTTCTAACATATGGTCTGTGCAAACATCCCCAAAGCGGAGGGTCTCTGGCAAAGGAATGCTCTTTAGATGACCACTAAGTTGTATAACGAGCGAATCGGGCTATGAAGCTTTACTCTGAGCAATGAGTCACAAAATAAATGGGAGAAACAGACATCTATGTCACGTAGGGGTGTTTCTCGCGATTCCTGCTGGGCCTTTACCGCCGATCGGCAGTTCTGAACAGCAGTTGATGACATTCGCAGAATGGCAGAGGTTTACTTGTCCAAGTTGGGGAGAAATTAGCGAAAAATCAGCAGATCGGCAAGCAGGCATGCACGTGTCATACATCCCGATCACTTCTCGCTCACAGCCGTTTTCCATATTGATGTCCAAACAATGGGATGATTAGAACAAAACGTTCCCAACCTGTTATATGTATCAGCAGAGTCTATCGGCAGTCGAGCGTCATTCGAGGAATAACATCCTGGTCGCTTCGCTTCCTTGCTCAGAACCATACTCAATTCCTACGACCCGAGCTAAAACTGTGAGTCTTTCTACTTTCGCGCGGACCACCGGACCGGGAGTTTTGTTGTACGAGGAATTCTCTGGCCGGACGACTTCACGGCTTTGTGTAACCGCACGAAGCCATACACCGCCAACGTGTCGACCTCTCCCTAAATCGTCAGCTCAGTCATCTAGCATGTCGATAAAGGTTAAGACCAAAGTCTCCTCGAAGGAGGCTCAATCGGTGCTGTAGAACAACATGAGATTCTGGAACCATGAGCCAAGGCACAAAACAATCTAGATGTGAGAGCCTCCCACGCCCATGCCGTCCTAGTTAAGGGCAGGGGTGCTAGTAACGTTCGGAATGGCGTTTTCGGGCGCTGCGTGCTGCGCGTGTGAGCGCGGGTGTGTCCCTTCAAAGGCGCGATCGGCGGCTTACTCACAATGTTGGTGCGATGTGTATGTATTGAGCGCAGGGGCACAGAATGAAACGAGCCAAAATGTTGATGTTTCCCAAGACCACTGAAATCGGAAAATGAGTTACAAAAGTGTAGTAACAACCCCCAAGCAGAACGGGATATGGAGACAGGACGGGACAGGACAGAGATAAGGCAATTCGCCTTCAAGCGGCTAACGCCGAGTGGCCAGATGGCGTGGCGGGTGGCGAGGCGTCGAACGTCTTTGTGCTATGCATACAAGAAGGACCCAAAGTCAACCTTACCAGAAATCGGATCATTGTTACCGTCCGTGGATACATTTTTCCAGGTTATGTAACTATATTGAATGCGCCCCTCCGTTTGAGTTTTGTGGGAACTACAGAGGACGTAGCAACTCGCCACTGATGCCACCTTCCGGTGCAGATAAATTCCGCGACCATTCGAGTCGAATCCTCACTCGCCCCTCACTTCTCGTCCACCTGAGGCACTACCCCGAGTCTCGACGTGCAGAATACGATGCTCTTCGGGCTCAATGGGAGCGGCACAAATACACCCCTGATGCGCGAGGAGAGCACTGCGACTGTGGCCATGGATGATGAGTTGGAGCAAGCTACACGGTCACTAGTAAGCCTCAATCTCGACATCCCTGGTAGTTGGCCCAAGGACAAAAAGGCAAGGGCGGCACGGACCCGTTCAATCCGTGCCAAAGCCCAACGCCAAATGAGCTTCAGAAAACAACACTATAATCTGCGCTCAGCGACTGGTATGCCCCGCACTCCCTTTAACAGCCTTGCTCGACTTATCTGACTGGCTGGTTCAGGCAAACGCAACCAGCCCCCACTTCGACGTAATTCCTCACGCCGAGACAAAGGAGCTCCTCTTTCATCCCCACCCTCAAACACTCCACCCGGACCCGCCAACGCGTCTTTCCGATCACCACATCACTGCCCCTTGAATCCTCGTCCTTCAGCGCCACAAAACCTTCCATCCCCTGACGTACCCCCGACGCCTCCCGCTACAGGGCCCAACTCCTCCTTAGAGGAGTTGTGGACCTGGAAGGAGCACCTTCGCGCCGAGGAAAGAGATCGCCGCCGAAAAGAACGCCAGGAAGCTGCCCGTGTTGCGGACCTCGACTATATTAAGAAAACGCGCAGGGGACTGAAAGAGCAGGAACGCGACCTCGCAGCGCGCAAGGCTGCGTTTGAAGAGATGAAGCGAGCATTCCGTCGTCAAATGGATGCAGAGTGGGAAACGCTGCAGCAAGCAAAGCGGGCCCAAGCGGACGCTGACCGAAAACGGCGTGAAGCCGAAGCCGAGCAGGCAAGACAACGAAGGGAACGGGAGAAACGTGCCCAAGCCGAAGCTGAGGCCCGCGCAGCTCGGGAGGAAGCTCGCCGGCGTGCAGAGGACCAACGGCGCCAAAACCGTCGACACCAGGAGCAAGCCCAGAATGGTCGGCCAGGAACGAGCCCTCCAATAGATCCTCTTCAGTCCCAGTGGGACTGGTATCAGAGGGTATGGAAAGCCTTCCTTTCCAGCGAATCGTATCCAGAGATGGGCACACTCACATATATCAACGTGCCCTGGCCGGTTATGCCTCCGGCCAATTTCCGGTGCACTTCGCCCGACGACATTTCCGTGCTGCTGAATGAGGAGGCCATCGCGGAATTCATCTTCGCTCCCACCATCCTTGGTGACACTGTCAAGAGGAAGCGGCTTCAAGAAGTTATGCTTCGCTTCCACCCAGACAAGGTCTCTCGGTGGCAACGATGGATTCACCCGACGCATCTGGAAGCTGTCCACACGCTTTGTACTATCACCACTAAGTATCTGAATAACTTAAAGGACATGGTCTGATGGCCCTGGCCCACCCACTGCCACGTTCAATTGCTTTGTTTTTTTGCATCACTCTACATTCCTTTAGCGAGTTCCCACTGTCAATCCCACACCTCTCTGTATCGCGCTCACTGCTGATGATCCCCTTCTCGAACTCCGAGCCATTGTATCTCACATTCATCCACGCACGAATACTAATGCGGGAATGCTATAAAAGTCGACCGCCCCCGTGAGCAAACTAATCCAGTATAATCGAGTGGGTAACCAAACAGAGAGCAAGGGGAAAGGCCATAGTTCGCCAGCGCCATCAGAACAAGCACGCCGCGAATGCCTGAGAACTGACAATAACGCCGGGTCTTCGCCATCTGATCCTTAGGAGAGCTGACGTTCCTAGCGTGGGAAGTAACGAGGAGAGGCTGGATCAGGAGAACTGGTGTGACCTGCCCTAAACCGGCGAAGGAAATGCTGCGTGCAACTCGTGGGCAGGTCTTCAAGATGGCAATATGGGGGGGAAATACTGAGTATGAAGCCATTCTATGGTTCCCCAAATATGCTACGCAGCATGCCAGGCATGGGCTAAAAAGACTTCATTGAAGGATGAATCTTGTCCCCAACGTCCTCGGCTGATTAAAGAACCGATACGTCCGTCGATAATGTGCAAATGGGTTAGCACTGGACTGCACGGGGTGTTCAACTAAACTGGCTGCGAAGGAAGCGGACGGCGCCGTTTCGTTGGGACCAGTGTGAAGAGGGCGATCGGCAAGTTGATAAGGCGAATCAAAATTGTAGGTTTCGCATTGGTTGAAGGCGACACAGATCTGGTGAGCGGTGATATATCGCAACGAGTTTCGACTGGAATTCGTGAGTGTGAGAGAAAAGGAGCCAGTGAATCGCACAGCGGTAAGTTGAGTCCCATGGCCGAGAGATTCAAATTATGTTTACACGAAAGAGCGAATGAGGCTTGGGTTCGCTGGGAAATGAAATACAGATCGGGAGCTAATGAACGCTGGTTGGACCTTTACAACATTGCGGAGTTGGCCGAATCCATTGTTGAGGTGATCATTGATCAAAGCATTTTGGAACATACGATTGGGCCCTATCACCTCGCATAGAGCATTGTAGACCATGTCCAAACCTTACGTTGTGTTCGGCTACGGATCACTCATTTGGAAGGTGCATATTTCACTAAGATCCTGCGCTCAGCCTCTTGCGGATCTCATTCGATTTGAGCCATCAGCCGCCACCGCACGTCATCGAAGAAAGTATGCATAATGTGCTCCTCGCCTCTCGTTTCTATAGCACTGAGGCTGCCAAACGTTTAGCTCCCGGTTTCCTTAAGGGTTATGTTCGTCGCTTTGCCCAGAGCTCAAATGATCATCGAGGCACTCCAGAGGTCTGTGATCCGGTTTTTTTCTTTAGTGAAAGATAGGGTGCCTAAAATAATTAATCAGTAGGATCCCGGTCGTGTGGGTATGGGTCAAATTGCTAGCATTGGTTTGCGGTTGCACAAAGCTGAGCGAGCCCCAATTGGTCCAGTCACACTCATCCACATCGATGAATGGAACAAATTCTCTTCCACCGTAAGGACTTCCATCCCCAGAACGTGTCTTCCATTAATGGCTTGCGATTTGTCCTAGGACATTTTCCCACATGAAGATGTTGTTTGGGGTATTGCGTACACGATAGCCCCAGTGTATGCCGCGGAAACGAAAACATACTTAGGTACCGAGGCTCTATCTTTCTCCTCGCTTTGTTGACATTAATACTCCCCAGACTACCGGGAAAAGGTGGGATTACTCTGAATTTGGGCAAGCCAATACTGATAATGATTCTTTCTAGAACGGATACTCCGAGGCAACCGTGGACGTCTGGGGCTTACGTGATGGAGAAGAAGTAGTAATAAGGCCTAATGTACGTTTGATTTACCAACATGCTCCTCTTCAAATGCCTTACGCCTCTTTGGTAGGTAACGGTATGCTGGATTCACCCTGACCCCGCTGCGTACGACTAACATATAACAAAGGTGTACGTAGGACAACCAGACAATCCGGCATTTGGTAAGTCCATGCCAATTTCGTTCTTATTTGATGTCCCTGTGCCCACTCATCGGCGTCCAGTTGGATCTGAGCCTTACGACAAGTTGGCTAAACACATTTGGTCGCACCAAGGGGCATCTGGCCAAAACAAGGTCCGTATGTCTTAATTCGACAACCGAACCGCTTCTCACCACCGGGATGCTGCGCTCAGGATTACCTTTACAAACTAAGTGAGAGTATCCGTCGCCTGGCCCCAGAAAGTCACGATTCCCACCTGTTCACGCTAGAACGCATGGTAAGGGCCATAGACGCTGCAGAAGCGCAAGATTTCGCCGTGGGTAATGGAGCGAAGAAGAGTCTGAGTCTGACCGTCAGTAATTCCGGTTGACCACTTGTCAAGAAACGATAGAATCCATCGTCTGCTGACTTGCTCCAAAACAATCCACGCGGTTCTCCAGTGATGAGAAACTTAGGTGTGAAGTACGGATTAATGTTGATCAGATCTCCCGGCTATGCAGAAGGCGCCGGCCAGGTCCCGCGATCCCCACCAGCTCCAGACAGGCATCCTCCCTACAGGTTCACCCTCCTGAGGCAACCTTCGGTTCTATCAGTCGTACCGCTACCCGGTGTACCCTCCGACCTTCCCAATAAAGTCTCCAAAGCCGACTACGGGACTTCCCACAACTGCAATGATAGCCGAAGTTAGTGTAAATTCGCCGCCCAAGTTGAGCTTTTGGCCTTGTTACCTGCGAGAAACGAAGTACGATCACGAATGATGTGCGAGGCACACGCACAGTTCTTGTATACTGCAAATTCCCGTCCTGAATTGACATACAACCATCGAGACTCTGAACGTCCCGATGCCCCGAATCACACCTCAAGTGGAATCAATCAGAGAACCACAGCAGATGCCTCCCAGGCCGTCGTACGCTTAAAGACTGCGCTGCCAGCTTCCAAAGCAAAACTTTTAAGAGAACATCCAGAAGCTTGTCGCATCACTGCTATGTATTGGAATTAGGATGTCCAATTCGGATGGATGAAGGTACCGGGTTGCCAACATGACCATCAATCAATTCGTAGACGCTAAGAGATCTACGTTGTCCTCATGGACACAACGCTTGTGGGAGTCACGATGGTAATTTAATATGTCGTCCAGGCTGTACTGCAGCATGGTCGTGCCACGCTCCAATCACGGCCGATTTCGCAATATAGTTGCCACACCCTTCACTCCACGGCGTTACCACATTCACGAAGCTGCGTGCAGGTGCTTCCAGCTGTTCACTAGATCAAAATTGTTAATCCATCCGATTTGTCGGTAGACCGCAGTACTTGCGCGACTGACGGATGGATTGGCCTCAGCAGATGGTCATGGACGCCCATGACCATATGTGGCTATGAACTTAAACCAAGTGCTGCCTCTTCTGTTCAATAGCAGGAACATCCCGGCCTATATATTGCGAGTTAACAAACGGATATTGGCCAACGGTCACGATCCTGATCTGGCTATCCTCCGCTATCTGCTGGCCCCCTCCCACCTTTCCTGTGGACGATAGATATTCAGTTTATTTGTGATGGAGCCAGTGATACGGGATCTTGCAGAGCGCGCACTTCAGAGGCTAGATCAAGGGTGAGGATTTGAAGTCGACTTCCTCGTGTCTTTTGCTTGTGTCTGAAGAAGGCAGATCACAATCTTGACACGCATTCATGGAATCCCTTCACCACAACGACTCGACATTTTGCGGCCTTCCATGTTCTGAAACCGATGAAATTGATGCCAATGACCGATCATGCATACATTTTGCAATAATAACACAAGACGCCACTCTGGACGAATAATCATCGGAGTATGCGGTATACCCGCAAGCGGCAAAACAACCCTTGCTAATGCAGTAGTAGGACGGATTAACGAGCTTTATAGGGCTGCTCCACACAAGTCACACACAGGGACAAGTGACGGCGCCACTTCTCCGAATATCGCCATCTGCGTGGGTCAGGATGGTTGGCATCTGCCTCGATCTGCGCTGGACAAATTTGAGAATGTGAAGCTTGCGTATGATCGGCGAGGAGCAGCGTTCACGTTTGATGGTGCCGCTTTCTCCACCTTCGTGCTCAGCCTCCGATTGGCAGCCTCAAGTAAGGATGATGCCGCTCGTTCAGAAGTGATTACTTCTTCCCCTATGAAGCCACAGGACGGGCTAGAATTGAGTGTGGAAGAACCAGTTCCTCCCGGACAGGAGGTAAATAGCTCGCCAGTGGCCGGCATTTTGCCGAGGACGTCCTCTCATGACCAATTTGTCGTTCGTGCCCCTTCCTTCTCTCATACCCTGAAGGACCCAACGCCCGATGCAATATCAATCTATCCCTATCATCGAATTGTCATCATAGAGGGGCTATATACATTCCTAGACGTGGACCCCTGGGATGTTGCAGCACGCGCGCTGGACGAACGTTGGTATATCGATGTTGATGAAGCAGAAGGAAAGAGGCGGCTTATAGCTAGGCACGTCGTAACGGGAGTTGCCAAGGATTGTGAAGAGGCCGTCTGGCGTGCCGAAAACAACGATATACCAAGTGAGTTGCTTTCGCTACCTCCCTGGGTACAAGGAAAAACGACTGGATTCGACTGATTCGGTTGGCATTTCGCATATTTATTTGCCGGCTCCTTGTTCGGACTTCAAACGATTTTAGATGGACAATTCATTAAGGAGCATATGCTAGAGCCCACCCGTGTCATTCGGAGTATCAATGACAGGACAATTGCAGCTCAGAGTGGAACGGAGTAGGAATAGGAGGCAATCTGAAATGGCCGTTAACTATCTTCATGTCATACTCTTACATTGAGTACCCAAAAAAAGCGGCTATCTATGCATGATCTGCAGAATGAATTGTCTGTAAGGCTCATGGATGCTCCAAATCAATGGTACGGTGGGAGATACGCCCGAGAATCTAAAAGCCGCGAACATATCAATCCAAAGTGCGATTCGTGCTGAAATTTTCGTGATACATTCTTTCAAGGGCACTGTTCACGAGTTCATCTTTCCAGCTGCTACCGTTTCCCCGCATTATATCGCTTGGGACATCTTTTGTTTGAATAATGATGCTCGGTACAATACTGAAAGCTCGCAATCGGTGTCCTTGAATGAGACGAACGAGCGCTTGATCCAAGGCCCGGCTGTATGCAAACGGTGTTCCCCCGCAAGGTACATCATGACAGAACGGACCTTGGTGCTGTGTCTCGATCCCACGGTGATTGGCCCCCGAATGATGGAAGTGAGGGAAATGAGTGGCAGTTGTACGGAGATGGCGAATAATGCGGTTGGCTCCGGATTTGGAAACTGCATATGCATGCGTGCATTTAGGAGAAATTGAGGGATGCAGAGCAAATGTGTATGATGTCGCTTCTTTGTGGTTTGTATAGTCGGAATAGTTTAAAATCGTGACGCTCCGCAAAGCGGTGCGGGTACCTTCGCCTGGAGACCAACAGTGTCCTGAGAAAGTCCGTTAGTGCTATTAAATTATCGCCACAATCTTTGAATCCAGAGTTGCAAACACCCCTTTCACGTGAGCGGTCAAACAAAGTGGCCAATCGGAAGACGCGTAGAAGAGAGAATCAGGCAGTGCAGCCAGACATTTGAAAGGAGAGACGCAGGGCCCAAAACGAATATGGCAGCATAGTTCCACATACCAAGGAAAACGATATCCCATCGAGCAGGCAGAGAAGGCCAAACCAGCGCGAGACGAGCTTTGAGATCAAATTCCATGTCCACGTCATCTTCAAGTACCACGGCCACACTGTCACCGCCCTCGGAAATACGCCTTAGCACCCCAACGTGAGAATGCCAACAAGCGATCATCCCCGCGAGAGAGTCAGGTGAAAGGGGTAGGGCGAATGAGGCAGAGGGATAATTTGTGGGGTGTCATTGACTTCTTTTCCCAAACTGAGGGCATCAGCAGTTCCACGTATGAGATTTCCAAAAGCACCATCGTGAGATTGCATAAGCGAAGGCAATGAAAGAGGTAGAGGGGTACATGGGAGCGGCAGGCGAAAGTCCGGGCTCGGAGGATCCGGAAGAGGGTTGGTGACTTGCGAGGAGCGTTTGTCTTGCAGAGGATCCAATGTCCACAAGTCAGAACCATCGAGGCCTAATTCGTCCGTCTCTGAACAATCGCTGTCGACTTTCAAATGGCAGGGCTGAGCATCAGGGGGCCAGTGTATATAGTCGGAACGTTCCAGCCCGGTGAGATTCGAAGGAAGCTTAGGAGAAAGCCCCCAATGGATACGAAGAGCATGCAGAGACCGTTCCCATCGCACTCGTTCCATGATTACGGTCACAGCAGCATCAGATGCATCCGTAGCATTAACGAACGTGAACTTGAGACGCATGAATTCTGCTAGAGCCTTCATTTTGACCCGTCTGTCATCACGGCGAGGCAGTGAGATGACAAATATACGTCCGGCTATTCCGAGTGTGGCATTTGTGTAGGGTTGAGGCGATGATAAGGCGGTATGTTGCAACACTACATGATCTGGTTGGGGAGAAACCGACAGAGATTCAGAAGAGGCAGGTAGTGTTGGCTTCTGCTGCAGTAGTACGTCTGAATTCAGCGAAACGAATTGAAAAACAGGATTGAGGGCGATGACCAGAAGCGTTAAGGAGGTGATCATGACAAATATTGCCAGCGCCAGAAGGGTGAACTTCATTGTGTGGGGACGGACTGCCGCGAGGAACATGGCGATTACAGTAACAGTACTATCAGTATCACGGCACCTTATAACCGATGATTGAGAGTCAGCTGCTGGGGGGTTGGTCCTGGAGTAGGAATATTCGAAGGAGAACGAATCAATCCTCCTCCAAAAGGCAGCCCAGAATCTGTGTTCTGGAATCCGATCAGCGAAGCCTTCCAACGATGCTAGGATAGTGAATGATTGAAATCTAGGCCGCCAGGTTAAGGAACGGAGCCCGCCGCGCGTTCAATTTCACATTCCAATCGCGCTCATCACTTGGAAAACGGTGAGCTACTAGCTCAGAACTATCACAAGTATATTTCGACCAGTTATCCAACCGCCGTCTGTCTGCACAAAATGTGAACGGAAATCCGCTGGGGGGTAACTGTTGTCCTTTGTTGAATCCGAGGATATCATTTCGGAAGCAAGCCCTTGTATCCATCATCCGTTTTACGAAATAGCAACGCATCCAACCTGCTCGTGGTGGCTTTTGCTATTGACGGCGTCTCTCCACCTTCAGCGCCCAACGAGGACTATAGCACCGGCAGTGAACTCTCTTTATCTGATTTTTCCGTATTTTACTTCCAACTAGGGAAGTGCTGAAAATGGCGATCTCCTTTGGATCTTTCGATGGCATATGCCAACAAGCGGCGCTCATCGTTTGTCCTCTTGTGGGGACAGCTCAAGGCATCGAGCCAACGTGCTATAGCCGAAACGTTCAAATCGGACGGACACTAGTGTTTCAACCTGGTAGGAAGCCTGCGGGCTTTTCGCGCCAATGATGAAAAAAAACGGTGAACTTAGAACAGTGCACGCAACATCTTCTTCCCCACAGCGGCATGCTTTGTCCACATCGTAGCCATTATCATGACCCTCATTATGATCTTCCATATCCGAAGTAAATACACGGCTGTTGGTAAGTGGGATTCCCATCGCGCGCAGCTCTGTCGTTTCAGAATGAACCTCAGAATCATGATTGAACGTTCCTTAGGTCGAAAGGAGATAGTCATGTTCTTCTATTTATATGCTATCATCGAACTCCTTGCCATGTTCTTGGATTCTGCCATTATACCTACGTCAAGTAACGTTTATCCAGTGCGTGATATGTTGAATGTTTTCTGGGATACTAAAGCACAGTTGGCATATGTAGTGGTTTGCCGCAATATACACGGGCTTAGTGGCAGGGGCTTACATGTGCCTTCTAATCAACGGTTTTGTTGGTTTCCAATTCGCTGAAGATGGAACTGCTACTTCTTTATGGGTGCGATTTTCTCCGGTGGCTTAGCGATCGTTGGGTTACTGAGTGAATCTGATATATTCGGGTGTTTGTAATCATAGGGCTTACGAACCGCAACACTGGTAGCGTTCGGCGTTACGTTCTTCATCGCTATTGCAACATTCCAAGGTTTTGCTGGCCTTAGCTACAAAAAACCGATCGCTTTATGGATCATCTACATCATATGGCCGCTTGTATGCGTTATCGTCTACGTTGTCTTGCAACTCGTCCTCGTAGTTCGCACACTGGACGACCGATGGCCAATAGGTGATATCCTGTTTGGTATCGCCTTCTTCACGGTGGCCCAAGTGATCTTGTTCGCATTCAGCAACCTGATCTGCGATGCGGTGAAACACTATATCGACGGTCTTTTCTTCTTCCAGCTGTGCATGCTATTAAGCGTGATGATGGTTTACAAATACTGGGATTCCATCACGAAGGAGGACTTGGAGTTCAGCGTTGGGAGTAAAACATCGGTGTGGGAGGTCAAAGATCCGCTCTTATCCGTGGTTCCTCGCGGTGGGGAATATGACGATGATCATCAGAGCAATTATCATCCACAACCTAGCCTTGTGGGCGGTGTCAGTGGTGGGCAGCTATATCAGGCGCAACCTCACGGCTATCCTCCGCAGAACTATTGATGGTTTTTCTCTCTTGGTTTGTTCCGTCGTGTGATGATTTCCTTGGGACATTTGTACTAGAGCTTTCAGGGAGGGCTGAGATGGGTTGGGTTGCAAGCGGCTCCGTCCATCTATCCCCTTTCATTATACCACCATCTCAAGCCATGGACCTTGTTCTTTTTTCCCTTCGCCAAACATTGTAACATTGCAGTAATCAAATATTTTTTATTACTTCACCGTAGGAAGGGTAAAGTAAAGTGCTGTGGGTGTTTCTTTTGATCTTCTATTTCCCTTCTATTTGCACTCGGAATTTATCCTCCCTGTGCGGCCGGCGAGCGCGTTACCTGGAGTGCGGGAAAAAGCACAGGGACGCGGAAGTTGATTCCACTGTCTCGGGCTTTTCCTCCAGCATTCTTTTTTTTCTTCCCTTTTCTCGGACTTTTCTCTTCACTTCGGGATTAGGTTGGAGATGGATGCGCATGATGAGAAAGTAATTACCTGCATATAACGCTACTTCTGTGCATCTACCGAGTCACACTAGACCAGGATAGGATCAAATATCAAGTATTGGTTTTCTTTTTTTGGTGCGACAGGCCAGGGCAGATCAAGTATCATGCATTACACAGATCTAACCAAATCTCCTCTTCTTCCTCATATGATTGTGATTGACCCTTTTGGAGGGGCATGATTCAGTCGGCGTGGTCATGGGCGGCCACACGGACACGTGGGCAGGGGCGTTCATGGAAAGCCTCACTCCACTTCATGTTACATATGCAATGAGCGCTGCGAGCCGCTGAACGTTGAGGCCACAGTACTTGAGCTGGGAGGCTGGCATGACGCCTAGTACATGCAGGTGGAGGTTTCCCCGGGAATTAATAGATCGGGGAACACCCCCTGAGGCTGTTGCAGAGTTTTCTCTCCTCTCCTCTCACCGGCCCCCTCTTTCCCATGTTTGCTGCAGTTACACGTGTGCAACATGCAACGACCCTTTTTTCTACTTTTTTTTTTTTTGCCGGTCTCCCTTTCCCCTGTCATGTGTGTCCCGCCTTTGAAGATTCGTGTTTTACGTTCCGAGACAAAGTTAGACAAAGGGTAAGGGTTCAAGAGGGAACCAAAAAAAAAATTGAAGACGTTTACGTTGCCGTCTGGCCTGAATGGCTACGGGGCGTTGTCAATACAGATCCTGTAAATGTAATGTACTGTAAAATATAGCACAAAGTAAAACTCTTATTGGAATGAAGTGCCGCGGGCGCGGCGCCATGCGCAAGGTTTTACGTTTAGGTTAGCTTCACATAGCTGCGGGCGCCACGGGGTGGTGTGAGAGGCTCCTTTATGGGGAAAAGCCATGGGTTAACGGTGTTACAGTATGTGTAAATAACTTCGGCTAACTCCGCTACACTGCAGTAACCTAGACTTGCGAAACAAGCGCGTGAGGTGTTGTGTGCCGTGACGGATCAGAGGAGGGGGCCTTTGCGCCGTTTTCTTCCACATGCGTGCATATTTGTTATTATTGGTTATATCTTCTTCCACTGCCTTCACCGGTCCAATATTTGATGCCTTCTCTGATCTTGGTCGTTTGTTCTTCTTTTCTTCACTCTTTTTGGACTGTAGTCTCTGGCCACGGAAAAAGGGGAAGGGGGGAGGGATTCGTGCCGCCAGGGAGGTGTGGGAGATGACTCGCTAGCTTTTTTCACTATCATCCAGTGCTGGAAGTGGATGTTTTGATCTGAATGAGATTCGTTGATGATATTGCCGATATGAGCTGGCGAATTCGAGGAGAGACGCAGTCGGACATTAAACTGGCGCTCGTGTAGAAACAATTTGGAGAAAAAAGAGTACGTGTTACTTATACGCTATGTAATAAAGTATGGTACACTGCGAGGCCGTGCCCTGTCAGGATATGATGGATTAAGGAGCTGTGGTGGTGGAGGGTAATTAAGGTGGTAAATCGCAGGTTGAGTGATATATACCATATATACATGTTAAGTTGGATGGAATGTGAAGCCCGAGATGGCGAACCCAGGATTGGATATTAGTGTGGATGAAGGGGTGGCGATGAAGGTGGAGATGGAAGTACGGATATGGATGGATGGATGGCTGGATGGGGACGGTGCGGGCGGAAGAAGAGAATATATGTATCATCGTTGTGAGCAGCAGAGATAGATCATGGACCGAGTTGATTACAACGAACCAACTGGGACAGGATGTGATCGCTTTTGAGGAGGGAGAGGCAATTTAGTGCGTGTTTATTTGACCCTTTTTTTCTTTTTCGTTCCGTTGGGATGATTGCCCGGATTGGGTGATAATTCCCATTGGGAATCGATTACCCTTCGTTCGATTCCCTGGCTTTCATTGCCATAGCCAATACAACTGCGGGTTTCCCAGAAAGAAAGGAAAGGGAAAGGGAAATAATATTGAATATTAATGGCAAAGGAAATATTTACTAGTTTGCAATGTTACATTGATAGCTATATATGCGATGCCGCGTTACCCTTATACAGCAGATATCATCCCCCTCTCCCATATGAATTACCCTATTCCGTATATTCCGTGTTTTCTCGAATTTTTCGACAGGGAGAACTCAAATGAGCTATGTGAAATCCATTCCTTTGATTTGATTATGTCGCTGTGCTCTCTTGTGTCCTCTCTTCTACATATTCCCATTCATTTCATTTCTTTTTCTCGTGTCCCGTCGTCTCCCTCCAACCGTCATTGCATTTACCAATCTCATCAGGCCAATGCGGCTAAAGATCCTTACCCTGACCGAGTCCCATCTCCTTCCCGTACCCAAACTCGTCATCTATAAAGATACTCTCCATTATTATCCTCGTCCGCACCCCACGTAGCAATGACTCTCGCATGTCCACCACCGTTCATGTCTATCCATCCCCTCACCTCTTTCCCCAGTTTCACCGCTCAGGTCAGTGCTCTTTTCCGTCTCTTTTACTCCTTCGTCCTTCTCCCTTGACATCGACCATGCTCACAAACCCTTCTTTTCCCAACAATTTAGTGACTAGTCAACGTTCTCAATATCGCCAAGACGATTACTGGCTTGCACCTGGACCATCGCATTCCCCGCGCGGACCGTCCAAGATGCAACCTCAGCTCCCATACCAGCATCAACTGCAGCAGCAGCAGCAACAGCAACAGCAACAGCAACAGCAGCAACACCAAGCTCCACAACAGTCGCGCCCGCCTGCTCATGAACTCTCCTCTGCGCTCGAGTCAGTTCACCTTTCAATCAAGAAACCTAGCGTGGTGTCCAAATCATCAGCCGGAATGGCTTTGTCTTCATCTGGTCGTCGGCAGCAGCGCTCACCGCGGTCTCGCTCATCTCATCCATACATGGACGGAAGAGCGACCCGACCGGTGGTGCAGCACCCGCACGCTCCGATCGAGACAACTTTCGTCGCCCAGAACACAGGCGATATGATGTGCTACCTGTGGTTCTCCTCAAGTTTCAAACCTAAAGCTGGGACGCCGACTATCGTCGTCGAGAGCAATGTTCCACCGGATGTCAAAGCCGAACTAGCACGACTGCAGTTTAACCCATCTGCCGAGTTCATTAGCTTCCTGGGTACTCTCCTTTCCACCACTCAAGTTAGCCAGAGCGTCATCATTCTCTCGCTTTATTACATCTACCGCCTGAAATTGAGCAATCCTCACATACGAGGTATGGAGGGGAGCGAGTTTCGGTTGGCAGTCATCGCGTTGATGCTAGCCAACAAATTTCTCGACGAGTCAGTTTACTTTCTCCACTCCTTGTCGTCCCACTTGTTCACCGATATATTTCACATAGTAATACATACACCAATAAAACCTGGTCGGAAGTGTCTGGGATCAGTCTTGGTGAAATCAACCTAATGGAGCGTGAATTCCTTGCTGGTGTCGAACACAGCTTATACATCGACTATGGTACCTACCAACATTGGGGGACTCTCCTGAATGGCCTTCTCATGGCCAAAGAACGGGAAACGCAGTCCTGGAGACGGCGTTATACCGATCGATATGTTGTCGGATACCCATCTCATTCTCCAGTACCGTCTCAGCCTCCCTCCAAAGCGGCCCTACATCCCCCTTCATATCCATCACGACATAGTCAACGCGCACGATCCACTTCGCCCCTCCTCACGAATCGGCATTCATCCACGACATACCCCTTCACTTTTGCAATATCCGGATCCCAGGCGAATCCTTTCACTTTGCAAGTAAAGACAGAGCAAGGTGGACATTTCCCATTCCCTCACTCAACGTTTACCTCACCTACGAAACCCGTGATAACATCCTCAAAGAGAAGCGCGCTTGACGCGTTCTCTCCTCCACCCCTCGTTCCGCTCAAGTTGCCCAAGCGTGAATCCCCCAGCACCGATGGCAGTCCGATGGATGATTCGCCTATGGATCTTACACCTATCGACGGAATGAGCATTGGAATGGCGAGCGCCCCTACTTCACCGGTTGAGATTGTGAAACCTCAAGAGCCAATGAAGCCGAGAACCCTTCAGGCGCCGTATGAGCATGACCATGTCAAGCACACGAGCGCTATGCCCCAGGTAAGCCTTCGTTTGAAAACGTCATTCATTCCACGGTGACTTGGTTTTTGTTCCGCGTTTTACTGACTTTAAATTGTTACTCTCATTTTCACTACAGTACCTCGCATTTAATACTTTGGCTTCAACTCCAATGGATGAAGTATTAACAGGTTCAGAGGCTCGTGTTGGTGTTGGTGCTCGAAAGACGGTATTACGCTATCATGATCCCCGTAAACTGCCACCACCCGAGGCCTATCCTCACCAAGTTTTCAATCTCGGACCATTAACTTCATCCTCATTGTCGTCGTCGTCGTCGGTTCCTGGCTATTTGGTCTATCCTCATAGACGGGACGACTTTGTTCCGATGCAAACTCAATCAGCACGGACGAGTCCGAGGGATGGCGGTCATTGGGGTATGACTGGACCTGTTCAATCGCGTCCGTACCGCACATCTCTGAAAGTACCATTGGTACAAGAGAAACCTACAGTGTCCGCACCTTCCGTACCTGCACATCCACCTAGAAATGCCGTGGGTGAGAGACAACGTCAGATTGCACCTTTCGCGAATGCCGGTCCTCCAGCTGTACAACACTGGACGTCCATCCCTGCAGCGGTGTCATCCTATATGTCTGTGGCCTCCGATTTTCATCCTTCGCCAGCGACGGCTGAGACGGGAGGGATTGGAATGAGACTCCAGGTACCAGGCGTTTTGGCCCGTGTGGGTCTGAATGGCAGATCTAGTGCTTCGGCCGATTTCGGATCACCTGTGCTTAGGGGAAGGCGAATGTGAGATATGCGTGTGTGTGGCCGTTCCTTTACCCATAGTCAGCGCTGGACGCTGATTGGTTGGTCCTTTTCTCAAATCTCGGCGTCATCTCTTGTCCTTCTTGCGCGTGATTCACAACTTTCTGGAACATCACGATTTCAGCCGTTCCATAGAAAGCTTGGTCAATCTGTTGGGCATCTCGGGTGTGGGTGTGGGTGAGCCTTGATAGCGGCTCAACCCTGAGTGAACAGCTGGTCCTGTGCGCGTGCCCCCTGGTTGCAAACAGGATCTTATTCATCAAATCGCCATTTCAATCTCACTCTTTTCCCATTTTCAACCCCTTCCCAAACCTCCCATCTCTCTCTCATCCTCACTTCTTTTTACCCATACCCCTCACGCGCTCAACCGTCATCAATATCAATCATCATCGTACGACAACCCGTACATCGAGACTTGACGTTTCGACAAGTTGATCGCTCTTTCTTGTTCCGATAGCGACGCCGCTAACTTCCAGTCGGCCTCAGCCTCCCATTTGCCAGCCGTGGAGGCTGAGCCGGACCGTGTTCGGATCTGATGTGTGTTGGGAACCATCAGGAGACAGGACACACTGCCTTCGATCATTAGATGAAAGGACCTTTTTTTTTTCTCGTTTGTTCAAAAGTTCGATGGACTGGCTTACAAGGCTATAAGTTATCACTGAGCTGTGGCTATTATAGCTGAAACATTATTTTGCTCGCCCGCGGGGTCTGTCCGATCGTCGTTCCTTCCCCCCCCCCTTTTTTGCTCCTCTTCTCCCACCTTTTTCTTCCACATGCATATGCTCCGATTCCCCTTTGCCCTCCTAGGAGTCTCTCCGTGAATGAAAGATCAAGACTTCTTTCGGTGCAATTCCAAACTAGTGACTCCTTTTCTCTGTTCATTCGGCGTAACCGCTGTCATCACCTTCATCATCATCAATGTTCTTTATCAGCTGTCATTTATCATTCAGCCTCCACAGTACTTGTCTCCCCCCCCCCTCATGGCCATTGCCCGCGCGTCTCTTCTCTTCACTTCTATTCAAACTTTTTTTATACGTTCATCTCACTGCTCGTCTCCTTTCCTTCCTATTGCTCTTTCGTTTTTCTTTCTTCACACTTTTTGCAATGGACTCCACGTCTCCACGCACAGCAATCTACCCCCACCAACGCCACAACAACAACAGCAACAGCAGCAACAGCAGCAGCAGCACCCATGACGAGATCAATAGCCAATCCGTCCCGTACCATATTCCTTATAGTATAGTTACATATACGTTAACAAAAAAGCTTGGAGGATCCCCTTTTCCGACCCTGTCCCTCTTACAAGTATCGTAGTAGTACATAGTACTTCATTGAAATTGCTTTTCTTTCACATTCCTTCTTCCTTTCTCTTTTGTTACGCATTCACAGCTGTACAATATTGCAATTTTTTTTAGCCTAAATGGGAACGCTTCAGTGCCATGGTGCTCTGCTCTTGGGTACGTGCGCAAATGCACGGGTCATCACAGAATCGTGTTGCCTTTTTTTCTTCCTGGTTCCTTGTGCAGGAAGATATTACTTAGCACTGTGTACTTGTGTACTGTAGAATTACAGGGACACGGATCTATCTAGGATTTATGTTTGGAAATGGAAGGCCTTTTCCGAATACGCCGATATGCAACAGGGATCGATTTGGATAGACGCCCTAGAACTTTGTCGAAGGTTATGAACGGCAGGGTCCGGAATATTCATGCCCGTGTTTTTGATTCTTAGACATGAAGATATGAACCGATTTATGCATGGATGGGATGGGATGGGATGGGGACGGGGAGATGGGATAGTGATCGCTTGTCCCAATCCTACGGGCTTGGGCGATCATTGATAGATCAGCTAGTCAAACTGTGTGTAGATTGGGTGGGTATACGTTCGCTGAGCGATGGCATTGGCGGGCGCTGCGCTTGCGCTTGCGCCTAGGTTTTTTTTTTTCTCAGCGGTGTGAAAGAACAAGGTTGATTTGATTTTGGCGCGCTTTGTGGGTCCCAGACACAATATGGCTCATAAGGATTGGAAGTTCCGTTACAGTTGTAACTTTGGATGGTGCTAATCGTGGTATTATATATCATTGCAGAACCCAGTTTCTACATAAATTATTATTATTATTATTATTCCTCTTTGAATTGAATTGTAATTAGTTATTTAAGCTATCCTAAACGAGCAAATGAATTAGATCTGGACTCGTAAACGGGAGTTAGTTGTATTGTGTCGCAACGGGCTTGGGATGGTAATTTTTTTTTGTCAGGTTCGGAGATCCTTTCTGGGGGATATGATATTACTCTGTACATAGGTTGTATTGTATCTCATAACTCTGTGTCTCTCTCGGTCTGACTGGGGCGGAAATTTGGGGGATATGATTTGGAAATCATATGCGTTATATAGCAAATAAACCTTTTGCTGCCGGCGTCCCTTACAGTAAAGTTGAAATTGTCGTTCGGTTCGGGTCGGTTTCGTTCGTTGTTTTACTTCTTACGGCTGTCGCTTCTTTGGGAAGGGCTCGTTCGTTTCGGATGGTCTAATTTATTTTTGCCTTTCTTTTTCCACCACCAGGTGAAAATGGTCACGCGCGGTTGCCTGTTGCAATTGACTACGTATCGTACGCTCACGGTCATGTATTTGTACATGTCGCTTGAGGCGAAGGCAAGTTTTTGGTCTGACCGCTCGGTGTTTCCCAGGCGGAGTTGCACTTGGACAAATAACTCCTACGTCCGTATCTGTACACTCATGCTTAGGCGATACGCTTCCACATGTCCTGCTTGTTCCACGCTGAACCATCACACCAGTTGGACAGCTCTTGATGCATAGGCCCCGCCGGCCCGATCCCATGAAACCCTTCAATTCTGATCAAGATGCGTGAAGAGGCGAAAATATATCAATGCACATGGTACAATCCGTGTACGCGGGTTTAGTCAGCGAGAACCTTGAGGGATGGGGGAGTACGAACTTGCGTGGAATACATGGAAGCGCAAATGCGATGCGATGCAAATTCAATCTACAACTATGTACAGCGCCCAATGAAAGTTCCTTGATGGGTGGACTAACATTGTATGATGCATATCGCGGTTAGTGGCTGCAGCGGCAATGGATATGCAACCGCTGAACTAGCCCTAGGAAGTCTGCCATGCTTGTGTAGGGGGATCACGTCGAATCGGATGGCCACTTCCTTTGAGCGCAGCGCTGCTGCACCTGCGCAGGATCCGGGCTTATGGGTGAGTTAGGACTGTATTGGTCTACTAATTTCACGAAGGCCCGGTTCGTTGGGTTCAAATGACTTTGCCTGCTGCAAGGAACCGAGAACTTTCTTCATCTATTTCGGCGTTTTACCATGGAGATCTAAAAAGAAGAGGGGGAAGAGAATCGTAATATATATATACATATATCAGAGATGTGAAAAAAAAAAAAACCTCTCATGTGTTCATGATATTATCATCTCCAGCATGGTAAGACTTCACACCACCTTACATACCTGCCTTACGCAGGTCAAAGTTTTCGTGGAATCATTGAATTTGTGGTCAGCGCTGTCTCACACTCGTAGCAAATTGCGGCTTTTACCTCATCTATACATTCATCATTGACGATTTTGCTTTCGTATTTATGTATGCTGTACTGACACAAGAGGATGTTCCATCCACGTTCGATCACGCAATATCATCGGATGTCACTTCCGTGCAATTCTTTCCGCTTGGGAATGGGGCACACACTGGACAGGAGGAATACTCCCCAAGACAACCTTGATACTTGGGGAAAATGCTGCGAAACTGGTTGTCAACTGTATGTTAAACCACTATTGCTTTCTCGAGTCAGAGCCAAGGCAACCAGGACGAACGTTTCGTTGATGGACCTTTATTTCATGTTCGAAATATGGGTGAGAGGATGTTGCGTGCACGGCGGGCACTCATTAGGGGTTCCCAGCTATTGCGGGTACATATGGGCGAGTAGTTGCCTCAATATTGGTGGTATAGGGGTTGCGATAAGCTGTCTAACAAGTTCAATAACCCCTTTAGACGAGTGATGACTGACCAGGGCCATATAGCGACAGGCTGATGCCGTCCCTGGTCAGCGATCAATGCGTCCCAATTGCGAGCTAGTACATTGTTCCGTTTCGGGAACCCACTAACAAGCGAGAGTCCAATATGGAGTGACCTCGAAATTGCGCAACCACACTGCTGACAGGCTGGCGAAGCTCGACGTGAACGGATGAGAGTGGAGCATGTGAATGAATGATGGATTGGATTTCTGAGCTCGCTTAGAACGTACCCTATCGTAACCGTCTTCCACTGCGCGGGCGGATGATAGATAGTTTGCAAATCTTGTCGTCATCCGCACTGACTTTGGGCGAGAAACAAAGGCATGAAACACAACAAGCTGTCCTTGAAGCGGTTGTTGAAGGAGTCTTTGGCGCGCTGAAGTTCCGGGATCGGTTGATGTGGGACGTCATGCCCCCTCGTGGGCTCCAAGGGAAAAGCCCGGATGAAACGGATCTGTTGCTGCAGGAATGCCTTGCCCACGAATACAACGAAAGAAGGAAGGAAAAAAGCAGACGCATGCCCCCCGCGTCTCACACAATGCATCTCTAGCGATACCTTAAGGGTGTTAATATTCGGAAAAGGGTGGCGTGGAAAGTAAACCTGTTATAGATCCCCAGGTACCGTGTACTTTCCGTGGTATTCAATAATGGTGATTAACCATGCAAGATTCTTGAATGAGTAGCGAGGGATTGGCTGCGAGGTTGTCATGGGGTGAGCATGAAAGAGGGAACAGAAGATAAGGAAATGCGCGGGGCCCACGATAAATGTGTTATGATGAGAGGGATATACCACGCGCTCGTGGCATGTGGCCCAGTACAGTTGAGTGCATGGCGTGGGTTGAACTCAAGAACACCAAATTATGTGCATTTGACGATCAGCCGCTGTGAATGCAAAACTTCTCTGAGCAAAGTTGGGTTTGAATTCGTGGTGCATGAACAGCTTGGACAGCCTCGCGGTAACAGGAGCATGCGCATGCGGCTCGGAAGGGACGTGAAAAATTCTTCCGCCGCGCCCGAGCAGCGGTCAGAAGGTATGGAATCCCAGGAAAGCCAAAGAGGACACAAGAGTAGTCCTCAAGATAGTTCGACCCTCAGTTGATGGCCATGGATCTCCATGGTTAAACTCTTTCGAATCACAAGCAAAAGGATCTGATAGGGATAACGTCAAAAACAGGACGGAAGGACTGTGTGTGAGTGTGTGGGGTTGTCTGGTGAACGTGGTTAGAACGGTGGACCAGCTAGAGCGTTAGTAGCTCCAAGAATGGGAATGATTTCTAAGAGCTTTCAGATATTTCCGCGACGATTCTGGCTGTGAGCGGCTTGAAGTCGCTGGCTCATCCGAAATAGCCCCGTAAGATCGACCCTTCGGCGTAAATTGTTGCAAGTCATGATGGCCGCACGTAACGGTTTCAACGAACAAAGAGCCCCTAGTCCACATAAAGGTCGTCGAAAAAGAATCAGCCGGCAAGCACCACGTTTATGCACCTGAGAAACGAAGCCATTATGCAGCTACAGGATAGAGATTCGAGTGCCACGCAACTCCATGCCGCTTTCCATGTTGGGGACATGCGGCCATTGTGCGAGGGAAAATACATCATAGAAATATCATAAGTTCCCTATGCCGTTAGGGTGGTGAGTGAAAGGAAGCGTTAACTGGGCTGATTGTGGGAGTCATTGTCCCCAAGTCATCTGGACATACATATCACCCTATATCCGGTATAGCATGAGTTGCACTGAAAAGCTGATTGTGCATGCTCGATACGGGCAACCGAATTTTCTGCGAACATGTTCAGCCTGTGATGACGACCAGCTGTTTTTCTTTTCTTTTGCGCTGAGAACGCGTGCAGCCGCCTAACTCCATTTGGCGAACTATAATCATCCGCCCCTTCTGACGTCGGCCCGGGTAGGATCATCGTCCTGCAGGGCATCGTCTCCTTGCCTGCTTTTGAGAGCTTGCCTGTTTTGGGTGTAGGAACCGAGCCGTTGTTGGACCGGGATCCGTGGGAAATTACTGCAAATTGATCCCTGAACACACGTGACCCTATTCCGAAATAGGGATCCATGCCCATAACAATGACCCCAAAGCGAAAACGGCCGGAAAGCGCGTCTGCTCAGGACATATTCGACAAGATCTCTGGAAAGTGCTTGCGGGAGTTCTAAGGAAACGTTTGTTCTCACATGAACGCGTTTAGCTAGCCTAATTCAGATCAAAGACAACTTGGGACACCCCAACCTGGATCCTTCATCCACCATCGAGATGCTCGACCAGGTGGCAGCTCTAGCCGAATCCTTTTCTCAATCTTCTAAGACAAAGAAAAGCCTTCAGCCCTTGATGGACACCCTGGACCGTGAAGGTGCCTCTTTGTACACTAATTTGGACTCACATTAAATTTGAGATTTGCCAAAGGCGTGAACCTCTGGAATCTCTCGACGTTTCTGAAAGATGGAAGCGAGGTTTCTCCAGTATATGCCTCATGTACGTGTCTTTTATGAATAGGGTACACACCTTTGGTCATGCGTCCACCCCAGTAAGGTTCGCCGCATTCTCTCTCATCGAAGCCGGTACGGAGGCAAGACCCTCCACCGAAAGTGAGTCTCTGGGCCCTGAATGTGTCTCGACAGGGTCGCGTAATTTCTAATTTTTTAGCGCTCGTCCACATCCTACAAATTGCGAGCAAGGCAGGTTCTGCATTGGCAGGTTCGTTCATTTGGCACTGGTCTATGGCTCTTGCATCGGGGGATTTAGATCTGTTACTTGTAGCATGCGGGCGCGTGGATACTTCTACCCAAGTGTTATCTCGGGCTGCGATCGTAAGGATGAAACTCCGTCCCCCCGTTAGACTGACCGAAACTCACACCATCATCTCGTAGTATGAAAAGTTGCTTCAAGAGAGCATGTCTTCAAGCGATATCGCTCCAAGGGATCAGGCTGCCGCAATAGCCGCTTATTATATTGGTAAACCAATCATTAACAGGTAACAGCTTGCACTGATTCGAGATCCAGGTCGAATGGAAGCAGTAAGCCGCTTTTGCGGTCATTTCACTCCGGACATGACCGATTGTCGTTCTTCAGGCCTGGAAGGATGGAAATCAAAACGTTTCCTACTTTATGCTTCAGCAGGCTATAGGTTTTGCCGCCACCCAAGCTTCTTGAATTTCCATTGACAAAGCTTTACTTTCAAGATCAGCAACGGCTGGCGTTTTTAACTGTGACTGAAGTAGGAACTGCCCTATCTTCGTCGCCGATCATACATTTGAATTATCCCTCATTAGCTTGAGGATGTCGCTGTTCGAATTTGGAACATCGGGAGATCGATCTTGAAGGCAGCGACTGATCATGACGCGGGTGATTGGGAGCATTCGGAAGAAGTCAGGAAGCAGGCGCAACTTGCTGTGAAGTGGCTCAAGATCGCATTTCAAGTGGTCGAAACCAGGGCGAAACCAGAATCTACATCGAGCGCCCAGGATGATGAGCAACGTTTGGGGTCCCTCTCAGACGGTGAAGCCACAGTAGGCGCCCTTTCCATGGGATCATATAGTAAAAGTGTTTATTCCCTCGCGCAGCGTGCTATTCTAAGGAGTCTTTGTATGTTTTCACCCTTACATCGGTTATCATTGGACTGATCCACACCTTCAGCCCGCGCATATTTCATTTCATCCGCGGACAGCAATGACAACTTGTCTCGTGCGGAAGCTTCACTTTCCGAAGCTATCGAGCGGCTCAACTTTCCTGGTGAGGATCGAACCGAATCGGTAAATTCTTTGAGTTCAATTTGGTCGACACGCTGTTCACTATTTGGTTGAAGGGACCTCCGCCCAAGGAGGTGGTGAAGGAGCTCCGGCAACTTCAATGGATGAAAACTGCTATCCTGAAACGCCGAAATGCGAGCGACACAGAATTCCGGGAAGGTGCCGGTTTTAGGGGCTTCACTTGGACCCGGTTGCTTACCTCAGTTCAGTGTTGCAAGGGCTCCTGCACTCCATCGAGTTCAGTGAGGAGTGCATAAACGAGTGAGCTTCCCAATTCATGCTCTCCATCCCGGCTCAAATAGTTGTCACAGCTTCCTTCAAGAGATATCAGCGCTTGCAGAAGCTCGGTGCGTGATTTTCTGGAGACAACTCTATTTCTTTATCATGACGTCGTTTCAGCCCCTCTCTTGTTGCAGATGCAGCGCGGAAGCTCATCAATCATGCCTTGCGTGACGTCAATGGACATTCTTTCATTGATAAAATCCTCCTTTTTTTGATATTTCATCTCAAGGCCGATGCGAATCAAGAGCGAGCCACGTTGGAGATTCGGTCGGCCTGTGATGACATAGCTGGCCGGCCTGACTTCCAGTTCGGAAAAGTGCCTGCACGAGCGTGTCAAAGTGTGCGTATATGATATTCAAATGTTGTGGAATTTGTTTGGAGCCACCTTGGTAGGTACTTTGGGCTATGGGCGATAAACTATACAACTCGAACAAATGGTCACGAGCAGTACGCTGGTACAGTCTAAGCTCTCACGAAATATTTGCTCGTGCCGTGGCTCCTGTGACCGTCTCCAAATGCCTTAGGAAGACTGCGCTATGCCACATTCAGCTGGGAGAGTATTCCCAGGCGGCGGACTGCCTTCGAAGATGTCAAGCTGATGGTACCACAAATGAGGCTGCCACACATTACGTCTCCTTTTTGGCGGCGATACATCAGGGTGCGTGCTCATCATATCTGCTAATGCCCATATTGATATCAACTCCAACCATTAAGGCCTAGAAGATGAAGGTGGGTTCTTCGTCATTTCTGTCGTTACCGTTCAATGCTCACTCGAATGAGAGTCTTTAGCTGCCGAAGCAATCACGAGGCTCGTTAATGCCCCTGATTTCAATCGCTCCATGCTGCTCCTTGCGACCCAGCTTGCCCATGAAAAGCAACTACGTAGACTCCTGTTATCCTTGTTGCATTCTTTGTTGGAAACATTAGATAGCGCACCTGTTGCAAACGGAGGATCCGAGGGAATTGTGTTGTCACGGTGAGTGGGACGTGCTCATTGATTCTGATGACGGCTCATTCATCCAATAGGTGCATCATCCGACTCACTATTGATTTGCTAAAGGAGCCGGCAGCGGAGATGCAAGTAGTCAGATGCCTTAATCTAGTGCATATACTAAATTTAGTTCACAAGTCCTGTTTTGGTAGACACTTTGATGAAGCAGTTACGCAAAGGTATACAGCTCTGTAGTTTCCTTCACATGTCCTGCTGACCCGCGTTCAGCGAAAACTTTAGTCCTGGCTGCAATTTCTAAAAAGGATGAGGCGATGATTGTCAAGGATCTATCGTGGTTATGGCGCACTGCATACAATTGTGCCATCGACGTGTCAACAGAATGGAGCAGCGAGATTGTTGCCCAGTTATTCGACATATCGAGGGAGGTAAGAACCGTGGCAAAACTAGTGCCTCTCTAATCCTAATACCTCTCCAGTTTCTAGAATTGTTCCGTAACGTGTCCATGGATGCCAATGATCCCGTGGTACACGCTCATATTGTTTTCGCTTCATTCTCTTCCATCTCGGCAAGAGGTCAGCACTGGTACGACGTTTCTACAATGAGGTTGTCATGATAGTTGGATGTCACAGTGTTTGCTGCTCGACAAATGAATCCTCCCCCAAAAGAGGTTAGTGATCCTGTTTGATATTCCTTTCGTTCCTCAGTGGCACCCTCAGCGTTTGACCATTACTAAGGACGTCAAAACTCTGCTAAGCTTGGTTCAGCAACACAAAGCTCTCATCAGTGGTGAAGTCGGGGAGGAACGCCTTCGTCATATCGTTCATTTTGTGTATCTTTTTCAGTTGGAACAATTGGTGAAACTTGCAGATTGGGAAGGTGTCCTCCTTGTCATCAAAGTAGGGTGCCGTGTGCTTGGTACTTCACTGTGTACTTCTCCTTTTGTTAGGACGCTTCCGCCTCCAGCCTTTCACTGAATTTGGATACATATGAAGCCATTGCAGATATCCTGGTGCGTGTCTGTCCAAGCTACCATGAGAGCCAATCAAGTACATTTCTTCAACAACGTCAGTGGGTGGAAAAAGAGTGCCCCAGCGATGGTGAGAATGTCGTCGAGTCTATTTCCTGATGAAGGACTAATAGTAATTGCCCAGTTCTTTACCTCGCACTTGAGGTCAGTCGCGCAACGCACATTCTCACGTGTCGCTGAGGTTTGCGCAATACAGGTCATCCTGCACGCCTGCCTTGATTCCAATGCTTTCATAACCGAGAAATTTTCGCGTTGGTTGAGAGCCATTTGCACTATCCTCCTCGCCAGAAATGGAGCTGCAGACCGACAGAAAGCTTTAGGTTTCATCGAACAGGCAGTGGAAGTTATCCGAGATGCTGTTGAGAGTTCCGAAAATGGCGAAGTACTCATAATTCCTGGTTTGTCGATTGCATTTCACAGGCTATTCCAGGAGTATCCAATGGATGAAAGGCAATGGGCATTTACTATATCGTACAATGCTGGAGTCGAATGCCTTGGGTAAGGATGACAAATCTGTTCGGTCGTTGACATCAACCTGTTTCTTCCACGTTAGCGCAAACATGCTTGATGAAGGGAAGCGTTGGTTTGAGTGCGCATCCATGCTCAGTACTTTCATAAATAGCCCTGGAATGGCAGAAAAGGTGGACTTTGTTGTCTGCGTCTTCTGTATAGTCTGACTCTTTGAGGTCTAGGTCAGCGCTACTTACGAGAATCTACTAAACCGCTATCCCCCAGCCTAATTTCACATCGACGTCTCACGTTACTTCAAACCGTTGGGATAATCATCTCCCTTAGCTAATCACAATAATATGTAACATTGCACACATACCCCTAAATAACTGATGGACGCCGCCTGCAGCGGCATTACCCACTACTCTTATCGGTTCTCTTATCTGACGGCCATGGAGGAAGGCAAGGTTAAATTCAACATTGTGATTTACAGTGCTGTCCCAAATCCCCCTGCCAAATCCCCCAGTCTTTCTTCTCTTTCAGCAGTGGGCCACCCACATGTGAACGTCCGTAGAAGTGGGAATGAACCATTGTCTAAGGATCGGTTATCTAAACTTATGTCACTGCGTGCTGTGGTACATTGGTATCTGCTCTACCGGCATACGCTGTGGTGATCAAATTCATGCATTTGCAACAAGACAACTCCCAAAGCCCTAGCTTGATTCGAAACAACAAGAGGGATGCGGGTTGCAATGCATCAAAATTGAGTGTTAAGTTGCGCAGCGGGCCGTCCATAGTGACTGCGCGAGTGAGTCCGTTCAGGGCCGGGCCCTGATTGGTTTAACGCGAGGTGGGTTTGAATGTGCAACAAGATGCTTTTTTCATGAGGATTGTTTAAAGGTTCAAACTGCAGTGCGTTCTGGCCAAGATGTGGCCTGAGTTCGAAGAACCTCAATCCTGGGGAGCGCGACATTATCATGCTTTATTGGTAAGCATCACCCGGCTTCCAGGAACTATGCCCCTCCCAGATTGGGACCTACACCGACATACTAGGCTTTGCTTTTGGACTTAGGTAGACAGTCACCATCCGGGTGAGTAACATCAGCGCAGGATTTACAGACGGATTAATGCATGGATTTTTTGGGGACTAGCACAAGTTTGCGCGAAAGAACAGGAGGCTCGCACATAAGTTCATCTGTCTTACAGCTCAAAACCTTGTGGGCACTGAGTCATTTTCCGCGACCGCAAATGACCGTGTAATGGGTGATGACAACATTGGCGACAGACATTAGGGAAACGTTGGATAAGGCTGTAAAAGCGAAAATGGGTAGTGAAGAATGGAGCATGGCATGAAGGGCGAGCTTTTAAAACGACAACAGGATACGGAACTTGGCTTACAAATCAAGATAACTGGTGGACGCCGCCTGGCGCGGCAAGTACCCGCTACTCATTCCGCGTTGATTTGATCATTCAGCAATCTCGCGAAGCTATGTGTATATACTTTTGAAGTACATTTGACTCAAAAGAAAACTATCTATTGGATTCGAAGGTTGATCAGAGACAAGCGCCCACATCCTTGGCTCGGACACACACCGTGGACACAGGCGTCCCGATCTGAAAGTGTGCGAAGTGGAACGTAATGCGCATCACTGGGGTTGCGCGCTATCCGTCATTGGTGGAGGTCATCGAACACTCATTGCGACGGGGGCTCACTTGGAGGCACACATGAACATGGGGAACCCCACTCCCCTCATGCTCAATGAATCCCAACCATGCTTTGTTCGTCTCAAAATTCTGTTTGAAGCTGTCACCCTCTATAGCTGCGGTGTGTCAGACGTCATTACGCACCGATCCCCATACTAAGACATGGGCTGAACCACGTTGTTGGTGTAATATCACGCAGTCGGGTAGAACTGGAGTACATCCACAAATCTGCATGTACGGTTGAAAGAGTGGATCAGAAGAGATGTACACAGACTCACTCAAGTTAGAGGAAGCCATAGTCTGTACAGACACGGTTGATTCGCAAAGGCAGCGTGAGGTAGATGATCCATGGACGGTTGAGAGAGCGGATCAGAAGGGATAGACAGAGACTCACCGAAATCAGAGGAAGCCATAGTAAGAAGTCGGACGTGGTGATGCAGTGTGAGGTGGATGGTCTTTGTGGCCTGAGTTGCATTGTAGCGGAGTGAGCCGAAATTCTATTGTGGTATGGTCAGAATGGGAAAAAAGGACCCTAGGTTACAGAGGACCCTGTGCACAGAGTGGGGCCTAAATTTGCAGGGCCCGCTACGGAGTAGCGGGAATAAGGACCCAGGATAGCAAGGGAATTTGCAATAATAGAGGACCTCTTGCACGAGCATTCAGTTTACGCATTCAAGACCCGCTACAGAGTAGCGGGAATATTTGCTTGACTGTTGGGACTCGGCTCTCCCTGCCGGAACCTCTTCTCTCCAGCAACATAGGCACTGAGAACTTCTAACCCCCCCAAAAAAAACAATAACTCAGGCGTTCGGCGTTCGATCGGCGCTTTAGCCTCGTGCGTCTGCGAATGGTGTACCAGAACGAGGATCACCCAGCACCTGAACCAGTGTCCGGGAAAACAGAGATTCCTCCTGTTGATTACACCCTCTGCTCCTGGCATATCCAGAATAACTGACCGGATGTCAAAGACGACTGATGCTTCTCCTGATTGAACGCAAGGAAAGCTGAATCGGCGTCCTGCAGTCCTGAAGTGCCCATGAGGGGACTTTCACAACGTGGAGTGGCCTTGCAGGCAACTTGGTAATGACAACCTCATTATTGCTTGGCCTTATAACAATTCTTAGCACAGTAATAACTTCCATTAAGCAGGAAACACCTCAAGAGAGGGCTCCAGACCCAGTAGACTTTTCGTATCCATCCGTTTATCATCGTCTGAACGTTGAATGCTCAGTCGTGACCTGGTATCCCCAGCAATGTACACGTCAGGTCTTCAGGCGATTCGCCACTGAAGATTTACATTGGAGCTTCTCGGTGCTGTGCAGCCTCGGATGTTGCTGCAATGTCGTTCAGGGTGGCATTATCAAATCCATGCTTCTCCCGCACATTCGTGTGCATTTGTGCAAGCAGTGTAGATGTTATGACTGCATGGACCATCCTTCCCTATGAGGTTGTCATCTGGTTTGGATTCAAATCATTCTCAAGGCGATGACCGGGGCAATTTCGGTCTGTGAAGATCGATGGTCCGCGGACTGCTGGATCATTAGAGCTTCACCCCCAGAGGGTCTCTGCAGGGTTGCACCGGGTGACCTGGGCCATGGGGACCGTTGTCAGTGGTGGCCAATCGACGCAGGGACGGATGAATCGGCGTTCAATCCAAGTGATGCAACGCGGTGGCGTTTGCAATCATTCGGGGCCGAATGCTCAGCCCTCACTCTCAGGATATCCCTCAGACCTAGCACGATGCATCGATCCCATATTATAACGTTGACCAGGCATGAGCTTGCGGGTTTCAGGTCAAATCGTCTTCACGCGTCCAATCTTCTCGCAGGAGCCCTGTCGGTTGGCATAAGGATCATGCTGAGTGACTCGGCAGGTTTGGAATTGTCTTTCCCCACCCTTTGCTCTGCAGTAGACTATGGAAAATTGTTGGACATAATGAGAAAGTTTGTCTGGAAAATGCGGATGGCCAGTGATTTGGTATAGACCGTGGTTTATTCGTGGAATTTCTGGGGATCATAACAAAAAAGCTTGTCCCTAAAGGTGCTATTACGAGTAGAACAATCTCGACTCATGCTCTCAACCATCTGAATGGTTCATCAATGTCACTCTATATTTGTGCTCCGTTCCACGTATTGTCGAGTATTCAATGTTCTGTGCAATCCTCGACTCGAAAAGTGGGGTTGTCACCTGCCTCTCCAAACGTCCTTACTTTCTGAGGCTTGGGGTTAGCGTGACTCAGAGGAATATACTGAACACCCAGCATAATTTTGCATTGGTGGCGCTTACAAATCTCTCCGTACGTTGACTACTCTTAGATAACCATAAGAATATGTAAACATGCTGTACATAATGTCCCTGATTTACTCGGCTGGCCGGGACATCACGGCGTCCGCCCAACCATCGGGTACGCCTTGGGCACCTTGAGATTGCTTCTCTCCCGCGACATAAGCCCCGAGAGCTTCTGACCAAACATAACGGTAAGCCAGAAGTTCGGTGAGCACTTTATAGCCTCGGGCGTCTGCAAAAGGAATGCCAGAACGGGGATCGATGTATCTGGCCGCTGAACCAGTGATCGGGCAAATGGCGGCACGTCGAGCTAAACACACCTTAGTTAACACGAAACGCGATCAAGTACCTACAACGACATACCACTAGGTCTGACCTTGGGCAGGACTTTCAGTTCACCCCAATCAACATGACTACCAAAGAGATAAGTCATGTCTTCCGATGGGGTTGCTCCTGGCGTATCAAGAATGACTAGGTTCCGGGTTTGCGTAATCGTCTGAGTATTGGTTGATTTTGGCTTGGGCTTAGGATCCGCAGAGGGGGCCGAAGTTGCAGATTCTGAGGCCTGTGAAGAATGAACAGGTGCAGCTGCGGAGAAATTCATGGGGGACGGAATCGTGGCAGGCCCTGGAGAAACAGATGGCACAGCAGGTGCATTGGTTTTCACAGCACTGGAGGATAGTGTTGTAACAATCGGCGCAGCAAAGCGAGGTGGAGGTGGAGGTGGAGGTGGAACATGGGGAACAGGTTTTGGCGGAGGGCCCATGATACGCCAACCTGGCGGAGGGGTGTAGGTTGCAGGGTGAGTCACTGGGATCTGTCGATAATTCGAATTAGAATACGCAGGATGGTTATGGGGATAGGGCGTCCGTCGAGCAGACGCCGTGGTACTAGTGGAGGACGATGGAGGGTTCTGGAGTTGAGTTTGAGGGGGGCGATGATATGCAGGGGGAGGAAGTTCAACCTCCACAACAAGCGGCATTTTTGCTTTCTCTGGGCGGCTGATCCATCTCAGCAAAGGTGGTTCCACAATGGTCTTGCGGAGCTCTGTATTCCGCGCTCTACGCTCTTCTTCTTCCGTCAAGAAGCTGTTGAGCGAGGCGATGTTCTCTTCCTCTGTTTCTAGTGCATCTCGGATGAGCTCGTCTTGCGTCTTTACGCGCTGCTGAGTACGCTCTCGCTTGGGCAGAGCGGCCTACAAGAAAAATATAAAGACTGCGAACGGACATAAGTAAATACAGACATACTCGTCGCTGTTGGGCATCTTTGAGTTTGTTTTGAAGCTCATGTTTGCTTCTTACTGTAGCTTCTCTACTGCTCTTGCGTATTGCAACATCGACGATTTCGCCAGTTTCTTCATTCACAACGACGTGTTGGACGGAGACTCGTCGTTTCTTGGGGAGAGGATCTTCCCCTTCTTCCCCGGGCTCAGCCTTGTCTGTTGTCTTCGGCTTGGATGTTTGAGGTAAGCGGGATGCCCGTTCAGCTTTCCTGCGCGCGGCCTGAAGATCCTCAGCAATGACCCAGATGAATCTAACAGAGACTTACCCTGCGGGCTTCCCGCACTTCTTCTTGTATTTGCTTCTCTCCAGATGCAGTGTCATCTCTTCCGGAATCTTCATCATCGGTACTCAAAAAATCGGAAGCAAAATCGTCCTCGATATTCTCTATATCTATAGTTAGACGCGGAATGGCTTCATAAAGAAGTGAAGACACTGGCCTCCTTTATCCTCAAACTCTTCGTCATTCTCGACTTCTTCGAAACCTTCCTCGGCCTCGAAAACCCCATCGAGCAGAGCTCTCATCCTGAAGGCGAATCCAATTCAAAACCATCTCCAGTAGGGATTGGAGGCCATAATCACCGATTCCCTGCACCTGTTCTCTTGCTCCTTCCTAGAGCAAGACTGTTTGGATCGCGCTTATTGGACAACATGGCAAAGATGGAAGAAGCGGGAGGTGGCTGTGTTGCGAACACACGTCGCGTGATTGCAGCGCATTCACTGACGATCACTGTCAGACGTTGACAAGGCAAAGATGAGGCTAGAATCAGCCCTCTCGCTTGCACTTTTCTTCGGAGTGGGCGCTCGACCCTTTGGCAGCCCTGAACCTTATCTTTCTCCTGTTAGCTTGCCATACATATCCGAACATATTATATACTGGTTCCATCGAGCTTGCCTCTTCATGCGCCCCTCTCACGTTAATTGCACTGATGGGGACGTCGCTCATCACTCAGACAGGCTCACTTCGAGTGGGTTGAGCTGGCAGGTAGGGTCTGGATTATTTGGGCCATTTGGGTGGGGAGAAAACGATGTCACTGTTGTCGTAAGTCGGCTGCAATGGTTTTCACCCGCGCATCCTGATAACCCCTCACCGCGTTCGATTAAATGAAGGACCGGAACCCCCCGGTGTCTTACGGTGAGCAAATGCTATCTGCATGAGACTCTCACATTTCAACCTCGCACCTGTGCAGCCAGCAGAACTGCCGCGTTTGGGCCACGAATAACTCAAACCCCAGGTCTTTTGGGATATGTGATACCCCTCTCATCTTTCATGCATCCCTGCAATCAAGACGTTACAATACCTTCTCGTCTTCCCAGGCTCACGATGGTTGAACCAGAACCTGTCAATTTTGGTTGTCCCGATCTTTGTCCATTTCGTACCGATCAACACCCGGATCAATCTGAGGCTTGGATCGCGCTCGTTCAGCGGGGAAATTGTTCCTTCACCGCCAAAGTACGCGAGGCCGCGAGGTTAGGTGCGCGAGCTGTCGTAGTGGGAGGTAGCCCTAACAATGCGGAAGGAGATGAATTAATTACGATGTACAGCCCCGGTAAGTGCTGTCCCGAGGGCCAGCTTTGTGGTTTGCGATGACATTCGAACGCGTGCAAAACCTGACATGCGCCAAGATCCCTCTGGTGACATCAGTATTCCCGCTACATACATTACCCATGCCTCATATACATCCCTCCTGTCAACAATTGAAGCATCCAACACTACCATTTCTGGTTTGAAGACAGTTTCTCTTTTACTATCATCAGATGAGATATGGCAATGGTATGTAGGTTGCGTTCCGGGTCTTGCGGTCCTCGGGTTACTCCTTATTCGACTTGACTTTACCTAGGCCACTGCTCACTCTCTCCATATTACTTCTCCTCCCATCAATCATGACGCTTACGACGCTCTTAATCCATCGAATACGGCAAGCGCGAGCAGAAAGATTGGAGCGGGCCCCAGAAGACATCGTGAACTCTCTTCCCTCGGGCATTTGGACAAGTGATGGCCTTGAGTTCGACGACGTGAGGAAGGGGGTAAAAGTCGTTACTCACAACTCTCGTGTGCCCCTTGGCGATGAGACGGTCCCTGCCGTCATAAGTGAGGAAGATATAATAGGGTTTCATAGGGGGACTCCTGTGCAGAAAGTCGAGGGAGCTCAAGATGACGAGGCACAGCTCAACAAAGCGCAACTTGATGCTATCACTGCACCTTCTCCCGCTGAAGGAAGGGCGGAAGCTTCAGCCACTGCTGCTACCAAGAGAATGCCCCTCGGTCAGCGGCTGACTCCTGTGGATGGCTTTGGACGGAGGTACCTGAAGAAGGCCTGGTTTAGCGCCCAATCTGAGTGTGCCATCTGTCTGTCTGATTTTGAGAGAGGGGACATGGTTCGGATCCTTCCCTGTGGACACATATTCCACCGTGACGAGGTGGATTCGTGGCTGACACAGCGGAAAAAGCTGGTAAACTGGTTTCATCGACTTTTTGGGTTAGCAGTCGTTAACAGACTTGTCTATTTCCCCCATTAGTGCCCTGTGTGCAAGGCAGATATCACGATTGCATCCAAACCTCCTTCGTTGCGATCACCAAGTCCTGCTCGCCTGGCCTCCGTGCCTCTGCCTATTGGCGATGCGGAAGATTCTGACCAGATGACATCATCTCTAGCTTCGTCTCCAGTTGCTTCGACGCCAAATCCTTCACCAAACGAACGTACACCTCTCCTCAACCAACAAAGCTAAATATGAACGCCGAGTTGCTATATTTCTGATTAGTGTATGTATGTTCTGATTGGTCTCCAGTCTTCTGGAGCTTTCTTACTGGGATACATTGTCCATTATGTATTAATAATTCCCCATTCCATTGTACCTATAAATGAGAGACTGGGTTCTCTGCAACTAAAGGATTCCCTGTCGCTATGTATGCCGTGTCTTCGTCTGTTTGCTCCTGGCGTCGAGCCAGATATGCAACTGGTCATTTCTTAGAGGAAAGAAAGGTCGATATCATGGCGCTGCCAGGCGCACACCTGCACTCCCCTCCCCCTCACACACTATCCCATCCACCAACATCAATTGTCGAGTCTAGTTTACGGGCCACGAAAGTGGGAATGCCATGATTGACCCACATCTTCCGTATCTCTTCCATCCTTCGGTGATGCAAGTATTGACGTCGCCCCCGCCTAGCAACGACATGGTCAGCGAAGTGGATGACTTGGTGTGAAATTTGTGGCGTACCTCATCGCGAAGTCTGTCTCCCCATGTTCGTCCAGATACGGGGACGTCGTGAGAGTGCCCGAACCGCCGTATAAGGAGAGTATAGCGCATCTTTTCACGCAATAATATAACCCAACCACCCCTCCACACCTAAACAACGTAAACAGAGTTTCCTTCGGAACGGACATGATCCCGACTTACTCCCTAGTGTGCATATTACACTCTCCCTCGTTTCTCTGCTCTTTGTCGGTGCAACAATGCATTTGGTAGCAGCAGATGACACCGCAAAACATGCAGATCGCCGCGTCCGCGGGAACTGTACTGCATCGTTGGCATAAGAGAGTCCTTTGGTCCGCAAATAGGGTGTCCAATGCATAAGGAAGCCGAGCCAGATGATAAACGAACGGCACCTCTAGCGAAATACTACAATCCGTCGTTGCAGTGGAGAACGCTCCAAACGCTGAGCACCATCCTCCTAGCACGCTCCGCAAACCTTCATGCTTGTGCAAATCTCCTATAAGAGGTATTTGGAGCACTTCAAGCAAGCGCAAGAATTCAGAAGACGACTTCTTGGCTGGCGGGACAGGTAACAGCAGAGCCCTGTTGACTGCATGGACTAGAATTGCCGCGCGGCGCAAGAATGGAAGAGTTAAAGTGACCAAGAGTTTGTCGAAATATGACTCGTATGTGTGCAGGACCCGCTCAGCTGTGCGGTCCAAAGAATGGGAGTGACGGGTGATCAATAACACGAATTGGCGAAAATCGCCAAAAATATTCTGATGCTCGTTGTCTAGATGGACTGGGGGACAAGTGACCTTCGGGTCGTCGGAGAGGAAAGATATTAATCCAAGGGAGTTTCGCACCAGGCTAGCATAAAACATCAAAGAAGTGACGTATGGAATCATGTCTGGCGCCACTGCCGCTGCCTCAACTAGAATGGTGAGCGGATCACGGAAAAGAACTGGTGAACGTAGTTTGCCCCTCGTGCACTGGGGAAGAAGGCGCTTCACAAGCGTTCGGTGGATTGCCGTCTGACCCCCGTCGTGGTCTGTCAGCTGAAGCGAAGCCAATCTTCTAAGCGACACCAAAAGGGAACGAATCATGTGGATTGAAGATTCGCCAACATTATCTACTAATGTATCGCCGGTCCTTGGCACCCCACGTATTGATATCTCGACACATGCGATCGAGTTCGCTACCAAATGCTTCGGAAGGTATAAACCTGCCGCTCGGTCCCTGGATGATGGAAATGAACGGCCGTGAAGATGACCTGACTGCTGCGAGATCATCTCTGATACGATCCGCAAGCTATCAACCATGAAATCTGTGTCATCGATAATGGAGGCGTGATATCCCCTATCCTCTGCGGTCCAGAAAGAGAGCTCTCCTGAGCCATCACTACTCAAATAGACATCTACCTGGTGATCTTGACTCGTGCGTGATGAACCAAGGCTGACACCCTTGATCCAATCTGACAGCGACACTTGGGGAAGGATAATAGGCTGTTTGAAAGTGAGATCGTCATATAAGGGTAGGATGACGTTTCCCAACGATTTGCACAATGGACAGATGAACTCTTCGCGGTCAGTTTTTTCTGCGTGATTTCTATGTGGCTGCTGCAAATGCCGCTGTTCGATTGAACTCTTATACACCTTGAAGCAATCCACATGCATAAAATGACCACAGAACGAGCCGTGTAAGGCGAATGATATCGCTTCACGGGAGAACGCACCAAAGGAGTTGGAGGAGGGATGCTCATTTGAAAGTTCGTGGGCTGGAATGGTTTCGTCCAAAGATAATGGGAGAGTAATCGAATCTGCCAAATCAGAGGGTCGGTCTCCTGACATGGAATGTCGAAACCGGCTGGGCTGAACCAGCCCTAACGCTCCGTAGGCTCGGCTATGGTCGAGGTCTTCTTGGCACACGATGCAGCTACCATATTGCTTCGTTGGATCCATCGTTTCCACAACCTCATCCATTTCTTCCTCGTCCACGCCCTCATCTTCGAAATGAAGCAGCACACTTTTCTGTTGTGCAGCAAACTGCTTCATGATCGCTGCTTGGCGCGCCTTGGCAGCACGTCGTTTAGCATCAGAAGAGTTAGCATCCGTCGCATGCACGGCCTTAAGGCGACGCATACTGGCCACTTCTTGAGGTAGGTGTTTCTGCAACTCCGACAAAGCCCATCCCACCTTTTTCCTAACGGGGTCGAATCGGTGACTACCCTCCAATTCGCAAAGCAACATGAACAGCGATCGATCATTAGCTTCGGAGAAAGTAATCTGGCCAGCCGACGAAGAAAACGCGACAGGTTGTTCCACTAGCGCAAGGAATAAGAGGTGTAGGATTTGGTCCAACGTGGCATCACTGGAGTGTGAAGCATCTACTGGGGTCTGCGTGATATTGAAGATGCCAACGACCAGGATCTGCAAGAACACACGGGATGTGAATGCTTTATTCAATTCGGTGAAAGGCCCTTCAGTAACATTGATAGCCCGAGGAACAACGACTGATGAGCGATTGCCGGTCTTCTTGGTGATCCTCGTCTCGAGGGCGGCTTCGACCTCTTCGCGACGGTTCCGGGAGTAGTGGAAGAAAAAGGGGTTAACTTCGTCCCACAACTCGTCCTTGAGTTCGTAGATACCCACGTCAGTGGTACCTTCGGGGGCTCTGAAATTTGATATCCCGGAGAGGGCCTTGTCAAATGAAGGCTCGTCGATAATTCGTTCTGCAACCCGCTTGCATAGCTCCGTATACGAACACGCCCCGCATGCAAGCCCATGGATTGCCTCCCTCCTGACAACGTCTTCAACAGTGAGATTTTTGGCATTGGCGTATTCAGTGAGACACGTAATAATCACGTAAAGAAACTCTTCGATCATAGAGGTTCGCTGTTGCGGATCGTCATAAACGGTCTGAGCAATATTCCCAGAAAACCACTCAATGAGTTGAAACCGGTGCAAGATGGATACAAAGACTATGTTCGGCTCCAGGAGCACAAAAGCGGTCTGGATGATGAACAAGTCCTGATCGTAGCACAGCTCACGAAGCATAAAGTCTCGGTAATGCAGTAATTGGCCGCGTATAGCTAACCCATTCCTGACCCACAGGCCGGAACGTATTTGCGCTACCATAACAAGAACTAGACACATATAATATTAGCTTCTTCGTACCACCCAGTAGCTCGGCACTCACCCCGTAAAGGGAACTCCATGATGATCAATATGTTAGAAGGTTCAAAAAGGCGGAGGAGAACATCTCTAAGATCGTTGTAGCCCTCCTTACGCAGATTTTCGGTCGTCAGGATATTGACATGCTTGATCAGTTCGGCGAGAAGCCAGTGCTGCGAGTGATGAAAGCTGACATTGCCCGACAAGACATCGAAATCGATGATCGAATGACGATGACCACACATTTGTATCTCGCGCCACTCAAGTGGCTCATACTTTGTTAAATCGAGCCCCCGAGAATGCAAAGAGCATACACTGATGATTTCCTGTGCAACCATCTTGATTGCATTGCACAAGCTAGCTGTCGTCGCATACTTAAACGCTTCAGCGTACGCCTTCGCCACTCGAGACAGGGATAGGGTTACATTGAAGACACTGATCCAAGAGTCTTGCTCGTACTCGACATGCGTTTCTGATGCTCGTTTGTTCGGGTTAATCCCAACGAACAGCCGACAAACACGGGTAAAGTTCGTGATGTATGTGTCATCCGAGGCGATGAGTTTTTGAACAGTTCCATTGCCACAAAGATGCCGCAGATCACTGAATATAGGCATGAATCGTTTGGATCGGAATGGAGGTGAATCAATATTCACGTCCCGGTCGCGTCGAGGGTAAGCTTCGATCACCTTGTTCGATATTTGGTTCGTGAAGAATGCCACGATGATGTTCAATAGACGATCGATGATCCTTTGGTTCCTTACGATATGCCCAGCTACTGACGGCACGGTGAAGAGCTGAACCGCGAAATATTTCACAGATGTATCAGGTTCTCTATCCACAAGAAGGTACGAATCCATTAGGCAGTTGTACACGGTAGCAAAACGTGATGCTAGGCATGAGACGGTCACGTTAAAAACAGTTCGCAGAGAATAGATTGAGCACACCCACCTACAGCAACCTTGTGATGATGGCTGATGCTGATCAATGTGATATAAAGATCCTTCAGAATGAGACGTGGTCGTCTCCAGAAACGGGTGTGAAATGAGAAGAGCCACTCTAATCTTGATAGGTTGCTGTGAGGAAGGTTTGGGTGGAGGAAAGGTACATGTCTGGGCCTAACGTCAAGGAGGCATGAGGCGACAAGCTCCTTCAAGGTGATCGCATCGGTTCCATTTATCGTGCATCTTGTCAAGTCAACAAGCCACTCGATTAGGAATGCGCTCAACTGTTCCCGAAAGGTATCGCTGGCTCTCCTGACGGTTACCCCAAGGTCAATCTGGTATAATCTTGATGCGATTCCCATTGCAACTCCCAGATGCGGTATGATACTGATAACTGCTCGCCCCTGCAAAGTGCCTGAGTCATGCGGAATACAAAGCACGTTAAATTGCATACTTCAGCATCGACTTTATCAGTCAAAGCAAAGGCTTGCTCCGGTGTATGATCCGTAAGATCGAGTAGCTGAGATGTAACCTCATCGAATGAATGTTTCTCGTCGTTCCACACAACCACCGCGTAAGGTCCGTTTCGGTGAAGATCATTTGGCGGGCCAATGATACTAGTCTCATCCGCAGGGGGCAGTGCTTCCTCAGGAGAGTCATCAAATGTATCGAGTATGTAATCAACAACACAGTTCAAGGCGCTCTTCAAGAGTCCTACCAGTTCGGGAGGGAGTTCCTGACGGGCTGGAGGCAAAACTGACCCCAAGGGGTGAAGCTTGCATTTTATGTCGCTACTCCAGGCCTCCTCGTCTCCGCAATCGCAGCAACCCCCTGGTTGCAGGGAGATGTAGAACGATACATTATGGCCCTCATGACTGGAAGCATGGAAGCACCGCGAGCATAGCACGCAGCTATCGTCCACAGCACAATCCCTATCGGAAGGGCACGATCCAGCTTGGTATCATTCCTGGGAGACCCAACCAGCTCCACTCACTTGCATTTATAACAGCATTCGCCTCTCTTGAAGATGTGGCCACAGGGCATGCCAGGAATATCATTATTTTGGGATGGATAAGTTTTTGCCTGATGTTCAGATAGAAGAACTCCCCTTCCTGGAGGCTCGCTGGAAAAATAGTGCCCGTAATTCCCAAACATACTCGAGTAAAGAGTTCGCAAAACAGTCGTTCTACCTTCCTGAGTCCAATCGAAGTCGTGGAGCTCGATGAGGAGCTCGAAGGTTGATCGTATGTGTTCCGCAATGTCCCGCATGTTCATGAACGAGACATCTGCGGATGATGAGCTTCCGGCAGCTCGTGAAGCGATCCAGGACATGCTGACTGCTAACTCGCGACTTTAATACAGAGGCTGGAGTCCTGCGTCGTGACAATGACGCGTAAGTCACAGTTTCTCGATCAATTACTTACATAAATAAGTATTTGAGACTGGTGATGAACCGCCCAGCGCTACAAACCAACCAGCCAACGTCGCCGCTCGCATCCAGCGGCGGCCCAATGAGCGATGTATGTCTCCCGTTGGCCCCTCAACTTTGTCTCATTAGCTAAATAGGCAACGAACTCTACAGCCGAGTCAACGTCAAGTCGATTCTGCAGCGCTAGATTATTTAGTCACTGAATTCACACATACCCTCAAACATTCTTCTAAAATTGCTCATGCGCGCTTCAAACGGCGAGAAAAGGAGCTAATTGACGCTGGATACGTTGCCCCCCACCGTCTCAGAAGGAACCAAAGGCAGCGGTTGGCAGCGTTCGAGATTCAGTAAACTCGACTGCTTCAACCCCTAGACCGTCAACTGGCGAGCCTTCAGATGAAGAGGACGTTGCTGCACGGCAAAGGCTAGAAAATATTGGCGTTATCGTTGGTGGGAATCTGGCAGAACGGTATGATCGGATGTCTCTCTTAGATTCACAGTTTATTCATCACCTTGCCTGATGTCAAAGATTAACCCGTAGTCGTTCTACACGTTTCACCGACCCCCTGGACACTATCAAATTTCTTTGCAAGGACGTATGGACAGCCATATGGGATAAGCCAGTTGACAATCTCCGGACAAATCATCGGGTAATGAATGCGGTCCCGCTGTTCGATACTGATCGACTAGATTAATCGCTGCTGCTAGGGTGTTTATGTCCTCCAGGATAATTCCTTCAAACCGCTGCTACGAATATCTTCGCCTCAAGGCAGCGCCGAATCATTGCGGCAGGCTCACCTGGTTAGCCCCTGTCTGACGGCCCAATCATTGGCAATCTCATATCTGTTTCCCAGTATCTCGCTTACCCCGCTGGTTTAATCAAGGGCGCTCTTCAGCGCCTTGGGATCCCCGGGGCCGTCATTCCAGAAGTCACCACATTGCCACAATGTGAGCACGGATTACGATAAAGCTTCACCCACCTCCAACTCCGCGTTTAGGTACTTTTCAGGTCAAACTTGCAAAGACTTTATGAATGCTTTCATCGATCATTACGCTATTCGCTGTGACGGGCTCACGAACAATGATTAGTTAACACCATTAGTATTTTCGATACACTATCCCACGAAAATACTTGTCGACGCAAGCACAGTTTACATTTCAAACAGCAAAGTGTTTCAGAGAGTACAGCATGACTCTTCCTTTGTCATTTCCGACGGCGAAATATTCCGTTCCTGGAGAAAAGTCCAACGCAGTAACTGAACCATGAATTGCCATGGGAGTTGGCCAATTAGCAAATACTTTGAGACTTGGGAGGTGTATCTATAAAGAGGATACGTTCAATACCGATGACTGCACTGGTGTTACTTAACTCACCATCTTGAGTTGGCATTCTTTGTCGTCGCTCGCTGCAGCGATGAGCTGACTGGAAGGATCTATCCTCATGCTGGTGATGGAGGTTTTCAGGTTGGTAATTTCTTTGAGGGGATTGACGCTTCTTCCCATAGAATCTTGTCGCACGGCGGAGCGATCATAAACGCTGACGATTCCTGTATGTGTCCTTCGTCCTAGCGTCAGTAATATCCCAAGATGGAGACAATCGACTTACCCAACAGCATAGTAGTCACCTTTGGTACTCCCTTCGAGTATGTTTGGCTTATAGGTGCCTTCATCCCTCCAACGACTTATGCATCGTCGCATGCCGATATCCCACAAGTAAACTTCGGAATTATCACCTAGTGTCATCAGTTGATCTTGGCCAACCCAGCATAAATCTTTGATGTCGGTGTTCATTTTCATACTCCCTGTAACTGGTCCTCCTGTAATGTTTTGTGACCAGTCAACAAGGTAGACATAGCCATCTCGACCGCCGACGGCAAGAAATTTGCCATCCGGCGAAAACTTAGACATGGAGAATGAATCAACCACACGATCCTGGAGAATCCTTCCTCTGGATGTGGTGCTCTTCCAAAAGGCACTGGAAGACTTCACGAAGCGATCAGACTGGATGTCATAAACGTAGTAATAGGGTCTTTCAGCGGTTAAGAGGATAGAGGAGCCAGTGGGGTGAAAAATGGCGCGGGGTTTGCGAAGCTCGGTCGCATGAACGGTATGTAGGAGTGGATTCATCAATCCATCGATCTGCAATTGAAACATGTTAGAACGAGGGAGATCATGAAGGCGAGAACATACATTGAACAGGCGTAAACGATTATCCATCCCCGTCGAGAGCATGACAGACACAGTAGGAGAGGGATGAAATCGGACAGATAATATTGAGGCGTAGGACCTAGCTGCACTGTTTGCATCACGAAGGTGTTCAATCTTCAAGGAATCCGACGGGAGCGCCGAGGCCTTGGCTGAGGTGTTCAATATCCCGGAGGTAGATCTGAGAAGGTGTTCTAGTTCCTCGTGCTCATCCTCAGCACCGTCAAGGGAAGAAAGACGTTTCCGCTTCTGGTGGAGTTTGCCGCGTGCATTGGTTGCCCACTCCGGAGTGGGGTTCATGCGCTCAAACCTTCAAATAAGATGTTTATCATTAGTTGTTACCGCATGAAGGACTCGGCGGTGCTCACTGTCTCCGTAATTTAGCTTCGTAAATCCTCCCTGTAACTTCATCATCTGCGAGGGAGTCGCGCAGCTTGTAGAGCCGTGTATCAGCCGCAAGAGATATTTTGATGTTGTCATCGGACGGGTCTGCCCAAGCGGATTTGATTTTTGGGATTTCGTACGTCGGTCGGGGGGGATAAGCGGAAGTCGAATCTTGTGGCCCATTGGACTCGGACTCGTCATCCGATTCAACAGAACTCTCCGACATTTGGGGTATCTCATCTTCCTCATCTCCAAGCAAATCCGTCACAGGAGTGACAAGGTCATCCATCACAAAGAGCTTTGGCACGAATTCGTTGGTCGACCAGTGAGTAAAGGAATCACGATAACTCACATCCTCATCCCGCACATTCTCCAAGCCAGTAGTCACATACTGTTCAGCATCAGGCGAGTCGCCTATTTCCTTCTTTCGTGGCTTGACCTTCGGAGCAGACAGCTTGCCAAAGAGGATGCGCTCAAGTCTTAGTTCGTCCTCGTCCTTTTGCGGTTCATGATCTTGCGGGATGCCAGACAATGCTGAGGGCTGTGTCGAATCAAGTCCAAATGTCTCCTCATCACTCAGGTCATCTGCGTCAAACCGTAACCGTTTTCTAGGCGCCTCCATGTTGAGCTATGAACTTTGAAAAGACGAGGATTTGTGTGGCTGTACACATCATGTTGTGGACTCGTCCAATTCAGTTGGTGTTTAGAAGGCGTTGTTCTCGATCGTCCCACATCCTTCAGATGTCGCACTCAGCGGGGCTCTACAGGCCTAGATCAGCCACCCCTTCTTCTCAGCCATCCTTTTCGAAGAAGCCACGTGTCCAATCGCCTGAACATGATTCTGGTCCTCTTGACACTGTCTTTGCCCAAAACCCTGCTCAAGATTCAACGGAGTTGCAAGTTGATAAGGAATCCAATATATCGCCTGAGATACCCAAAAGACAAGTGGGAAAATCAAAATCGAAGAAAGCCAAAAGGAGGCCACCACCCGAGTCTGGGTCCCCAGAGGATGTAAATCTCCGGGATGTTTTTACTTTACTGGGAGAGGAGGTTGTTTCACAAGCAGAACGCGAAGAGAGAGACTATGACGCGCCGGTGGAGCTCTACTCAGAAGTCGAACTTACTGTTCGTGACATCAGCTCGAGCGGTAAGTGCGTATTCGGGGTTTTCGTTTTCACAGAATACATATTTTAGCCAGGGGAATCGATATCGCTGTTGCCTGGGCCTCATACACCGTGGGCTGTACTCGTTCCCTTTGCTCTCCCTGCGGAGACCATTCGGGCTCGCGTATATCGGCATTCACGATTGCATTCCTACGCTGATCTACTGGAAGTTATAACGCCCAACCTCGAGCTGAGGGATGACTCGCTCGTTCGTTGCAGATACTTTGGGACCTGTGGTGGATGTCAATACCAAGTGTGTTCACAACAGTTAGCGGAGTCTACCCCGATCTCAGTCGCCGCGTAGATGATCCCGTACCATCAGCAGTTAGCTTTCAAGAGGAGGGTAGTGGAGAAAGCTTACGCTACATATTCCGGGCTGAACCCTGACCAGGTCCCTGCAGTCCTTCCGACTATTCCCTCGCCAAATCAGTATGGATACCGAACCAAAATTACACCTCACTTCGACGCACCTCCGAAAGGCAAAAAAACAGAAGCTCAAGGGGCATCTGGTAGCACCGATCCACTGCGGAAAGAATGGGAACTTCGAATAGGGTTTGACCAGAAAGGTCGTCGGACGGTTATGGACATTGAGGTTCTTAGCCCTTGCCACTTGCTGCTGCTGACTGGCTGAGCGGGAATTCCCGCCCTCAGGAATGTCCAATCGCAACAGATGTGCTCAATAAAGGCTTAGAAATTGCACGAAAAAATGTCCAGCAGTACGTTGTATCACTGCTTGCTCGCGTAGTAACTAATTACTCCCGTCGAGGAAGGACTATCTCGACCTACAAGAAGGGCGCAACACTTCTCCTTCGTGATTCACTAGCCGTACCCGTGTGGGAAACCAACCTATCCAATGGGGAGGAGGCGTTTACAAAGAGCGTGATAGCGGAAACAGATGATCAAGATGAGCGACATTATTGCATCACATCCCACAAGGCCACAGTGCGGGAGCGCGTGGGCGATACGTTATTCGAGTTCTCCGCCGGATCCTTCTTCCAAAACAACAACTCGGCTCTAGAACCCCTTACCTCGCATGTTCGCGATGCGATTTTTTCGTCCAGCGAAGGAGAGGCCCTCGAGCCAGGCTCGACAATCCGCAAGTCCCCAACTCACCTCGTAGACACATACTGTGGCTCGGGCTTATTTTCTCTAACCCTCTCTCCGCATTTTTCCCACGTGGCTGGGATCGAAATAGACTCTGCTGCGATACGCGCTGCCCAACACAACACAAATCTCAATGGGCTTTCGCTCTCAAAGCACAAATTTCATGCAGGCAAATCCGAAGACATCTTCGCCTCAGTTTTGTCCTCTTCAGAAGAAACATTCCCGCCTGATGACACTGTTGTTGTGGTTGATCCACCTCGGAAGGGTTGCGACGAGGCGTTCATAGATCAGGTTGTGAGCTTCGGCCCTAGCGTGCTGGTGTATGTTAGCTGCAATGTTCATACACAGGCAAGGGATGTGGGTATGTTGATAAGAAAAATGGAGGTCAAGAGTGAGGGCAGCTATGTATTAGACAGTTTGCGAGGATTCGATCTCTTCCCGCAAACTGCGCACGTTGAAAGTGTTGCTGTTCTCCGTAGAGTTGTCGTACATTCGGTGTTTCATTAATGATTACCAATGCTGAGAAGTGGCATGAGTGTCATGCTTACATCATTCATGCTTACGTTATCGATCAGTCCAAACTCAAAGCCCGAAAGGTATATGAGGGTCGCGGGAAGATCTTCTGCGCCGAACATCCCTTGTACCGCTTACTAGATCGCAAAAGTACATTATGTCGCTATTGCAGGACGTCCTCAAACCCACTGTTAATGGGGGTCTGCACTCCGCAAAATCCAGAGATCTTGACGTCTCTTTTGAGTCCCCGGCCAGACGAGCCGCCACGCCATCCTTTGAGGATGCGGGAAGCGATGACGACGAATACATTAATGTTGTGAGCACTCCTTTCACTTTTGACACTGCGGAGTGTGTCCTTACTGTCTCGCGATCGCCTAAGGTGTCGATACCAGGCACCCCCAGAAGGGTCGCCTCACGTCCCATTTCCCGATCAACATCACCCACTAGATCAGGTGCTGCGCTGCGTAAGGCGCCAGGCCCTCTCCACATCACTTTATCCACCCCTAAATCCAAGACGGACCCTCTGCGGGTCCTCACAACCGATCTCATCCAACGCATTTTCTCCATGCTCTCTTCGAAGGACTTAGCGAGCGCATCGCGCGTTTGCGTAAAATGGAACAAGAGCCAGAGCTTGAATTATTGTAAGCGCCCTTACTTCACTATCTTGCCTCGAGCACGCTAATGGGTCATCGGATTTGGTCAGTATGGTTCCGTCATTACAGGAAGGAAGAATTTGGTGACAAGTCCCTTCCGACAGGGAAGTGGACTAGAAGAGAGTCGAAGGAGAATTGGGTACGTTTCCGTGCGCAACGTCAGAGTATCTATTTCCTCAAGACTTCTGGCAGCGTAAAACCTATTTTCAGACACTCCGCCATAGTGCCGAACTAGATGGAAACACATCACGCTATGGTTATGCAACTCCCCAGTATTCCGGTTCTGGTCATGCAACACCAAAGGAGATGCGCGAGGAACGGTGGGCCCAAGAAAATTCTGGGCCCAATGGGACAGGACTGGGAAAGATCGAGATGAGGGAAATGTACAAAAGCCTCGGTGGGCGGATGGCCAAGAGTAAGAATAGAGGCAGCGGCCGAGACAGGGGTGGATGGGAAGGGGGCGGCGATCCTTTGAATTAAGATCTGGTAGCTCGATCATGGACAGATTGGATGACAGCTTGTCTTACACTCTAGCATCGTATTTTCACTGAACATCAATGCCACTGCACTGTATAGTCACTAGTGTATGTTGTGGCCCCACACTGTATGAGTGGAATATACGCATTTTTCGTGGCAACTCCGCATGGTTCTAATGAGATACTTGTCTGAATGAAAAAGCTAGTTGCGATTTCCCGAGGTTTAGCACGTAATTACGTGCTCAAAGCTCACGAAATGTCTCACCGACGTCAACTCACCAACCAGCGGAGTCATGGGACTATTGTATTTAATCCTCAGGAGGTCAAGGCAGCAAGTTCAAGGCTATCACGCCAAAGCTCTTGTCTGGTTTCATCGCCGAGTCACAAGCGTTAGGCGGAACATTAGTTGATCATTTCTGGATCGTGGTTGGGCAATGTCATCCCCAGCTTGAGGAAAATAGTGCGTCGAGATCCTCTCCGTGGGCATTCTCTACTCATCCCTTCTCAGTTAAGATCCTTCGGTACACAAAATCCTCTTCCCCCCTTCATTCTGAGACCGAAGGGGTCGATCGAGAAACAATCAACTTCTCTCCAATATATCAGATGGGCGCAGAACTTTTCACCCATCTTTGCATTGCTTGTAGGTCTTGATACCAATCTCCTGAGAAACTGGTGAAAAACTCACGTCAGTTATGAATCCTAGTCGTCGTAAATCTGGGAGCAGGACACCCCCTTCGATTAACGATTTCATCGCAAAGGATACGGACGAACTCCTACAGATGGCTGCCTCAGAAGGGCTCGGGACTGGGAAGCACGCTGCTCTAAAAGCTCTGGTATGTCGTGAAAGCGAATAACACATCTACTGAAATCTCAACATGTTGATTCAGATATTCAAACGTGACGGCCAGTCATGTCCATTGACTGGCGTGCCTTTCAACACTAAGTATAGTGTTAAGCCAATTTTGGCCCATATAATTCCTAACTCAGTCCATAACAAGGTATAGCACTACAATTCTAAGGTAGCATTGATTAATCTTCGTTCTACTGCACAGCCTGATACTATCAAGTGCATTGGCATGCTCGCCGGGGCAGCTGTCCGTGACCTTGTTCTGGGACAATTGAATGGCCTAGGCAACCTTATCCATGTCCAATCAGATGCGCAAACTGCGTATGGTGACATTTACTGGGGAATTGAGGCCCGCAACGAGAACGGAATGGTGCGATTTTCAAGCTCGACGTGCTTTGCCATCACTCATCAATCCTAAGATTAAATACATCTATAGGAGAGTTCCCTATGAGACTGAGGAGGGGCCCGGAATCATTCGCCTTTGTGGTGGGGATCAGATTGTCTTTGGAGGGGGCCCTGAGGCAGCACGACTTGGACCAGGCCCCAACCCGTTACTTTGTAACCTCCGGCTTGCTGTGGCTCGGGTCTTGAGGATGAGTGGCGCTGCGGACATTATTGCACAGATGATAGATGATGGAGATGACACAGATTTCCCTCACGTTTACGTTGCGTCGCCAGCATTTTGTAACATTCTTGCTGCTCAACTCCAACTTGCAGGAGGGGTTCTTTTGTAGGCAATTAGTGAAATTGTGGAGGTTACAATGTGATGCGTCGGAAGCCAGCAAAATAGTTCTTTACATAGCCTCAAACATGAGCAACGCGAAACTGGGACAGCTGAGAGGATATCAGAACGTAACTCACAAATGAGAAGACCAACCCAACCAATTGACGTACTGCAACCGCCACCATGAGGGTTGGCCTTGTTCTCGGGGATACTGACGCTGCGGAGCGCTTGACTGGAAGAGGCCTCCTTGATTTCGTAGAAGTTGGTATCAGCTGCTTGTGTGAGACCAGTTTTCTCGAAGCCTGGATGTATGTTCTTTGGGTCCCCCTGATACGATCATCTCAGTCAACGACGACCTCGGCCTTGAGAGTACTAGTGGAAGGGAGCGGCAGCGAAAGCATCTTAGTCTTTGCGAGAGACGCCGGGGTCTAACGTTTTCGGATGTGACACGGTATACCCATAGGAGGTCGGCAATCTTCAGCAGCTAGGTTGGTGAGAACCTCGGAGGGAGATTCAGAGGCCACGACACCAGCACCGTAACCCTTGGTCATGGACTCGGCACCAGCGCGCATGTAAAAGCACTTAAGATGTATGCACCAATGCCAATATCAGTAGAAATGTCATTGGTGATCTGGTTGAAACTTGACGGCATTCAGACTGTCGGTTGATGGAAGGAATACTGGCGAGGACCATGGCCACGCTCCATCCAGAGCCCCCATTTCAGCCCTCAAATCTTTGGGCCTCAACAACCGCAGTTGACGAGTCCTCTTCCCACAATGGGTCTGAATCAAGCGCTGTGTGTCACATGTTCGAAACTCAGCGAAAATCCAGGCTGGTCAACCCTCTCTCGGAGACCTTAAGAGGTGGGGTATTTGGCTGAATAAAATAGGCCTAATGGGCCAAAACGAGGCTGTATATCCAAGGATATACAAATCCCAAAGTGCGGCGAACCGGGGAAAGTTGCGCGAACATTCATGTATATCCTTGTATATACATGGATATCCTTGTATATACATAGACATTCATGTATATCCACCATGTATATACAGGTGGCACCTGAATACATTTGCCGCGGCTGCCGATGTCATGTGGTCCGTTGCCACATGTTACTGCGGAGTTGTCCGAATTTATTGTTATATTGTTATATCAATCTCTCTCCTCTCGGTCGATGTTGGGTCCCCCGCTTTGCAGGTTGCTTAACGTGGCTTGGGCCACTGCGGGCTGAAGGTGAGACCCTCTCTTTTCATATTTCATACGTTCTTCCGTTCGACCGTCGCACCTCTTGCGTTTTTAATGTCCTTCACCTCTCCTTATGGCGAGGCGGAGGCGAGAGTATCGCCGTTGTTTGTCATGATTCTCCCTGACAAATACTGTATCCTGAGTATCATAGTGCTGCAGATTTGCTGCATTGCGCCCTTTCCTGTCGATGACGTGGACTTTATGCTTCTGACGCGCGAGCTCCTCTGTCTCCTTCAGTCATCCATATCATCCTGTCGCTTCCGCTTCCCGTCACGTCGCCATTCTATGCTTAGTGTGATCTTCAAGTCTATATGGCTGGGATACCGGCAGTCCGTCCCCCTGGAATGTCTCAAACACGCCCTCCACGACACCTGTCTCTCCTGGGCCGCATCCCCTCAACGTTAAGTACTCTCCCGCATTTAGGTTAAGTCCGGTGGCCAACCAATTTCTCGATATCATGAAGGATTTCAAAGTCGATCCTCACGCTTGGCTGTACACTATTGAATTCCATGACCAACGCTCTCATCGTAACAGGATGCCACTTCTGCAAAGCAACCCGTCAAACTTGCCGGTGTCATTAAAGTTTTGGGTTGAACTGGCTCTCGCGGAGGTGTGACCCAGGTCTGCAGATTTCTGCAGCTCATCCGCAGGGCCTAACGTCACCCACAGGTTCGTATTGAGTTGATGGACGAGATGCAACGCTCTATCATTCGAAACGTCAAGGTACCAGTTCGTGAGTCGGATGTCCTTGCCCTCTTGGAGTCTGAGCGTGAATTCAGCTCAGTGTGTCCAGTGACTTGCTAGACAGTAACAATATCCGCTGATGATAATTTTCGGCGTTGATTTTCTTTTTCAACCCTGTGCATCTATTGAGATTTGCATATTGAAGAGTTTGACCTATGTTCCGCTATCAATTCCACATGGGAATGAAGCGCCTTCAGGTTGATTCCACGCTTGTCGTTGTGTATTGAAGCCGAAGGTAAGCGGGAAAAGTACCATTTGCAGACATACTGTGATTTAGAGTGTGCACATCATTGTATAAAGAAGCTTCTCAAGTCATCAGGTGCGTAGCAGCAACCCACTAGGATGTCGCACACGCCTGAAACACAACATAGTTACATCTTTTTTTAAGCTTTGCAACCGCCACAATCCCCTCCGTAACGGGAGGGATGCTACACGCGCACTCCCCCTCCTATACATATAACCCTCCCCGTCATCATCCGAGTCATCAAACAACCTCTTTATTCCATTGTATTTTCCATCTTTCCCTTGTTAACATGCATGCAAGAACTCACCGGGGGGTTGCGGGAAGGGGTTGACTGTCTATTCATACAGCGAACAGAAAACGAAATGATGAATTAAAAAAAAAAAAAAAAGGGTAGAAAGAAACAGAAAGAAACAGAAAAAGGGAAAAGAGACAAGGAGGAACCCGAGTTGGGCCCATGCTTAAGTATAACCATCCCCAGGTCTGTGCGCAAGAACTGATGTGGGAAGTTGCCAATACTTACGGGGAGATCCGAAGGCATAGTTGGACTATATATATATATATGCGGAGTTGTCCAAAATATATTGTTATATTGAATGCCACGCCCCGGATGTATATATAAAACATTCTAATCTAGAGATGCGCCACCTGCCTCAGCTGCCTCTATTAACCGTGCAAGCATTTCATCTTCTTCCTCTGAACCATTCAATTCAAACATATCACTCTCGTCGCTGTCGGACCTGACAGAACCATCGTCAGGCACCCTGTGGACTGGGGGTGAATGGTTTGGGTTATGATGTTTAGCAAGAGCCTGAACTTCGGGCAGACTATGGAACGCGTGAAGAGAGGGTGGAGGGTCATTGGGAGCCCAATCTTTTGTACCAGCGGAGATCTCGAAAGTTTTGGTACTTCCTTCCCAGCGATTTTGTAGCTTATGAAGCCTGTGAATCCGCATGAGGGAAAAAAAGGCAACATCAACATCACTTCCAAGGGCAGCAAAGTATAGGTGAACGGCTCGGTAACTCTCCTCCCATATCCATTGACGGAGATTGGCATGTTCAGCCTCGCATCTGGCAATCTCAGATTGGCAGCTGACAACCATCTGTGCTGAAGGGATACCTTCCTTTACACATGGATCAGCGAGCCATGCCGGTAGCTCTTCGAACTGTGAAGGATCACAATCTTGCCATATATCTTGATCTACATCCAACTTATAGAGACCCTCCTTTCTGAGCGGTGAGGGAAGCCATGCATCTTCAGCAACCCCATTTCTCCCTCTCATCTCAGCCAATTGTAAGATCTTATCGTTATACTTCTTCAGAGTGGCATCAACTCCAGCTGAACGACGAGAGACTGCTTTGTCTACATGATCTCGTAAACTCTGGTCAGCGACTCGTCCTCCATGAGATTGATCAAGTCGTTGCAGCTCCTGTTTTCTTGCACGTAATTTGCGGAGTAACTGATCACGCAGCACACGAAGGTTCAAAAAGCCATTTGCCCATACATCCTTCTCTGCCTTCTTGAGTTCCTCATGTGTATCATCCTTAGCCTGCAACTCCTTCGTGGCCTTCTCTACAGAACTCCTCAGCCTCGCGATGCTGCTGTCAAGGACATCAACGCGTTCCTGCCAATCTGCCAGGAGGAGTTCTGCCACTGAATCAGAGCCGGTAGGCATATTGCACCTCAAGTCTTCTAGAAGTGACCTAGAACTCTCAATGGTTGCCTTCCAGCCCATGATGGCCTCGATCTTGGTGCGGACGGGAGTCTTGGTTTGCCGAGCTTGAGGCTTCGAGTGATACTGACGCTGTGCCTTGAAATGTTCCAGCATGTCATCCACATTCTGCTCCTTGAGGGCCTGTTGAGCCGACTCAAGACGTTTCTTGGCATTTGTGATGTGATGGTGCAACCAATTCCCCAAATCCAGGCACTTCGTATCAGTGATATGGCTCATCTGCATGTCAAGCACAAAGAGACGACGGTGGTACCCCGCAACCCGAAGACTTGGTATGAGCTGTCGCAGTTCACTCCAAAAACGCTCACACACTTCACCATCCGAAAGACCCCAGACACGATCCTTCCGAGGGTGATACCATAGCTGACAAGCCCATTGATGTCCATAGGCGTGAAAGATAGAGACGCCCCACACCAGACGTGACCGCCACTCAGGTGCAATGTTCCACTTGTGAAGCGCACGATCAGTCTGGCAACCAATGTCATACAGGCACCCGATGGTCCACGACGAAGGGAGATGCTCTATAAGCTTCCCGAGTAATGAAAGTATGTAGAACTGTTGTTCCCCTGGAGTCCAAACGCTGACGTAGAATAACGGTATGCCGTGACGACAGACAGCAGACATAATGCCCGTTTCGTCGAAGTACTTCTTGGATGCCTTCTGGCGCTCCCCGTCGGCAGCCGTGAACGAGCCTTCACAGCCATCATACGTGCTCTCTGTCAGGTTGAGCCCTGGGGTGACATGGTTTTGCTTGGAAAGATCATCCTTGCCGCTACCCATGTTTCCTTTGCCTTTCGAAGCCCGAAAATTCCGTTTGGGTTCACGTATTTCAGCAACCTTGCTCTGCCACATCTCAGCATAACCGCGGGGAACCTCAATTGTTTGAGGTGACGTCATTTTGGGATCCTGAGAACCAATCTTGTTCAATCCGCGGTACTGGGGCCTCCTATCATAGTCTTTGATCCTCTTCAGCTGAAAATTTGCATCGAACGAAACGATGCAATCTGCTGACAACTCGGACGTGGGACTAGATGTAGAGCCGAAACAACATGGACACCTTCCCCGGAGGTAGTCACTGGGGAGGTCAGGATGTGAAAACGTAGGGGATGTATGAGCATTTCGATATTCTCGCGCATCGATCGAAGTGTTCTCATCCAAATTTACATGAACGGTCGGAGCTTGAAGAACGCTGGGTATGCTGGACGTTAAATCTGATGGGATCTTGGGATCTGGATGGGAAGGATCGACATCCATGTCTGATTCCGGAAGGCAATTTGAGACTGAAGGTGGCGAGGATGGTTCGCAGAGGTGGCCAGGCAGAAGACGAGGTGGAATGGGGATGGCGCTTGCCATGCGGTCCATCTCTGCATCGACGAGTCTGATGAGCAATTGATAGTGCACAAGGGAGTTGCTAAAGCGACGACGAAATGAACTCGCAGTCCCGAAATGATGCCCTTCACGCTGAAGCATAATTTCGGCAGTTGTTGTCCACGCCCGTATGTTCGGTGCCATGTGTAAGAACAGCGTAGAGGCCCAGTCAAGCATTACCATGCTCACAGCAAGTTCGGGTCGGACTGGGGCACAGGGAAACAAGCCGCATTCGACGAGCTGCACAGTGAGTGTTTGCTCTTCACAATGCCTTATCTGCCGCTTCTCAAGCCGTGACATGTAGACGCAGAGCACGTCATCCACTCGGTGAGGGCCGGCACAATCACAGTGCTGACGGGGTTCGCTTCGTTCTGATGAAGCAGAACGTTCCCGCATCCACTTCATATACGGTCGTATCAGACGCGGCAGGACATCTACGTGCCACCGCGTCCTCTGATGGTTGCGTCGCATGGCATGCTTAGACATGATATCAAGGGGTAACGGTGGGGGGGCTGGCTCACATGTCTTTTCCTTGCCGGAAATGACGTGAAGAGACTCAGATATATATTCGTCCATAGGATGAGGTGAGGTGTGGGGAGGGGAACTAGGATTTGCGGCTGAAGGACCCTGAGATGAAGTGGGGGCATCGTGTAATGGGGCCAATTTGAACTTTTGCCTCTGGAATTCCTCGTATGCTTGGATGCAGGGGATACTGCTGACTGGGGTCGTCCTCACGATACCCGATTTCTGTTCACGCTTGAGAGCATCCCGAACTCGACGCTGAAAGAGGGCTAGCGGCTCTCTATGCCGACTAAGCTCGTGGGGCCAAACTCTCCAAAACCTCTACTTTCTCTCTTGACTTCGCTATGCTCGATCCTAAAACTCCGTGGTGGGTTCTCCGGGATTCCGCAAGGTCCGGGCTCAACTAATCTACTACCCACTCGTTGTGGGCTAGACAGTTGCCCTTATTCCTACTGTTGGATTCCACACACTCACTCCAACTCTAGCGCGTCCTAGCACCTTAGAGAAAATGGGGGAGGGGAGAACTTCTCTGTGCCACGCTGCACTCAAACGAAAAACTGCGCGTCTTTGTACTCTCGTTCTCGTCTAAAACTGTGGCCATAGATCGTGCTTCAACGAATTCGATCACGTTGCCGCCATTCTGAATTGGTGGCTGCGCTGCGCTTAACTTTGACTCCGTGGGCGCTTCGATCTCTAGATCACATCCTAACAACTGCTCTGAACTTCTCTGCGCTGGATCCACGACAATTGGGAATGAGTGCCAGGGCATGAAGTAGCCACAGGGGCCGTACATCTTCCACAAGTCACTCCGCATTGCCGGAGGATCTTTCGACTGAGACACTCGCGCTCTAACCTCTTCTCTAACCTCGTCGTCGTCAACCGTCTGATACAAATACTCGCTAGGACTGAAGCTGAGGGACTCCTCAACCACAGTTGAGCAAAGGCTGAGAGGCCTTAGCTCTTTAAACTCAACGTCCTCCTCGCTACATCCTGAATCGCTGAACTCTGAACTTTCGGCGCACTCGACATACATTCCGGCTATGCTAGAGCGAGGGCTGGGAGGCCTAAGCTCTTTTGACTCTGTCTCTCGTTCTATCTCCTCGTGAATCGCTTGCTCAACTTTCGCCTGAGGCAAACACTCTGGCATTGCAGACTCGATCACATCAAACTCGCGCGATCTGGGTGCGTCCGCTGCCATCACATCCAATGAACTTTCGTCGCTGGTCTCATACTCCGTCATGTCATACTGAACTCGTCCTGGGGTGCCAACGTGGCCGCTACTCATCGTACTCGACTCGTCGTCGTCAAACTTAAACGGTATTTCGTAACTTCCTTCATGTGCTCTGATCTGACTTCCGTGGACTTCGTCTAGATCCGTCATATCGTCAATCGAATCGACTGGGGACTCTGGCGCAGGGACGATCGCGCTCTCTCCAAATCTAACTTCATGTCCGCTGGCCAGTGACTCCGCGTCACATCGCTCTCGTACACAATCAAACTCTTCGTCTCTGATCATCCGTTCCAACGATCCGTCACTAACTTGACTTTCCTGTCTCTCTAGGTTGGCAATCGATGCCCGTCTGTCATCAAAACTCGAATCCACACTTGGAATAGCAACATCTTCTCTAATCTCTGAGTCGATCGTCGACTTGGTGCTCATCGCACATGAACTACGACGAAGGCCTGGAGGCCTGAGCTCTTTAAGCTGGGGCTCTCGCACTCGGGGCCTCACTCGACTACCGCGCTCAAACGTCCGCGTAAGTCTCTTATCACTTCCTAATCCCAAAACTTTCGGCGTTACTCGATCTGCTGACGCGATCTCTGCATCCACGTTGACACAGATAGCGAATCCGTCCGTCCGTTCCGTCTTACTAGCTGGATCACTCTGGGCCGAAGTATACTTGGCCCGATCGTCGTCATACTTAACTTCCGCGTCGAGGTTGGCTACCTCTTTCGAAATCGATGAAACCTCTGTGTTCATCGCTTTCACTTCCACTTCGTCTTCGTCTTCTCCTTCGTCCGTCATGTACTCTACCACGTTAGTCTGTCTCGTAGGAATTCTATGTATTTTCGTTGCAGCAGTCAAACGTTTGTTGAGCTCGTAAGAAGTCCCGAAAATCATTCCCAGCGGAATAGTGACATTCTGGTCCATCAAACGCTCGAACAAGTCGTCGTTCTTAACGCGATCTTGCAACTCTGACGCAAATCGATACGCTGGAACTGACTTCTGTCTAAAACTCGCCCGCTTCGGGTCTTGCACTTCAACGTTCTCAGGCAACTTCTTAGTCTTACTCGAGCTTGGAACTGCTCTCGGTTTCGACGCAACCTGAGGGTCAGCTCTCTGCTTTCCCTTATCTCGCGAAGGTTCTTCTCGATCTACATCCATTCTCGATGGACCACTCGACTCTGGAGACGGTCTCTTAAGAATAACCGGTGGCTTTGCCGGCAGTTCAACATACGCCTGACTCGGTGGCGCTGCGTTCTTTCTCAACTCATCTTGCGGCATCGTTCTAACTTGGGGTGGAGGTGGTTGAGGACTCATCGGCCGCTCATATGGCTTCGATCTCGACGACCTCCCCTTCTCTTTCTCCGTTCTCTCGGCTGGAAACACTTCGTACACAGCATCTCCTAACCCTCCAAACTCGTGAATCGCTGTCTCAGACTTGCGCATCCATTCTAGATTGGCTGTGGTGCGCATCGCGGCTTTCTGTCTTATCAATCGCGCTAACTTCTCTTCGCCAAAAGCATGGGGTAGCCTACTGCCATCTGCCATAACCAATCTATTGGTGGCATCGAGCTTCAACACACCCGCCGCTAAGAATGCTCTCGTCTCGGGGCAATCCTTAACTCCGTGCCCCTCGTCTTCACACATGTAACACTTTAACGTTCCGCCCGTGGACAGCTGAGGTCCGACTCTAGGTCTATCGTGCACTCTAGCAAGTTGAATCGTCAGCTTGCTAATCCTATCCGCCAGATCGTCCATGTTGGACTTGAAACCCGCGTCCGGCTCAACTCTGGGAGCTACTGCTGGCGCCTCTGGTCTCTTATCCACAGGCTTCGACGTCTCTGCCGTCGCTGGCAACTTCTTCTGGACCTTCTTCACTGGTACCTTCTTCACTACCTTAACCTCTTGGCGCTTCCGAACCGTGCGCCTCGTACTCTCGTCATCCGTCGACTCCGAGTCTGAACTCTCGTCACTACTACCTGAACTCGACTCCGAATCACTGTCCGATCCGTCATCATCACTATCCGAATCAACATCTGAATCGTCGTCGCGATACAAGTCATGCTTCAACAAATGCTTCGCCGTCGCAACAACTTGGCTCATCGATGGAGGCTTCGTAAGGTCCGTCCACCTACTCTGCGACTTCAACTCGCGCTTGATTAACTTTCTAAAACTCTTTGGCTTTATACCTCTGAAGAAACAGTCGTCGCGCTCCACCGTGTGGAGAACTCCTCTCTCCTCAAGTGAAGAGGCCATTACCTGAAACTTCCGCCGATAATCGTCGAACTGGGACCGGCGTCTAATCTTGCGATCTTTCTTGACGAACTTTCTAAGGTCTCGCGTCCGATATACTCGATCTTCGTGCTCTGCAGGGTAGAAGTTCAGTAACTCCGACTTAAGCTGACTCCAATGCTTAGTCTTAAACGAGGTGAGTGTCCTGATAAACTTCGCCTCCCGCTCCGTGCAGTATGAAACAACGTATTCACACTTCTGCACATTCGATAGCCGCGCACTCCGTGCCTGCAACTCGAACTCGTACAAGAACTTCTTCACCTTCTTTCCTCTAAATCTCGGCGCTTCTCTACTCCGTGGCCCTGGCATGCGCGTAACTGTTGTGTGAACAGTTGCGGCCGCGACTCCAGCCACATGCTGATGAATCCCATCCAACTCCGGTGCTTCGCCACCATCATTCTCCAGGACTCCCTCTCCGTCACCGTACTCGTACTCCTCTTCTACCTCTTCGTACTCGTGCTGAGGACCGTGCTCCTCAGCTTGGAAACCAAATGGCTCAACGACGTGTGCCATGTAGATACCCAATGTACCCTTTCCTAGACTCGCGCAATGAAAATCCTCGAACTTCCGTAAAACTCCTTTGTGTGAACTGATAAACTCCAAGTCCAGCGTCCGTAAGATCCAACTGAGACTTGATAAACTCCAACGATGCGTGAAAACTTGATGAAACGTCCGTAAAATGAGAGTGACCCCCTGTAAGGACCACCAGAAATGAAAGAGGGCTCGCGGCTCTCTATGCCGACTAAGCTCGTGGGGCCAAACTCTCCAAAACCTCTACTCTCTCTCTAAACTTTGCTCAACTCTCGATCCTTAACTCCGCGGTGGATTCTCCAGGATTTCCGCAAGGTCCGGGCTCAGCGTCCACTACTCACTCGTTGTGAGCTAGACAACTGCCCTTATTCCTACTGTTGGAATTCCACACACTCACACCCTCTCTAGCGCGTCCTAGCACCTTAGAGAATTTGGGGGAGGGGAGAACTTCTATTCCAAAATCCGGTATGTACAGGATTATAAGAAATAATTATTTTTAGAAATAATAGATGGGGAATATTGGTACCATATGGCACCTGGATACCTTATTAGGCGAAATAATAGAAAAGGGTAACAGTATCAATAAAAGAATATCAATCAATAACTGAAATGATGGTGAAATATGAAAATAAGAGAAAATAAGCGATATCTCAATGGATTTACGGAATTAAGAGCCTAAATTGGAAATGTAGCCGGAGATAACTCTCACGCAGCCAATGAGCATTTTTACCAATTTATTAGACGCCGTGGGAACGAGTGAGGCTGGAATTCTGGGTTGCCGCTTGAGATTCCCACGCCCGCACATACTCGTGACCTGCCATGCCTAACTTCTCCAACACGGAACTCCGTCAAATCTCCACCGATTGGGACGTTCTTGGTATCGTCAGAATCGTACGAATTAGGACTATTTTTGGATACCAAATTCGTATCGAGTCGTCGCGTGAATGAAAGTCGTTTTATAGTCGTAGAAGCGGGTATCCGAGCCGGCTCTGCGCGTGGGCGATTATCCCGCCTACAACGCTTCGCTGACTTTTTGTAATTGGAGTACATCTGAACAATCGCTGTCGGCCAACAATGTAAAGCACCAGTGAAAATACACTCACGTTAAAGCGTAAAGAAGATCAATACACAGGTGTAGCAATATTGAAGTTACTAAGCAAGCGAGTGTACAACGCTAAGCAATGGACACACGATTGCAAAGTGAGAGGCCAAAGGAACTAAGCAATCAGGCCTCGATGTCGGACAACAAGGCGCTTGGTCACAGAGTTCGAACAAAGGATTCAAATCCGACGTGGCCGAGGGGACTAAACGATCAAGCCTTGACGTCAGGCAACAAGGCGTTCGACAGCAGAGCCCAAACGACAACACAAAAACAAAACTAATCAACGCCAAAATGAAAAGGTTTCGATCGCAGAGTACAGATGGAAAAGCAAGGGATCTGAATGGAAGAACTTGCATGAGAACTTGCGTCTGGACTGAGAGGTTTCACTTACGAGGGCTCGGGGGCTGTAGCAAGCGAGTGGACATTGAACTATTCCAGGTCACGCCCTCTCAGTTGCTTCCGAAAGGGTCGGCTCCGACGCGGGATCATTGACATTATGATAAGATCCCAGGAATAGTGGTGTGACAAACGCAGAGAACAGGACAGTATAAGTGAAGAAGGGTGAGCTAGCATAGCGTGCAAACCAAGGTAATATACAGAAAGGAAATTCTGAATGAACGGAATTTCCCATATAGTCGGAATAAAGGGACATGTGATAGATTCTGGGCAAGTTACTCGCTCAGCTGCTTTGTAGCGGAGTTGGCCGAATTTATTCGTTTATTCGCTCAGCCGTGCGAACGTGGCTGTTGCAAAACCCGGATTGATATGTAATATTTTAGACTAGAACACCTAGCGTTGCATGACCACTCAGTTCTAGACGCGTAAACTACATAAATCCATTACTCAATAGTTACCTAGTGTTGAATGAACGCTAGTTACAGTTACATAATATGAAATTACTACATTACTGTAAACGGACCTCAGTTCTAGATACATTGATAAGATTCCAGGAATAGTGGTGTGATAAATGCAGAGAACAGGACAGTAAAAGGAGGCCCAATATTCTTCAGGATCGACGGGTTGATAAGATTCCAGGAATAGAGATGGGAAGCTCCGTAGATGGGCTAAATGCAGAGAACCGGACAGTATAAGGAGGCTCAATATTCTTTGAGGCCGACGGATTGATAAGATTCCAGGAATAGAGGTGTGATAAATGCAGAGAACAAAGGAGGCCGAATATTCTTCGGAACGACGGAATGATAAGATTCCAGGAATAGAGATGTGCTGAACCTGACAGTATAATGTGGCCCAACATTCTTTGAGGCCGACGGATTACATAATAAGATTCCAGGATAGAGGTGTGATAAATGCAGAGAACAGGACAAGGCCGAATATTCTTCGGAATCGACGGAATGATAAGATTCCAGGAATAGAGATGTGCTAAATGCAGAGAACCGGACAGTATAAGGAGGCCCAATATTCTTTGAGGCCGACAAGATTCCAGGAATAGAGGTGTGAGAACAGGACAGTGAAAGGAGGCCCAATATTCTTCGGGATCGACGGATTGATAAGATTCCAGGAACAGAGGTTTACTAAATGCAGGGGACCAGACAGTATGAGGCTTAATATCTCTTTGAGACCAACGGATTGATAGGATTCCAGGCATAGAGGTGTTATAAATACAGAGAATAAGACAAAATGGGGCTAGCGATATCGTCGCTCAGTCCCATAGTATGTGAACTAGAAATATATTGAAGTAATCACGTCGCTGGTGTACAAGAATGAGATACAACTTGACGGACACAAGAGTAAAGGGAAAAGCTTATATTCACCTCAGTCCCGTAGTACGTGAACTGAGGAAAAGTCGTAAGGTCCAAAAATTGTGGTTTATATAATCAGCGCTGTGAATGCGCACTATCTTTGGCAGCAACCGAGCCAAATCAGGCAAGAAAAATAAATCGAAGGCGCCGCAAGACTCGACATAAACAAAGTGAGTTGGCCTCAGCGTGTGCTTGAATTTGAATTGTAGTATAAGGAGGTCCAATATTCTTTGAGGCCGACGGATTGATAAGATTCCAGGAATAGCGGTGTGATAAATGCAGAGAACAAGACAGTATAAGGAGGCCCAATATTCTTTGATACCGAATCCAGTAAGTATAAACATTCGCAGCTTGATAGCCGTCACTTCGCGGAGTCGGGACCCATCGTCGCTGCGAGGTGCACTCCGAACTATTCTCACGGGCTCCGGAAACGTGACTCGCCCATTGTCAGCCAATATTGTCGGCAATCCCAGAAGGTCACGCTGCTATAGTGAAGCGGACTTGGCCGAATTCATTTGTCTAATCATTTCGCTCCACAATCGTACAATCGTTCGCTCCCCAGCTCAAACAATGTCTCAAAAACAGTACCCTTCCATGAACTGTGCGGCCACTGAGCGTGGTTTGGCTTCCTCTACATCCAAGGGCACTGGGCATGTGGCGGGCGACAACACTGGGCAACCGTCTCTCGTTTCTGACGCAGCCGACAAGGTCGCTGCGGAGAAACGACCTACGGGCGAACCCATCACCTCTTCTGGTCCCTCGACCGCTAAGGTTAGCACGATTTTCCTTCGTCAAAAGCTAGTTCTCATTGTTCCTTGTTTACAGCCAATACCTCGTAACTTGCGTTTTACCAAAAAAAAGCCAACGCCATCCAACGCCGGTACTTCGTCAGGTTCAGCTATCCAGCCCAGCCCCTCCCATCCGCCAGCGGTTGTCCCGGACGCCCCTGGTCATGGGTTCGGTGGTGGAGAGCCGCGATTCTCATTGCCAGAACGACCTGGGTGGGTCATCGTCGAATTTGAAGGCAGCACTCCAGTGCCTTTGACGCCTTCAGAACGGTATCCAGTTCTCGATCCTTTCAATTACGACCGTGTTTCTGGTCATCTACGGCGCACTACTGTACGTTGGCTGCGGGATCAGTGGCCCATGACCGAATCTCGACTCAAACGTCTTGAGGATGTCATCAAAGAGGATAATGAACTTTTCGGTGTGTTGGATCCATCTCCTCATGTCGTGTCACTCAATCTAATTGTGGGCACTTTTAAATCATTCGTTAGCGTCTGTCGACGTATACTGTGTTATACATTGGCGACTAGTCGCATCAAACAGTATGAAGGCAAAAGCCTATCATTTTCAGGGGTATCCAGAAGGTTTTTCGGCTGCGGATCCATACGATCGGCAAGGCACTCTCCCCTCTACGACGGTCATTCATGGGATACCCCAGGATTGATCCAAGTGACATTGTGGAGAACCCCACCATTTATCGTTTAAGCCGTCCTCACTATCCCTACCTCACCCGCTATGCCAATGACCCCCCCTCGATTACCACAGTATAATACAAGATGATTTCCGTAACGCTAGGCCGTGGATAATGAGTCAACACCTTCGCGAGAGGCTTGTCAATTGGTTCGAGGTCGTCTACGAGTTATACTTGGCCTGGAACCACCTTGCGTGTTGTATTCATATTGTCCCCTTCAGGCCTTCCTGGTCTTCCCCGTCCCATCAATTTGCGTCCCTTTATCCCTTCTATCCCCAACAAACAGGCCATAACCCTGATCCTCTCGTTCTTGCAGACTTCTGCTGTGGCGTGTATGAGATGAGAGCCTGGTGCACGTATGCTATGTTCACCATGGTTGACGTAATCCATCAATCCATCCGCCGGCCACTGTTGCATCATCCAGTTGATGAAAACATGATGGGCGCTACTTTCTTCGATGACCTTGATTTGTCCGATAGTAATATATCGACTCTTCATCGTCACGGTGTCCCTATTTTTCAGGTACGGGTATGGGACGGTCCACGAACAACAGAAAGACCTCAGATAACCGCACACGTCGCGACAAGCCGCCCAGTCAGGGTGGAGCAACGTGTTCGAGTAAATCTCTTCTTTGAGGAAAGCGCGTCGAGCATCCTTCGGGCTTTCCCCTGGATAGTCCATCCACTGACAGAGGCGAATATGAAGCAAAGTCTTGTGTGGATTGTTGCGGACGAGCTGGGCCTGTCTAAACCCCCTCGGCCGATTGCCCTCCCCCAATGTACGTCCACTGTGCTCCAAAAGCACTTTGGCAGAGGTGTTAATATCGAGGCTGTTGCCAAGTCGGAGGCGGTCCACCAACCAAGAGGTTTCCACGCTCAGCCTGATCCTCGTCCCTCTGCTCCTCCGCATTTCCCTCCTCCACCTCTGCCCCCCTTGATCGTAGGCCACACAGCCTCACGACTACAATCCCAGCATCCCCTTGATCGTCGTCACCAGTCCACCCACGTTCTCCCCCCTGTTGCACCCCCCGTTGCAGCGCCTTCCACTTCAAGTGCGCCTCCAATTCCCGACAGCTCAGGCAGCTCGGATAGTGGATGTGAATTGGATATAAGCACAACCATGGTGATGCAGCGGAAGTATCCCCAACAGCAGGGTGAAAGCAGGCGGGCCTATTCGAGGCGAATTTATAAGGAACTTCAGCGGGTGAAGGAAACACTCGATCATCCAGAGGGGCGATTATTGATAGCTGGCGCATACCTTGGGAGCGAGATCTGTTTGAAGCGGATATCGGAGGAACAAGCCAAGCCAGCACTGGGTAACAAGGCTGGCAGAGGGGTGCGGACATCCACTCTACGTCTGTATCTTGACAAGTTGTGGCCCAATTCACAGCGACGAGCGATGATGTCCGAAACCGAGCTCCAACAGCGTCGGAAGGATAGTTTAACTATTCTTCGAGACTCAGGAACATCCTTTGAGGATCTGCCCCCAGGCGTTCTGTCTGAGCTTGCTGTCTCACGACCGGCTGTGATGGACGTTGATCCACCTAGTACGATGAGGCCTGTGGGACCACTAGCGTCAACGTCTGTGGGCCTTGTTGAGCCTCAGTTGTCAAGCGAGGTCCAGGCAGGCGGTACTGTTGAGAGGCCTCGGACGCCACCATCTCACCTCATGAAGCGTTCTTGGTCTACAGTTCAATCGCCTACATCGCCCCCTCCACGGAGGCCTGCCCCGTGTCGCTCGGTGTCACCTGCTCGTGGATCTTCATCTCATCCCGTGCATCAGGTGTCTCGACAACACCATTCCCATTCGCGTTTGCATTCCCATTCTTGTTCCCTCTCCCCCCTTCGCATCCCCTCTTCCCGTCATCGTTCCCGTTCCCGTTCCCGTTCATGTTCCCGTCGTAGTTCTCGTTCCCATTCCTGTTCCCATTCCCGTTCCCGTCACCGTTCTCATTCTCGTTCCCGTCGTCGTTCTCATTCTCGTTCCCGTCGTCGTTCTCATTCTCGTTCCCATCGTCGTCGTTCCCGTCGTCGTTCTCGTTCCCGTTCCCGTTCCCGTTCCCATTCTCACCCCGCCCCCCGCTCTCGTTCCCATTCCCGCCCCCAGCTTTCCGATGGCTCTCAGTCTCGTGCCCACCCACTTTCTAGCCCCCGACTCCACAGCACTCCAGTGCAGCATCTACAAGAACAGCAAGTCGTTGGTGGCTCGCTTACTTCGACCCCGTTTGTGCGGATTCCCGCACACAAGTGGTTCAAGGTTGAAGTATCCACTCAATGTTGGGATGCAACACTGCCGCATCACCTCGTGCCAGCAAACCTCGCTGCCCAGTATCGGTCGCGTGGTGTTTGGGGTGTTAAAGCGAACATGCTCAGATCTTCCTTGAGGAAGGATCTCAAGGGCAATAATGTCGCTCATGCATGGAGACATACGTTCTTGCTGAAGGAATTGAATTTCGTGGATTCCTTCAAGCAGTTTATTTTCACCACGGGCCATTTTTTCGATGATCACACCACCAGCATGCTTCTCTCGAATTTGAAGGGGATTGCGGCTTTCGCCTCCGCTGACGACCTAGTGTACATCTCATGTGTCTATGAGCATGCTATCAACGAATACGAGCAAGCTCTACTTCGTCAATTGGCCCTCCTCCTCTTCATCATGACATCATCCCTGACGTTGTCCTGGACTATTGGAGCTACCCACCAATCCCTGCGAGTCCTCACCAGGTCCTCCAGAAGCGAACGCTTCAATGTTACACATTCTCAACGTCGTGGCTTTCAGAGCGCATTGCCTCGTTGCCAAGTGAACAGCGGACGATTCAGCTCAGGCGTTTCGAGATGATCTGTTGCGCTATCTTGCTGTACTACAGCGCTGGCATTGATCGCAATGCATATGGTGGTATCAACTTCGTGGCGGAAATTTGGCCGGTTCAAGGTGGTGAAATGAATGTTTTCATTCGCCGAATTGCTGCATGGGCAAGGGAGAAACATGCAGAAGTTACTATCAGCAGTCGTGGATCAGAGAAAGAGGAGCTTCGATTCAAAAAGGGAATGTGGACTTTGCAGATAGACGCTGATCGCTCTGTTGGCGAGTTCCTGAGGCCTCTGAGCAAGTAATCTCATTTCTCCCTGAATTTACATGCATTATACTTTGTGTAAACATGTTTCCTTCCATTCTTTATACCACATGCTGCTTCATATTCTCGCTATGCGGGAATTCGAGAATGAGGCTGACTCATTCTTGAACGAGGGGTGTCTGTCGCTCAAGAATTTGATGGGCACAGGTAGTGCAATGGAAACATATCCGCCAGGTCTTTCCTTAGTTCAGTTGCGATGCTCCTCTTGACCAAGAGTTTAGGATGCATGTCGGCCACCAAGTAAACGTGTTTGTGTATGTGTATTTGGTCCGGTGCCGAGAACGTCACGTTATCGCCGCCGTAGTTCAAGTACTTGTTCTACCGCTTCATCACACAGAGTTACAGGGATCCTCACCCACGTCTTTGGCGCATCGTCACGGAGTGGTCGGGCTTTCTTGTTCAACCCCCTCCCCTGTTTTCGCTTGCACACCTTTATTGACATTTGGTGCATGCTTACGACGCACCAACGTCGTAAAATTGTTTCATTTGTCCCTTGCATCGTTGGCTTGAAGAGTTTGACAATAACCTTTCGCTGAAAATAACAAGCCTGTCATCTCATTTCGTTTCCAGACGGTGAGTGTTTTACTTTTGACATTCAAATTTCGCATAGCATAACTGATATGCAGCCAGTCATCCGCTCACTGCCCATGTCGTCAGATTCTAATACCCAGCGCTGTCTCCGCCCCAGACCCAATCCAAAGTTAACAACCTCAACTGCACCTGACAGTACGGATGATTTTTTCCTCATACGGCGAAATGCTGCCTTGCCGCCACCCACCTCCAGTGCGGAGCCATCTGCTGTGCCTGTGGCCCCCCTGAGACCTAAACGTGCTGCTGCACACAACTCGAAGAAGAAGGTTTCGCCCCGACGATCCAACATCCCTTCCCCTTCCACTCCCTCTTCTAAAATTGTGCTGAAAATCCCTCGTCGTCCACGCACCCACGCTGAGCTGAACGCGGCACCAGCTTCCCTTTCCTTGACCACTGCTGGTGAATCCAGTTTCTGTGAGCCACCATCGAATCCTGAAGCTGGTGAGCAGGTCAGTGGCAACCATGATGCCGCAGGTGACTCCACTTGCCTTGACCCGCAACCCAAGAGCACCGAGGCCGAGCCGGACGCGGCACCAGCTCCTACTGCCCTTGACGAGCGTAATCTCCATAAATCACAGCCAAACCCTGAATCCAGTGAGCAGGTCAGCAGCGAGCCCGACACTACGGGTGGACCCAGTTGCCGTGGTCCGCTACTCAACAATTTCGAGGCCAGCGATCAGGCGACTCACCCTGTTGTCAGCACTGGCAGCCTCCCTAGCAGCCCAATTGCCGATAATACTCCCCTTGTTGGCCAAACTGTTAATGGCGAGGCTGGCGGGTTTGATGATGATTCCAGAGAACTGAATTTGATTGGGGACCCCTCCGGGGTGAACGTGAATTACCCAGAGCTTGAGGATGTTGCGGCAGCCAAGATGGATCTGATCAATTCCTTTGATGATCCTGAGGCAGATGTGTCTCCCCTAGTGGCTGGACGTTACTCAAAGGTGGAAATTAAGGAGCTAGACGCTATTTATCAATCCTTCCTGATTTCCGTCAATGACTGGGCTGAGAGTCGACATCGCACCATCACCTCCGCACTCAATCATATCAGCCTTGCTTTTGCTACCCGTGAACGCCGTGCTTCGGGGAACCCATGGAACGCATACCTCGAACTCAACCCCAATCCGGATTCCAGCATGCGTTATGACCAGTACATTCAGAACATTGCTCGGCCCAACTATAACAAGCTTACTCAGGATCATGGTGGAAAGGGCAGCCAGGGCTGGCAGGCTAAGGCGCAAGAATTGATCCAACTTCAGGACGCAAAGAAGCGGGATAGCATTTCAATGATCCGAGATGATGCCAAGGACCAGGGGGGATGATAAAGCGGATTGTCAAGAGCTGGAAGCAGGATTCTGTTGCAGCACGTTTCGCTGGCATTCACATGGCCATGATGATTCTTCCATCCCATAAGGCTGCTTCCGACATGGGCACCTTCGAGTCCAATTCACCACATCTGCACCAATTTATCACTAGTAAGCTCGGCAAGGAGACTACATTTATCCCCGAGCTACACAGTATAATTTCGGGTGTTGATGCACCGGCTACAGAAGCCGTGGGACGGGACAAATTAAGGTCCAAATGTCGGGAATATTTGTGCCAGATCGCGGAGCAAGCCAGCATGCCCTTCAAAAAGAACTTCCAGTGGAACCAGTTCATTGCTCGTTTGATCCGGCAGGGGAAACAGCTTGTGAATTGGCGTGACAACCTCCCACTAGCACATGTTTTTTCGGGGGAATACTTGCAGAAAAAGACGGACACCTGGGAGATGCTGTGGACTTCCTGCACTGGAGCCGATAATCAACCTAAGCTTTTCATACAGTCAAGGCCTTCTGGAAGCGATGTTATTGTTGTTGCTGTTAATGAGGAGGCCATATTGTCATCCGGTGATGCGGGTGTGTTTTTGCAAAAGCCGAAGCGCACTCGAAAAGCCGCAACTCTTGTAGAGGATTGTGAGGATGGAAAGAAGGTGGCCAAGCGTCGTAGGGTGGGGTCTGAATGTGACCGCTTTGCTGGGTCTGCAAACGGTGAATCTTTTGCTCCCCAGGAAGATCGCCGAGTCTCTTCTACTAGTGTCTCGACTCTAGTGGCAGAAGAACCATTGCCTAGCAATGCTGGACTTGTGGGGTTCCCTCCCATCTCCATCCACAATCCCGATATCTTTGCATCTCTCCCTGGCCCCTCGAACAGCCAGCCTGCCGGTACTTTTCATGGCATGCCATATGGACTGGTTTCAACCCCAGCAATTCCGCCTTTCAGCTACCCATTCATCCCTCACCAACACCATTTCCCACCTATGATGGGTATGGAGGTGCCAGGTATGTCTCCCAGTGTCCCGACAGCTGATCCACGACAATCGCAGACTTTCTTCAACTTTAATCATACGAACACATAAGCTTCTTATAATCATTCCATTTGTACAATATTTTTGCAAGCTTTCCCCTCGTGCTAACGTTTATCTCATTATCTTAATGTCATCGCTTCATTTGTATATACGATTGCACTCATACTCCATATCATGCTAATGGTTGTCTTGATACCATTTGTACATACTCTCACAAGTCTTCATCGCAATGCTACTCTGTTTGCGCAATCTCATTTCCGTTCAATATCGCAGTACCACTCCGCACGGACTGTAAGTAGGGGCAGCGGCCGCTGAAGTTAATTCGCACGCTTGTATATACAAGTGGATATACAACAGTATATACAGGCCGGGTTTGGCCTATTAGGGGCCAATGAAAGTTATACAAATAATCCACCTAACGAGGCTTCGCCCACTGGGTGTCCAAGGTGCGAAAATCAGAAATGAAATCGTTATTACCGATGCCAACTCACCGCGATGGACAGGCATGCTTTGGCTGTTATGGAAGCTGCGGAGTCATGGGACTGGCCTCCCACCTATCGCATTCGAGCCTCAGGAGACCGAGGTAGCGAGTTCAAGGCTATCATGCCAAGACTCTTGTCTGGTTTTGTCGCCGAGTCACAAGCATTAGGGGGAACCTTAGTTGATCGATTCTGGGTCGTGGTTGGGAAATGTCATCCCCGGCTTGAGGAAAATAGTGCGTCGAGATTCCCTCCTGCATGGACATTCTTTACTGATATCCCTCTTCAGTTAAGATCCTTCGGCATGCAGAATTTTCCTCCCCTCTTCATTCTGAGACGGTATTATTCGAAGGGGTCGATCGAGAAACAATCAACTTCTCTCCAATATTTCAGATGGGCGCAGAACTTTTTACCCATCTTTGCGTTGCTTGTAGGTCCTGATGCCAATCTCCTGAGAAACTGCTGGAGTCAGTATCAGTTATGAGTCCCGGTAGTCGTAAATCTGGGAGCGGCACACCCTTCCCAGTTAACGATCTAATTGAAAAAGATACGGACGAGCTCCTACAGATGGCTGCCTCAGAAGGGCGAGGGACTGGGAAGCAAGCTGCTCTGGAAGCTCTGGTATGTCGTGAAAGCGAACGACACGCCGACCTAAATGCCCAATATTTCGATTCAGATATTCAAACGTGACGGCCAATCGTGTCCATTAACTAACTTGCCCTTCAACACTAAGTATAGTGTGAAGGCACATTTGGTCCATATAATTCCTAACTCGGTCCATAACAAGGTTAGCGCTACGATTCTAAGGTGGCATTCATTGATCTTCGTTCTACTGTACAGCCTGATACTATCAAGTGTATTGCTATGCTCGCTGGGACAGCTGTCCGTGACCTTGTTCTTGAACAGTTGGATGACCTAGGCAACCTTATACATGTCGAATCAAATGCGCATGCTGCATATGATGACATTTACTGGGGAATTGAGGCCCGTAACGAGAACGGAAAGGTGCGAATTTTCAAGCTCGACATGCTCTGCCATCACTCATCCATCCTAAGATTAAATACATCTATAGGAGAGTTCCCTATGAGACTGAGGAGGGGCCCGGAATCATTCGCCTCCGCGATGGGGATCAGATTGTCTTCGGAGGAGGCCCTGAGGCAGCACGACTTGGACCAGGCCCCAATCCGTTACTCTGTAACCTCCGGCTTGCTGTGGCTCGGGTCTTGAGGATGAGTGGCGCTGCGGACATTATTGCACAGATGATAGATGATGGAGATGACACAGATTTTCCTCACGTTTACATTGCATCGCCAGCGTTTTGTGACATTCTTACTGCTCAACTCCAACTTGCAGGGGGTGTTCTTCTGTAGGCAATTGTGGAGGCTACAATGTGATGAGTCGGTACAAGCAGAGGATATCATCAGAATGTGGCTTACAAACGAAAAGATAAATCGGCGTGCTGCAACCGCCACCGTGAGGGTCGATCTTGTTCTCGGGAATATTGACGCTGCAGAGCGCTGGACTGGCAAAGGCCTCGTTGTTTTCGTAGAAGTCGGTATCAGCTCCAGTTTTCCCGAGAACCTGAATGTATGTTGGGTGATGACCTTTCCTGACTGGGCAGAACACGAACCTTGGGAATAGCGGTAGCAGCGACAAATTTCCGACGATGGGAAAACCAATTGCTTGGCAATCGACCTCCTTGCGAGGACAGCAGCAGCACCATCGGACGCATTACCTGCATGCGTGGCCATCTTCCTCGAATGAAGGCAGTTTGAGCTTGGCCAGGCTCTCAGCTGTGATGCCCTCCCTGATACCATCGTTTTTCAATCAACTGGCGTTGACGGGAATAATTTCGGCCTTGAGAGCAGTGACGGCTTTTTGCAAGCTGGAAGGGAGCCGCAGCGAAAGCATCTTGGTCTTTGAGAGAGATGCCGACGTCGGAGGCGACGTTTTCGGAGGTGATACCCATAGGTTGGCAATCTTCAGCAGCTAGGTTCGTGAGAACCTCCGAGGAGGTTTCAGAGGCGACGACACGAGGACCGTCACTGCCTTAGCCTATCCAATCCACCCAAAGTAAAAGCAGTTACGGTTAGCTCGAATTAGATGTACGCATCAATGCTAATATCAGGTAAATGTCATTGGCAATATGGTTGACGGCGCTCAGACTATATAATATTACGAAGTCATAGAAGCTGGAGTCCTGCCTAACTCGGACTGGAAGAGCACTTGTCGGTTGATGGAAGCCTTTTCGGGGATACCGGTAAGGACCATGGCCTCTCATTCGCAAAGTCAGGAGTTGCTGAGAACGTTCATTCAGCCCTTAAATCGATCTGACATAAGTATGTATTTTTGGCGGCGCTTCTACGGTTGGCCAGCAGGGCCAGGTCCAACTTTCGCATTGTGGCCACCAGGTCACGTGACCGGGGACTTTTTTGAGCTCACTGCTACGCGTGTTTACATTTTAACGGCTTCGGTACTGCCAAAAACACACTAGGCACCACATCAGACTCGTACCCAGTCATTTTCACTCCATGGACGCGCGCGCGACACTGCAATGTGGTAAGTAGCTTTTGTATTCAATGTAAAGTCACGGTCTGCTTTCAATACAAAGAGTCACATGCTACTCCGAAAATTTGCGGATGACACTTCAACTGGTACACATTGTGTCCGAAAAAATACAAATCTGTATCAATACATTATAACTCAATGCAACACAATACAACGGCCAAAACGGATCGGTGGCAATGCAAGTCTTGCGTTGATTACTTGATGTTGCAACAGCCACCCTGCGTTGCAACGGGACCATTGAGTTTAAATGCATTGCAACGTGACCACAGGGCAATAGCCCAAAAGAAATGCAGATATTCTTCAGGGGTTCGAACAGACAACCCTACATACTAGGGGATATGAATACATACTACACATACCTATTATATTGAAGCACCAATACAGTCTATAGTAATACAGCACAACCCTACCACTCGGCCAGCGAGCCCAGGCATATAAGGTAGACCGTCCGGTTTTATATGAATTTCTATAATTCATACAATGATCAATACCCAACAAAGTATTGTTATATTGCTCCCGACTCATAATCTGTACACCTTGCTGGCTGCTGTCCAGTGGGGTGTCAAGACTGTTTCCCATGGTTTAGCCGTTGAATAGCTTCCAGAATGTATATAATTTGAGACTGAATTGACCAATAGATTATTGAGAAAAATGCGAAATTGGCTGTCCAACTCATTGTCTGTGCACAATGCTGGCCACTGTCCAGAGGGGTGTCAGGACTGTTTCCCACGGTTTCCACGCACTTTACACCAATGGATAGCCCACCTGAATAGCTTCCAAAATATATAATTTGAGACTAAATTGACCAGTAAATTATCGAGAAAAACGCAAAATACTTTTTCAGACGCGAGTCTTTGGGATAACTCAATGTCTGTGCTCATGCTGACCACTGTCTAAAGGGGTGTCAGGACTGTTTCCCACGGTGTCAACACACTTTACATCGATGAATAGCCCATTTGAATAGCTTCCAAAATATATAATTTGGGACTGAATCAACCCGTAAATTATTGAGAAAAGTACATTCTGGACTGCAAGTGAGCCGCTGAAGTGGGTTGCCATATTTGGAACATCGCATTTACAGCAGACCTTCCCCTCAGAACTAACGGAATAATCGTTGGATAATCTAAATATACAATGAGTAACAAGATGTAGAATAAAGAGCAAGTAATTGACCTCAGTCTCGCGCGAGAACTGAGGGAAAAAGAAATTAACTCAGATGATTGAATATAGTATGTGGCTAAGTCCGAAATAGCCAAAATAAGAAAGGGAAGCGTGACTTTTAAGGGAACAAGTCACATGGCCTAACCGAGTAAACCTTCGGAAGAGGTCGCACTAGTGCCTAAAGGCACTATTTGCACTACCCTCCAACAAGAACTCTTGTCTGAGTCTGACTGAGCTCACACTACATAGTCTTTCTTTTCTAAACATAACTCTAATGCCGACATTATTAACTCAGCTGTAGTTGACACTATACAAATTACCCTAATGCTTAAGGTCCATGCATATATATATACAAAGGGATGAATCGAGGGAAATCTACCTAAGGTGACTCCTGTGTGGACTTGCACGCTTAGTAAAATCCTCAGATATCTCCGGTGACTCGCATGTCCAACAGATATTGCAAACCCGGACTAAAAATATTTATGTAGCACATTGGTTGTTTATTGGCATGCAAGTATAAGTGCCATTTATGCCATGTGAAGTCCCATTGTAACAGTGTGCCCAAGCATTGAGATGTGTTGCAATGCATTGCAACGCATCGCAACGAATATCACGTGACGTTGCGGATTTGTAACTTTTCCGACATGGCAATGGCAGTACACTTAAGCACTTGCCAAATTTGACGCGATCCTCAATTCTGGGACACATGAGGTCCCCATGCAAACCGTGTCTGCGCAAATTTTCGGAGCAGCATGTGACTCTTTGTATTGACAGCATAACATGACTTTACATTGAATACAAAAGCTACTTACCACATTGCAGTGTCACGCGCGCGTCCATGGAGTAAAAATGACTGGGTATGAGTCTGACGTGGTGCCTAGTGTGTTTTTGGGAGTACCGAAGCCGTTAATGTACGTAAACACGCGTAGCAGTGAACTCAAAAAGTCCCGAGTCACATGACCTGTGGCCACAATCAACCTGGCCCTGCTGGGCAACCGTACGCTTCTGAATCAAGCGCTGTCTATCACGTGCTCAAAACTCAGCGAAAAAATCAGAAATGAAATTGTTCTTACCGATGCCGACTCACCGTGATGGACAGGCATGCTTTGGCTGTTATGGAAGTGGCGGAGTCATGGGACTGGCCTCCCACCTATCGCATTCGAGCCTCAGGAGACCGCGATTTCAAGGCTGTCACGCCAAGACTCATGTCTGGTTTCATCGCCGAGTCACAAGCATTAGGCGGAACCTTAGTTGATCAATTCTGGATCGTGGTTGGGAAATGTCATCCCCGGCTTGAGGAAAATAGTGCGTCGGAATCCCCTCCTGCATGGAGATTTTCTATTGATATTCCTTCTCAGTTAAGATCCTTCGGCACACCGAGTTTTCTTCCCCCCTTCATTCTGAGACGCTGTTATTCAAAGGGGTCAATCGAGAAGCAGTCAATTTCTCTCCAATATTTCAGATGGGCGCAGAACTTTTCGCCCATCTTTGCGTTGCTTGTAGGTCCTGATGCCAATCTCTTGAGAAATTGATGAGGGAGTCAGTATCAGTTATGAATCTCAGGAGTCGTAAATCTGGGAGCGGCACACCCTTCTCGGTTAACGATTTCATCGCAAAGGATACCGACGAACTCCTGCAGATGGCTGCCTCAGAAGGGCTCGGGACTAGGAAGCGAGCTGCTCTGGGAGCTCTGGTATGTCGTGAAGCGAATGACACATCTGCTGAAATGCTCCACATTTTGATCCAGATATTCAAACGTGATGGCCAATCATGTCCATTAACTGGCTTGCCTTTCGCTTTCGACCCTGAGGATGGCGTCAAGCCACATTTGGCGCATATAATTCCTTACTTGGTCCATAACAAGGTTAGCGTTATAACTCTAAGGTGGCATTGATTAATCTCCGTTCTGTTGCACAGCCTGAGACTATCAAGTGTATTGCCATGCTCGCTGGGACAGCCATCTGTGACCTTGTTCTGGAACAGTTGAATGGCCCAGGCAACCTTATGCTTATCCAATCAGATGCACATGCTGCATATGGTGACATTCGCTGGGGAATTGAGGCTCGCAACGAGAACGGGATGGTGCGATTTTCAAGCTCGACGTGCTTTGCCATCATTCATCAATCCCAAGTTTAAATACATCTATAGGAGAGTCCCCTATAAGACTGCGAAGGGCCCCGGAATCATTCGCCTCCGCGATGGGGATCAAATTGTCTTCGGAGGAGGCCCTGAGGCAGCACGACTTGGACCAGGCCCCAATCCGTTACTCTGTAATGTCCAGCTTGCTGTGGCTCGGACCGTGAGGATGAGTGGCGCTGCGGACATTATTGCACAGATGATAGATGATGGAGATGACTCAGACTTCCCTCATGTTTACATTGCATCGCCAGCATTTTGTGACATTCTTACTGCTCAACTCCAACTTGCAGGGGGTGTTCTTCTGTAGGCAATTGGTAAAATTGTGGAGGCTACAATAACACATCAATCCAAATTACCAACAAAGCAGTCCTTCATATTGCCCCATTCGTCAGTCAATTTAAATAAGAAGAATCGTAATCCATAAACGAGAAGAACTACAACCGCCACCACGAGGGTTAATCTGGTTCTCGGGAGAACTGACGTTGCAGAGCGCTTGACCGGCAAAGGCCTCGTTGATTTCGTGGAAGTCGTTACTACTTAGCTTGTGTGAGACCAATTTTCTCGAGAACCTGAATGTATGTTGGGTAATGACTTTCCCGTTCGTGGGCAGAGCACGAACCTCGGGAATAGCGGCAGCAGTGACCACCTCCCAACGATGGGGAAACTCTACCGCTTGGCAACCGACCTCCGTGCAGGGAGCACAGCGACAGCACCATCGGACGCATTACTCGCGTGCGTAGAGCCATCTTTCTTGAATGAAGGAAGGGCTTGAGCTTGGCCAAGCGATTAGCTGTGACGCCTTCCCCGATGCTATCGTCGCAATCAACGACAACCTTGGCATTGACAAAAAGATTTTCGGCCTTGAGAACAGCAGCGGCTTTTTGACAGCGAGTGGTTCTTGGTTCAGCTGTAATGCGAAGCGCCGCCGGAGCGAAATATGTCTAATCAATTTGAGGTCCAAAATGGGGGCTGCCGTTCACATAATGGGTGATGTTCTTATGTAGGTTTGCCACCATGTACCACCATGAGACAGCAGTCCGTCAAATGCCAACACGCCACACACCACGTGCTCAAATTCTGAACAGGAATATTGATGAAATCGTTCTTACCGATGTCAACTCACCACGATGGACGGGCATGCTTTGGCTGTTATGGAGGCGGCGGAGTCATGGAACTGGCCTCTCACCTATCGTATTCGAGACCAGGGTAGCAAGTTCAAGACTATCACGCCAAAACTCTTGTCTTGTTTCATCGCCGAGTCACAAGCGTTGGGCGGAACTTTAGTTGATCAATTCTGGACTGTGGTTGGGAAATGCCATCCCAGGCTTGAGGAAAATAGTGCATCTCAATCCCCTCCTGCATGGAGGTTCTATACTGATATCCCTTAGTTAGGATCCTCCAGCACACAAAATATTCCTCCCCCTTCATTCCTCGACGGTGTTATTCGAAGGGGTCGATCGAGAAACAATCAACTTCTCTCCAATATTTCAGATGGGCGCAGAACTTTTTGCTCATCTTTGCGTTGCTTGTAGGTCCTTTTGCCAATCTCCTTAGAAACTGATGAAGGAGCCAGTATCAGTTATGAATCCCAGGAGTCGTAAATATGGAAGCGGTACACCCTTCTCGGCTAACGATTTCATCGCAAAGGATACCGACGAACTCCTGCGGATGGCTGCCTCAGAAGGGCTCGGGACTAGGAAGCAAGCTGTTCTGGAAGCTCTGGTATGTCGTGAAAGCGAATGACACATCTACTAAAATGTTCAACATTCTGATCCAGATATTCAAACGTGATGGCCAATCATGTCCATTAACTGGCGTGCCTTTCGACCCTGAGGATGGCGTCAAGCCACATTTGGCGCATATAATTCCTAACTCGGTCCATAACAAGGTTAGCGCTACAACTCTAAGGTGGCATTCATTGATCTTCGTTCTACTGTACAGCCTGATACTATCGAGTGTATTGCTATGTTCGCTGGGGCAGCTGTCCGTGACATTGTTCTGGAACAGTTGAATGGCCTAGGCAACCTTATCCATATCGAATCAAATGCACATGCTGCATATGGTGACATTCGCTGGGGAATCGAAGCCCGTAATGAAAACGGGAAGGTGCGATTTTCAAGCTCGACGTGCTCTGCCATCACTCATCAATCCCAAGGTTAAATACATCTATAGGAGAGTTCCCTATTTGACTGCGAAGGGCCCCGGATTCATTTGCCATTGCGATGGGGATCAGATTGCCTTCGGAGGAGGCCCTGAGGCAGCACGACTCGGATCAGGCCCCAATCCGTTACTTTGTAACCTCCAGCTTGCTGTGGCCCGGGTCTTGAGGATGAGTGGCGCTGCGGACATTATTGCACAAATCATAGATGATGGAGATGACTCAGATTTCCCCCACGTTTACATTGCGTCGCCAGCGTTTTGTAGCATTCTTACTGCTCAACTCCAACTTGCAGGAGGTGTTTTTCTGTAGGCAATTAGTTACCTTGCTAGCAGGGTCACTTCCAGGGTCACAACTAATTCTACTTTCGCACCCTGTTGATATTGCTATTATAGCAGCGTTGGCAGTAACAATGGCAAGGGCTTTGCGGTAATGTGAGTGGAACGCTACCGCAGCACGACGAAGGTATGACGGCCCCAGTGACAACAAATGGCTATATGTTGTTATAACCTCTCTGTTCTTCTCTTCCTTGTTCCTCGTCATCCTTGTTTTTGCGTTACCCTCCTTCCCCGGTCTCCTCCCTGTTGTATATACAATTTCCAGAAGTTCATGCCACAAATTGAAGACGACCCGGTAACCACTGGCATTTGCCAGGACTGTTGCCTTGCTACTCTGTTGCGTCTCCTCCTGCGTGCACACAAGACAGTATAATTCATCCATACTCCGCTGTCGTGACTAATCCAGCTAGACCTCGTTAAGACCAAAGCACAAGACCATGCAACTGTCAGAATACAAAGACGCCCGCACACCAAGGACAAGCTACTCAGCGGGATATTCAAGCGGGGGAAATATCTCTTGTAACCGCGCAGCTGTATAAGTAGCTAATGGCAAGATATCAGACAAAAGAAGTATCTGGAGTTGCGCCGAGACAAGACAAATAAATAACATATTTAACAGCTGATATGGGATATGGGGTAACTGTGAAGAGGTCGGAGGACGATCTGGGGAAGACCGACTCATCGAGTGGGTATCGAGAAAGGCGAGGACAAAGCTCCACGAGGTTGCGATCGTGAATGAATGTCCTGAGCCATAGCCAATCAGAGACTGAGGGAGCGAACGGACATGCTAGATTGCCTACAGAAGAACACCCCCTGCAAGTTGGAGTCGAACAGTAAGAATGCTACAAAACGCTGGCGATGCAATGTAAATGTGAGGAAAATCTGAGTCATTTCCGTCATCTATCATCTTTGTGATAATGTCCGCAGCGCCACTCATCCTCAAGACGCGAGCCACTGCAAGTCGGAGGTTACAAAGTGACGGATTGGGGCCTGATCCGAGTCGTGCTGCCTCAGGGCCTCCTCCGAAGGCAACCTGATCCCCATCGCAAAGGCGAATGAATCCGGGGCCCTTCGCAGTCGAATAGGGAACTCTCCTATAGATGTATTTAACCTTGGGATTGATGAGTGATGGCAGAGCACGTCGAGCTTGAAAATCGCACCATTCCATTCTCGTTGCGGGCCTCAATCCCCCAGCGAATGTTATCGTATGCAGTGTGTGCATCTGATTGGATAAGCATAAGGTTGCCTGGGCCATTCAACTGTTCCAGAACAAGGTCACAGACGGCTGTCCCAGCGAGCATGGCAATACACTTGATAGTCTCAGGCTGCGCAATATAGAACAAAGATTAATGAATGCCACCTTAAAATCGTAACGCTAACCTTGTTATGGACCGAGTTAGGAATTACATGGGCCAAAATTGGATCAACACCATACTCAGGGTCGAATGGTACGCCAGTCAATGGACAAGATTGGCCGTCACGTTTGAATATCTGAATCAAAATGTTGAGCATTTTTATAGTAGATGTGTCATTCGCTTTCACGACACACCAGAGCTTCCAGAGCAGCTTGTTTCCTAGTTCCGAGGCCTTCTGAGGCAGCCATCTGCAGGAGTTCGTCGGTATCCTTTGCGATGAGTTCGTTAACCGAGGGGGGTGTGCTGCTCCTAGATTTACGACCACTGGGATTCATAACCAATACTGAGTTCTTCACCAGTTTCACAGGAGGTTGATATCAGGACCTACAAGCAATGCAAAGATGGGTAAAAAGTTCTGTGCCCATTTAAAATATTGGAGAGAAGTTGACCGTTTCTCGATTGACCCCTTCGAATAACATGGTTTCAGAATGAAGGGGGGAAGAAAATTTTGTGTCCCGAAGGATCGTAACTGAGAAGGGATATCAGTAGAGAATCTTCATGCAGGAGAGGATCTCGACACACTATTTTCCTCGAGCCGGGGATGACATTGCCCAAGCACGACCCAGAAATGATCAACTAAGGTTCCGCCTAATGCTTGTGATTCGGCGATGAAACCAGACAAGAGTTTTGGTATGATCGACTTGAACTTGCTACCTTGATCTCCTGACGCTTGAATGCGATAAGTGAGAGGCCAGTCCCATGACTCCACCGCTTCCATAACAGCCAAAGCATGCCCGTCCATCGTGGTAAGTTGACGTCCGTAAGAACGAGAGTTCTGAGCACATGACAGATGGCCCTTGTGTCGGAAAACGGGGATTTCGTTAACGTTGTATTGTACGGGGTTTTCCGACAGTCACTTCGGCATCTGTCAGCTCATGGCCACCCCTCGCGCACCGTCTTCGTTATCCAAGGTTCTTACCCAACTCAAGAAGACGCCCGCACCATCGCTTCCTGCTGCCATAAAGTCATTGAAACTGACACTTGCAAGGCGAAATGCTCATTTCGGCGCACGGTATGTCAAATAGACGCGCGAGGAACGCTCGCAGTGTGATTTCGCTTACGATGAATCGCTTGACCAAAGGCATTTCTTGAAGGAAGAGGTACCGCGAATAGCGTATGTTAATCCTTCCTTAGTCATAGAAGTCGAGCGCAAAGAGAAGTCCAAGGAGGAGGATTGGGACCCGGAACTGGTCGTTCAATATGGTACATGCATTCATAACTCAACGTCATTTCTCTTCGTGCCATTGACATTCTCCGCCTCAGCTGACGGGAGTACACACACGATTAACATGCAGCAGAAACATTCGAGTAAAATTCTCGCAGAGTTACTGGCACTCAATGATGCGGGTCCGAAACGGTCACGATCTTCAATTACTGTTTGACTTTTCCAGTGCTGGATCCCTGCGAATCCACGTAAACAATACATGAAAAAACTGTAACTACTATATTTGATACCTCGAACCAATTCTGCTTTGCAACGGCACCTTCACTGTCTCATCGTCATAATCTGGATTATGAACAAAGCTCCAGCCTGAGTGCCTAAGACGACTAACACTTAGGAGGGAGTACTGAGGACAGCGCCATATTGGGAGCCGGGTGACTTGCCCAGAAGTGTCTCTTCCTCTGTGAGCCGTGAACTGCTGTTGGAGCTCAGTTCCTGTATGGGTTCGCCACGAAGAAGTGCGGAGTTCCCTTGTGCAGTTTCCACCAGGGTTAAAGGCGGGGGGTCACTGCGACCGATCATCGGCGTTACCGGAAGGATCATCGGAGTGCCAGCACCCACAGAGGAGCCATTGCTCATGCGACGAATATGTTTCTCACGCTCCACAATCCTGAGATGTATATGACGTCAGCACGTCTGCTACGGTAGTTACTAATGATATTGGCTTCACCCTTTCATGATAGCAGCAGTTGACATGCGTTTCGCTTTCAGCTTGGATTGGTTCGACTCGTACCTATCCGTCTCATCGACTATCTCTTCCTCGATTATCTCTTCAATAATGTCTGCAGTTGGGGTTCCTCATTCCTCAGAACGAGATATGTAGTTGTTGATAGAAGAGCAGCATACCTTCAAGGGTTATCACGCCGATGGCTCCACGGGGTTCTCCTGGGTGCTCCGATATTAGTAGTAAATGGGCACGACCCGTTTGGCTGGGGGGAGGTCGAAGGTGTCAAACAGCTCGAAGACCAAAAACGCCACCCCTCGCTTACAAGTAGTCCAGAGCCTTCAAAGTCCGATCAGTGCGTGGACAGTGGCGAACGTTACTGTTTTTGGCTTGCCTGGAAGCAGTTTATAGTCGGTTTCGCCTCTGGAAGAATTGATAATGGAAAAGCATCAACAGGGAGTTTATCATCAGGATCGTACGTAATAAGCTGTCAAGGGAGCTCAGCATTGAAAAGTAAGTAAGACTCAGCACGCTCTCACCTTTTTGATCAAAAGCAATCCAATAAAATGGTGTTTGTTGTTGCCTTTGTAGATCGGAAAGCGCGAATAACCGCTTGTTAAGCTGTGAGATGATCAGCAAACAGTCGCCGCCAGCATAGAAGAGACAAACAGCTTGTCGACCGCTGCGTGATCAAGAATCATGTTGGAACTGATTGTTACGACGTCCTTTATAAAATAAACGATTAACTAAAGAACCGCAATGCATTGCACTCCGGCGGCTCACCTTGATCGGCGTCATAATTTGATCGATTCTTTTGTCGTTTAGGGAAAGAACACCGTCAAGGATGGCAATCTCATCATCTCTGAGCGGCTCTGAAGAATTACGATGAAATTTGAGGAATGTGCGAAGCTCAGCCTTCTTATATGTTGTATCTTCGGATTCACCTAGAACACGATCCAGCAGTTTTGCAGTGGGCCAGGCGACGGGTGCTAAGACGAACAACCGGTGAGATGCGAATAACAGTGAGGACCGTGGTGTTTACCAAAAATATACATTAATGCCAGCACAAATGGGGCGCATCGAGCCCCGATTTGCAGTCCGTATCTAAGCACTTGACCATGAGCAAGCATCAAGTAGAACAATAGATACCAGCCTTGCGCAAGCGGCTTGAGGGATTATTCTAACAAATCGCAGTTGAGGTGAGGTGAAACACGATTAACTCGGGAGGCGGGAAATGCGCACTCGCTGTCTTGAAAATTAGACATAACACACACAAAGTGAGTACGGGATAAGCTCACCCAAAAATAACAACCATGACTGTAGATATAACTACAGCAGTAAATCCGGCCCCAATCTAACAGAAGGCTCTCAGCGTGCAGTTCATCCAAATGCAGTAATGGACATACCGCACTGTCCAAGAATATCGGCAAGCTCTCGTTGATGATCTTGGCAAAAGGGGCGTATTGAGTTACATGATCATCCAAGTCACAGATGCATTGGATAAGGACTGACAACGTTCCCAAGAAGCAAAACCTTAGAAAGGGAGGCTGTTATGCAAGAATAACGCATCGATGCACGTTCACAATGAACGCACCACAAGCACCCAATGACGACCCTTATCGAGAAGTTTTAACACTGTATTCGCGTTTTTGCGTTCCTCTGCATCATCTGAGGACGAGGCGAGCACTCGTAGATGCAGAAGGTCCAGGCCCATAAGACCGAGAGTCAAACCTGCAAACACTCCCCCAGCAAGGACTAGTATGCAGCTTATACCAATCCTCCACCAAAAAGTAGCACTCCCCCATTCAGGATATACCTTGTGTTTATGAGCTACGACGATGAGACCTGGAACAGGTGCCGCATGAACTGCAGCGCGTAGAACCATGAAGTAAGCAGCTTTCCTCCGAAGCATGTTGCCAGGAATCCTTATCAGATTCGAATATGGGCCTCAGAGATTAGACACCCCGTGTGACTTGAAGGCTGGGCGTCTCCAGATCCAGGCTAAATTCTCATTCTATATAGGTCATCGGGAACTAATTCAACGGAGACCGCCGACTCATACACCAGGATACCAGGATAACCCAGGACATCGTCGACGATGGGAAATGATGGAGGAAGGTGGGCATAACCTGGTCGTTGACATCCTACATGCTCTCTCTTATGTTTCCGACTCTGCAGCATCCCGGACCGCCGTGATTTGGTGAAAAGTAAGCCCAAGGTATCTCTATTTTGCGATAAGCTCTCTCTCGCTAGTTCTTATTATAGTTCTAGGCTGAACAGGCGGACAAGAACAATCGGATGATTGCTCAATGGTTTTTCTGCGCTCTTTCAAAGGTGCGTATGCGGCGTTTCGACTGCTTGACACCACTGATACTATCCCCATTAGAGAGAGTTACAGGATCCTATTGTCTCATGCGAGCTTGGCAAGTTATATAACAAGGATGCAATTCTGGAGTATTTGCTAGACAGATCGGCTTATGGAGATGGGGAAAAGATATGCGGGCATATCCGATCTCTGAAGGTATGTCTTCTATTTCCTCACTGTTAATAGGTGAACTTCATGCCTGGGGCAGGATGTTAAAACGCTTACGCTGACAAAGAATCCTGTCGAACCGCCGAATGATGGCAAGGACACAAATACACGACACCCTAAATTCATATGCCCCCTGACCCTGAAAGAAATGACCGGCGCTGTGCCCTTCTGTTACGTTGCTACTTGTGGGGACGTTTTCTCGAGCGCTGGTCTTCGCTCTATATCAACATCCTCCAAAGACACGCCCTCTCCCCCACCTTCTGATGCAGTCTCATCAGCTCCTTCCGTCCCCATTTCTTCGCCCCTCGACCTCTGCCCGCAGTGTGGGACAAAATTTACCAAGGCCACAGATATACGTCTCATCAATCCATCCCCTGAAGTAGCAGAACGCCTTCGCGAGGAGATGATCGCCCGGCGAGCCGCTGCGAAACCGAAGGGTAAAAAACGGAAAGCAGGAGCAGAAGGAGTCGAAGCAACAACGGAGAAGGAAAACGGTGACTCCGCGAAGCGTGCCAAGCAAAACGGTGGCAATGATTCCCCAGCACCAAGCATGAACCCGTCTCTAGCTTCCATCAACCGCAAGGTCGCTGCGGACCTGGCCGAGGAAGAGAAGAAACGAAAGGAGAAGATGAGTTCGGCTGTCGCGAGCCTTTATGGAGACCCGAAGGAAAAAAATAACAGCAAAGAGACGTTCCTTACCATGGGTACTTTCACTAGAGTAAGCAGTCTTACATTCGCTTTCTCGTCCTTGGCCTTACTCATTCGTATTAGTATGCTTAACGAATATTCCGTGTGAACTTCTACATCGCTTTCACCATGAATTGTAATGTGTACATTCTATTGCTGAATATGTGTACGAATAATCCATCATCTTTGCAAAGATAGTACCTCATCCCTCTCCATTACAATAATCGACTTCTGATAGTTGGTGTTATCCGAGTCAGATCAAAAAGTAATAAAGCTGACATTGAGAATATGTAAAGGTGATAATATATGGTGATGGTAACAGGACGTCGGACATGGTGCTGGGTACGTTAATAGTTAATGCTAGTGGGATAAAGGAATTTAAAATAAAGCCAGGACCAAGACACGCGCAGTCCATGTCCGCATTGATGAGATGTTGTATCCTCCCTGACAAGCACTCACAGCGGAAGCCCGAAGCGAAGTGGTGATCAGATGCTGGTAACAACCCAAGAAGATATAAACCGAGAATGAGGTATTAAGAAAACTGAAAAAAAAAATGCTGACGGCAAACATGAAGGCAAATGCTGATCATTATTGGAAGCGATTGCGAGAACCCGTGTTGAGGGAATTGAGGATACAGTATCAGTATTGAGACAGAACCGACCCTGGAAGGATCCTCGAAAAATACATTCGTGAGGGGAAACGAAGGGCGGCGAGTGTCGAGCGGAAAGGGATAATGGCGGCGTTGGCATGTCTTATGGAGAGGCTGTGATTCCTACAAGAGTAATTCTTCGATCTATAATTGGGGGCATTCAACGTTAGTCGCCGATATGAATGATGAACGAGGGAAACGAAGCACGAGCGTGGGGAAATGACAAGAAAACGAAACTAACATGAGCCCGAAGGACGGCACTTTGAGTTCCATATTCCAAATTTGCAAGCGATCGGTGACAATTATTCATAATCGATGAACGACGTTGAATAAAATAATTTAAGGAGACGAAAATGCCCAAAACATGGTACAAGTTGAAGAGAGATCCATTACGATGTAAGTTGTTAACAATCACATAACAGAAGCCAGGAAGTCGTTCCGAATGTATGTTCATGGGTCGGTCCGTTTGCCGTTAGCCGAATTTCGGTGCGAGGGGCAGATTGTTGGAAAGCATGTTAGGAAAAGGGGAATTTTGGTCAGATCAGCGCTGCGTCATGGAGGTTCGAACGGAGAAGAATACTGGAGAGTTGTACGATGAGCGAACGGCTTCAATATATGCAAACGAGGCACTGGATGCAGCATGCTCCATGTGCCAGAGGCGGGGAAACGAGTAAAAAAATCCAGGTACGCACTCTGAAAAGGGATGGGACTCAGGGACCAGTGAATACTGGAATAACAAGATGCATACCTTCTACAGCTTTCATTATAATTTTTAGCGTTTTGGTATTGGTTGCAGTTGTATAACTGACCCGAGGAATTAGCAAAAAGATCACATCACTGTGTGCCCACGCCAATCCCGATGCACTAACTGTGTGTAAATATCACGCTCGCCTCCACGTTGTCTGTGGCACAAGCGAAGAAATCGGCCCTTGAAGTATTCCATACCGGCCCTCGGATCTTGATCAGGTCCCTCATAATCCTAATGTGGAATGAGTTGATCATTGGAAAATGCAAGCCCGAACACTCACCGGGAAGTTATCGCGAATAGCAGAATATTGGACTTTTGTCTCAAACAAGTCTTTCTTATTGAAGAACAAAATCTAGAGAAAGAAGGCTTCCATCGAAAACGCGAAGGAAAAGACAAGGGGATCAGACTGACAAAGGGAGTCTCGAGGAAAATTCTGTTGTTACAAATGGAGTCCCAAACTTCCATCGCGTCCTGCATTTGATTCTGGAATGGTATTGCTATTAGACCCACCCCGACGAAGACTCTGGCATTCGAAGCTTACCGCGTGACGATCCTCAAACATGCACTGATCATAGCCGTTGAGGCTGACCAAGAAGAGTATGGCATCGATATCAGAAAAGGCATTGATCCATTTCCGTCTTTCAGATTTCTGTCCACCGACGTCAATCATGTGGAGATACTTTCCGCCGAGGCGGAACTTGGTTTCTGTCATCCCCGTTGACCGTACACGGCAATGCAGTAGATCCTGAGGACACGCGTGGGTGCTTCATGTGCCCATAAAGATGCACCACTTACCTGATCGTTAGGCAGGTAATTTGGTTCAAAAAGCCTTTGGAGGTCATCAAAAAAGCTGCAAGGTACTCGATTTCAGTAGCGTGATGTGGTGTTTGCAAGGGGACAATGCCATACTAAGGTAAACTGCAAACACGATGTCAGACGTGTCAGACGTTGCATTTATTGAAAGGCACTTACTTGTCAGGCAGGGCGGCCTCGTTTGCACGAGCATACATCCTGCGAATCCCTGAATCATTCCACAGGGCAGCGAGGTGGGCCTGCATTGGGGCGGGAAACGAGTCCCCTTCTTTGATGTCATGGTTCCCTCCGAGAGCGATGGCATGCACCTGTAGGCAAAAGTTCTACGTCAGCACAACCACGAATCATGAATCCGGTCAACGGTTGTGACCGACCGTGTTGGCAGGATCGAGGGCAAGTTCAAAATCTTCGAGGGCGTTTATAATTTCTTTCAACCCATCAATCATGTTGCTATATACAACCTGGCGGTACGTTTCCAGTTCAGCTGGAGTGAACGCCATGTTATGAATAATTCTCATTTGCTGTAGCACACGCTCAGTAAGCAGACGCGCAAGGAGCAACGACAACGGACCTTTACAATCGTCGATTTTCCCGAATCACCGGAGCCAAGTAGTAGGATTCGCTCAATATTGGCATCCTTCGCTTTGTCCTGAAAGTAATCAAAGTCGACACGCGGTGGTGAGACATGTATGCAGCGGCGAAACCAGGGTGTATCTCAGACATACTTCCTTCAACTGCCTCTCGATCTCCCTATGGCGCCGCCTCTCCTCTTCCGTCCCGCTGTCCATGCCATTGGAAGACATACAAATGCCCATTGTGAGGAGCTAGTAATGATAGATAGTGGATGACTGCCGGAGAAATTGAAGAAGCTGTTCCAAGCCAGCAACAGAAGAGTGAAACAAAGCGTCAGAAGACAGAAGAAGGTAAGCGAGGGAATGGAATGGAAGGGAATGGAGAGGAGGGATGGAAGGCTACAGGATCCTCGATGAAAGGGAGGAAGAGGAATGAATCTATTCGGAGAGTCGACCCAATTGAGCAATGGCGACCTCGGCAAGTGCCCAATCATTTGTTACGCTGGCGGTTCATGTGACAAACACGTGTCTTGGACATCCAAACACCCTTGCTCCGATCGCTTTTTTGTACACGATAAGGCTAGTGTCCTGTAACCTGCTTCACTCACAGGCTCTGGCCCTGCAGTCCCAGTTCTTTCTTCGTCTCATTCATGTGTCACGTTCTCATGATACAGCAATTCCCTCTTTGAAGAACATCGACGACGGGGGGAGGTGATGCTCACATAACTGCTCCTGCACCCCTCGATTGACCCGCTTGTTCTTTGTTTTTCGCTCAAGACGAGCTTGAACCAATGGTGCCATGGTAACCCAGGAATTCATTCGTTCTTTCTTTGATTCGGTGGACACCATCAAAACAAGGCTATCAAAACAGGCTACTGGTTGATAATACAAGTATCCAGCGCAACACCTTTTAGGAAAGCTCGCCTCTTCAGCTGCTGCGACTCAATTGCGAGGATGCCGTAACCCACAGGTGCTCCGTCGTCGGAGATGGTAGTTGTTCCCGAGCATCCATTTCCTTCTTCGAGCGACACACGTGAACTCACTTGGGCCGAGCACACTCACTGGGTTCGTCTTTGGTAATAACGATCTACATTTCTCTGCCGTGGCGAGAGACCACAACGCCGCGGCGAACTTCGAAGGGGAATGATATTTCCACAATCACTTTGATGGTTCCTGGGTACTGCGACAACAGCTCACTGTTGCACTGATACGCATGGTTCATTGAACTTGTTGCCGAACGATTTGGTTATAGCGAAATTTACTCATTCTCAGCGCCCGCAGCAGATCGCACAGACATTCTTACAGCAAGCCCGTAGCTCGACTACAAATCCACGTAGGACGGTTTGTATCTTAAGTCCCCTTCTCATGTGTGTCAATGCTATGCCATCGGATTCTCGATGCTGACCCAAAGAGAAACTACTAACGTCGCAAGTAAACGAACAATCGAAGTCACTTTCGCCTATGCCAAGCCATTTGCTAGGAGCTCTAAAATGTCCACTTCACCTTCTAGCAAGGGTCTCTGGCGTGGGAAAAGCATAGATGGCATCCTCCAGTGAAGTGTATATCTCTTTTGTATACCTACAACAGGATCGGATCAAATTCCGAGACCACCGGTCACTTCTAAAGTGTGTCCTGAGATATAAGAGGCGAGAGGTGAGGCCAAACTGAAATGATTCAGATCAGCACCCCGGACTCTTAGCTGTGCAAAGCAAACTTACAAGAGGATGGCAGCACCGGCCTCGTCGGGAGTACCACCGCGCTGGAGAGGAATAGGATTTGGAACAGGCGGCGCAGCTGCTTTCTTGTCGCCAGTTGGAGCAGCGGGCTTCGGTACGCCCAGAGCAATCTTCTTGCCTCCGATTTCGATGGATGCGCCATCAGCCTTGTTAGCGGTCAGGCGGGTCTCAATAAAGCCATAAGCGACCGTATTGGCACGGACACCAAACGAACCCCATTCTTTCGCGATAGTTCTTGAGAATAGATTTCAAATTAGCAATGGCCCACATCGGCATTCGACTACCTACTTTGACATACCAACCACGGCAGCTTTCCCCTATATGAAAGAAATGGTTAGGCATACAGGTAAAACTTTTTCGAAATGGATCCCTACGGCCGCGTAGTTGATTTGTCCTGCGTGGGAACACACCGAGTTAATGTTTGCCTGAGTTGCATTGAAGGAATGTCTTACCAACGTTTCCGTGCAAACCACTGGTGCTCGAGACATTTACAATTGACCGGTTTTCCTTGCTACCCTTAATACGCAAATACGGTGCTGCGGCACGGATAAGGCGGAAAGGAGCGCGGACGTGAACCTTGAGGATGATATCGAACGTCTGGTCAGTCATGGCTATTCATTGAACGCACGAATATCAGTGATAAATGATTAAGAATACAGTCAACAACCCACTGTGAATCATTTTGTCGAATGTGAAGCCAGCTATCATAGAACCATGGTGAATCATTGGAATCTCGTATTGGGAGTTACTCACCATTGTTGATGAGATGATTAAGTTTGCCGTATTTGCTGAAAGGTCAAAGTGTGAGGTTTTCGTCTGTGATGCACCGAAGCCTTCTGATGACACTGACTCGATGGTGGCTTTTATGATTCTGTCCGGGAAGTCCTCTGCCGACACATCACCTCCAACAGCAATCGCATCACCACCAGCAGCACGAATCTGTGAACCAAGAGGTGGAGTGTACGATTTGAACGAGAGGTTCGGCAACTATAAATGTGACCAACTGACCTCCTCAACGACAGCCTCAGCTTTCTTCGCATCCAAGCTTTCCGGGATGCATAAGTGTTAGCGCAAGCACATCAACTGCATCTCATCCACTCACTCCGACACGACGACTTTTGCGCCTTCTTTAGCAAATAAGAGAGCCGTCGACCTTCCAATCCCTTGTGCAGCGCCTGAAATGAATAAGGTCGAAAGAATGCGATGCGAAAGCGGATCGTGAGTCTCGAAAGAATTCATGCCCCATTAGTGCGTGATGAAGCCCACCAGTAATGATGGCAACCTCGCCAGCCAGAAGGCCTCGAGGATGGTTGTTCGAAAGGTGTCCTTGCACTTGAGTGAGACGGGCGGCCATTGTAACGAAAAGTTGGGGAGCACGGTGGGCTGCGCAAGCGGAGCTCAATTAATAGTGCCCGTTGCGAATTGAGTCACATTTTCACGGGATTCCTGATCCGGCAACTTATACGTCCAACTCGGGATGACAACAACAGTCGGGGGCAAAGGCATAACCCGGCTGCAGAACTGCCGATAGAATCAACATCAACAGCTACACACGCCGTGATGGTTGGCGGACGGAGCCCGGCATTTAATTAAAGCCGGGAACCCGTGACTTGAACTCCTTAGCGCACGGCGTCTATCCGTGGCGGAAACATATGTTGGTCCCGATAATACTCAACTCGTCCATATGCCTATTTCAATTAAACGGTGTTCCTATGGGACTTCGAGTTTTCGGTCACTTGCAGGTTAATTTGTTCGATTACAAAAGGGACACACTCAGAGACGCGCGTCGTGATGCTGGGTTACCTGAAAAGTGTGCAGCGCAACTTGTATTGTATCTCCTCAATATCCGCGGACAGCAGTGAGTGCAATTCATTCAGCCATTACTGCTTCACCCACTCCTTCCGTGCCTTGGCCAGGTTTTTATAGATCGAATCCTCATTGCCCTCGAGGATCGCGACGTTTGGTAACGAAAACTTCTCCAACTCTGTCGTGTCAACCCCCACGGACTGGGCGGAGGCTGGGTCAGTTGAAGCTATCTGATGAGGACTTGGAAGCTCACGTACCGGGCCATTGTTGGTCGGTGGAGTGTAAGGTCGAATGCTTTGCGCGAACCTGAAGAATTCGTCGGGGTCCCATCGAGCCTTGACTGTTTGCAGTCGAGGATAGTTTTCGTCGTAGTACGCCTCTGTCCAGTTTGGGAGGGTCCTATCGATGTAATTAATATAGGCTGCTTTTCCTTTCAGAATGAACGGCGAGAGTTGGTTCCTGCAGTCATCCATGAAGTCGATCACTTTTTTGGTCATATCCAGACTGTTCCATTGGACTTTGATGTTGGCGACGTATAGACCATCCCGCCATGGAAATGCCGTATCCGTGGAACCCACTCGAGCAGTAGCCCCACCGATGTGGTCCCATAGGACGTGAGCTTTTCCCTTACCGCCTGCAAGGAGCTTTTTGGAATCCTGCATGATCTTGATGATCCTCTTTGTAAGCTCGGAGGGAATGGATCCAAAAATGAAAGACGAGTGGTGGTGATACACCTTGCTCCTGTGATCGAAACCTTCCTCGACAACCACCCAGTTGCGCCACGGCATTTCTACCAGGTCACTTGCTCCTCCTGCCGGATTATACTTCAGCAAGGGATCGATCACTTCCAGGCACTGGGTCCTGTCGCCATTATAGATGACAGTCATCTGCCCGAGCAACTGCTGATTTTCGTTGTAACGCCAGATCGCGTCGACAGTGAGCTCATCTGGCCACTCGTGGGTATTGAATGTATCCATCATTTGGAGGTACGCCCTCTGAGCTTCCTTGTCATCCAACACCCATGTGAGCTCGCCACACACAACTTGACCATTTGCGTCTGAGAGCTGGTGAACACGCGACTTGAATTCCACGAGAATGCCGAAGTTACCGCCGCCTCCACCGCATAAAGCCCAAAATAGATCCTTCTTCAGCGGGCTCGTGTCGTCGCGCCGGACCTTCACTACCTTTCCTGCAGCCGTGACGATTGTCATCTCGATAACGTTATCGATTCCTAGACCATAGCTGCGCGAGAAAGTGCTACATCCTCCTCCGAGCGTGAAACCAGATACGCCAACAGTTGGGCATTGCCCGCCCACGACCATATTCGCCAAATCCTTTCTTTGAAGTACGGCGTACACGTCTTTCCAGATGCACCCCGCCTCAATCGTTACCTCGGTACTCTGTTCATTGATGCGAACGTTCTTCATCGCGCCCAGATCGAGAACTATGCCGCCATCATTGAGGCAATAGCCAGCGTATGAGTGTCCCCCATTTTTGACAGTTAAACGAATTTGATTGGTGCGCGCCAAATCCACAATTTGTACGACCTCCTCTGTGTTACGAGGCTGTACGACGGCAATGGGAGTCAACTTCTTGTACAAGAGATTGCCGATGAAAATTGCTCTTTCATATTCTGTCGAATCTGGAGCATAACGAATGACTTCCCCGTATGGAAGCATGTCGACCATCTGGGAAACGGTATGAATAGCGTGGACGAAGGACCATCCTACGTCAGTCCCTACTACTCCCGGGGCACGTATTTCCTTTAGCTGAGAGCAAGACATAACTCAGCTCTGCCCAGAGAGATTGATCAAGTGGCTCACAGTTAAGGCGATGGACCGTACTTCTTCCTCCTCTAGATCGCTAGAGGTCAGGATATCCGGCCGTTCAGGCCTAAATATGGGGAGACTTGTGCCCACACGGATTTGGCCCGTTCTAGTCGAAGCTGGAAGGCGTGCAGCAGAGGTCATGATCAATTCTCAGAATTTTACGCTAGGACGGAAGGGACTGACTGCGTCTTTTATACAGTGTTCCGATCGATTATCGGATTTCGATCTTCGTTCACCTCGATGGGATTACGAATGAAAAGGTTCAACCCGTCAACATCCCCATTTGGGGGCTGCACTTTGTGACCAATTTGAACCTTTCCCATTCCCTAAGTCGTCAATAATGCCTCAACAATTAGCATTGGCTTACCCATCACTTCACACAATGAATCCAAGCTTGGGCAGCCAATGCTCATCAAGGCTATGTTCGTACAGTTACACGACAATGTAATGCCCACGTTGTTGGCCATCCCATGACTTGGTTCATTATCCACGTCGTGAGGTCCTGAGCCCGTTATCTTTGCGTGGCACACATGCCTGGCGGATTCCTGTGGCCGTACCTCCGCTGGGCCATAGCGCAACGAGGACAAAGACGCGGCTTGTCATCTAGACATCATCCCTAAGCCCTGACGTATGAACACATAAGGGCACGACACCTCCAAAGCTGTTGGGCAGACGTGCGCGGGTGCTTCGCATGCTCCCCATTTGGCAAATGGATTCCGACCGGCTCACACGGGGCTTGTATTGTGTTATGGTTCACATTCGATTTCTCAGTAGAAGACGTGGACTGCTGATCCTGGTTGAACTGTGACCTATGCTGCATCACTATGGTGCTCCCATATCTTCACATCTAACCACTACCCCTGAAGTCAGCGCAATTGATATGATAAGACTCAGGCTCGATTTGGATTCCAACCTGCCCGCTGCACCTTGTGACCAATTCGATCCTCTCCCATTCCCAAGACGTCAATATCTGCAGACCTAAGAGAGGATCTGGGCTTATCGCTGCAACACCCACTGGAATTCAAGCTCGAACAGCCGATAGCCATCAAGGCTATATTTGCCCAGTTCCACAAATGCAATGTAGCTTATGCATCTCACAACTCAATTGGATATTTACTTTAATTTCGGCGGACCTCCAATTCCGTTATGTTAGCACAGGCACACATGCGGCATGCCTCGTGCACTCTGAATCCTCAGGAAATGAAGCAAGGAGGACCAAAGTAGGATTTACAGATTTCCATCTTTCGTCCGAAAGACATCGCTCCTGATGGTTGTATGAACACAAACTTGTCTGACAGACTTGACTTGGTTGCAAAGAGTAACATTGAATTGAGTGACTCTGTTGAACTTCGCTTCCGTCGGCATATTGAAGTTCGAGCTACCCGCAAGACGGGTCTCATTCTGTCTCGTGAGACGACTCCGTGCAAGAAGCAGTGCATATCCTACCCAATGACAAATGTCCTTCTGCATTGAGTCTCTCTGGGATGGAGCTCCTGTTTGGGGTCATTCGCCCCCGGCACGCACACCGATTACGGGTGACATTTTATTCAGCGTGGGGAGCTATTGGAGTACTCACGCTGGGATGTTGTACACTGGCTAACTTATAATATGAAAGGATTCCAGTTGCTTCTCTGGTCGTCTTTGGGTTGGACGAAGGAGTGTCCGGACTCAGGAGATCTAAATTGGGAATACACTGATTTGACAAGGGCCAGCGACATACGTGGTGTGTGCTTTCCTGCACAACGGTCGTCAACAGTATTCAGTTTCCCTAATACGTACAGGCGTACTTCCGTTCCGGCTGACACGATCAAGTAGAAAGGGGGATATGCATGGTACTAAAGCATTGCGAGATTAGGCACGCTGACTGAGCAGCAATGCTGACAGCCCATATGACGATTTCACTAGCTGGAAAGCAAGCAATGCCATGAATAAGGGTCAGTGGTGTCCCACAATGATTCTCGACCAACAGGTTGACCTGTACGTCGCGTTGAAGGGGTCTCGAAGGTACGAATATTAATTGAAGCGGTTGCGATAGTGGTTACCACGGGATGCGAAAAGCGATGCATACACTCGTCGTATCGTTATCGAGACTGAGATACAGCCGGTGACCAAAGCGTATTCCGGACTGATACAACAACAGTAAGTACTGCATTTGTGGGGTTGGGGGTTGGCTGGTTGTGTTGGTATGGCTGGATTATGACGAGAGGGGTGGCGACACCCACTAACCGGCTATCTTGGAACGATCACTCGGCATCAACGTAGACGCCATTCTTCCCATGATTCTATAAGACGAAATGGAGGACTGGCGAGTTATCGCTCAGTCCCGTTGTACGTGAACTAATATAGATTGGAATATAATCACCTAGCGAGTTATCGCTGGGATACATGAATGAGTATATCGATAGCGGATACAGTAAGAAGAGGTTAAAAACTTAGACTCACCTCAGTCCCATTGTACGTGAACTGAGGAAAAATCGTAAGACCCAAAAACTCCTGCTTTTATAGCCAGGCGCCATGAATGCGCACTGACTTTGGCAGCGACTGTTCCAAGAAAGGAAACAAGCGTAAATCATGACCGCCGCTAGACTCAACATCAACAAACGTGAGTTGGCCTCAGCGTACGCTACGATCCCAAGAATTCTAATAGATTCTAAACACTAGAGTAGAATCACTGAAAGCACTCATCTCGCCTGCGAGGGCGATTGTGAACATTGTCATGACTTTTAAGGAAGAACTTGAGTTCACTAGTAGGGCGTGGAGACTGATGCTAGATAAATGCTGGCACATGGAAGTCCCCGACGGACATAAAAGAACATCCGAGCTGCGTGGATCGCCGCCCAAGCTGTTGGACAGGATTCACTATATGGAACTGCTGGATCCTGATAGACAACCTGATGGACTAGGGAGAAAAGGGAACCGGTACATAATTTCAGCATCATAAGCGTACGTAGTTACGTAATATGCGTGAGTTTGTACGGACACTGACAGAGAGTTGTATTATATCCTTTCAATATCCACGGACAACGTCAATAAAGTGCGATTCATCCGGTCACCTCCTGGTTCTTCGCCCACTTCATTCCGTGCCTTAGCATAAATTGAATCGTCATTAACCCTCGATCATCGCGATGCTCGGCAACCAATACTTCTCCGGAATCGTAGGGTCACCCCGCGAGGAACGGTCGGGCTGGGCGGGAGCTTGGGCGGTTGAAGCTGTCTGATGAGAGGTTGAACGTTTGCGTATCCAGCCCCATGAAGTGGGAAGTTGAATGCTTAGCGGGGACTTGAAGAAGTCGGCAGGGTCCCATTCGGCCTTGACCGTTTGGAGTCGAGGATAGTTTGTGTCGTAGCACGCCTCTGCCCAGTCGTTGAGACTGGCATCGATAAAATTAAGATAGGCTGCCTTTTCTTTTAGAGCGAACGGCGAAAGGTTTCGCCTGCACCGATCAGTGAAGTCCTGCACGCTTTGCTCCATACTCGAACTGCCCCATCGGAGTGTGAGCCTGGAGACGTATAAACCGTTTCGCCATGGGAATGGTGTGTCCGAGGAGCCTACTCGAGCAGTGGCCCCACCGATGTGGGCCCACATGAAGCGAGCATATCCTCCATCGCCTGCAAGGAGCTTTTCGGCGTAATCCATCATATCCATGATCGACTCTACAAGTCCGCGTCGGATAGAATCGAAAATGAAGGATGAGTAACGAGGATACCCCTTGCTCCCGGCAGGATCGGATTCTTGCCTATCCACCCATTCGCGCCACGACATTTCCACGGGCCACCATGCGGTGGGGTCAAAAGCAAGCAAAGGAGCGATGAGACCACTGCAGGATTCTTTTCTACCGTTATAAAAGACATGGAGCTGCCCGATCAACTGTCTTGGCCTTGGTGGCGCCTCATCGTAAACCCAGACCGCCTCCATACAGAGCTCATCTGGCCAACTGGGGGCAAGTTCATCGAATAAACGCATCATCGCAAGGAACCTTAGCCGAGACTCTATGTCACCTAAAAACCAGGTGAGAGTGCCGAAGGTGCAAAGACCATTTGGGCTCGAGAGCCTGTGCACACGCGACTTGAATTCGGTGACGATGCCGAAGTTACCGCCGCCTCCGCCACATAAACCCCAAAACAAATCCTGCTGCAGTGGATCTGCATCGTCGGGTCGGACCGTCACCACCTCTCCTGCAGCTGTAACGACCGTCATCTCAAGAACGTTATCGATTCCTAGGCCATAGCTGCGCGAGAAAGGGCTGGCTCCTCCTGCGAGTGTGAAACCAGATACGCCAACAGTTGGGCATAACCCACCCACAACCATATTCGCCGAATCCTTTCCTCGAAGTAAGGCGTAAACATCGTCCCAGACGCACCCTGCCTGCATCGTTATCTCGGTACTCTGTTCGTTGATCCGAACGTTCTTCATCGCACTCAGGTCGACAACTATGCCGCGATCATTGAGGCAGTAGCCGCCCGTTGAGTGTCCCCCACTCTTTATGGTTAAAATAATTCGTTTGTCGCGCGCGAAATTCACGATCTGTGCAAGCTCCTCTGCGTTGCGAGGTAGTACGACGGCACAAGGTTTTAACCACGTCGTGAAACAGTCGTTGTCGATGGTGATTGCTCTGTCATAGTCTTTCGAGTATGGAAGAAGGACTTCTCCATAGGGTAGCATCTCGGTCAACTCGTAAATGTCAACAGGGAGGGGGGTTCTTCGTAACTAAGAACAAGATACATCTCAGCCTTCCCCCAGAGAGATGGTTCAGGTGGCTCACGATTACGATAGCGGACTGGGCCTCTTCCCCCTCTTGCCCGCTAGGGGTCTGGGTATCTGGTCGTCGGTGTGCAGCGGAAGCCATGATCAGTTGTGAGAGTTTTTGCACTGGGACAGGAAGGACTAACTGCGTCTTTTTATACAGTGTTCCGGCCGATTATCGAATTTCAATCTTCATTCGCCTCGATGGAAGGAGGTTCAACCCGTCAGTACGCTTGTTTTGGAGCTGCACTTTAAACCTCTCCCATTCCCTAAGTCGTCGATAATGCCTCAACGGTATACATTGATATGTCCTCCAAGAGAGGATGACTTACCCATCGCTTCACACAAAGGTATTCGGGCCTGGGCGCAATACTCATCAAGGCTATGTTCATCGTGCAGGGTTTCCGGCCCGTTATTTCAGTCGCGGATTTCTGCTAGTGTGTCCGTACCTCCGCCGGAACGAGGACAAGGGCGCGACTTCTTATGCCTCTCGTCTGAAAGAATACATCATCCCTGGTGTATGAACGCGTAGGGGCCAAAGTTGTTGGGCAGACTTGTGTAGACAATGTGCAGACGCTTGCTCCCGATTTGGTAAATTAAATCCGATTGCCTCTCACTCACGGGGTCTGTCACAATTCATACTCGATATCTCAGCGCAATTCATGTTGTTACTCGGTGCTACTGTATCTTTACACCCCAACCACAGCCCCTGAAGCCAGCGCAATTCATGCTGTCACTCGGCACTACTGCATCTCTAGCAGCTACAGCCCCTGAAACCAGCGCAATTCACTCGATAGGATTCGATTCAAGAGGGGTTCCAACATGCCAGTTTCAGTCCTGCACCTTGTGATCAACCATCTCCCATTCCCAAGACGTCGATACCTGGCACACATGCCTCGTGCACTCTAGATCCTTGGGAAATGAAGCAAAGAGGCGTCCGAGAAAAGACATCGCTCCTGATGGTTGTATGTACACCCCAGAATTTGTCCGACAAATTTGCATAGATGCTTCGCAATACTGCCAGTTTGTCATATTAAATTCGGCTGGATCTCTCATATGGGGTTTATAGCAACAAGTATTGAGTGATGCCGCTCTAAGACAGCGGTTTATCCTCAATTTCTCAGGAGACATCAGATTGCTAATTCCGAGTGTACCCTGGTTTACGCTTTCTTGGTACGATGCTCTTAAATCCCAAAAACGCATATTTCCACCCTGATTTTCAGCCCTGAAGCCTTGCGACCCCTGCGATCTAGGATAGAAGCCAATCCCTCGACACGGATTCCATCCTCCCAGACAGCGATGTGAGGTAATACATATCTAGAGCACAAGTGCTCTAGCCACGTATTCACGTTTACGAGCTGCTCATGCATTAGTCGTCAATGGTTGGCCCCATAATGTGATCTCTCTAAAATCTCGACTCGACTAGGACAGTATCCCCTTCTCCCTGAACGATATTGGTCGTGCATAAGGGGATGGGTTGAACTACGAGGCACGACGTCGTAGAACCCTACCTGTTGGGTTTCGCTTCTATCTCCATATTGAAGTCCGGGCTACCAGCAAGATGGGTCTCACTCTGTGAACTGTCAGCAGTGTTCACATGAGGGTTGGCGGACGTCCTTTCCCACCAAGTCCAATTTAATATATGCCCTCGCTGCCATAGAGCTCTCATTCGGCGTCATCAGGGTCATGTTCGCCCCGGGAACATGCAGTGATGCACCGATGGCGGGTGACGTTTTGTTGAGGAACCAAGAAGTATCAGTGCGCGGAGTCCAATTAGTGCGTAGAGCCACGAACGTTGCACTGATGTCTTTATCGAAGTGGGGAGGAAGTGGGGAGGAAGAACATTGGTTTGACGGCTCCATGTGAGACGCTGAAAGTTGGCAAGCTCTTTGAAATACTCTGCAATGTTGAACACTAGCTCGCTTATGAATTTCAATGGCCTCCATGCTGCTCTCTCTGACCACCTTTGGGTTGGACACAATACCAGGTACGTGCAAGGGGGTGTTCGGATCCTGGAGATCTGGACTGCCCCTCTCGACGGCTCGAGTGTCCTTCTTTTCCAACGGCTGGGTGGACTAGGACGAAGCACTTCATTTGCACCATCTTGATGTCGCAACACCACTAGTCATCCCCTCATCGAGGTGCGGTGGTTCTCTGAATGAACTGTAGGTGAGCTGGCCTGCGCGTAGCAGCATGCTGAGGTTTCACTGCAATCAGGGGCCAAGGTAACTTATACAAAAATGAGGGTCCAAGGTGGCGCTGGAGCACTTGCTGATTTCAGCGCAAAACGTAGCTGGATGGTGACCTGCGGAACCTCCGGATTTTAGAATGTAATACCATTTTACGAATTATAGCATCAAATTTTCAATTGCCCACGATCGGTCGAGTCCACACAGTCCAACCCGGCTGGTCCACCCCAAAACCGCAAGAGATCCCTCCGTACGTGCGGTTGACATCCTGCGCTAACGCGCAACCGCCGCCTTGCCGTTCGCAATCGTCGCGATGATTCCCTCTTGAATTATTTCCCCCTAATGTGCTATTTCGACAACATTCGGGAGCCAAACCTCCCGTTTCTTTTGTCAATCCGTCGCTTTCTCGGCCAGCGAACCTCTACCCTTCCATCGCCGCACGTCGCTGCCGCCATAAACCTGCCCGTGCGTAACTTATTCTATTGAAAATATCGTAGGACGTTATCAATCTGAGTGGGTGCATTGCAAACGCGGACGATGAAGAACTTTTTTGGGTTCCATCGATCCCCCCTCTGTTTCTTATCGAAGTGCTACATCGTCTGGTGATGGATAGTCCATTCGTGATTCTTGGGCAATGTGCTCGGGGAATTTAGCTTTTTGGAGGGCCCGAAGTGGCTGCGTATGGTAACCAGCGAGGAGCCCGGTGCGGCACGGCTCCCCTTAAACATCGGATGGAGTATGTGAATGTAGGGATAGTTCTGGTCATCCACATCAGCCCATCCATATTCGTTATCTCGTGTTTCAACAATGTTCTCGTATTTCCATCATCGAGATTGCAATGAACGAACCACCCGCAGCATGGGTCTCATGTCCCGCACTATCTTCTATCGGCCTCGGAAGATATGATTTGAAATACGAGAAAACGAGTACAGTTGGGCCTACCTCGACAATTAGAACTGCCGCTTCATTCGCATACTGCGTCCTATGTTAAGGAAAGCTGCACCACTCCCCCCAGAGCAAAAGAGTGGGCGTTTCCGTCGCGTTGGACAACAGTAAGGACTTATCGAACTTCTTTCCCCTGTACCAATCGGGTAATTCTCACTTCGAGATGACTCCCAACCGGCTTCAAACGATGAGGTTGGGCTTCCCCCGGTGCTTTCGCACCCCCAATGGGACCCAGAATCCCGTGCTCCTTCTGCAGCTTTTCAAGAGGACTTTTGGAGTTTCGTGTCTGATGCTCGTCAAAATGTGTATCCCGCATGAAGGTTTGGTGTGATCTGAGATTCAATTTGAGGTCTGGTCCAAATGGAAATAATTAAACACGCAAGGCGAGAAGAAGAGTGGGCTGTGCTGCGTCAGGCGGCGTCCACAAGTTATGGGCTATGTCGTTATGCCATGGTACCCTCTCGCTTTGACAAACAATAATCACAGCCAGAAAGGGCATCGGAATGCCACATCGACACTGGGGCTATCACTAGATGGCCCACTCTGCGGGGGGGGCCTGTGATACCCAGGAGTTTCGTCGATCCATCCGCAAACTACTGCGAGAGATGAACCTAATTTCGCTCATGAATTCGCTCATTGTATTGGACGACTACTCGATTTACAAACATCCCTCAATCAAGCAAATGAATGAGAGAAGGTACGAATATTTACCTCAATTCTCGACGGCGGTGCACACTATATACAATATGGATTGGTTTACCTTCCGCCATGCTCTCCTGATTATAACCCGATCGAGGAATCATTTTAAAAATTCAAACACCTACTTCATTGCTGTGGCGCGTCGATGCGTCACATCATGAATACCGAGGATAATAAGGTGATTGGTGCGATATATTTAGTATGATTTCACCTCGGTTCGAGGTTTAAGATATACTGTAGATTGAGCTAGTAGTTGCGGGGTCGCGTATCCACTCAAAACCCCCAACCAATCTCTATTCCAATAGAGGCTGGTAACCTGCCTACATGGTCCCTTTCTTCCTGCGCACTGCCACTTTCTCTATTGTTATCCGTAGTTTGTAATGCTCACGTCATAATATCAATCTGTGGGAGATGGGGAAGGGATAAACTGAGGAAAAAACATGATGAACTGAGGGGGCGGAAGAGAGGAAACATAGCACCAGATCTTTACGTAATATGGGTGACTTTATACTTGCATCCAATGACGTACAAGAGGTCCACGATAATCATTGAGGCCAAAGACCCGACTGGACTGTACGTACCTTTCACCACTGGCGAGCAACATGTTCTCCAGAGCAGATCGACAACAATGACTTTGGAGCGGTTGAGACCAAGTAATATAGAGTCATTAGGCGTATTGTGCGATTTAGCTAATGAAGTCATACACGAGCTAAGACGCTTGCAAGCTAGCCACTGTCCAATCCAATATGGAAAGTCCATGTTCATGGGAATTTGTTGACTGGCCATCTTGACAGCGATCTTGTCAATCTTCGCCACAAAAACCGAAGGATACGAAATGGAACTGGATTTGGAGAGGGATCGTACGTCTGCACTATTACACAGGCGATCATTAAACACTGCCGTGGACTACATATTGTAATGACATCATATATTTGTACATGTTGACATCTCCAAAATAATGGTAATATATCCACGTCCAAAGCGAAATGCGAGCTATCAGAGAACGAGGCACAAACAAATAATAGACGTGAGGAATCGAGGGCACTGACAACACATCAAAAGAATACAGTGTAAACAGAACCAATATCGTGAACTGACTAACCCTGGGTGAAGCAAACTGATGTCGGGATAAAAGATTGTCGCGAATATGGCGCACTTGATATTGTGTCTTGGGCAATGCAGAGGAGATATACGTATAGCGAGGAAAAACTTTTTGAGCTAGGAGTGTAGTGTGGGTGACCAGAACGAGTCCAAAGTTATCGCTTGCAGAGAATATTGATGGATGGCAACAGCGGGATATGTCGTGTTGGTAGCATGACGATCGACGAGGCGTCTTATTCGGCGGTGGGTCCTTGCAGACACGCCATCCAAATGCGTGTTTTATATAATCTACCACACAAAGTTAGCAACGGCTTATGTGCACCATGAAGCGGTAACGGTACCTGAAAAGCTCACGGACGAGCTCACGAAAGTCGATCCGTCGATCAGCAATGAAATAAAATGTTAACTTGCGTCTATCCCTGCTCAGACGGAGACAAAGTTACCAACAGAGCCCCAGAAGAAGCAAGAAATACCACGAACCATTGATACTCAGCATCAACAACCTCCATGGGTAACTTTTTAGCGCGGACTTTGCTCTGACACAGTTGCAGGGCTTTCGTTTCGTCTGCTTGCTTCGACATGAGTAGCCTGTGGCTCATGTTAGCTGGTCGTGCAACGGGCAGTAAGGCGGTGCACTCACTGGGCGTCCTGGGCCGAAGCCTTCGCATAGATCCTCTTCGGCATAAGCTCCTTCGTCGCCTTGGGCGTAGGTGGTGGCATTCCATCTTCACCAGCATTCATCATCATTTGTTGATGAAGCGCAGCATTCTCCGCCTGCTGCTTTTGGAATGCTTCCACGTCGGCGGGCGTAATGCTATTATTGATGATCCTGCCCAAGTCTTTGCCTCGGTCCGCCTCTACAATTACCAGATCTCCCGTACGCAGACCATTCAAGGATAGGTCACCACCGGTAGAATAGAAGATATCGGTGCGACCAGCTTTGAACTCGACGATGTAAAGTGGTGAAGAGGGAGGCACGGCGTGGAGAGGAACGCCACGACCGAGCTCATTGATGTTTGCATTCGAATCGGTGGGAAGGGAGGCCTGACGCTGATGTTGGTGGGTATGCGGCGGCTGTTGGGTTGGAGGGTTGATACCGGGATAGTATGGGTTAATGGAAACCGGGGAAGTAACACCCCCACCATACGTAGGAACAGTAGGCGAACGGGGGGAAGACATTGATGCCATATAAGCGGTATTTCGATTCAGCCCTTGGAGCGATAGGGGGGGAGGCAGGACGCCGCGCAGGGTGGTAGGGGAGGGAGGGGCGCCATTATGACTGGTTTGATGATGTCGCACTGTATCGTTAGGCACATCTACGAACTGATTGTAGGCAGCTGAGGCACCGGGCTGCTGCTGCCTTCTAAGGTCGCCTTCCACATATGGGCTGCCTAGCGTATTTCGTTGAGGGGTGTATCGATCGTTAAAGCCAGCGGGTCCTGCCCCGTTCCCATTTTTGTATTCGTTCAGGCCATGCTCTAGTGGTGGAGGGCGCTCTGCCGTAGATGGACTTTGAGTATGCTCGGTGTCGCTGTATGATTCGAGTCGAGATGACGCAAACGATTGAGATGATGGATTATGGGAGTTTACTGCAGGGATATTGAGGTTAAGACCAATCCCACGAGAGCTGTTGCCCGTGTCGAGTGGGGGCCCCACACTACGGTGAGGGGCATAAGTTGGAAGGGAAGAGGGCTGACTTGGACCCATAACGCGAGGGGTACGGCTAGGTTCATGCTCTAAGTTGAGATTGAGAGTGTTGAGACTACTCGCAAGTTCGTCGTCAGAGAACATAAGACCTCTTCCACCGCCGCCGTAAGAACCTATTCCTCCACCGTTGCGAATGGACCCGAACCCACCATCCGGTAGCTCGGATAGAGCACTTTTCGGTGAGCCAGAGTCTAACCCACCAGCGTTGAACCCTACGGAAATACCCCTGCGCGGCTGAACAACGCTGACGCTATGACGTCTACTGGTCGCACCACTTCCGCCGCCATCTTCTCTCCCACTTATTCCAGAGCCCCATACGTCGCGGAACCCATCGTCAGAGAACGGAATTTGATTGAGGTCCCGGACAAAGGGACTCATGTTCGACAGGTCATCCACTCCCGTGCGGTACCCGAAACGATCGTACGCCAGTCTTGACGAAGTCGGGCCTACGTTAGTATCAATACGACCGGTTGCCAAACTCGGATTATATCTGGCAGACGACTGCATACTACCGACGGCGTTCGAAGGATAGCCTAATTGGTTCTGAAAGGGTGACGATGCAATCCTCGGCCTCATGGTACTAGTGCCAACTGATTGAGGCCGTCCACGGCTGAGATCATCGCCTCTTCTGTTCCCAAGATTCTGCGACTGCCCGAACGCATCGAACTCGTCCAGAGACTCTTCGTCATCCTCGAAAGTGGAGGCAAACCTAGATTCCCTGTTCAGATGAGCCATAAGGCTGTTCGACGACGAAGGTTGCTCAGAGAAAGAGACACTGCGAGATGCCGAAACTTGCGCGCGTGAGATGGGGGGCCAACGGGATGGGCTAGGATCCCTCACTCGAGATCCCGAAGTGGCACTTTCTAAGCGCCTGGAGGCTATGCCAAAATCGAGAGGGGGCGCAGCGTAGTATCCCGACGAGTTTGGAGGTTGACTGGCAGCTCGGGACTGGCGAGAGGTGGGAGGATCGTACTCCGGATCAAGCGCGAAACGGGAGCGACGAATGTCGTCAGGTGGTCCCTGCTGCATATTGAGAACCGGATAGAATAGACTGTGTTGTATATGAGGTTTTTGTGGTACTTCTGCAGGCTTGCCCGTTACGAGCGAGTCAGCTGAGCCGTTCGGCACCTAATTGTCAATGGAGGGATTATTACTTTGGACTACAACTACCCCAGATAGGACCACACGAGAACGCACCGTGCAAGGAAAAAGACGCAGACGCATATGAATGCATTAATGAGCTCAGAGATCGGTGACCACTGAAATGGTTGGCTCGTGCCACACGTACCTCTGGCGTCAATGGGCTATTATTCCAGTCTAATGGGTTTGAAAACTTCTATAACACTCGCGTCACTGTTTAAGGGCCTCTATGGAGCTGTCTAGTCTGTCTAAAGAGGTGAGGCCAGATGACCTTCCCCAGGTTGGAACACTGAGGGTTGCTTCCGATATTTCAATAAGCTAGACAGACCCAGAAAACTCGAACATTCTCCCATGACCTGCACAGCAATAATTACGAGGGCGGGGTGCCGATAGAGAGAAATAGGATATCCATTTGCAAAGACTCATCATGCGTTGAAGCTGGTCTCTACAGGTTGAAAAGCCGTCGCACCAGGCCATACCATCACAGGAACTTCACATTCCAGAACATCCAACTTCGTTTCCTTCCATATCCCCTTAGTTTCTGCTTCGGCGATCCCATCTGGCTCCACAACCGAATTGCCTCCGTCGCTTCCAGTTCCCATGATCATCGACATCCATCCTCCCACTCGTGCATTCTCAAGTTCATCTTCCACGAAACGAAGAGGTGCCAACGATTCACCGATACTCCACGAGGTCGCCCATTCGCTGCTAGGTTCATCCGGAAGCAAGCTATGCATCGGAATACGGAATCGTGTAGGATCCTCACAATCAGATTCCTGCACAGTTGTGCCGGTGGAAGAAGTCATTTCCGACTTGGGCCGTTTAGCGGCCTTACGCAATCGACCCAGGTTGCGCCCTGTGTCATATGTCTTGGATGGTAAGACAGCTACCAAGAAGCACAAGCGAATCTTCCATTCCACCCCCCCTTTCGTGGGTGGTGCATCTACATCCCCAGCTTCTTGGTGAGGTGAGGGTGGAGCAATGAAGCCGAACGCAGGGGTGGCGTCGGCCGGAATGTCGAGAGAGAAGGATGCACGATGAGTGTTCATCGCGAACGAAAGCGCATATTCTGAATGAGTGCGTCTGTGGGAGTTTCGTGAAAAGGCGTGTGTTTGAATTGGTGACGGCAGAGTTTCTTGTGCTTCAAGTGCCGCCGAAAGCTGCATTGTGACATCAAATATTAAATGTGTTTCCATTGATTGCGTTTGATTCAGGAATGAAGTGAGTGAATTAGCCACCGGAGAAGAGCAGATGGTACCTTGAGCACCCTTGCATGTCCTGGGGCCAAGTTGATGTCAAGTATACCAAGGATTGTCTCTCCCACCCGGTACGCCGATTTTACAAAGGTAAGCACTGCAACATCTTCTCCATCTTTTGCAATGTCATACGAGACTAGATGATAATTGGGACATGGCTGTGGGGGAAATGAAGATTGGACTCACCCTTCTTCGGATTTCGTGTCATCACTTCCACGACTTGACGACACGAATATTTTTCGAGACTGGATGAAAATTCGTTCTCATGTTCCATCGCTTCGCCAGTACCCGAAGAATCTGTACTCAGTCGCGGCATGACACTAAGGGATGCCTTACGCACATCTCCACGGAGGAGCGCAGCAGCATACGACTCAACTCGGGTCCGCGACAGTGACGAAGGTGTTCCATCCCTTATCCATCCATGGTGGCTGGACGAGTGCAGAGGTGATTCTTTGGTTATTTCCTCCACGAACGCAGCGGACGAAATCAACGTACGGGTCTCTCGCCGGCGCGCCACTGGCCAGAGGAGATCGTACGGTCTCGGGACTCTGCCCACTAAAGCGAGGCGGCTCAGCAAATGGGTTCCACGTGCTGACATCTTACACACCTGCGACGTGATTGTAGATCCTCACAGGAATCCTCACGACTTTGCTCCTCTGCTTGTTAAGCTGATCTGCGCTACTAAATGGGAAAATGGGTAGCGAGGCAGTTGAAATACTGTACGAGCCACTCGAGCTACGAGACGTCCCGATTATTAATGTATATGAGAATCTGAATGCACGACCTCGATAAGTTGGTGGAAGGGCGGATGGGAGCGGAAGACTGTAAGTGTCTATGCAACTCTCATCAACAAATAAACAAATATTTCGGAAACAGAAAACATACAAGATCGACTTTGCCCTGGATCGAGCTGAAGGTCTACAACGAGCACCGTTGGCTGAGTTTCGAGAGTAGGCAACGGCATGTGCGAACGGTACCCTGAGGCTGATGATGCATCACCTAAACTATTGCCCGAGCTGGGGCTCCGCGTGCTGAAACCAAATGCACTTGAATGAGGATTGGGCGAGAAAAACGAGAATAGCGAGGAGCCAAATCTCGGGGAAGTAGGGGACACAAGTAAAGCAGTTCCTTGCAGATCCGTGGAACCAGGGGTAGAAGAGATCGATGGTGCGGAAGAAAATAAAGACGGTAGGAATCCGAATGTATAAGGCGATTGATTAGCGTTATCGATATCCATTCGGCCACCGCCAAGTGCCATTCCAGCCCGTAAATGAGCCCTCAACACATCTGCTTCATGAGCAGGAACAAGGGTTGGTTCTAATTCGAAGGTGCCAACCAGTTGGGCGTACGCCCAAAGAAGAGTCTGCTGCCCTGGAGCTTGAAACATGTGAGATAACGATGAAAAGGTGGAAGCAGCTGCAGAGGCAGAACGAGGGGGTGGTCTGCGATGATCAATGCCATCCCCACGCAGACGTGGTGGGATGTTAGTTGCCTGGCCTTTAGGTCCCTGGCGCGCGAAACTTCGCCCGCTTGAATTTAAAGCAGGTGCGGCCGCCAGCCCATTTTTTGAAGGGGATGCCTGGGTGGATCCGACTTCACTGATAGTATCTAGTGATTGGGTAAACCCTGACTGCGCCGAAACAGCTTGTGTCTCTTGGAGTTCAGGCAGACTATCAGTAACCGATTGCTTCCGTGCATGAGGATGGTGCAATGGAATTGAAGATTGTGCGTTGGGACGAGATAGCACGGAGAATGAAGACGGTCGGTCATAGGATGTGGATGGATGCGGAGAATTATGCGGCGATGGGGAAGGTACTACATCAATTGATTGAGGCCATCTATATCGAGAACGATGAGTCAATGCACGCACTCGAGGAAGGTTCAATTATTTTCTTAGTCACTAAAGGGCTTGGATGGATGTCTAACTCAGGACGGGCACGGTCTCTAGCCGAGGTAGGGAGATTCTGGGATTGCATTGATGACAGAGAGAGTGACCGAGAATTATGTCTTGATTTATCATTGAGGGTGTGATCATCAGACGGAGTGATAGCTGAGTAGTTGGTTTCGCATTTAGCATCAGCCCGCTTGCATTTTCCGACCCGGCGATGAGGTCTGGGAATCTTCACCGCTGAAATAGGCTTGGCGTTTAAGTCTGAGGTCAGATATGGCGACACTCTAGGGGAAGGAGGTATAATAGGCAGAAAATTTGCCACAGAATGAGCGGCTCTACGATGTGAACGGCCAAGTGTTGCGGGTGAAACACCAGGTCGAGGATGAATGTCGGGCGACGACTGCGTGTTTACGTTGGAAAAAGTAATCGTGACCTGAAAAGTTTCACCAGCGAAGTATGAGGATTGTGTGGGCACAACATTCACTTGTATGCCGTCTGAGCCGTCTGACATCTCATTCTCGGATTGGAAGGAGAGTATCACTGAGAGTGGCTGTGCAAGCTGATTTTTGGCGTCAAAGCATCGATTTTATGCACACAGCTTTGGCAGGTATTATACATGTAGCCTCGCGTCCAGAAGAGGGTTTTCTGTCCAACATCTCAGTGATTGGACACTTGCAGGGAAGGATATCAAGACGCCATCCCATCATTTGACCATGTGTCCCTCGATCTCAGGGGATGCCATCATGGCTGCGTAGAGTATTGATGCGTCCCTGTCCTGAATGGCACTTGTTGTGAACTACACTGATGGCAACTAGTGATCGCTCGATGTCACCGTCTCACCCGTTGCCTGTGTGCGCAACTACATGCCTTCCTATGCTGTGTGGCCTGGGGCTGCAGATGGCCGGCCGGATGCTGTAGCTACGGGTCACCGTTGGCACCTGCTCTTCATCTATAAAAGAGTGTAAAGCCAAGGAGTCCTCGTAGTCATTAACGCCAACCAACATTTTTTCTCCATTATATATAACTCCAGAGGTATGATGTTGCACGATTCCTTGCTACGCAGATGTATCATCAAATTTAACACCACTTGTCGCCACTTAGCTGGGCTCTCGGACTCCATTTTCCGCAACCGCTCCTTGCTCCTTGCCTCAGAACTATGCACTTCCCACTTGTAGTGTCAGCTCTCGTACTCGTTGCATCTGCTCGTCCTTTCGGGAATAACTATCCGAGAGCACCTGGTTTTGGATCTTGTGGTTCCCCAGAAATTGAATTTTCGTGGGTGCCCAGTGTCGTCCATCATCCATCAACTACATTCCCAGGATATAGCTCAGGCATTGATGGTCGCACGCAAGCAGCATTTCGTCCTATCAATCAGGTTGACTTCAATCGTACGCGCTCTCTACAGAATTATTCGCCTTTTTCATTGGCTCAGTGGTTGGCTCATAGACGGTTCTGCTCAGGATATCGGCGTCATCAGTCGCTTTATTTGCCAGCAGCTTGAAGATAAATGTAAAGCCTCACCGGCTCAGATCACAGCTTGCCAAGCGGGTCAAAAAGCAGCCCGGAATTCTACTGGTGGGGGGCGGCTGATGTCTTGTAGGGCCCAATTTTTCGGGGCGATGGATGCCTAATTACTCACCTGAGCAACTTCCAGCAACAAAGCACTAGGGATTCAGACATCGTTCGCTACCTCAACGAAAAGTGCAGGTCCCAACGGTGGGGAAATCAACTATTCATTGTGGTTCGCTAAGGGAATGCTAATCCCTTGTCACACGCCTAACTACCGCTGCCACATCAGGGGTCAAATCCCCTGTGAATATAATAGGTACAAGAGCAAATCTAAACGTGAATAAGAATTGCACGCCCTCTACGGTCACGGTGACCGTTACTTCAACGTTCTCAGCCCCAGGCTTTACCAGTACGCCTCCGGCTAACAGTACTGGCGTGCAAGCGAACATTACAACCTCCGTTAATAACACTGGGGGGCTGAACTTCGGTACCGTCACAGTCAACCCGTAGAGGTTCTCCGCTTACCTGGACCCTCTTTGCAGGGAAATGCACGGATCCAAGTGTTATTTTCGGTGCTGGTTTAGATGGACGTAAAGCAACTGGATTCTCGTTCCTTCCTCACAATCTACAACAGTTCCCCCATGGTGTTTGTGTCGATATTGTCCTCTACAAAATGATGTTGCTGATGTGTTATATTTCTATAATAGAGCGCCCCAAACCCTGACGTTATATTCCAGTTTGTAAGTGCAGCTCAGGCAAGAGATGATTGTGATTCGGAGTCTAATGATTCTTTGGTGCGGCTTAGATTTGCGACAACCTCGTCAACAAGTGTGGCCTGAAGAAAACAGATAAAGCGGTGACTACTTGCCGTGCTGCTGAGGTCGAAGCTCGCAAGGAGAAGAAGGGTCGAGCGGCGGATATTTTTAATGCCAAGCTAGGCTTCAACACTAACTTTGCGGCATTAGACACTAATACCACCCAACATCGGCGAAGCTACTAGACTATGCCACTGGATTCCACTGACTGATTCGGATGTATGTTACTGTTAGCTTGTAGGGCGGTACATGCATTGGCTCACAAGTATAGCTCTTGATATGTCATCAAAGAAACAACTTTTGACAGAACATGTTACAATGACAACAGATGGATTAACACAGGGTATACAATGAAGACGAGGTGATCAGTTTGAAAGATTCCACGACGAAAGGGCGTATAAAAAGTTCATGCAGTATTAGAATATTGTTGCGAGGGCTCCGTCATCGGATTCGACGCCTCCAGGAGAGCCCGTCGGGACGTGCGCCTTGGCGTTGGCCCCTGCACCATTTTTGCCAAATGTAAAGCCAACCCATACGCCACGGCCAAACTTATCATCTTTCTCCTTGACAGCATCCACATTCTTCTGCTTCTCTCGAACCTCAGCATATTTGGCCATGTCTTCAGGAGACGTGAAGTCGTCGTAGTAGCCAGTGTCAGTCTCTGAATCAAGTGCGGGGACGAAAGGAGGCGGGGTGGAGCGGAGGCGGTCCCAGGCGGTTCTGTAGAAGAACGGATGACTGCGCACTTGGTTGGGTGTGCAGTATCGGAGGGACTCGTGCGAGATAAGCCTGTTAAGTTTTAGCAATGTGGGTCCAATGGCAAGAGAGAGCTGGGTACACCCACCTAGTTACCGAATCCCAGGCCACGTCTGTGAGGTTGAAGACAAGGTCCTCAGGCTTGTCGTACTGGGGACGACGAAGGACTTTTGGCCAGTTCTTCAAGTTGGTCCAAGTCTCTTCAGGAGAGCCTCCGGAAAATGGAGGGAATCCTGCGAGAAATTCGAATAGAATGCAACCCAACGACCAATAATCTACGGAGTAGCTATAGGTCTTGCCGCGGAGAACTTCAGGGGCCATGTAGTCAGGAGAGCCGACAATGGAGTCCGCCTGTGGGAATGTGAAATTAGGATGGTGCACGGTGCAGAATGGGTTGACTTACATAGCGAGGGTCTGCCATACGCATGCTTCGGTACAAGCTCCGCCTGTCGATGGTGCTGCGATAAATGATCTCGTTGTCTTTCACTTTATCTAATTTGTGCTTAAGACTCTCGATGCGCTGTGGATTAAGCGCTCCCGTGGCGAGACCGAAATCAGTCAACTTGACATGACCAGACCCGTCCACTAAGAAGTTCTGTTGGGAAGAATAGGGTGAATACAATGATTCCTGGGCTTATTGTCGATATTTACCTCTGGTTTCAAATCCCGATGAATATATCCTAGATTATGGAGCTCCCAGACACCGCCGAACATTTCAGCAATGTAGAACCGGGCATGCTCTTCTTTGAGCACCCCCGAATTATTCAATAGGGTCCTGAAATCACCTCCGGGTACGTACTCCATTGCCAAATACACATGTTGCGCGTCTTGAAAGGCGTAGAGAAGCTGCACAAGCCATGGAGTTTTCGTCGCGGTAAGAATGTCCCGCTCCACCAGAACATGGCGGATCTGGAGCGTATACTAGGCGTGAATATTAGTATGTAGTTTAAATTAACCTAGCTCACCTCATCCATCTTGAAGAGAGTACGCTTTTTCATCTTCTTCAGGGCACAAACCTCCCCGGTCTCACTTTTACGTGCAAGATAGACCTCACCATAGCCTCCTTGTCCAACCTGAGCAATTATATGGAATTGCTCCACCCTCAGCTTGGCACGGCGTTTGCGGAGCAGGACACGTTCACGACCACAGTACGATTTATACTCGGCATTGTATTGCTCGGATGTCAGCTTCAGCAATCGTGAGTGAGCCAGGGCAAAGATTGGTCGGGTTAAAAAAATCACCTCACGCGATTTTGTGTCTGCATCGAACAAAGCACGACGCTCCTTTCGGTTCTTAATGTATCCCACCAATTGAAAATAGTAGTCCAAGAAATCTAGCGTGCGTTCCAAGAGATGTGTTGTCCGATGGCGCCAGTATCGATGTTGTCGAAATCAGTGGAAGCTCCACTGCATGGCAACATCAGAAACGTAACTCACAAAGCTGCGCAACAGTCGCTTTTCTCTTGACTTCCGGACTTTCCAGCAGCTCACGTTCCCAAAGTTTCAGAGGTGGAGGTCTCTGAATATAAGTATCGGGAAGCCCCTTTGCGGTATCCATTTTGATATCCTCTTCACTCCATCCTTTTGTAGTTTGCATCAGAGCATCTCTCCCGAGTACGCCATAAGGCTTTGCAGTGTCCATTCGAACATCACGCGGCGAGTTCCATGCATGGCCACCTGCTTTCGTTGGACTACCGGGAGGAGTCTGAACGGAAGATGGGGGAATAGGGATACGGGACGGTGTAGGGGGAGGCGAGAGAACTGAGGGAGGCATTACTTCTGGGTTGGACGGATTTATTGGTTCGTGTGGGCGCCAAACAAGCCGCAACAGTCACCAACATCGCCACCACCATGCATCGCCCCATCCGTCAGCGTCCAGCACGTCCAATCGTAGACTTTAAAGCTGCCATCGAGGAAAATGATGTCCCTAAGGCTGACTACTTGCATATTGACGCGTTCGTCGCACAAGCAATTGCCTTCAGACGGCGATTGCAAGAATATGTGGTATTTGGAAAGGAAGACATACAAAAGCAGGAGGATGATTATGAAAAAGAGGTGAAAGCTCACGAAGTGCGGAGAGACGAGTATGAGGCCCTATATGCTGAGGCGAATAGCGACCTAAACCAGATGATTGAGAGTTTGTCATCATCAATTTAACTGTGTGCAATCCTTGCAGGATGACCTAATGTTTTTCTAGCGCTTAATCAAGAACGGGCGGAGGAAGAGCAGCTCCAACGAGAGGTATCCGAATTGCGTGAACGACGCGCAGGAGCTCGACAAGCCGCGTTGGGGGTGACTTCCGACGTTAATGACGTGCAGGGTGCAAACGAACGTTTGCGTCAAAGTGAGGTGACAATCTTTGCCCTTCCCAACCCAGTTCTCACCGGTATCTTACCTAGAGCACGAGGCTGAGCTCAAGGCCATACAATCACGAAAGGCCAAGATAGAACCTGAGCTACGCATCGTGGAATCTTTGCTAAGTTGTTCAATTGACAATGTTCAACGTGAGCACGATTTGCGCGACCTGCCGCTCGGATATCTTATTTCACGCAGGCGACACGGTGTTATTACGATTCACCAACGTTGATGAGGCGAATCTAGCCCGAGAGTTCAGTCTTGTGTTAGATCTTTCTCAACAGAAATTCAAAGGTCAGGAGGTTGCTTCACTGCTCCCAATTTCACATGAATGAACGAACTCTCAGTTCCCACCTCAACACCACTGCTACCCTCAATATCTGAGCTGGTAGAAATGCTGAATGGTAGCAGAGACTTTCCATCATTCGTGAAGAAGGTGAGGTTGGCTTTCCGGGAGTACACCCGAGAGGAGCGCGGTGGAGGCAGGGGCTGAACCCTGACGAATGTGGTAATTCCGCTGAAGTGGGTACTTCCTCGATTTTCGCGGCCTCTTCCTTTACGACGGTGCGAGTGGAGGTTGGCATGCAGCCATTGACAGAGGTGCTGGAGAAGCGCTGTGTCAAGTCACGACCCTTCGTGCTCAGCTCGTTTTGCCTTCTCGGAAGCAGGAATCCCGGTAGTGCAGGGTTTGAAAGCATCGAGTTGACTGGTGGCTCGGGAATTGTTAGGAGTGGCAGATTCTACTGCTTGTGGACATGATGGATGGACTCCGATGGTCGATTTGTACCCTACCCTCATCATGTAACGACGACAAATTTCTGGCTACGGTATTACGACACAATTTTGCTACCTTCCGGATTTGATGCTACACTATATGTACACCGAGCTCATGATGTTTGTTGTGTGTTGATTACTTCTCTCACTCGTTTCCCTATCGCCACGTCCTCCCTTTTCTCTTCTACACCCATAGAACCCAGAGTACTCCTATCTCTTGTACTTCTTAGCTTGACGTTTTTCCTGCCATTGTGAGTTCGTCGCTGCGCTTTCTTCGTCTCGTTCGTAATCAATCTCCTGTCATATCTCATTCATCAAAAACTTGGTTCGTCACGACGTCGTTTCAGCGCTGAACACGCCCTCAAAAAGCGACCACCATTGCGAGGTCACCTTTCGAGCAGTTTCGGCGTTGATTTTGCTGCATCTGGGTGACAGAAAGAAGCGACGACGCTCGCCAATATCTAGATCTTGGAGCACATTCCATGGCCGTATCGCTCGCACCGCAAGATTTCCAATTGCCATTCACAGCTAGCCCTATGGATCCCCAGCAGCACAATCAAACCGGTACTCGTGCCTCGCCTGCCGTTGTTCCAACTAGCGGGACACCGCCTCGCCTCGACCCCCCTGCACGGAGTGCAACGCCCTTACAAAATGATTCGAACGTGTCTAACGTGAATGTCCCTTTCGTTCCATATCCTATGTCTCCCCAACAATGGCCCAATCCTCCCCAAGCGGCTTTGTCGCCACATGGCCCGTTCCCCTATCCCACCTTTGGTTATTTCGCTCAGCAACCGGGCATGCAAAGTCCCTTCCCCGCATACGATCCATCTCAGCAATCCCAACAATTCGCGCAGTGGGCTTACCAGCAGATGATGATTGCACAGCAGCAGCAGATGGCGGCGGCAGGTTTCATTCCACGTCAACGCACTGGAAGCGCTCCTCAACATCCATCCGATCAGGCGCAAGCCGGGTTCTACCATGGAATGGCCTCACCCATGATGGCGAACGGCTTCCAGTCGCCATCCTTTGGGCACAATCATACCAATAGCACTTCATCGTCCAAAGGCACCTCTACTGAACCATATCGTCGGAATAATGCCTCGTCAGCTCCAAGTCCAGTTGCCGGAGCCATCGTGGCTGGTCTTCCTCAGGCTGCCTTTCCACCCTTACAAGCCGCTCAGCCACCTTATGCGCGGGAACGCAATGGCTCGGTCACGTCGGTTAATTCTTCGGGGGGTAGTTCAAGGTCAGTCAACAACACAGACGGTCGTCGCCGCACTACGAGCATGGCCGAAAGCGCGAAATCATCCTCCACGCATCGCCCTACCAACTCCTCTACTTCTAATTCTCAGTCATCATCAGCCTCACGAAGCCGCAGCCCTACACCCCGTGCCATACAGACGCGGTCTGCCTCTCCAGAGCCCTCGAAATCACTGCCATCTGTACACCAGCGTGGTTCCTCCCCGAACCCTTCCAGTTCTACCCCCCGAACGCGAACACAATCCACAACCTCGTCTGCTTCCAACACGGCTTCCTCGCCTTCTACCACCCAATCCCCGTCGGCGCCCGCTCCCGCCCCGAATGGCTCATCGTCAGCTCGCGGCCCCCGAGGGCCTCCGAAACCGTCACCGCTATCCCAACAGGCCACTGTTTCGGACGCGAATAAACGGCTAAGCAGAGATGACACTGATCTCGCTGTTACTTTGCCTGATGCACCCAGCCACATTGCTAAATCAGGTGGCCTCAAAGGGCGTTTGAGGCGGGCATTGTCTTTCTCGGCCGGTGAATCGTTGTCCGAGGCGGAACACGAGCCTTCAACACCTCGTTTGGGTTCAAGACGTCAGGTTGTTGCTGCAAAAAACGCCGCCGAACAGAAGGAGGCGGAGAAGAAGCTCAAATCGTCTAGCTTGGGTTCAAAGACGGCCTCGACGACTCAGTCCCCAGTCAATTCCCAAACTCATCCAGTTGTTGATGAAGAAGAACTCGAGGCTCCTGACCCCTCCCTGAGGTCTGGTAAGAAGAAAGGACGTTCCTTGTTTAACCGCAAATTCAATGCCTCAACCGACAACATCTCTCTGTCGTCTACTGTCTCCTCAGCTTCGCTTATGATTCGTAAAATTGGCTCTGTCGGTGCCTTGGCACGCCGAAAGAGCCTTGCAGGCATCACCAGCCTGTTTAAAGACAAAAAGGACAAATCCAAGAAAGGTGGCACTGCGGAACCTGATGTCTCGCTCGTTAATGCTGAACTTGATCGAGATCTACCCGCCTTGAGCCCAGATGAGATGGCTGGCTTGAGTCCAGCGGCGAAGCTGGCGCGACAACACACTCTTCGGAGCAATGCAGAAGCTGCAGCAAGAGCAAGGGCGAACCAGGAGGCTAAAATGAATCAGCCAGCCGCTTCAGGTTCTGTACCAACCTGGGAACGCGACACTGCTAAGCGGGAGGCAAATAGCCCTCTTCGTGTCCGAGGTCAGGCGGATGAAAACGGGAGACGATTGAGTTCTCACTCGCGCAGCTACAGCGAGGATGGGAGTGAGGATGGTTCATTGTTAGGACATGTCCAGCAGCGCTTCACGATTGAAGAAAACGATTTTTTGGACGAAGATGACGAGGACCTGGATGATGGCGACGTTACGGTGCGACACGAGAGCATAGAAATTGAAGTGGAGCCGTGGGCTGTCGGCATACGACGTTCGATTGAGCGAACGCGAGTACCCTCCAAGGGTATCTTGAAAAGTGAGTGTTTCCCCCAACCTTACTTAGCATTTAATTATGTGTTTATCAAGATGCTGTCTCGTACAATCAAGAGAACGACCTCATGCTCAGTCGAAGTCACTCCCTTAGCCGCCACCGTTCAAATTCTTACGATACCGTCTCTCATCATCATCACGTGGAGCCAGGGCCTCTCGCCCGAATTCCATCTGCGGACCCTGACCACATTGATGGCCTGCCATCTCATGAGCCGCATAGTTTATTCCCGCCCTTGAAGTTTGGCGATATTCCAAGCTTCACCGATTCACCTACCTCCACGGCCTCTTCATCGCCTACGCACGAGAAAAGTGGCATGATCAACATTTCGCACCACCCCAACATGCCATACGCCCATCCCAACATGAACTCCTCCGCACCCACTCTTTCTCTGATGCATTCGGAAATGACGCCCAGATCCAAAACGGCACCCACGGTGACCAAGAAGACCACATTTGCAGCAAATCTTTCAGTGTACGACACCTTCAGTGCCTTCACCTATGATCGACATTCGGAGCCTGCCACATGTAACCAGCTCACGCCGGCTCTAGCACAACGGATCAAGGAGGAACTCAACGCTTACAAAATGGAAGAGATGGAAGTACATCACGCAAGTCGTGCTCAGTTAGTATTTTACATTTCAAATGGCAGCTTTTAAGCTGACTCGCCCTAATTGCCCCAGTACACAGTTCTTTGTCTAATCAGGGGATTTTGATGGTTTTCCTTGTGGTCCTCGCTCATCTTTACTCAAGTTTTATATTCGCCCAAAATCATTACATCCGCGCAATTACTATCATTTTAAACGCTCCACTCATTAAAATACAGACATTCATGGACTTTTTCACATCTACATAGCCCCATGCTCCTCCCCGGCTGATATATTTCTATCGTCGATGCATGTTACAAGCCATCTAGTTCGATTGTCTGTAACAACAACACACCTTTCTCTATAAATATTTCTTCCTTTACAAGGACCCATAACCGATCCAGAGTGTATGCGTTGCATTGTTCCCTACCCCTCGTGGCTGACAGACAGCCCCTTTGACCCTTTTCCCTTTTCCTTCGATAACACTTTTGTGACACGCCCGTCTTTTGGGGCTCTGTGACCTTATGGCTTGCTGTTACTTCAGCAGGTCTCATGTTGTGTTTCTATTATTTTTTTTTTCGCTCAAGCTTCGACTTATTCTGCTCTTAATTCCGATTGAAAATTATATCTATACCCCTTGTTACGTTACAATCATGGAGATATTGCTTCAATTCTTTCTGCCTCACTGATCTTGTGCCTCACAACGCCGATAAACTCCCATGCTATTCTATAGACCCGACGGCTCTGTGACGCAGAGAACAGTCGAAAACATGACCCTGTCTTGCTATGGCTCCTCTACATGTCGATCCTCCGCCCAAGGCAGCTCATAGGATAGAATATGAGACAGATCGTGAATGCGTGGTGATCAAGCCTTCCTAAGCTAAAGCCTCCATATGAGTTGCCCCACCTGTAGAGGCAACCCTCTTGCCGGCAGTAGCTTCTGCATAGTTTTCATAATAATTTGTGCCGTCATTTTCTTCCCCATTCTCATGGCTCCTGCCGGGCCCGCTCCAGAAGTGAAAGGCTTGACTATGCACGCCATAACTTGCAGGCTGAACTTCAACTAGGTCACCTCGAGCTATCTCGACAGCCGGCACTTCGCTGGCCGGTAGGCCGATCAGATAGGCAAGGAGGCAGCGGATGACCGAAGCATGTCCTATGATAAGCAGATCGTCTTGCTCTCGCTCAAGTTCCATGATGACGGGCTCCAACCGAACTACAATGTGCTGCTGAGTAGTGTCCGTGAGAAGATTCTTCTTGACCTACCGCTCAGATCGTGATAACTTTCTGCCCGAGGAGCACGATGTGCATAAGGATCTTTGAGAAACCGTTCCCATTCGTCGGGGTATCTTTCGCGAGCGAGTTCTGGAGAAAGGCCGTCCCAGATGCCAGGATTGATTTCGCTCATGATAGGCTTCTCGACCACACGGTATCCGCTGTGTAGAAACGGCCAGGCGGTATGATGTGATCGACGTCGGGCTGATGTCCATACCTACTCGGAGCAGTTCGGTCACGTTGGAAACAATTGAAACACACCTTTTTTTCGCTTACCACTAGCTTGTTCTCATCGACGGGCAAGCCCATCTTCCTTCGATGCTCCAGATTCTTGGCTCGACGCTCAAGGACAAATTCCTTTAACCGTTCAGCGTATTCCCATCCTGCAGGAGAAAGATCTGAATCCGCTTTGTAGGAATGTTCGATCAATGACTGGCCACTCTGTTCGGCACAACAGGTCAAAAGCGACAATCGGAATTAAAAAGTTCACACTGACTCGCGCAAGATATATTGTTCGATACTTGTTGTGGATGTTCTGCAGGAAAAATACTATGCGCGACTACCGCATTCAAATTTGAGACGACTCGAAAGCATTCAGGTTTTTCGAATAGCCGTACCTGTAGGTAGCCTTGAATTCTCTAAACGGAGGCAAACTGCTTAGAAGTCCGTTAGATGGAAGTGTAACTCGCACGTTGACCATCATTCTTTCTGATACCTGGGGTTTTCGTTCGATAATTTCAGGCTTACTTTGAGACAGAACAGCTCACATTGATGATCTTGATATATGATTTATCTCCCTCGTCCATTGGCTGATAATATCGTTCATGATCTTTGATTCGGCTCATATAATCTTTTACGGCCTCTTCGGGTGGCCAGTTCTTGTAATCAGGGGAGGTTATCTTGACGCTGCGAATATTGGCCATGACTGTTTCTTGATCATCACACAAGGATTCTAAAATCGGGATCCGAACAACAATCAGGTGAGACTAACAGGACTGACAGCGCGCATGGGCTCACCCAGGAATATGATGTGCACGCCTTCTTTTTCGAATCTCTCTGTGAGGTTCTGCCGGCTAAGTTTGGTAGCATTATTTGCATCATAGATAGCAACTTGGCCTTTCTCCTTCGAATAAAAGTCTAGTATTAGTTGTTCGCAGCCATCCTTAATTTCGCGGCGCAGTTTCTGGGTTTCTGGTGACTTATCTCCTGAAGAAACACGCCCTCGATTGCCCAAAGCGTGCATGAATAATAGAGGAAACCATACCGTTCGTGAAATAGTCTGGAGGTAAAGATGGTGCACTGCCAAGCCGCTTTCGTCTGTAATCACCCAAGGAGAACACTTGAGTGGTGACCCCCATCCACCTAAGATAGCGCTCCAGTGCACGTGAAATGTGTGTTTTACCCCGAGCTAATCGATTTATTCGTTTTTACTATATCAGAAGAAAACTTCAACTTGATCCCCACCTGGAAGCCCAACAGCGACGACAAGGATTTTCCCCGCGTGAAACAACCGCCCAGACTCAGTGGTGTACAAGGGTGCAGCCATACTCTACTCGACAAACGAGATATCACCAGGGTTGGATACTGCTCCAGCAGGCACCCCAAGTCGTGAGCGTTTATGCGATGCTTCAATCTTCAACGATAGATCCAAGGTGGAAGATCGGGTGCGACTATTTCCCACGTGAACCAGACAACCGACCAACCTGTACTTCCGGTGTCAAAAGCGGATATGCACATGGAACCCACACTCCCTCGCCCTCCCCCGCAATCATGGAGCATTATGTAGAATGGCATCAGGCCCAAGAGCAAAGAGAGGATGTTTCCATTCCGGCTAAGTGTGCCACATTCCCGCCACATCTGTTGGTGCTCCTGCGCCACGACATTATAACAGAAAAGACCAGAGCAGGAATCATTACGTTTCTCTCCCTACCAGAACGCTTGCATATCCCCATTGACTTTTGCCACCATTATGAATGAGACGGCTAAATCTGTCCAATTTGTCCATGCAGAGCTCCATTTATGGGCCTCAGGGATATTATCTACCACTGCCAAATGGACCAATTAGGAGAAACAAGGAAACAAAACCCCTGTGAAAGAGAACACTTTCGCATCAGCCTTGAGTGTGAGCATTGTGGATGAGCGGTTTCCGATCTGGTTGTTCTATCGTCTAGGGGGTATAGGGTGCTGGGGATATCGAATGGAGCTCACTCCGACGAGAGCAGTACTGGATCAACATAGCCGAAGACCGTTCAGTAGATTTTTCGCTAATGGTGGTGTTATTTGCACAGCATTCAATCCCTAGAGTGCCCCAAAACTCTTCATTTCTGATTTCTGGACGTTCCAAGACGTTCCAAGTACACCATGGGCTAGGGAGTTCCAGACGGAAGGCGATTCTACCCAGCTGCTTGGCATTGACAGCATGAACGAAGCTTATCCTTGTGCCTGAATTCGACACCGTGGCCGTAACACTCCGGACGCAAGCTTCTCTGGGGTGATGTCCGCTGCTGCACCGGTGAAAACATTCAAGTTACTAGTAGAGCGGTGCTTGTTCGGGAGACAGGACTACATACATATTAGATAATTCAATGAGACAACAAGAGATGCGACATCAACGGGTCGCGAAGTAGATAGGGCGGTCATTACCAAGTCCCTGTAAATCAACAAAACGTATATCACACAATGATCCATGATTGCTCCACTGATGTCGGCCAATGGCCTCAACGCTCGAAGATTGCCGCACCTAATAGCAACAGTATCTATATTAAGCCCACCAACAGATCGAGGTTCGGGGGGTGGAAACTAATTCCTAGAGCGCAACAGAAGCAATCGGATCAACTGTTATATATATGTAATGCTTAGACAAAGTCACCGTCACCCTGCAACCGCTCTTAAGTTCGTGACCAGAGAATAGAACGTGTGAAGCGATGCAAGTGCCAGACATTTTCGTCGGTATCAAAAACCCCGATGCCTTCGACACACCCCAGAGCTCCAGAGCCGTCATTTCAGAGCCCAGACGTAGTACACAAACAGGACGGAAGACATCCCCAGCTCATCTCATGGTCAACAGCGCGAAATCATCACTATCCGGACATTGGCATCTCACTTTGGTTGACAGCACATAACGTTCCAGCGGCCGATCCCCAATAACGAGGGAGACCAGTTTGGAGCCTGAAGTCTGGGAAGACTTGTTATATCAAGGGGGATAGAAATAACACATTCAGAGTCCAGAAAGAAAGACCAATTAACCACAGCTTTGTCTTTCGTTGTAACTCTGTGATCAAGAGTGCAGCAGGAAAATCAAAACCGCGCAGATGTGACCACCTGAGAGAACGAGTCCAGTTAGTACTTGTCCAATAATCGCAATGTATGAAGCACGAGAAAAAAAAAGTGTATCAGAAAGCCATGCAGTGAATGTATAACCATGTTGAAGTCTTCAAGACTAATCGATATGTATTCATCATAGTAATCCACCGGATTGATGAAAGGAAACAAATATGAACGATAACGAACCTCAGATAAGGGGAAATGGCTCGGGCAATAGCGGTGGCTCTGTGCATCGTAGACGCATTGAACTAACTGCGCTATCCGATTGGTTGCTAGATCCCTCGAACCACAGCGTCGTTGGCCTGTCTCACTTTAATAAGCTATCGTCTGTCCCGATATTTCTTGCCTTGCTGTACAGCATTCATTGGTACTCGAAACCCCCCCGCAGCAACAAAAGATGTTGAGATGTAAAAGGTAGGAAAGCTAAAAAAAAGTTCTCACTTTTTATAGGGCAATAGCCGAAAACTAATTTGCTTCCGCCACTCCCAAGCGATTCACCACTATGGACACTTCAGACCCAATGCTGACATTGGAGGCACTCTCGGACTCATTAGACGAGCTGGAAGCTATGCTGGAGCCCCTCTTTGAGAAACCGCTACAACAATCCCTTGAGGGTCTTGACACAATCCAAAGGGTCAAACTTCCAATCCTTTAGTTTATGTTATTCAGGATCTTGTAATGAGTGTGTTTTTACCGGCTCATGCGTCATCCTCGCTCTTCTTATATCATACGTAAAAGTGTACCTGAGGACTAAGGGCATAGACCCAAGGACAGGGGCTGTGGCCGGAGAAATAGTTGAGTTTAGCGTCGGTTGTGCCGGATTGTGAAAATTTTAAACCCCCGATCCTGCATAGGTACGCGTCAAATCTTATGTTGAAAAAATATCCGAGCTTGAGACAGAACCAGCTAAACGTATGTCTCCAATCTCTACTTTCTGTGACTTCCGATTCACGATTCATCTGCAGGGAACCTCGTGGTGGATCAAGCTGCCGCCAACAGATTCATTAAAGCAGCAATTACTAAAGTAAAGGCCAAAACAGCTTCCTCTGGAGCGGCTGCAAGCGAAAGCGACACTGTCGTCCCTCTCGGCAAACATCTCAAATTCTTAGACTCGAAACCGAAAGCAGAGGATTCCTCAAGACACGATGAAGCCCCTGAAGACGACAGCCTGGAAATCCATGTAAATGAAGATGATGAACACACATCAAGTGGAAGAAAACGGAAGAGAATGGACGTATTTGCCGGTATGTTGCGTGGGCACCCTCCAAAGCCTCCACTGGTGAATTTCTAATACCCGTCCTCAGGCTATGGTGCTGATACGCCTAAATATGATCACGGAGGTTCAGCGCAGCCGGGTGTGTTTTCTAGCCCCTATAGCCGTTTGCTTACTTTGCTTACCTTCCACAAAGAGGGAGAGGGCGCTGAAACCCAAGAACTGAGCGAGAATAAGGGGGGAAGAAGCGGAAGCAGAAGCAGAGGGCATGAGCGGGGACAAATTGGGAGCAGATTGGGGAGCCAGAGCGCGGGAGGGTCGGAAAAGAACAATATATGGCGGGGTTGGGCGAGGAAACGAACGAGGGAGACAACCGAACAGCGATCGGATCACGTCGACATCGGACTTGTGGAAGGACCATTCACAGTCCAGGTCAATGGGCGAACGAAACCAAACCGCACACTTCAGATGATGGAATGGTCCCTATCGCGTCCGCGTTGATTCCCCCACCTGGTCTTTAGGGATACTCTTCTGGCCCAGGAATGTAGTATCAGGCCAGCCCAACTGCATCATGTTGATGTCGGGATGGTCAATCACACCACCGTCTGAGACCTGAAAAGCCCGTGTAGATTCAAGAAGAAAAGGCCCCTCGAATGAAGTGCAGCATCATTGTGTCTCGAGCATGATTTGCGCCTGTAAAGAAACATGGATCAGTTTCTTCCGGTTTGAACTTGTGGCCGGCTTTGAAGTTGTGGGGTGAGGACTTTTGCGTCGGATCCTCATTCCAGAACGCGGTGTCTCTAGCCCACCTCCTTCACATCCAGCGCAGTGGGGCAGTATTGTCTGGGAGTGTCGGGGTTCCGCGTAGCAAGAAACCGTTTTAGCGGCTAATATAATAAGAAACCAGCCATCAATGGACGCATCCCAGTTGTGCAACCTTCAATTGCTGTGTGAGGTCCAAGCAAGGTGACGCCCCGTCGAGAAGTTCGAGAGATTGGCCCAGAAATTGGAGCGTTCTGGAGGCGGGAAGTTTGTGGCCGTGGGCCATTCGTACGTGCAATCAAAGTGGTTTATGCTGAATGGTATAGTGAATAGATGTGAGCCAGCTAGTGAGCCAATTACTCAATTTGCTTTGTCAGCTCTGCCTGGTAAAGATGTGTACATATCAGCGAAGAGCTGGACAGACCCTTAACTGAGCGCCAACATCACGCCTTGACACATGGTCCAATTCTGGGTCAATCTTTGCAGCTAGCAAAACGATTACGTTCATCACATCAGTCTACGCAGTTCACGATTCTGTGGTTGATGCTTGTAGACGTTGCATTACAACTGAACACATCAAGATTTCTCATGGGAGTTGTTTGAGCTGGAAATTGTATAGTTCATACCGAATTAAAGGTGTACTGGATCGCCTGCTCTACTTCTGACCTTTAATCTTCCCGGCCACTGGTAGCACAGTGTTGTGTCAGTCAGGACTTACCCCATCGGTCGAATGCACTTACATATTTCGCCAATTGCGTATGCCATTGCTGCAATTGCATCAGTGAATTGCGCTCCATGGAAATCGAGTCCACTTACTTTGAGGATGAGCAGCCATATGAAGAGGGATGATCGAAAGATCCGCAACTCGGATGTTCTTCGTTCCGTAGATGCGGAGGTTCGAGTCAACCACCCCTCCTTTCTCCATGGGTAGCATTGCGCACGTGCCAGCAGCGTCTAGTTTGAAGTATAGTGGCGGGTGCATGCGACTCGAGACTGGATTACTTACGCCAGGTAGAGCCCACCGTGCTCCTAACATATTCTGCCGTAACGCTCTCAAATACCCCATAATGTCTGAATCCTATTTCTGAAACCTACCGGCGAGCTGCTCATCAGTCGAAACCTCTGGGCCGGGAGATAACTCCTTAACTAAAGGAGTGCTTGATGTCATGCGAGGAAAGCAAGACGTTTTAAAAACAACACTGACCAATACGTTCCTTGTAAGGCGCGGTCTCGGCCGCTTTTCGCACAAACTTCAGACTTTCGACCAAAAGTTGAAGGTCTAGGACATCCTGCTTGAGCAGCCACCTAATCGAGGTATGAGGCAAATTGCACCCACCAATATCATGCTCGAAAATGTTCGGATCCATCACAGCAGGTATCTTGTCGTCTTCAGATTGGATATGCTGTGCATGTCTTCAGGGATTTTGTGCTGAAAGGGAGGCGCCTTAAAGGACTTACAATAGATCCTCGAGAAAATGGCTTATTGAGGAAAGTAACTATCGAGTTATATAGTTTCCCTTTCTCTGGAGTTCCTGTTCAGATTCAATGCGTAGTGAGCTCACACCCCGACCCAATTCTAAACAACTTACTGCCAGAAACAGGGAAGAAGAAGGGGGCAAAGGAGAACTCGCAGTCAGGAACACGATTGTCCTTCAGGCTCTCTATCTGAAGCTTGTACTGTTCTTCGAGGCCTGTTCGCGTGTCGAAATAACTTCTTTCTCCAGCCTCGCAATCTTTTGTTCCTCGTTGGCCACAAGGGACGTAAACTTGGATGGAGTGACGTCGCTGAGTGTCAGCCATGTTATATTGTTGATCGAGCTGCGGTGAAGACCGAGCCCGAGCCCACTGGAATGCAGATGAGAACACGAGTGCCCACGATAAAGAACGACACTTAACTGGAGGCGGCGCTGTTCTGCGGCATACTCTGGATCAGCCAAACCATCCAAAGTCTCCCAACCGTTCGCTTTCGCATCGATCTCTATGCAGGGAGTCAACTGAAGCCCATATCAGCACATAGCACGGCTGACCGTGGATCACTGCAGCCAGGCAATGCTCTTGAAGGTTCTCGCCAACTTGGGGGTTATGTACTTTGACTGGGATACCGAGAGGTTCAAGGATTTCTTTGTTGCCAATGCCTGACCTCTCTAAAATTGTTGAGGTGGCGAGTGTGCTGTACCAGCCATCGGGGGTATTAGCGGATCAAGCGTTGGCCGGACGCCGGAATTCACTCACCCCGCGCTCACGATTACTTCTTTCTTTGCATGAACGTCGTAAATATCTCCACCATGTTCAAACTCGACCCCACTGGCCACTACGTCGTCTTCGGGCGTGTTGGTTGCGGGAATGATGATCTTGGTGACGGGTGCATTGGTGAGCACCTTGAGGTTGGGGCGATGCGCGTTTGGCACGAAATATGACTATGGTAACAGATGTAGATAAGCCGGAACATACGGCTGATATGAGGGGACGATCACAGCGGATCCCACCCACATTGGCCGAATAAGAGCGCAAACCGGTTTGGGGGTTGATGCTTGCAGCATAAACCCCCGTTCCTAGAATCTATTCGATCCTTCTCAGAAGCTTATTTTACTATGACTAGTCAAGTTGACCTACGTCAGGTCCGCCCTTTCATACGACGGGATTATGAATGGTGTGATCCAGGATGCTAAGAGATGCCGCTCACCGCTGCTTCTAACGTCGGGACTCCAAATTTGTTCATTGTCTAATCGATCTCGAGTGAGTTCATCGAACTGGACCCCTAAGGAATTCATCCACACTTCTCGATACTGTTTTTCACCGGACAATTCAACGGTAGTAATACCGATAGAGATAGGTCCTGTGGGTCGAGGAGTAACGGGACACAAATTTGTCGCACACCGTGGACTCACCTCCTTGGCCATACTTAGAACTATCGTAGGTAATGCCGAGTTCCGCGACCTCGTCGGCAGCGGGCGGGATGAAACTGGTGAACTCATAAGATGCATGTCAGAACGGGGGGTATTCAGAAAGCACATACTTCTCAGCTTTTCGAATATGCTCATCGAAAAGGGTCCAATCCCATCCATCGGTGCCTAGTTTCGACCATATGTTAATGTCGCTCGCTGAAGGTTTCTGCCACCTAATCGGGCCTCAGATGATCGCTGCACAACACGCAGACAACAATACCCATTGCGCTTACACAAAAAGTTATGAGCGCTTGAACCTCCGAGTCCTTTTCCACTAATAAAATGTTAATTACAAGGCGGTGCGATAGGATCGAGATAAACAGTGTACCAGGGTGAAGGAATTGAACGGTTGTTCGCGAATTTCTGTGTTGCAGTGGTGTGTCTAAAGCAAAGTTACAAGGTGCAAGGGCGATTCCATTTCGTAAATGACTGGTTTACCCAAAGGCGAGGTATGGGTTTCCGAGTTCTTTACCATACTGAGCAGGGATATCTATATTGTAAGTGCATAAGACGCCATATCAGTCGTCTCATCGTAAGATCCGGCGGGACCTATCGAAGGATGTGGGAAATTCAGTCCCCCCGCCTCTAGAACGGCAACGCTGATCGTGGCATCCTCGGCCAGTCGAGTGGCAAGTGTGAGACCCGTCGTCTAAGATGTCCAAAACGAAGTGACTGGAGGCTCGGATCGACGATAAATCTTTCACACGTACTCCACCGCCTAAAACATCGCTCATGAACATGAACATGAGGGTTTCGAGATGATGCTTACCAACGACCACGTAATCGAATTCATGGTGTTTAACGTCTTCTAAGTTTGCAGTGATTTTTGAGGGTGCTTGCATGATTTCCACGGACATGTGTATTACTCAGCCAAAGGATCATGCATCTTTAAGTCCACGGAGTTCTTACTGCTGGAATAATGATTGATACGATTGCCACCGATTGACCGCTTGTGGAATTCCCTGGATACCCGTGCACTGCCATATTAAGGCTACTCCCTTTCCTCGTCCCCGTTCCGAGATACCCTTTCTCTCACAGGCGCTTGTGCCCGTCGCCTCGTTCATGTAGTACCTGTTCATGCCGCATTTCTAAGGCTTAACTCTGGCTCCGTCTTTCTGGGTTACCAAAAGCTGACTTATCGGTCTCCAGGGTCTCCTAAGGTGATTATGCGGTTCGACACAGGGTCGCAGGATCCCTGGGTGATACGATTTCCGGGTGGAAAGGCAGTAACGCATCTACCAGTAATGGCAACCAACGATTGAACATGTGGCAGTAGTTGGAAATGCTACGTAGGCTACTTTGTCATGAGGTTGATCGAGCTTGCCTTCGCCTTCGGCGCGCACGGGCAAAATTATTTGATATTTGACGAGGGCATGGGCTCACCGGGAGTCCAGTCTAAAACTGGTCCCCCAATTTCCCTGCACCTAAGTAGATGCACTGCAGTCTCGCGAGCTTGGCACCGAATGCAGCATTCTCACGGCTCCGAGTGTTTCTCACGTCACGCCCCACGGAAAATCCCCTGTGACTTAAGCAAATGTCAAGGTCTGTCGAGGCAAAAACAATCAGATCAAAGGAAACCAAGATAGACAATACATCAACGATAGATATCCAACGTTCAGACCACTTTTTGGAGCATTTGATCGTGGGAAACGAGTCAGCTGACCACCTCTTGAGCACTTCTTCGGCGCTAAGATCGGCGAGTCCATGGTGGGCGTCCCGCCTTGCTTAAGCATAGTCTCTTGAGCCATTGAAACCTGGTGTATTGGAGCTGAAGAGACATGTCTATGGATGCCACAAATGTTCGAGACCAGATTATCGCGTCCTTGTTTCGAAAAGTGAACGCCGATGGAATCATCGAAGAGACCTATGTTAGCCACGTCAAAATATGGGAAGAAGTGACGCCTGTTCCAAATGCGCCTGCACCTGACCCGGGAGCAATGAAGCCACGATACATTTTGATTGCTGGTTTGTTGCCGAATTTCTTCGCCATGTTCAGGCACCAGAATTGTCGCCTTGTCTGTAGTTAGTCATACTGGCCAAGGCCTCATCTACAAGGCGAAGAGGAATCCAAGCGGTTCTTTTTCAATTGGGAAGAAATGGCTTCTCGCTGATCTGAAAGCTATTGAAGTAATCAGCGTGAGCCCGGTGTCTGGTTCTGGATTTATAACCGCTAGAGCTGATGGATCGGCAACTGCAGAAACGGGGTTTTAGTATGACTATCGCCAAAACATATAAATGGAGCGCTGAAAAAGAAGACGAGATGATTAACTTCATCATATCCACCTCCCATCTATGTTCAAGGCTTTATCCGGGCAAAACTCTCGCAGTGGCAGGTATTCAGGTCCCTCCGGTACCCCGTAAGTCATATCGCGACCTCCAAAGAACTTTTTTCTAATGTGGGCCTATTGAATAGCGATACCATTTGAGCGGACTCGCTCCTCCAACGACGGGAGGGCAACGCAACCGCATCCCTCGACTTTACCTGCCGTGCCTGTGCGTCGCCCAACGAATGAGGATGATGGTGGGAAGGCCCCTACTCCGACGCCTGGCCCTTCATCTCTACGACGTCCTGCCCTGCAGCCCGGTTCGTCGAGTGATCAAAGCTTAGCTTACGCACAACCTACTCGCGTGGGCTCACCCGGTCCAGTATCAACTCAGGCGTCCGGCTCTCGATCAAGAACACCTGTTAGCTCGAATTTACGCGGATCTGCGGCTACTTCCACTGCAACTCTATCTCCACCAGCTTCCATTATCAGAACCAAATCCACTGCCGACCTTGATACAAAGCCTCCACCCGTCCCTTCGGCACTTAAGACTGTATCAAACAACGGATCTCAGCCTGGAACTACTCGACCCTCCTCCCCATCGATTAAACCAGACGGGACGGACGCTTTCAAAGAGCAACTAAATATAACTGCTCACCATGCTCCTGCGCGTCGGTCATCGCCTTCCCCTTCGAGAAGGCCTACCAAGCTTAACGATATCACAGATGCTTCTTTGGAATCACCGCCTAAAGCTACAGATGGTGGAGCATCAGGCAGCGAATTACCTGAAAAAGCGATGGATCGACTCGTTGAATCGTTGGAAGCTGACGGACTTAATGGAAACATACTGCCTCCTTTGGATGACGAATACGGTGCAGAAGGGACTATGGCGAGTGTGGAAGAGATGATAGACGAGTTTGAGTGGAACACAATTCACATCAGCTCCGACGACGATTCGTTCTCTGCCAGCATGCGGGGCCGGAAGCGAGCAAGAGCTGCTGCTGATCAAATTGAGGCCAGATTGCAAGATGAGCTGATGGCTCTTGAGAAGGTATGTTTCCCTGTAGATTTTCGGAATATTGTCCCAAATCCGCCCAATTTAGGCCAACACCTATTCATTCCTCGAATCCGACGATCGAATACTTGTAGTCATGAAGATGATCGATGATGCAGTACGAGTGTTAGATGATATGAATGGGCTGGTGTCTTCATACAAATCACAGCTGAATGTTAGTGGGCCTGGTCGTCATCATCTAGTTCTTGACATTCATGCATTGGCTGTGTAGTCTGTGAGTGAGGATATCAGCTATATTCAGTCGCGAGATCGGGGACTGCAGGTACAAAACCAGAACCAGAATGCTCTCCTCAATGAGATAAATCAACTTCTCGTATGTTCCCTATTACCTTTTTCGGGGGGCAACTCACCTTAACGGTCTTTACACAGCAAACTGTCCATGTTGACCGTGATGCTCTGGTGGAGCTGATCCACGGATCTTTAGACTCTGATGCCGGTATCCAAAAGCTTGAAATTGCAGCTGCCGAGCTTTACAAAGCTATGCTTGCTGCGAGAGAGACAGGTATGTCCTTTCTTTCTCTCAATTTTTATTAGGCTGATGAATGCACCCAGACATGGCCGCAACGATAGAGAGACTTAGTGAATATGAGACCCATAACAACCAGTTCACCACACGTCTTGTTGGATTCTTGACGGTCATGTTCACCGCTCAGGTTCGTTCTATTCACTTGTCGTCCAACAGCATTTATGAGTTTTGTTATTCGTTGCAGGCCACTTTGAACTCGAGTGCATCTGAGCCTGGAAAGAATATCCAACCCTACCCTCACACGAAAAGATGGAATTGTACATTGGGCGGTACTCTGGACTCATTCTCTACATGCGGGAAATGGACGAAACCAAGTACTCCAAGGTCTGTGCTGTAAGTCGGGCGGTTCAATTAACAGGTCAATCTGTTGACTTTCGCCGCTGCAAGACTTATTACTCTGTCTCGAGTGAAATGCACGGGAAAGAAATGAAGGCACTCTTTCCTCCTACATGGATTTGTGCAAGAAAGCCTCTGATGAAGGCGAAGAAATCGGTGCGATTGACTTTAATGTGTATTCGAATGACTGAATATTGCCTTTAGGAGGGTTCAGCACCACAAACCTGTCTCGCATGAACACGCAGCTCAAACGAGGGAATACGTTGATCAAATCACCTTCCGAACCTCGCAAAGACAGAGAAAGGGGTCTCACTGTTTCGGAGGTGAATATCCGTACCACATCCTCATCCAGGTTGACATGTAAATTGATTCCGAACTTCAGGCATTCGGTCGTGTTTTGGGTCAAATCATCCCTCACATCTATCGAGAGCAGAATTTCATTGCGGATTTCCTGCAAATTAATGATTCATCCATTACTTTTGCTGATTATATGGGGCTGGAAAGCTATTTTCGGCGGCAGGCAGCTCGAGCTTGGGGCTTGAATCCAGCCACGGCGAGGCTTGCCCAGGGTGCCTTGGATTTGATATTCGGCTTTGTACCTGATGCCCTGAAACAGTGGACAGACGGAGCACTGGCTAAGGATAACATGTGAGTTGTTCGACACGCCTCATTTGTTTGATTACAAGCAGCCACTACTTCCTATTTCAGACAAATCATAGGAATCATGTCCAATCTTGAACGATTCGCTGTGGATGCAGAAGAACGTGGCAACGCGTTTCTGCAAAAACTTCTGCAGAAGCAGTCACAGCGATTGACAGCAGCATTCAATCATTTAGTGGTAGGTTCTCCCGGGCAATTGTTCCAACAATGAATGAAGGCAATATGCAATTGCTACAGGATGACCAAATTAAAGCCATTGAACAAACTAAGCTTACTACCAAAAAACGGAAAGGGGTCGCCCACTTCATCCGGTACTTCCCAGTGCGTGTTTTTCGCTGTGGATAACACTAATGGCTGTTATATTCTTGGGTTCCGTCACTGATGCCGCAAGGACTTCATTCCCTAGATCTTCCTGAACAAGGTCGAAACGCAACTAATCGGCGCCGACACACTCGAGATTCGGGGAAGCGTTGATTCCGCGTATGATCAAATCGTTCAGGCCATGTTTGAGTCCCTTCAGCATATGGCAAAGCTGGACGGCGCAGAATCTCAATCCGCGGAAGATAAAGGGATGTTGAATTATCATGTTATCTTGATCGGTAAGGCGGTCTATCTCTCGTGATGGCGGGGTCATTGATATGCTTCATCGATCGTCGTCCGTTGGGCAGAAAACATGCATTACTTCGTCGCCGAAATTTCTCAGCAAGAGCTTGGTGCAGTGCAAGGTTTCCTCCGACGGGCGGAGGCGATTTACGATGAGAACTTAAGCGCTTATGTCAAGCTTGTTCTGCGGAGATCAATGGGAAAGATACTTGTGAGTGACCGCGTGCTGAAACGATGCGGCTTTATTTAATCGCAATGATCTTCCGCTTTCGCAGGACTACTTTGAAGGTGTAGAGCGTCTGTTAACAACCACAGCTCCTTCGGAAGTGCACAATCATTCTAATTACAGTAAGTCGGCGTTGAAACGGATCCTGAAAGAGTACACAGCCAAGGATATCCGACGCCATGTTGAGGCTTTACACAAACGTGTTGAGAAGCATTTCTCAACCGCAGCAGAAACTAGTGCAGAGGCCGAGGGACAGAGCCTTGCCTCTGGCCCCGTCATGGTCGGCGTGTGGAAGGCGTGCGAAGAAGAAATGATCCGGGACACAAACACGTTTCGACGATTGATCGAACAATGTTACAAAAGTGATGGGATGTCCCTTGAGTACACTGTGTCCGACATCGAACAGCACTTCGCTCAACGTCGAGCGCGCTAGAATTTCATTCTCTTGTGTATCCCATGCTTGTTGTTTGCATTGTTGTCATAGATTTTTTGTTTGGACATTTTTTTGCTCTCAGGGTCCCTCAAAAGACCGAATTTGTAAAACATTGACCCATGGGTCACTCCGACCGTTCAATTTCAGAAATGCGGGGTCTCGCGCTTTCTTTGCGCACACCTTGGTCAAGACTATAGACCGCAGTTTTGAGCTAAAAGCATTTCCAACACCGCCGGGGTGCTGTCAAAAGCTCGAGTACCCTTTCTGGATTGAACGTGTTCGTTGCAGGTGATCATTCATCAGTTGTTCCTCGTCCTGCCCTTTCCGGACACTACTCCTCCCCTTCCTTCTGTCGACTACTCATGAGCACGAAAGACGCCACGGCTGCTGCAGACGCTCCAAAGTCTGCGAATGATGGGAAAGATGAAAAGCCCGCTAAGCCCCAACGTACCTTGAATAGAGTGCCTCGTACGTCGTCTCTTTCTTCTCTTTCTCCCAATTCTTTCTTTCATTTCCTTCGAAAAATACCGTCCCGAACCTCTTTTCCTGTCGCATGCATTTCCAACGTGTGACAAGCTTGTTTTGGATCATCTGGGCTATGTTTCATTGACTTCAACGGGACACTAACAACCTATCTGATATCGTAGGGGCATGCGTGAGCATACAGCTTGGTTCACGCAGCGGAAAAGGGCCTCATTTCCTTTTTGATAGAATGCCTGCCGCAAACAAAAAATGCGATGCGAAGGGGCCGAAAACCCGCCGTGCAAGCGCTGTCGTCATGCGGGATATGAGTAAGTGGAAGCGCCCCTCCGGCGCGTTAGGCTGGATTTTCAAATCCTCCGTTCCAGGTGTCTCTTCGAGAAGCCCGTCCGTGACACTACTACATCGGAACAGGGCCTTGAGTGAGTCGCACTGGTGATCATCTTACTCATCTGATCGATTTTTTGCACTCCAGACGGATTCGAAATCTAGAGAACACTGTGACCTCTATCCAAAATACTTTGACAGATCTAGTGGCTACTTTACGTGAGCGCCAGTCCTTACCCTCCCCCAGGTCTGCGACGTCCCCGTCTTCCTCCGGGCACCCAAATAATGGTCCATCACCAAGATTCATCCCGTATGCGCCCAATCACGAACCATCGCCGACTGTGGTGTCGCCGCATCATCAACCCCCTCCCCCGCCTCAGCGATCGTTGTCCTACCCAGAGCCAGGTGTGTCCGCCGAGAGGGAATATCATCATTACAATGACCATGCTTCTTATCGTCGTGAACACCGTCCACCTTCTCATCCGCCTGGTCAGTCCAACATGTTTCCTTCCGATTCTTGACAACTCGACGCACTCAATAAAATCATACAGAAAATGGTCTTCATGCGCCAGGAATGGGCTATTCACACAATTATTCAATGACCTCACCCACACAACATTACAATCATCACGGGTCCCAAGTGGGTTCGACGCAGCTTCCTCCTTTCTCCGCTTTACAAGGGATGGCACCTCCACCTTCGCCATTTTCTGCGCAATCACATCGACCGTCGTCAGGGCATTTGCCCCAACCACCATCGCCCCCGCACCACGCGCTTCCCATCTCTCTCCCGCCGATGTCCCAGGGCCAGCCGCCTCGCAACAGTCGATACTCTCAGAGTAACGATCCTGCATACTCAGAGACTTCCCACGGCTCGGGCGGTCACCCTCACTACTCAGATGCTTCACCAGGCCGAATGCAACCCCACCTGCAGCAGCTACAGCCAGGATCATCACAACAGGTTCACCGCACGCTTCTGCATCACACTTCCCACCATCGTCAAAACGTGCCTTCGTCCAACGTGACTTCGGTCGAATCCTCCGATGACGAGGGTGAACTGCCGGCTTCAGGACTAGCACGTCCCCTTCCTGCTTTACAAGACCTCGCCGCACTTGCCACTCAACAGGCCGAAAGGGTGAGTGCAAGACGATCCATATGTAATACCCCTTTTCTCACGGGCAACTCCTTGCACACTATTTTTCTATGGCGATGCTTTCGCCCCTTATTAAATTTCCATAACCTTTCTCTTGCGGTCTTCCACCACCATCTCCCTGCATCGTCAAACACGACCATTTGACGTGGCCTTGTCAATTTTGTTTCACAACTCGTAACTTTGTCGAATCCAACGTCAACGCAATGCTGTCGGTCATGCTTATCCAGGGTGATACGGGTAGTGCCAATCGAACACGCAGCCCATCTCCCGAGAATAGTGGATCTGGGCGTGACCGGTTGCAAGGAGGAAGAGCCTCGAAGCGCCGGAAAACGGTGCACGCAGCACGCAGCCTTCGAGACGCGAGAGAGCAGAAGCATCATCCAGACGGTTAGTCGCAGCCGTGCTTCGCCCGGATCCGGTGGCGTATTCACGATAAATTGACAGTTGTCACAAAATGTTTGATATCTGAAGAAGAAGCGCGAGCTCTTTTCCAAATGTGAATCTTTGTCTTGGGCTCGGATAGGCGGGACTAACGGTTTTGTCCATCCAGATTTTACGATGGTTGCTCAACGTTCCTTCCAATTTTTGACAAGGCCCGGGACACTTATGATGCGCTTCATGAGCGCTCACCGTTTTGCGTTAATGCCATTTGTATGGTAGCCGCTAAGGTCAGGGATGGTGGAGGTAAGTGCGGGCCTGATTCCGGATAGCAGTGGTCAAATTACGTAATTGCTCACAGGCCCTGAAGGCGAGATATTCAAGATTTGTCAGGAAGAAGTGCGAGGGATGGCTTGTACGACCCTCTTTTCACCTGTCTCTCGGCAAGAAGCAATACAGGCTACAAGTGAGTGTTTTCTGGTAGCACAATGACAACCAGTGCTGACAATATACTGTCAGTCATTGTTGCAGGGTGGTCGTCTGATGGGGGTTGGCTCTCTTTAGGGCATGCTGTCCGCATGGCGTTTGAATTCAGTACGCGTCATTGTCAATTTGTTGTCCTTTCCACTCACCGTCGCCCAGACATGCATAAAGCTTGGCCGAAACTCCTGAAGAAGATCCGTGCACGGCACCAAAAAACTCTTGGGGAAGAAGATTTGCAATTCGTTATTTCCACCAGAACCTGGTTTTGTCTTTACCTCTACGAGCATCAGTGCGTGTTGAATGTTTCGGCATCAAATATGTAGAACACTGAGATGTCATTAGGTTGTCGTTCAGTACTGGTCGGCCGGCCATCCTCCGCGAAGATGACTCGGTGGCGGACTGCCGTGAATTTCTCCTACATCGTAAGTGAATCATTTGATGTAGGCGAGCGTCTCAGTCACGTTTCTTTGTTAAGCTCTGACGATCCCCGATGACACACGTCTTGTTTCCATGGTGGAACTTGCTATGATTCGTGAACGCTTGCATAAAAAATTGTCCCATTCTGCTGAAGAGTCGACTTCTACCCCGCCTGATGCCTATGCCACTCTCCACAAAGCCAATCAGGACTTCCAGCAATGGAACGATTATTGGGATGAGGAATTTGCTCGCGGACACTATCAGGACGTCGAGTGGCAGAACTTCCAGCGGCAAAGTTTGCAAGTTCAGCGATACTTTGCAGAACTGTTCCACGGTGCGTCGGCACTGAGAGGGATCCGAGGGAAGGAGGATGTTCCCGGGCTGCCAAAGGAACAGAGGGACCTCGCACTGAGATGTCTCGAAGTAGCGAAGAAAGGACTGGAGACTTGTGTAAAATCCACTCACTATAAGGAAGGATTAAAATATGGTCAGTTGACCTGTCTCATCACACGTGGCTTTACTCATGCGTCACTCCTAGCTGTACACTACACTCACATGAGCGCGACGTTCGCGGCCTCATTCTTGATTCGACTGGCCCGATTGTTGTAAGTCCCATGTTGGAAGTCGTACATCCCTCGCTTAACCAATCCCTCCTCCAGCCCCGATGAGGTAGATGTCCATATGGTTCGAAACATTGCTGAAGACTTGGCTAATGAGCTATCACAAAGTTTGTCGCATACGCTTGCTTACTTCCACCTTGCCTAATTTTTTTTTTTCAGTTCCAGCAGCATCTCGTTATGCGTTGACATTACGGATAATGTTGAGAAAGGCACACCAACGAAAAGTTCTGCCACCACGTGTCCCCGAGAATGGCGCTGAAATGGCTCCCAATCATGTCCAAGAAATGCTTCCACACCAGCCGCCGCTAACAGCAACGAACCACTATCGATCACCCTCTGATCCAATCCAGCAGCTTACACCTCCCGATATGCCTCCTGGCGGGGCGTCAATACCAGTGCAACACATATACCCTCACGAGATGCTTCGACAGCAGTATGCTCAAATGCTTCCTCAGCATGAGCCGGAGAATGGTGAAGTTCCTGGTTAGTTCCCACTTCACTGTGCTTTTTATCAGTGGCACTGAACATAATCTCTACTAGTCTGGCTTTCCGAATCGACTTTGGGGGATCTTAATCTCGCTCAATATTCTCTGGAAGCTTTCATCGTCCCCGCAGAATATGGGGGTGATCGGATTTGGTAAACAGCCTCAATGTAATCTGATAGATGCGTATCTCTATAACCTTTGTTATGGGCTTCTGCTGTATCTTTGACTGGACAAAATCAACGCATGTAGTCGGTACTGTGTTCGGGATGTATTGAATGTCAGTTATGTTCGTCAGTTTCACGAAGGCATTAGGCATTCTAGTACTTCGAACTTAAAGAGTGCGGGTACAGCAAGAAGGGGGAAGGGGAAAGGGGGAGAGGAATAAGTTAAATTGTGTGAATCTACTTCGCAAAAAGTTCCGTCAACTCCTCCAACCTCTTCTGCTGCATTTGTGCCTTGCTCAGGGGCTGGCCTAGAGTCATGTTAGCTAGCTGGGTTTTCCGGGCCTGCACTTCAAGCAATTTCTTCTCGATGGAATCTTCCATGATAAATTTAATTGTCCTAACCGGGTAACTTTGTCCAAGCCGGTGCTGAATGGGACATGGCGATTAGAGAACCAGCCTCTCAGTGAGGAAGCACTTACGATACGATCCACAGCTTGGTTCTCGACAGCGGGGTTCCAGTAAGGATCCATTAGATACACGCGACGAGCAGCCGTAAGATTCAACCCCACACCACCTGCTCGCAAACTGACGAGCAGAACCTCAGTCTTGGGATCATACTTGAGAGCATCCATGGCACGCTGTCTTTCCTCTCGCTTCATCGTACCATCAAGTCGGTCATACACAATATTCGCTTCTTCCAGCGCATCTTCAATTCTATTCAGCAACACATAACATGTGAGCACGGGATCGTGGGTTGTTCGACACGAAACTTACTTGTCAAGCATGCTGGTCCATTGGGAGCTAGTCAAGCGTGGTATCAGCAGTGACACAAGGATCTACAGTGGTGATAAGATGGCTTACAAGACGACTGTCTTCGTCTCACCATCATTGATAACATTCCCGTTTGCATCGGTTTGCTGAACCTCGCTGGCGATATGAGGATCATAATTCCCTGAGTAAGGGTTTAATTGAGATGTGGCCATGAGGTCGACCATGAGAGCCTTGATCTTCGTCGAAGAGTTGTAGCCCAACAAACTGCTGCCTTTCTGCCGCTTTTCTTTCTTGGGCGGTCGTGCCTTAGGAAGCATCTCGCTTTGAATCAGACCGTCAGGGCTGACTTCTACCGCATCGGTCATCGGCGCCAACTCCGTCTGACAGATCGAGCAGGCACGGTTGACCTCAGTCTTCGCCTTTGGCCAGTTCGGACATATGCTCAGGCGGAAGCATTCAATACAGTAGAGGTGTTGACACCGTGTAATGACCGGTCTAGTACCAGCGGGACTGCTTGCTCGGGTCGGCCCACGGGACCCTTTGCTGCCCTTCTTAATCTTCGGCTTCGGCCCCTCGAACTCTGTGCCGTCCAGGAGAGCCCCACCGCCCGAAGTTGCCATGTCCATACCGCACTCAACACATTGTGCCGTACCAGCCTCACGGAGTAGTGCGAAAATGGACGTAGCAGTCGTTGCTGTGAGACCATCGCGAGCGATCGCGGCGACAATCTGACTGTAGTCCATGGTGGCTTCCAGACCAGACGGCATCATATCTTTGCCTTGGACAAGCTCGTAGTGATCACAAATCTGGCGCAAGCGAAGAATTTTCTGCAAAATCCCGACATAATTCTTCATAACTTCGCCAGTCTTGCGGAGTTGAGTGAACTCGGCCTTCGACTCCGTGTAATAAGAATCATAGACTTCCTTCTCTTGCTCGTCAAACTTAAGATATCGGACTTCATCCGTGCGAGGAGGCAAATTGAGAATCTTTTTGCCTGACTGATCAGTTGTCTCCTTCGTTCGCCTCAATGTTACCAACTTCATGATTGTTTGCAGGCGAGCAACGCCAAGAGGCTGGCCGAATTTAGCAGGACCACCGATAAACTCGGACCAAACGGCTTTGTCGTCGAATGGGTAGAAACGAAGGAATTTAATGAGAGCGTATACGTCGTCAAGCTTATTCTGAACCGGCGTGCCAGTCAGGCAAAGACGTCTGTCGGACACCAAATCGCAGCATGCGCGACTTGCAATGGTAGTAATCTCCTTGATAGAGCTGACGAAATATCTCAGTCATTTCGTGAGAATACAATACGATTTCTCAAACTTACTGGGCTTCATCAAGCACAATACGAAACCAATGAATCTGCTGTAACGGAGAGGTCTGTTCTATGCCTGCAGCAAGTGCCGCTCCAGGAGGCCGTTTCTTTGCCTTATTCTTTTTCTCCTTCAGCTTAATGATCAACCCGCTTGCATCGTCTGAATCACTGCTCGCGCTGCTACTCTCATCGTCGTCCCCCCCATCTTCATATAGCGCCGTGCTCTTCACTTGCTTTGAATATTCGGTCGCGAGGGTCGAGTACGTCGTGATGACAGCATCAAAATCAGCCAGGAAATTCGTATCTGGTCGTCGGGCGGCTCCATGGTAGACGTAGAGCTTGAGCCTCGTAAAGCGACTACGGTCTCGCGCCTCTATCTGTGTGACAGTAGCAGGTGGCGTATTGGCAGGAGGCAAACTTGTCCCGCCCACAACTTCCACCTCACCCGCCCAATGCTCTTTGAACTGGTCCTCCCAGTTCGTTATCGTAGATAACGGACAGATAATGAGCGTGGCCCGACTCTTGGCTTTGATACGTGCTTGACGAGCTGCATCGGCAAGTTCCTTCTGGGTTTCACGTTTTCCTTTGCCCTTTCCGTTCTTTCCCGTGCCATCCGAGTCTATCGACATTGACGACTCCTCGAAGGGTGTGGACGAAGAATCTGGCATACCCCACACCTGGCCAGCAAAGTGGGCAGCTGTGAGTGGAGGTTCCGCAGTAGGAGCAGCCTTATTGACGCGAAGGGTGATCTTCTGGATCGGACCGTACGCAAAGACGCGTGCCGAGTCCATTGTCCTCGCCATGAGAGAGACGACAGATATGGTCTTCCCAAGACCCATCTAATTAAGAAAAGCAACTCAACAGGGACGAAACTGCCGATGAATAGGGTACAAACATCATCTGCTAAGATGCCACCCTTAGCTTCCGGAGGCTCCTTTGTAATTTCCTTACCAGTGACGGGGTTGAACCAGGCCCGTACTCTCCCCGAAGTATCCTTGCGAGGTTGCCATAACCACCCGGCCTTCCCTGGGGTCTCTCTCTCCTTTTCGCGCTCCAGGAGGAATGTCAAAGCCTTCTTCTGGTGAGGATATAGATTTGTATAAACATTCGGACCTTAGAAGCGACATGAGAATGAGCAAAAATTATATCATCAGTGGCCTTAATCATCATCTCACCGGAATTAGGGGGTGGAGGCAAAAGTTGCTTACTCACCAGGCTCTGTATTGGGAAGGTCCTCTTCACTCCTAAGTGCTTTGAATAACTCGTCCACCTGACTTCTCTGGACCTCCACGCTTTTGCCCGCCACTACGGATTGACCCTGCCACCGGTTCTGCTGAGCATATCGACCATACTCATTTATCCCTATTTGCCCCGGTTGCGCTTGATGAGGGTTCTCATATGGTGGGTTGTCCCGGTGATTGGCGGGGTTATACATAATGGAAGGGTGCTCGAGGCTTACACTCCCCGAAGCCAAGTATTGGGCCACAACTTTAACATTACCACGGGGGGTGAAGACAAGGATGCGAATGGGAAGTATGGTGGCATTTGCACCTTCAGGTACGCGTTTGACGGTTGACTCGAGCCGAACCAGTACTTTAGCCATGAGAGGACCAAGAATAGCTGCTATTCGGCTCTCAACGACTCCGAAATCTTCACCACCTGTAACATCTCCATTGGGACTCTTAAACTGTGGCGTAGTTATTTGGATCGTCTCCTCATCCGAACCAGGAGGTCTAGCGCGCTTTTTTGCCGCGTCGTCGTACCGTAACCGTACGGGAACAAAGTCATCAGGGTAATGGCGAGGGGGGTCGCCTTTGGATGAGATATATGGGATAGGGTACAGGACGAGTGCTGTGCCATTCACTTGACCAATACACACGACGTCACGCCGGTTATCTCTTGGCGGTGCTGCAGTTGGGTTTGGCATGGGGACACCATTCTGATAATGACCTGTGGAAGGTGGAGGACCACCTGCCGGGTCAATAAGGCCCGTTGATGGAGAAGGACGATATGGTGGCGGTTGTGGCGGATGTTGCAGATAGGCTTGCTGCTGTGGTTGAGTTTGAGCGTACTGTGCATTGTCAGGGAAATATGATGATTTAACGGGTTGAGATACGTGAGATGAAGTAACAGGGGGCGTTTGACTTGGCCTATAATAAGCTTGTGGATCGTAAGGAGTTTGCGGTGGGGCGCCATTATTGTATGGGGATGGGGCAGGTTGTGAAGACCATGAAGTCGGTTGCTGGTACGGCGTGGATGCACCCTGAGACTGGTATTGAGAGTAAGGAGCGTATCCCGGCTGCTGCTGCTGCTGCTGCGTTGACGCGGGAGGAGTAGCCGAGAGGGAGCCCGTCCGCGCCCGCTTCGCCGAGCGCTGCATCTCCTCGTCATCATTTCCAGTGAGATCTATGGGAGTAGTCGAAGAGCCCATAGCAGCGATTCGAGCACAAAGTGAGAGCCGAGCCTACAAAGGTAGGCGCAGAAAGCGCAAACCCAGATGGATGTTGGGAAGCAAGCAAGTCAATCGTTGACTTTGTGTTTTCTCGATGCGTTGCTTAGTCAGGTGCATTCAATCTCAAAGCTGCTGCGGAGCTTGCCTTCCCTAATTCAAAATACACGATCCCGCGATGTCACGGCAACAACAAAATGTGGTTTCCTCATTGCGTCAGTCATTCTCAAGAACAAAATTTGAGAGTGACAATTAGAGTGGCCCTGAGGCAGCATTCTGGTTATGATCACATCCTGTGCATACTTGATCCCGAACGCAAGTCTGCATTTACTTGGAGGTCACACTCGAGTTTTTCCCGTTCGGATGTTCCTTGAGCCATTCTGATTTAGAGCAACGGCTCTTGTTTACGTCAAGGATTAGCTCATTTGCATATCAACACTAGCACTTCTCTTCGGGAACTCCCACTGCGCAACCGCGCGCAGTCGCGTGCATAGTTGTTGCTCTAAGCTTTATGTAATGATCGTTCGCAAAGAAACACAACCATCGTGACCCGCACAGCTGAAGCCGGTCCATTTTTGTGGTCCAATTTTATTTATTTGTTCTCCAGCGGGGATGATCTTGGCTTCTATTCTTCTGATCGGCGGCTATGCCGCTCATAACGGCGGAATGATCGTAGATCGTCTACCTGATTCTATTCTGATACAGTTGCCGGCTCCTGTAAAGCATCGCTGGGGGGGCCATCTTGTATGTACGTGACAATCAGGTGCAAGTTTACGTCTTGTTACGAGCACCTCCTCACTCTCCAAGCGGCTAAAGATATGTCGAACTTACGTCTACGAGCGCGCGCAAAGATGCAAAATATCTTCTCCCCATTGAAGAGCTGGGAGCGGTTCGATTTACTCGGCCTAGGCTACGCCACCTTTGCGAAGGCAACAGCCATGATCGTAGCAGTACGAGGAAACATGCTCGCTCAAGCAGGGCCTGCCTGACTTCCGGAACCATGCATGATTGTGATCGATCTTTCGTGGAGTCGTGATTCAATTTACCGGACAAAAATGCATTGCTCTTCTAGTAATAGAGCACCCACTCGCTGGGACGTCGGGCGTTAGCGGATGGACCAGTGCAAACTGAATCTTGAATTATCATGTCGCTTATCTACTACAGACGTCAACTCCCGGAATGTCAGGGCTCGAGCCGCTTAGGATCGCGAGGGAATAAGGTGGCATTTCGAATATTTCCTAGCTTGAGGAACAGCATGACCACGCGCTCGAGCCCTGTGCATTGGTGCGTGTGTTAGTATCTGTGTCATCGGGAAGTAGCATCGGCCCACCAATACCGCCACCTCCATGAGGGGGACAGCCCATTCTGAAGGCATCAACATAGGGTTTCATTGACTCAGGATTGATACCCCATTCTCGCATGCGTGCTTCTAGGAAGTTCGCATCGTGAACACGCTGAGCACCCGAAAGAATTTCTTCGCCTCTCATCATGAAGTCGTAAGAGTTTGAGTACCTCTATGTCATAGATTAGTAATAGCGTGTAATCAATGCATCACACAACTTACTGGGTCATCTCCGTTAGGCATAGTGTAGAACGGGCGGACCGCCAGGGGGAATTTGTCAAGGATGTAGTAATCCGTTTTGTATTTATCTCTCACAAGGGCACCCAGCTTCTTCTCTTGCTCAGTGCTGCTCTCCATACATCAGAAATCAGGAAATCCGCGGTTCAAGGCTTAAGCGAACCTCAAATCCTCGAAATCTCCGATTTCAACGCCATTCGCTCTAAGGAGCGCAATACCCTCAGTCCATTGGAGCCGAGGCGTCTTTTCCAGGAAGAGGAATGGCTCCGCGGGGAACTGTCTGTTGATAATCGAGATCTCGTTGGAGAAATTTTGCTGAAGGCTCTTGAAAATATGCACAAGCAAGCCATCGAGTAAGTCAATGACCTCTTCGTACGTCTCCTCTATAGTCATCTCGAGATCGAGGCCAGTGAATTCTGTGAGATGTCGGTGGGTAAATGCATTCTCAGCCCGGAAGACTAGGGAATTGACATCTGATCAATGTGAAAGATGTGTCGTGGCGATCAGGCTCACCCGGCCCAATTTCAAAAACACGTTCAAGATCCGCTGAAATAGCCATCTGTTTGGCTAGCTGAGGACTCTGAGCAAGAAATGCGCTCCCTAATTGGATATCGTATTAGGCCTCGGGGAAGGTACGGAACCTGTGTCCAGTACCTTTGAAATAGTCAACTCTAAATACGGAAGCGCCACTTTCCGTCGCCGCGGCCTGGAGCTTTGGCGTGTGTATCTCTATGAAATTCTTTGACTCTAAATATGATCTGAAAAGAGCCGTGACACTAGATTGGATCTTGAAGATTGCTTGACTAATGGGTGTCTTCGTTGAAATCGGTGACGATGGTGAAAACTATGGCAAGTGAGCGTAACTCACGCGTAGATCGAGCACTCGGTTGTTGAGACGAGTGTCCAAGCCAACACTGTTGTACAGTTTGTTGCCATCGGCGTCCCTCGCTTCATATTCCTCAGCGCTCCGCGCTGCATCTTCTAGGGTAAAAGGAAGAGGTTCTGGGCTAGATATAAGGTGGAGCTCCAGGGGGGATGAGTTGGGGCCGGCGATGGCCAGGTTGAGAGAAAATACCTTAGAGACGAGGATTTCGCGCTCGTGAATCGTAGTGCTCTCGACTGGGACGGCCGGCTTCTGAACTACACCCTCCACGAGGACAATGCCCTCGCTTGGTATCGAAGCGCCCCATTTCACCATTTGCTTTGATATGGTGCTAGGGTTCACCACGACGAGTGCTTGAATTGTATGGATACTCTGACGAAGAGCAAGGAAGAGCATCTTGCTTCCTACGGGTGTGGCCTGAAGAAGAGTATCGAGAGACCAATGGAAAGCTCACCTTGGGCTCTCGTTGTGTGGACTCTTGCTCGCACAAGAACAACTTCTCCCGGATTGGCATCTTCTAGAGCTGCGATCCTGTGTCGTATGCGACCTGCGTTGATGGCTGAGCTACCTCATCACGTTCAAGTGTCCCTATTAACCTGTAATGTTTTGTGACTGATTTAAAACTAGACTTCCGTAATTGTCGATGGCATAATCCTGGATCGTCACGGCGATGCATTGGTGAATCGGGTGCGCAAACAGCATGAAAGTTCGCCGGAGCTCACGGGCTCTGCTGCAGCTTTCGCTGCTTCTTGGGCCTTCAATTTAGCTGCCTTCTCTGCAGCGAGTCTTTCCTTCTCAGCCTTTTTCGCAGCTTTCTTCAATTCGTTTTTAGAGGGACCTTTGCTCTCAGGAACATCTCTGTGCCGATCAAGACTGATTGAGTTGTAGCCTCTAATGGAAGATTAATACGTGCTCACTGGGGCGCTGGGGCATCTTGAGCTGTTTCGGACATGTTGGTCTAATCGGTAGTTCTACGATAAGTAGGACTCCAAAAATCGGCGATCGATTTCAGATAACGGAATTTCCCGAATTCTCACGGTATTGTTAAAATCCCGCCATCACGTGTGCGGCAATTTTGTCTCCATGTTGTTGTCCGAATTATATTGTTATATTTCACCGGTTACGCTCTTTTTGACGACTGACTCCATTCTCGTTCCGAAAAATGCTCTCGCTGCGTTCCAGAGCTTTGCCATTGGCCAGGAATCTCCGTTTCATTTCAACTTGGAGCTATGTGCCGGCGGGTCCGCCAGATCCGATCCTGGGCGTCACAGAGGCCTTCAAAGCTGATAAGGATCCCCGTAAAATCAATCTTGGTGTCGGCGCGTACCGTGATGAAAATGGAAAGCCATTCGTGCTTCCCTCAGTGAAATCCGTGAGTAGAAATGATCTGCGAGTTCAATCTTAAAATTTCTGATGATCTTGTCAGGCCGAAGAGCGCATTCATGCTGCCAAACAGGACAAGGAATACCTTCCCATCACAGGATTGGCTGACTTCACCAAACTCGCATCAAAACTTGCATACGGCGAAGATAGCGAGCCGCTCCGAAATGGTTTTATCGCTAGCACCCAGTCTATCTCGGGAACGGGTGCTCTTCGTGTAGGAGCTGCATTCCTCGCTCGCCATTACCCTGGAGTGAAGACTGTTTACTTGCCTGTCCCTTCGTGGGGGAACCATACCCCCCTCTTCCGTGATTCTGGGATTGAAGTTAAAGGCTATCGTTACTTTGACAAGAAGACCGTTGGTCTAGACTTTGCTGGTTTGAAAGAAGATCTTGAGGTACTGCGTCACGCTGCCAACAGATGCTTCCGCGCTCGACCTTATGACAAATGTTTTCATAGGCTGCAGCTGAGAATTCCATTGTGCTGCTGCATGCATGTGCGCATAATCCAACAGGAGTTGATCCAACGCCCGAGCAGTGGGCTGAGATTTCACAGATCGTTCAGGTATAGCAATCATTTCCTTTCTGGACTGTACTTCCTCAGCTTAACTCTGGAACAGAAACGGTCTCTTTTCCCCTTCTTCGATATGGCATATCAAGGCTTTGCGTCTGGTGATACTACTCGCGATGCGTACGCATTACGATATTTCGTCAAACAAGGACACCAGGTTGCTCTTGCGCAAAGTTTCGCAAAGGTTAGTGCGTATACATTTGGTTTCCTTTTGTAGTTGCTAGAGAGCGGAGCGAATAGAACATGGGTCTGTATGGAGAGCGGGTTGGCCTCTTCTCGCTCACCACGGGCTCGCAGGACGAGAGGGCCCGCGTAGACAGCCAAATTAAGATCGTTGTTCGGCCCATGTACTCAAACCCCCCTATCCACGGGGCGCGTATTGCGAGTACCATTCTGGGCGACCCACAACTCTACGGCCAATGGTAATTTCCCGGGCACTTCGCCATCTCTGCTATCCAATTGACATCTACACCAGGTTAACCGAGGTTAAGGGGATGGCTGACCGAATCATCTCAATGCGAGAAGTGCTCTACAACACACTTACCCACGAGCTCAAAACACCAGGAGAGTGGGGACACATTAAGTCACAGATCGGCATGTTCAGGTACGTATTGGGTGTACTGCGGCCCTTCATTTCATTCCCATTCCGTGTCTCTTTACGCTCATGATCATTTGAATGATTTCCGACATTTAGTTTCACCGGATTGACTGCTCCGCAGACGAAGGCCCTAGCAGAGAATGCACACATCTACATGACGTCTGATGGACGTATTTCGATGGCTGGTCTGAATAGCAGCAACATCAAGTACTTCGCTGAGAGCGTGGACGCTGCCGTTCGCGGAAGGCTATGAGGAGTGATTATTACTGTTTACGAGGCACACGCCGCCATGTCTAGCCTAATTCTAATCTCAGGCAATTGGCTGGTGCTCAAATTAGTGCCTTGGCTATGTAACTTTAGCTCTCAGTGCGCTGATCTGAAGGTGTTCCATCTCTGCAGACCAAACAATGCATTCATTTATGACTGTCCGTATCAGACCGGTGGTGGTGCGATCCGGTCTATTCTTTTGCCAATTCCAGTGCCCGCCGTTTACTGTTCAGATTGTGAGGGGGTGATTATGTTTGCGCCAACTTAGCTGATGTGCAAGGTGGGCATGTGCATAAGCTACGACAGGCTGCGTAAAAGTAATTGTCATGATGATAAGGTATTACAGACCATCGCTAATAGTTTACCTGTGTAAAACTATGGTTATTCCTCCATGTCAGTGTTTGACTCCAAACCTCCTACAAGTCTGTCTTCCTCGTCTCCTTCGTCATTAACATTGTACGTCCGTACTATCATATCGACCACCCAACCCATGATGACCTCATCAGAGATGTAAACTTCTTCCATCAGATGCCGGGCGCTCCTGAAAGTTTTCCGACCTCTCCGCTCAGCTTCCTTCACATCCATACCCATTTCGGCTTCCTTAAGTTTCTCGTCGCTAGTGTTACCCCTGTCTCCTTGCGTGCGCATCGAGGGGAGTGAAGGAAAACCAAATCGTTCTTCATCTGCTACAGGCGCAGCCGCAGCATCGCCTGTTGGAAAAGCAGACCAAAAGAGGATCCGCAATGTATAGATTGCTAACAGTGAGATGTGTGGGACGGAGTTAGAAGGGACAGCTCTGAGATAGGTAACAATTGGAGAAGGTGGTGGTGGAATGGGACGAAGATTGGAAGCTGGCTCGAACAGACTTGTTGCAACCACTGGTGCAACGGTTCCAGGTGACGATGTGAATCCGGAGGGTTGAGAGCGGTGTTTTGCTGGAGGAGTTGGAGACGGTAGGTGTGTGAGTATGTGCCGGTTAAGAGCAAAAGTTGAGGGAGGGGAAGGCGTGTAAGGACAAGAGATCCAGTGGCACTTGAGCGGATGTGGTGAACTTTCCACGTGGGTAGTAGTAATGTGGGCAGCTAGTTCTTCTGGGGAGTTGTACGCCTCCGACAGGCATGTTTCCGAGTCTTCTGGCCTCTTCCACTGACACTTGAGTCTCCCGATAGGCGAAGGTTTCCTTTTCCTTCGTAAATTCTGGATGACGAATCTCTGATTGGTGCCATGCACAACACTGGCATTGGCCTCCGGAAAGTGCACCGTAACATTCCGAATGATATCCGCTGCAGATAACATCGCATACTCTGGATACTTGGAAAAGGTATCTTTATAAAGATTCCAAAACGTAACTTGAGTTTGCTCTGATCCAGGAGCGTACTCAAACATTATGCGCATCCTGATTTGAACATTAAACACGCCGGCAGGTTAATGGTGCAACACGTACCAAGCGACTGATCTCTCAGGCTCGGACATAGGTACAATGCGAGAGAGATCCTCTTCTGTCAGCTCATAAGGTTCGTATTGTTCTTCTGGTTCTGCCTTCGACTTCGGCGTGTTGAGCGCGACCACTTTGGTTTCTACCTTTTGCTCATTCCTCAGGATGGAAATAAGAAGACGAAGAGTATTAGGGAAATCAGGGTGGGCAAGGAACGCCTTGGAGGTGCTTGGAGTAGAGAGGTACGTAGAGACAAACTCTAGCGCCGCAGTCACTAGGGCCGCATCTTGAAGCACTGCAAGGAACCGAAGCGCGCGGGACAGTGCCAGAGAGGACAACGATGGGGAGTAAGGAGGTGGGTAGTAATCTGCGGACTCTGGTGGGATCGCAGGATTTGGAACCATCAGAGGCGTGAGAAACCCCATGGCGGGGATGATTAGAGCTCGGTCGATCGAAGTGCTGACAATTTCATCAATCCGAGAGAAAGGGATGTCTACGTAGGGAGAAGTGCCCCTCCCCCTCGTTTTTGAGACGCTAGGGAGATACGGCCCAATCACGGTAAGAAGTTCGAGGGCGTAGATCAGAAGTTCTGTGTTGACCTCATCGGGTGGGAGGTGGAGCATCCCAACTATTACCCGCATAGTCCTCGGCTCTTGCCCCAGGTGATTAGCGTTGAGGTCGTTATGAGAAGCATTGCGGAGAGTAAGCAAGGATTCGATAGCATGTTTTCTGAGACCCTCAACACGAGGACCGGGTGCAAAGTATGGGTAGAGCTGAGTCAATTTTTTCCTGGATTCCTCAATGTAGACCTCTGGCCAATAGAGGATGGCTTCGCTAAGCCGAGGTACCGCACTGAGGACGAATCGATTGGTGTGTTCATCAGAGAGATTCACAAGGCGGCTAAGGGCCCAATCTACTTCCTTAGGAATACCCGAAACCAACGCAAGAGCCATTCGATTACTCGCTCCACCGTCAAGGTACCACTCTATGTGAAGGCTTGTCAACGACAATCTTCGCGTGACAAGGGAGCCAAAATGTGAGCTTACGTTCTTCTCCATCAACAGGAGGAGGTCGCTTGGCGGGAGCACCTGAATGGCTATAGGCACGGTAGTCATGCTGCTGATGACTAGCTGCTGCGTGACTCATAATTCTGCTCGATAAGGCGTGTCCACATTGGCCGGTGGCAGTGCGAACCCTTCGGTTTCCGGAGGTTCGTCTATCCCCAATAGAAGCTGGTCGCCTGCCTAGTCCAAAGCACATATGTAGTGTACTGGTGGACGCCGCCTGAAGTACCCGCTACTCATGGTCTCGCTTCCGATGTTTCTATGCTTTTTTTGTAGTTGGGCAGAGTGTTCTTCATTCCCAACAATCCGTCGTAAAATACCAAGAAGTGACATAGAACTTAACAATAACGGCACCCCTACAAAAATACCTCCACTTGAATTCGCGTCCCACCTCCGTACGCTCCAAATTGGGAGCTGGCGTTTGTACATGCAGTCAACAGCAGTCCCCATTTGTTCTTCTTCCATATCATTCTCGCCTCTGCTATTTCCTATCAGTTTCGCCATTTTCCTGTTCAAATGTCTTCCTCTTAAAGAAGAGCCCCACTATTCAATCAAACCTGGATCGAAAACCCTGTGCAAGACCTCCGCTCGCACTATATGGCTGCCGCACACAAGTCAGAGGACAGGCAACCGCTGAGGCAACAAGACACATTGCCACAAAATGAGAAGCAACACAGAAAAAGTATTGTCAACAAGCATACAACTCCTGCACGAAAACGGAGTTTGCATTACCAGCCAGAATTTACATCACGGAAAACGGGATACATAATGTCGTTCAGGAATGGCAAATTCGCCAACACATCAATGATATCGTCTACTTATAACAGCTGTAGAAAACGTCGAGCCCCATTGAAAAAAAAAACGGTCGTTCAAAAAGCCTCCACCTCATTCAATGCTCCTCAATTTTGGCGACCTCCGCCTTGACATACGCAACAATCTCCTGCATCTTGTTGAATCCAGCCGGAGACAAGAGGTCTAAATCCCACTCCCCCTCCAAGAAGTCGGGTGGCAAATCACAATCCGCACTGGGGCGGTCAACCATGCAAGGTGTAATATCGCCCGTGTCCTTGTGGCCACAATAAACGCGAAGGGAAGTATCCAGCACGCTTAACCCATACAGGCGGGGAATGGGGCAGTGGCGAAGTAACTTATCGTACCGTTGGCGTATCTGGGCATCCGCCTTCAGGCACGTATTATGCCTGTCGGATCTGTTGTCTTTAATGTCCACAATAAAAACTGGCTTCTGCTGTTGAGTGATAACCACATAAGAGACAACAAAGTCTGTGGGGTCGAGCGGAAACATTTCACCGGGCCCGCTCTGCAGGGAAGAGGAGAGGGAGAAGTCCCCTGCGGTGAAAGTATAGTAGAGGAGCTTGTTGAAAAGTGCGAGATAGCGATGTTGAGGCACGTCTATGTTACGAGTGACGTTGAACGCCTTCAGAAAGCCTTCTGGCCAGCTTGCATCAGTGGAGAAAGGCATGATCCTAGCATGCTTGCATCAGTAATGACACACCGAACTGCAAGCTGAGGGTATACCAAGTGCGAGGAAGAGCGGACGAGAAGGCTGAGCCGCAACTCGCCCCCCGGATCCAAACCTGAGCGCCCATTCAGCCGCCCCGGTCGCCCGACCCCATTTGGTATTTTTACACCTACGTTGACAGGCTGGGAGAAGAAATATGCAACTGTAGTCTCCTTCAAAAGATTGTGCCAATCTCACTCTGACATCATCCCTGGCGCCATTCAGCATTACGTTTGTGAATTACTGTTGAGATGATATTGAGGGTCCCGCGCTTATCGGTTTCCCAACCAGCCGAAGGGAGTTCAACTCGTATTTTGAAATTACACAGTCGTACACATGTGTTCAAGGAAGAATGATGCAATCAGCGTTCAGAATGTGAGTGCTCGTAAATCGTAGAATCATTGTGGAAAAACCTTGAAGGAATAAGGTGAACGAGGCATCTAAGGGTACTCTCAAAAACAGCAAAAGGGATCTGGAAAGAATTGGTGAGAGTTGAGCGTGGAAGGATGAAAGACGAAGAGAGAGGCTGAAGATATGGACGAACCCGCTATGGAGTGGCGACAATATCCAGAAGCCCAAGCTGCGCCTCGATATATGCAAAGGTACGTTGGATACTGCGGAATCCAGCCCGAGACAAGATGTCTATATTCCATGCCCCCCTCAAGTATCCGGGTCCCAAAACACGTTGAGTATTGCGGGTGACAAGGCGAGGTGAAACAGCGCCAGTCTCCCTGTTGCCAGTATAGATGCGGAGCGAAGTCCCAACGGGCTTGACCCATACAGGAGACGAATGGGGCAGTTATGCAACATCTGATCGTAGCGTTCGCGCATCTGGGCATCCGCCCTCTGGCGCAAATGAGATGAATTAACCCATCTGTCGTCTTCAATCTCCACAAAGAGAACCGGCCGAAACTGTTGATTGGAAAGGAACATTCTACGGCTCGATGCGGACCATTTGAAGTGGGGTTGTACTGGGGGACCACCCAGAGGGTGAACATTCTTTGCGCTACAACATAGTTGAATAAACACCATGATAGCGAGCTTCGTGCGGCGGAATTTCGACACGAGCGGCGTTGAAGCCACGGAGCAAAATCTCTGGCCATCGGCTTCCGGTGAAAGACATGATCCTAAGCATGCATGCATCAGTAATGGTCCACTGTGACTGCGAGTCAAGGGTATACCAAGTGTGAGGGAGGGACGTCTATCGGTCGAGAAAATTAAAAGACAGTCGGTCCGGGTACAAGCTCGTAGTTTTTGTCGTGGACGCGCACGCGCGACACGCTATGTCGAAATGTAAAATATGCTATTTCGGATGCAGAAATTAAGGTTGTAAAACGCGGTGGCTTGTGATTCTATGCAACCATAGATGATGTCATAATTCGTCCCCCAAATGCAGCCCCCCGAAGACCCAGGTTGAATATCGCTGCGATGCATCAGAGTAACCGTCGTGTGAGGAAGTGATTTAACTCCCTCTGCAGTTCATTAGGCTCTTGCTCTTGCTCACAAAACATCGAATTAACGTCCAAGTGGCGCAAGTTGCGCACAAGGACGCCTTGGTCGGACCACCCTGAGGCTCTCCCACTTCTTTCTATCTCCCCCAAGGGAATCCGTTGGGCATGTTGGGCTCATTCCATCCATAAACAGTATTTGCAAGCTGGTCGAAGGAGATGTGATCCGAGGAAGAGGCTCTGTCACACTCCTCACCAATGGGATCGCCCGCGATGAATTCCTTCACGAAGTTTGCATTGTTGTAAGACAGCAACGGTTGGTTCGACGCTTTAGCGCAAGGATACCCGACCTACATTATCTCGGTGAGACGCCCGATGATTGATGTTAGGTTTATTTCTAGTCGGTCTCTACTGTCTTATCACTCTATGTTTATTTAGCATTTATCTTCCTTTTTCCGACCGATTGGTCGCTTCACTCTCACTCCTGTTACATTCGAGTAATCGACGCTTAAAAGCTCGATGTCTACTTCGCTGACGCCCTCAGTTCTCATTGCGTTCACAACCGCGAGACTGAGTATTATTTCATTCTAGTCCGCGTTATGCATTGGGTACCAAAGTATATATACTAGTTTGCCTAGATAGAGTGCACATATGGAAAACAATCAGACAAACTAACTAACAGACAAACAATGAAATAAGGGGCTAGATGTGTTTTGAAATTACGTAACTTTGGCTTGTCAAGATCTGATCGGCACCCGGCAGAGGTTCGGATCTGAGGAGCGTTAGCCCGGCTGTCTTTTCTCATCCACTAAACGCCACTTCCCCACACTTGGTATACCTGCAGCTCGGTGAGTCGTTACTGAGAAAATACTAGCGTGGTATAACTCAGTCTCAAGCTGAATAGTGTAGAATAACTAAAGATAGTACATATTTAGATATTGTTGAAAATCTTGGTTTTTCTTGGGAGTTATAGTGCACTGTGACCAACTCACAATGTGATGTTGAGCTTGCGGCGCTGTATTTCCTTTCTTGGTATTCCTGCTACCAAAGTCAGTGCACCATTGAGGCGACTGCTTATAAAGCAGTGAACAATTTTTCCCTTTCGTCTCCCCCAGTTCAACTACGATTGACTGAGGTGAGACTGCGCTTTTACTACATGTTTGTTTCATCACTCATGTACTCTCATGTGCCCCCCTAATGGCAATTACAGTTTCGCATGCAACCCGTTAGTTCCTGTCTTCATCCTCATCAAGACCATCACTTGGACCGTCATTCACGTGCGAACTTGCTCCCCCTGGGCCGCTGCCGTATCTCCATTTAATTGAAGAAGCACGGCGGTGTCAAGCTAGACGACTTCTGTTGATGTGGCAGCCCGACGCCACACAAGGACAAAGGGGAGGCGGAGCTGCAGGCAAAGCGTTGCCGTGTGGCAAACCCTTAGTCGCACAAAGCGCCGGAGGCGCTAGTTTCACCTTTGTTATCCGCTTTGTTGTATAGTTAGATAGACATAAAAGAGCGAGGATTACCTGAGTGCGATGCTCAACCCCGTTTGACATCGCGCTCTAGGTAAGTCCTCAACCTTATAGATTGTACATAGTTTACATCTTGCCTAACATATAACCCCATTTGACATCGCGCTCTAGACACCGCGCTCTAGTCTTCCTCCCGCTGATTTACAGGTTATCAGCCCAGTACAACTCTACCCCAGCACTGCGCAAAGCCTACCGCCCGGCACCGCTGAACTGTTGTCTGACACAACTGCCCAGTTCTGACTCGCCACACCCACCGCCCGGCACTGCTGAACTTTTTTGTCTGAAACGACTGCCCAGTTCTGACTCGCCGCACTTCTATTCTGGTTGTAACACTGAAGAACCATGACTACCGCCCTGCTCAAAGATTCTGCCATTGACAAGGCCGTTCTTACCATCCCCAAACTAAAAGGACGAGATGACTGGATCCTGTGGTCTGGGAACCTCGAAATAGCCATGGACCACACCTGGGACTTCATTGAAGGCAGCAACACCACAGCTCCTGATGCGTCCAAAGTAACTGAACACCAAGATTGGGTAATTGGGGATCGGAATGCTCGTCGAAGGATCTGGCTCTCACTTGATGAATCAATCCAACGCAATGCCTTTCCACACAGGAAAAGCTCCGCTGCCGTCCTGTTCAAGGCCCTCAAGGATGAATATGAGGACTCTGGATCCACAGCGGAATTCTATGCCAGACAGAGCTATGACAACGCTAAGCTCAGCGACTACAACTCAGTTTCAGAATACCTGACAGCCCTTATCAATTTTGCCTACCTGGTCAACAAGGAAGTCACTGACAACGAGGACCGCATTGGAAATCGTTCGATCGCCATGCGCCTCATCCATACACTCCCACCCTGCATGCGTACACTACAAACAATGCTCCTTGATACTCCTCTTCCAAAGGGTGTGAAGTGGAACTTGGATGATCTCAAGAGAAGGGTACAAGCCGATGAACGTCGTGCACGCGCAGCGGGAGAGAACCTGGGGACCAAATCCGACTCACTCCAAACCCCGAAGGCACTCGCTGCTGAGGGGGAACGACCTAAAGGGAAGAGGAAGGACCCAAATGACCCCATCTGGCTCTCCCGGCAGACTTGCTGGAAGTGTGGACAGACAGGCCACATTCGTTCTAAATGTACCGCAACGCAAGAAGAAAAGGATGCGTACCGGGAAAAGAAAGCCGCAGAACAAAATGGCAGTGCCAACGTTACTACTGTCAGTACTGTCAGTACCATGCCAGCAGGCATTGAGATGGCCATGTGTGCCACCGCATTGGGGAACGAACCTCCCACTGCCAGACCTAAGAACAGTGTTAGCTCCATGTGTGCTGAATACATCACTGACACTGCCCTGGTAGCGGACAAACCCACGGATACCGTAAAAGCGTGGATTGTGGATTCTGGCTGCAGCAACCATTTCTGCCCAAACAGGACGGAATTTCTTGATTACACACCTTTCACTACCCCGCGACACATCCGGCTTGGCAATGCCAGTACAATCCCCTCACTTGGACAGGGAACAGTCTTGATCCCCTGCACCGCAAATGGAAAGATTGTCCATCGCAAAGTCTTGGAAGTACAGTATGTGCCTGAACTGGCTTACGGTCTTCTCTCCTGCCGGGTCTTGATCTGCCGTGGAATACGAGTAACCTTTGATGAGGGAACCAACACCTGCAAAATCTCGAAGTCTGGAACTGTCATATCCATTCCCGGCCATTGACTTCCGGGCTCTCCGACCCCTCCGTTCTAACTCCGCTCCCCCCTCACCAACCTCGGAGCCCCCGTATTCTGCAAACCTCCCGGTGCCCCTCGATGACCACCACCCCTTCATTTCAATTTATTACCTACGCCTCCCTAAGTACGGAGCCCCGAAGACTTCCGGACAGCTCCGACGTCCGCTAGCGCACTCCCGCCTCCGCTGGGCAATACACTCGCCTGCCCTGCAGGTTCCACCTTCGGGCTTATCCCTCCTTTCCGTTTCTGGGTTAACGCCTGCCTTTCCGCTAACCCCGCGAACCGACTCATCGGTAATATTCAGTCGGCTAATGTCTTAACCCCGTTAGCTCCGCTCCGTCCGGCTCCACCAATTGCGGAACCGTCTCCGCTGTAACCATATATATACACTACTTGTACATAGGTTACGCCCCAGCAGATAAATCAACTAGAGTTACCCCCACTAGGTTCTAAGTGCCAGTCAGTAAGTTAGGGCACGGACGTGTCACTAGGCACAGCGCTCCTGGCAGAAGTCGCTGAGGCCAAAGCCCTCCGTTACGGAGACATTCCTTCATCTTAAAATCTGGTCTCTGACAGGAACCTTAATCGCCGAGTCGCTAACAGAGTTGGGGCCATTGTTCTACCTAAACCAACCACAGTTGTCATCTCCCAAGGCCTCTCAGCTAGATAATGGACCAGCCGCAATGACCACTGCACCTTCTTTTGACCTCTTGCACAAGCGACTGGCCCACCCGGGGAAGGAATCACTTCGCACCATGATCAAGGAAGGGGCTGTGCTCGGTGTTGATGGAACCCGGGATGAGTCTGAAGACTTTGATTGCGAAGCCTGCATCAGGGGGAAAATGGTGAGGGGTTCTTTCGCAAAGGGCCATGACATTGCAACCACACGCTTTGGCCGAGTACACTCGGATATTTGTGGCCCGATGGAAGTCCTATCGCTTGGGAAGAAACAGTACTTTTGCACACTGGTTGATGACAGGACGAACTTTACCTGGTTTTATCCCTGTGCGCTAAAGTCAGACTTTACCCCTTGGTTTGCCAAGATGGACACCTTCTTTGCGAACCAGTTTGGGACACATGTCAAAATACTGAGGACTGACCGAGGGGGAGAATATGTGAATGGAGCTCTGGAGAAGTATTGCGCAGAGAAAGGAATCGGTGTGGAGTTGACGGTCCCTCATACCCCTGAACAGAATGGTGTCGCGGAACGGACAAACAGGAGGATTCTGGACAAAGGGCGCACCCTGATGAAGGATGCACATGCACCCGATTTTCTCTGGGCAGATGCCCTCGCGACTGCTACCTATGCAATCAACCGCACGGTGGATAGTCGCTCTGATAGAATCACCCCTTTTGAACGACTCTATGGAAAGAAACCCAATGTCTCTCACATGAGGGTTTGGTATGCCAATGTTTTCATCCATAGACCAAAAGATCTAGGAGCGCTAAAGCTGGGGGAGCGCGGAAAATTGGTGAAGTTCTTGGGCTACCCCAAAGGCTGTAGTGGGTACAGGACATATGACCCAATCACTCACAAAGTTGAGGTTGTACGTGCGCCAATTTTCCGGGAAGAAGCAAAGGCAGCAGCACGTGTGTTCTTCGAATCGGCACAGAGTGACTCGGACAGCGATGCGGAGGTGAGTCCTGAGAGTCGTTCGACACCGGCAACCGCCGAGGACTCTCCTACAAGTCACGATGGTCCAGTTGACACAGCACCTGATGCATCACATGTTCCGCCTGTCCCTCCTACTCACCACAATCGACCAGCCAGGGTGCGTCGTCCACCACATCGTTTTGATCCATCCGAATACGGACCACATGGCCGACGAAAGGAACTGATTGCCAATGTCTACGAGGATCTCTGGAATGATGTGCCTGTGGCAGCAACTGTCGAGCTTGAAGATGTCCTGGACATAGCCCTAGATGAGGTCCATCTGACCAGCACAGTACTAGCTAACAATACAGATCTCCCAGATGCCCCATCTTTGCGCGAAGCACTTGCTGGGCCTGAATGTGATCTGTGGCACAAGGCCATTCTGGAGGAACTGGCAGCGATTAAAGAAGCTGGGACGTGGAAGCTCGTTGAACCAACGCCTGATATCCGAAACGTCGTTGGGTGCCGTTTTGTCCTGCAGAAGAAGTGGGGCGCCAACGGGGAAGTCACTCGCTTCAAGGCGCGGTTGGTTGCCCAAGGGTTTAGCCAACGTGAAGGTATTGACTATTCTGAGACTTTCGCCCCGGTTGTCAAATCCGCGTCGTTACGAGTCTTTCTTGCCATTTGTGCTCGCCATGGGTGGAGAGTCCACCAGATGGACATCAAGTCTGCATACCTGAATGGCACCCTATCTGAAGATATCTACATGCGGCAACCCAAGGGATATGAGGAAAAGGGGGAGGAACACAAGCTGGCCAAGTTGAAGAAGGGTCTTTACGGTCTAAAGCAAGCGGGAAGGGAGTGGTACGCCACGCTACATGATTTTCTCATCCAACTGGGTTTCCAACGGACACATGCTGACCATTCTGTCTTCGTCTTCAAACGAGGTCGATCAATCATCATTATCCCAGTATACGTCGATGACAAGCTCCTAGCCGGAAATGACGAAAACCTCCTGACATCCATTCAAGACTCGATAAGCTCGCGCTTCAAAGTATCTAGTTGCGGTGAGGCCTCATGGATACTTGGAATTCGAGTCCACCAGGACATCGCAGCAGGGACACTGTCAATCGACCAGTCCCAGTACATCAAGGACATCTTAGCGCGTTTCAAAATGACCGACTGCCACATTGCCCTTACACCACTACCCACGAGAGCTCAATACAAACCCGCCTGCATGGAAGACCACTCTAGGGTTTCCTCATACCCTTACCTCGAAGTGATTGGCTCACTAATGTATGCCGCTCTGGGAACTCGACCAGATATCTGTGCTGCTGTTCGGGCACTCTCTCCTTTCGCGGTGACATTCGGACGTGAACATATCGAGGGGATCAAACATATATTCAGGTATCTTGCGGGCACTATGAACCGGGGGATAGTATACACAGCAGGGGGAGGGGAACTCGTGGGGTACACGGATGCGGACTGGGCGAATGATGCAATGAACCGGAAGTCGATCTCAGGAAATGTCTTCTTGTTGTCTGGGGGAGCAATCTCCTGGATGTCGAAGCAGCAGACTAACATAGCTGACTCATCAACATATGCAGAATACATCGCAGCAGCGGAAGCAGCAAAGGAACTGGTGTGGCTGCGACGACTTCTCGAGGAACTACATGAAGGCATTGCCGGGCCAACAATCTTACACATTGACAATCACGCTGCAGATCTACTTGCTCGAAATCCCGTCAACCATGCTGCCACGAAGCATGTCGATGTACGATACCATTTCATCAGGGAATGTATCGCGGATGGGACAGTCAGCCTCAAGCTCGTAGGGACCAACGATATGACGGCCAATGTTCTCACCAAGTCCCTTGCAAAGGTGAAGCACGAACGCTTCTGCCTGATGATGGGGATGGAGTATGCGGCCTAGAGAAGGTGTGGACGTCAGGCTGTGGGGGAGTGTTGATGTGGCAGCCCGACGCCACACGAGGACAAAGGGGAGGCGGAGCTGCAGGCAAAGCGTTGCCGTGTGGCAAACCCTTAGTCACACAAAGCGCCGGAGGCGCTAGTTTCACCTTTGTTATCCGCTTTGTTGTATAGTTAGATAGACATAAAAGAGCGAGGATTACCTGAGTGCGATGCTCAACCCCGTTTGACATCGCGCTCTAGGTAAGTCCTCAACCTTATAGATTGTACATAGTTTACATCTTGCCTAACATATAACCCCGTTTGACATCGCGCTCTAGACACCGCGCTCTAGTCTTCCTCCTGCTGATTTACAACTTCAGTGTGGAAACGGTTGTGATGGCAGCGCGCTTAGTATCACTAGTGGAACGATGAAGACCACCAAGCGAAAGCTGACCAAGATGCACAGTTATCGATCTTTGGCAGTCACGAGGGTTCTGGTACCGGAAGTCTTGTAACGTAGGGATTCCGTATAAGGTAATCCGCTACCTCAGCGGTAACACTCGTGAGACCAGATGTAAGCTAAGGTAAAATCTGATGATTTTTGTCAACGCCGTCTGTGCGTATTTATATACAATGTAAATCTATTGCGGAGCGGCCTGTTAAGGTAACTCCTGTGCGACTACGGAATTAGTAATTCCCTCCACATAGTCCTCCACATAAACACCGGCTGTGTCCGGTTCCGTGACTCGTGATTACAACAGGAAGGAGTACTCCCATCCTTGGGAAACCGGATCGTCAAACCCCTGGATGAGATGAGATAGGCAGGATCCCAGCCTGTACTAAAGTAGATGGATGAGAATGCCCTCCGTAGAGGCGGTCGACATTACATATATACATAATCTTGATGTTGATAGGATGATACTTACCCTGGTGCAATTGACCTGTACAATATATTTTGCTCCGCAGGGCGACCAGCTTTGTAGGAACGCGGAAGTTCAATTAGGGGTAGTAAAAGTCATAAGGGATGCGTGCATGTGTGTGCGGAGACATATCCACATTTCCGTTAAGGAACGGATTCTTATGTAATTAATACAAAGGGATCATAATATAGTTGCCCATTCCACTCGTTTTCAGCGTTACCAAGTTGTACATAGGCCTGCAATGTTAACCTGGGCAGCCGTTACCTGACCGAGGTATGATTGATTACATAAGAATCTGTTCCTTAATATTCCTGACAGTTAAGGTGACAGCCGTGCCAGCCAGATCATGTGATCATCTAAAAATAGTCAATTGAGTGAATCCAAAATGGGGCTTCTGCACGTGCTCCCATCGTGGGATTCTTCTTGAAGTTGGACGCCACAACCACCTTACTCGGTACGGAGAAAGGATTCCGGTTTGCAAACGAACCACGAACACCGAACGAGTTTCATTCTCTTATGGATGGATAATTTTAAATAAATTTGCTAGTTGATTCCTGATCTCCTTGGGGGCTTATAACAATGGGGACATCATATCCACCTCGCGAATCTCAACCAGCTCCTCACTCGCAACCACCAAACTCCTACAATGTCTCCTCCTAGCGCCAACCATCTGGACTCTAGTACCAACCCTACCACTGTCAAAAAGCCAGTCTACGATAACAAACCGCCGCTCCCTACCGATGGAGATGATGATATTCACTCGACCCTTCGCAACCTCCGTTTAGGTGAAGGTGAGAATGCGTCTACTGCTAGCATTATAATCGCGCGCTTATACATGTCTGTCTCTGTTATTGCTCTTGTGTGGTTTTTGGAAACTGGATGCGGATGATTAGTCGTTGGTCTTTCGCAGAGTGACATTCACAAACGAACCGTTAAGTACAACGTAAGTATATGTTTTGATCCCTCCGATGATCGCTCACATCCTTCCCTTAACTTTCTCATTCTCACCTCTTTCCATCCTCCGTCACACCACACGCTTGTCCGCGCGTGCCCATAATCACCTCTCCGATGACACATTAACCAACAAAACAGGCCGCCGGAAATTACCTCTTCCTTGTCTCCCTCGAAATCACTCGTTACATCCGCTACCTATACCAAACATGGACCTCCGTCTGTTATTCCATCCTCTTTGGTGGACTCAATTTGTTGGATGCGCTCTCGCTCTTATTCTTTGCGGTTGGTGGTGAGTGAAATCTTCGAGCCTTGTACCTCGGTGATAGATTCTTGACTCCTCTTCGACTGTTCAGGAACGGTGCTCCTGCTGATAGTTCTCATCTGCTGTTTAGCTGCCCATCTCCCTCCTGTTGTCCGGTACGTCCGATCACTCTTTCATTCCGAGTCACTAATATCCCCCACCCCCTCCTTCCAATTAGACTCTACTACTTCTTGTCTACCAAATTCGGCGGAGGACTGGGTCTCGTTAATGTCCTCAATCCTTCCTTATTTTATGCACTCACTCAAGAACAAGCGGCTGCTGCTAAGAAAGCGCTGAGTGTGGACATTAAGGAACAGAAGGATGAAACGAAAAAAAGGTTCTTTAATTTAGATATCGCAAAGTTGACGTGAGTAAAGTTTCACTCCTGGGGAGGGGCCAGGGCTATATCTGACAGGTCGAAGAAACGAAAACTGATGACTATAACACTAGACTACAAATAGCCTCCATCGTTTACGAACACGATAGCGACGCGATTCGAGATGCCGTCGCTCTGACCGCTTCGAACGAACCAAACCCATATATCCCGACAAACTTGGACCCTTCTCCGGGAAGGCTTTTGGAGCATTTGTTTGGGAAGCAGACAAGTGATGATGTAAGTCAGGCGTTGGATAGTAAAGGGGATAGGAAGATTAGGGAGTTTTGTGCGAGGTTTGAGATCGATTTCGAACCTGTTTCGGGTGAGCGTGGATTTATCCCCTCTTATCTATCTACTCATTGCTCAAACATCCTTTTCCTCCCCCCACCGTACCCGTTAGAACTGAACAACACGTCCTCGGCCTTCGCTGGTCTATTCTGGGATCCCAACTCCAATTGGATCATCCTTTCCTTCAAAGGCACAGGTCCCATCGAATTCGGAGAATGGTTATCGGATCTCAACGCGTTCATGGTTCCCGTGGGGATGCATGTGCATCTGTTTAACAAAGTTCACAAGGGATTCAAGGAGAGGGTGTTTCCTGAGGATGTGAGCGAGTTGGGGAACTTTAGACCTTATGATACGATATTGGCGGGGACGAAGGCTTTGGCGAAGTGGCTGAGGAAGAGGAATGGATATGGGGATGATGTCAAGGTGAGATGTGTTTTTTCTTCTCTCCCCTTGGAATTGTTTATCAATCGTGAATGTCATTTCTTTGTAGATTAACCTTTGGTTCACGGGACATTCGTTGGGATGTGCGACGGCCTCACTCGTGTATACCCGTATGCTTATGAATGACGACTTGCCGAAAGAAATAGAACTTCGGAATCCGTACTTGTTTGCGGCTCCTATCCTTTGCGATAGATCTTCTGTTGGAGGTGAGTTAGTTGTGGTGTATGACTAGTAGTTCCCCTCTTTGTTTTTGGATAGGATGGGATGGAAGACTGACGAGGCTTTCTATTCAATTCAGTGTTCAACGAGAAAATGTTCAATGATTCGAAGGGGATTAAGACTATGTGGCGTATTACATCGAATGGAGACGCTGGTACGTTCATTCCTTGTTTCTTGGGGACTTCGTAAAAAAAAATGTTAGAGGGTCTGACGATGGGGGGATTTTCACTCTTGTAGTGGCCACTTGTTTGCCTGAATTGGGAGATTACGACGGGTTCCAAATCTCCCCCAGTACGTATTATTCCTAGCGCTCTTTTTTTTTTTGCTACACATTGGGGATTTGTTGATCTCGTTTTCTTCGCGCTTGCTTTAGATAATGGCTTTGCATTTGCCCACTTGGGGACGGAACTTAAGATGCGTGATAAACCTTACAAGTAAAGAAAAAAAAATCTTTTCCTTTCAGTGATAACTAATGAACCTTTTCCTGTTCCTTTTTTTTTTGCCCCACCTTCTTATTTCATAGCTCGAATGTAACGGGTAATCACATCGCCTTCGGGACGATCGTCCACCTCGACTCTGCTTTTACCAAGGGAGAGATTGCTAAACAACGAGCTGAGCGTTTGGCCCAGTATGGCGAAGTGGCGCGTGAACTGAAAGGAAAGATATTGCAAAAGATTCCGATAATTGGACGGTTGATCGCTCATTGTACTGGTGAGTGGACAAGCTGTTGCCCCCCCCAATTTCTGCGATGCTGATCCCCCTGCCCCTTTTCGCGCTGGTGCTACAGTTCACTATTGGGATCAGCTGGATCGTGTGGCGGTTGGGAAGTGCGATTGGGTCATCAACTGATTGTTGGTTTTCTTCGCCAGGCTCGTTCCCCCCTTCCCTCTCCTTTCCCTCAAACGCCTTCAGTACCGAACCCTTACCGGCACCCTATCGAGCCATTGCGTCGTGTTCTGCCTCTTAAATTCTTCCGTACTATGTTATCACCGACTGTGTACTGACGATAGTCCTAATGCTCGAACGTGAACCTTCTCTGATTTTCCCCATGATTCTACAGTACAAGCTCTTTGTTTGAAGCCGTGATTTGGATTTTACGTCCATGTTGTGTTGATGGACGTTTCCCGTCACTGCAGTGGTCCTTCACAGTACTGCGAAAACAATGTATGAGAAGCGTTTTGCAGGAAAGAACCGAAAAAAGAAAAAGAAAAAGAGTTACAGATGCATTAGAGTCTCCTGCTACTTGAACTCCGAGACCAGCAGATGGATGAAAATCGAATCTCTCATATACCTTGGTTACATCTAATGGCGTTCCGTTAATATGCAAATGGCCTGTCCTCTGGACAGTCAAAGTTTTAGCCCATCGGCACACGCCCATTCCACGAAACCGACATCAGAATCCACTTCCTCTCGAATCCGAGCGTCAAACCCAGCGAAAAACCCCTCCTCCAAAATGTTCACGCTCTCTCCTTCACTCCTTGTGCTCATTCCAAAGTCAATAACACCCTTCCCGTCCCTCGCAGCTTTCTCAACTTCTCGCTGAATGCATCTCATCACAGCACTCGTACTTCGTGTATCCTCCTCTGCGATCTTTGCCAGGAAAAAATTGGTTGTACGTTCGAGGGTGGATAGACATGCTCGAGTATGGACCTCTAAAGTTGTTTTGGTGCGTACGTGGAAACTGGTCCTTGAGGAACCAGAGTGGGAAAGGTCAGATGTCGAGTCCAGGAGTGTGCGTTGGGATAAAATGGTTTGAGAGGACGTAGTGATATGATACTAATGAATGATGAGGTCCAATTTTCCAAACGCAAAACGAAGGAAAGGGCGCACGATCAATTGACAGACGTCCTTTTGTCCCGGAAGAAAGTCAGCCGCAACTGCGTAAGCAAGCGCACGAATGACCTTTATGGAGTGGCACAAGCACAGCTTCTCAATCACAGCAAGGCTAATTGGGAGTGCTCTCCTACTCACCAGCATGTCAAGCTCTCGTAATCTGGTATCTGAGTTCATCCCCTCCTTGCCTATCTTTCTGAAAATGAACCCAAGCAGGGCTAGCAATGATCGCCAGAGTTCTTCCCAAGTATACTCTGGAGCAATGGGTTGAAAACGTCGGATGAATTCTCAAAGCCAACTATCTCAAACTTACCGAGCCTTATTCGCTGTTCAGCGAGAAAACGCAAACTCCTTAACAGACTCTGCACACATAGGCTAGGAGGAATGTCAGAGCTGCATCAGCTTTGCGCGGAACAAATCTCATACATGAATGAGTGCGTTTGCAATTGTTTGTGAAGGTTATGTTGCAACCATATCAAACAACAATCCAGCACAGTTTCGAATCCAGCCCTGCGGCCTTCTCTTTTAGGAGGAAGAGGGAGAAATGGAACACGCTAATACCAAAATATCGCCCTGGCCCCAAAGTCCGAAATAAACAGTGTCATACCTGACGACACAACCGGACCGAGAAGTTCTGCACACAGAGAAATTTGCATACCGAAGGATCCTCGACTAACGTATGTATAATGCGCAGCATGAGATGAGCGTACGCCGCAGGACGAGGCAATCCGGATGAAGTGGAGTGAGTTAGAATGTATGAGCCAAGGGACAGAATGTGGGCCACCCAGGGTAATGGGTTCTTCGCTTTAGCACTAGGTACAGTCAACGGGAGCAGAGCCGGGTGACTGTTCAAATTTAGGGAGGGTGCCGCCACCACGGACTGGACACAGATTAGGCGGAACGATGGGTTGGACTGAATATACTGATACAAGGTAAAAAGCACAGCAGATGTTAGATCAGGCCTAGGGATAACATACTTCTCAGCTGAGATGCTCCGATAGAATTCACAAGTGTATATCTCACTGTGAGCTGAAGTCGCCATTAGTTTGCACCTTCTGGCTCATTTCCGCACTAGTGCCCCTGTCCCTCGACCCCCCAATAATAGGGAAAGGGTTGGATATGCCAAAGGCGCTCAGTCCTTTCGCATCTTGCTTAGGGGTGAAAACGTTCAGGACACTGGCGAGAGAGGACGTAACACTCGAAGGGGAATCATCTAAAACCCTCTGATACGATCTATCAGGGAGCTACGAATGAGTATGTATTCAGGAGACGACACCTAGTAATAGGCATACTCTATGGCTTTATCAATAAACCCTTGTGTCAGCCTACATATCTGACGCATAAACCCATCATCTCGTTCCCCAGCAATGCGGGAAAGAACTGGGTTCAAGTTTGCTGCATCCGTTTTGTGGTAATTTGACAGAACGCCAAGGAGGAGTGAAGCGGACCAGACGGACTCTTCACGCTGGTTAGGAAGTTCCAGGACCTGAATGACTACCCGAGTCAATCAATTAGGCCTGGAAACGCCTAGTGTTGGGATCCTATACCTTTTTAATAGTTGGATAGAGATCATCAGTAAGGAAATACGCATTCGGACTCAGTTGATTGATGCTGCAAACAAATCTAAGCCCAATTTGCAGACAATGATAGGTGGTATCATCTATCAACTGTGAGCGGTCGCCAGTCCACTGTTCAAAAGGGTCCCTACCTGGTACATTGGCATGCTGCCATGCCTGTTTCAGCTCGGAAACAAAAGCCTGACATAGAACACGCCAGAAGTGGAACTAGTTTGAGGGAGTCCTTGAAATTAAAATGCAAAAGGCACCTTGAACACTGCATCACTTTTCCCAAAATCACCCGAGAAGATTTCCAGGATTTCCCCACCCGTTAACCCTTTGTTCAGAATCGATGGAATGAATATCAGCAGGGTCTCGGCAGCATGCCGCTGCATGACTTCTATCTCAAGGTGGGAAGGCTCGGTGGGACTTCTTCCCAAAGAACTGGTGTTTTGTTCCGTGCCAGGGTTAGGTAGTGATGGGATGGCCATCACCAGGACCGCGTTTACAAACATAGAACTAGTATTTTTCTGTATTTTGACGCATTAACAGGGAATTACAGCCTGGCCTAACTTTTCACCTTGATGGCAGGCTCAATCAGATCGTCTTTGTGAAGCGCAGATATCCTGGCTTTCAAAAATTCCTTGTCCACATCAAGTGAGAAGAAATCAACCCAAAATGATTGGGATATGACATCCTGAGAAAGCCCTGGGTACGGTGAATGGAGGAGAAAAGAAGATTGTGAAAGGCGGACACGAGTAGGGATGTGTTCGATGGTACAACCCTGCAATTCAATCTTAGTGCCAGTGAGTGGGGCTTTCGCAGGGACCTACTTTCAGCAACTTCTCTACAGTCAATGCGTATCTTGAACGCAGCGTAGGGCCTCCCATGAACGAATGTAATGGTGGTGGAAACAAGAAACAGTTAGCACTGCCATCTGCGGAAGCGAGTAGCCCATAAGTCACGCAGCAGCCATCAGCACAATGACTAGTCGTTCAGGTGCGTGCGGAAAATGAGCTCCTTCTGCTGACGGAGAAGAACGTAAGCTCAAACTTTGGTTCACTTATAACGTTGACTCTCATGGTAGTGCTAGAGCTTCGTGACAGTATATTCTCGCGCGGGGTTTTTACAAATATATGATGGAGTGCTCGGAGGACGCGATCTGGGGCTGGAAAATTTATTGGATCGAGTCTTACAAAGCGGGATCCAGGCAAACTTGAATCGATCTCCCCAAGGTCCAGCTCTCTGCCGAGAACGCTTAATATCTGCTCCTGCTCTCATCCATCCAAACGCCAAAAATCAAGTCTATCTCACCTGTGGATGACGATGACATTCACGCGTTTATTCGAAATTTTCATTCGGATGAAGGTTGAGATGTTTACTACTCGCGTTATTATCGCATGCTTATACACCTGTGTCTGTGTCATGGGTTTCGTGTGGTTGCGTCTGGAATCGGGTTGGATAGTCATTGCTATAGACGAACGATTTTGGCAGGGACAAAGGCTTTGGCTATGTAGTTGAAAAAATGGAATGGCGGTACTGAAATGATTAATAGAGCTGTACGCACGGACTCAGTCTCTAACTTGAGAACTAATAACATTGTAACTCTTTACCTGTACGCACGGACTATAACACGGAGAGTACAGTCAGTTATACAAAAGTTAAAAACAACAAAAGGGATATCACCTCAGTCTCTAACTTGAGAACTGAGGGAAAGGGAAAAAACCTAGCACCCCACGCCATTTATACAACAAGTACTAATATCGCTTGCAATCGCGACACATGGTCGTCGGCAAGGGTTAATGCATAGAACAGAAAGAGTAGGCAGAAAAGGGTATCAGCGGTGATCCCATCAACACCGCGTCAGACAAACTAATAAGGTAAATAGATCATCGTTAACCACAATGATTTCCAACAGGTACTACCAAGGTAAGTGTTTAAACTGCAGTTTCTTTTTGCCCCTTCGCTTCTTTGTCAGCCTTTCAATATTGTTTTTGCAGATCGACCCTTGGTTCACAGGACACTGGCATTCACTTGTGTTGTATGTTTATGGGTGATACTCGCCAAAGGGGGATCAACCTTTGGGATGCAAACTTGTATGTGCTCCCATTAGGCCTCAAAATTACGTAAATGTTGTCACTTTTGCTGACTAGAGCTTGCTTTGCTCGTTGGACTCTGCACCATGTCACATGTGGTCAAATTGCAACAATACAGTGGACAGGAAAGGGTACAAGAAAATGAAGGGGCAGAGTCAAGCCCCAGGCAAACGAGAAAGGAGACACAACAAAAGGTGGAAGACAAGACAAAGGTTCTGTAAACAGTGAGATAAAGCGAGATTGTTAGAGATGGGCGGATTCAGACGACTCTGGAGTGGAATCGGAGACTTAGCGTGGAGGGACCTTGGCCTCAGCGACTCAAGCAGAGCGCTGTGCCATTGCTGTTTGTCCATTTGGTCCTTAATTTCACAGTAGGTGAGCAGGAAGTCTCTAGGGGGCATTTCAGGTCGATTTCGGACTGAACCTGTTAGAATGGGGCGGATTCGGACGACTCCGGAATGGAATTGGAGACTTAGCATGGAAGGACCTCGGCCTCAGCGACTCAGGCGGAGCGCTGTGCCATTGCTGGTTGTCCTAGGGGTCCCTAATTTCAGATCTAGCAGAGGGAAAGTCTCTTGGGGGAATTCATGTTGATTTTGGACTGAGGTTACAAGTTACTATGTACATTGTATATAAGGAGGGGTCCGGAATCAAAAGGAGCGAGGGTAGGATGAAAGGAGACAAAGGGAGATGAAAAGAGGAACAACACTGAGGGTCAAGGGTTTGACTCAATGGTGTTTCTCAAAGGAGGAATGAAGGGCCAAGGCCCAAGGAGGAAGGAAGGAGGTTGGGAGTGGGGAATGGCTAGCTGACTGAATAGAAAGGAAGCAGCAGCCCAAATAGGAATGAGGGAGAATAGCGGAATTGAATAGGACAATGCAATAGTTGCAAGGTCCGAGGTAAGTCCGAAAGTCCAAACTCGGAAGTTAAACTCCGGAATATTGGCAAACGTAATTAAATGGAATGAGCTAACCAATACAATGGGTATAAGCGGAGGTGGGGTCAAAGTCCGAGGTCGGAGCTAAGACCGGAGGTTCCGGAGACGGAGACGTGAACGGGATTCCGGAGTGGAGGTCCGGAGTCAGGAGCATAGGTTTTGCGTACTCGTCTGGAAGGTGTCGAGGTTGGGGTCGGACCCGGAATGTCCCGGAGTCGGACCGAAGGTGGTGTCAGAGCCGGAGGTGGGATAACCTCTTGGGAGTCGGCAAGGAGGAGGTGACGGAAGGGAAGTAAGGTTCAGAGTTCTGGGAGCCCAGAGCGGAGGTCGGGATTGTATGGATATGACAGAACCCACGAGTATGTACAAGCACCGATATATATAATGGAAGGGGCAAAAGCACAAGGAAACAAAGGGGAACCGAATTGGAACGAAAACGTCCGAACGGGGACAAAGGGAAGAAGGAGTGGAGCAGTACCGAAAGGTCATAAGAAAGGACCTGTGATACGTCCGAAAGGAGGTAGGAAGAGCAAGGCCCAGAGGGGCAGGAGGATGAGGAGAAGTGGGGATGATGACTAACTGGCTAGAATGGGAAGAAGCAGTAGTCCAAATAGGGATGAGGGGTAAACGCGAGAGATACATTACAAGCGGCGAAAGTGCTGAAGGCGATCCGCGAAGCTCGGGGGTTGCGGAGCTTATGGGGGTTACGGAAGCGGGGTTGAAAGTCCGAGGGATATTGGCAATGGTGTTTACGTAGTATGAGGTCACCAATGCAATGGACTAAGACCGAGGTGGAGTCAAAGTCCGAGGTCGGGACTATGACAGAGGCTCGGAGTGAAGATACGATCGGCGTCCGAGTAGGAAGTATGGGACAGCGGCGGAAGGTCGTAACTTGGCAGAAGGGTGGCGGAGGAGTACCAGAGGGAGGAGAGAGGGGAAAGGTAAGGGGGAAGGAGTGGCGGAGAGGAGGGTTGTCAGGTCCGAAGGCGAGTATCGGAGCAGACGGGGGAAGCATAGGAGGATTACGGGAGGGTGGAGGCGTTGCAGAGGGGGAGTGGAGTAGGAGGAGGAGGAGTAGAGGTGGCGTGGGGGGGTAAGGGGGAGGTGTGTTGCCAAGACTGAAGGTGAGTATCGGAACGGCAGCGGTAGGTTATGACTCCGGAGGTGAAGAGGGTGGAGGTCCAGAAGTCAGGTCGGGGTCGGGTATGCACAGATATGACAGAGATAATCTTTTAGTGAAGATCCATAGAGGTGACATAGGTACTTACAGAGTTTTTTCTTTGAAGGGGAGGAACCCAACAAAGAGACACCTGTAACTGGAGGATCTCCCTCACAAATGAAACTAATTCTGACAAGTTTGAAACCTGATTTGTCTAAGCCTGAACTTTTTTCCAAAAATAGTTCGAGGCTGCAGTCAGCAGCAATGACATTGCCCGGTTTCAGAGGTTCATCATACAAACTCATTTCTTTGTGATTGATGGAATATTCGTTGGAAGCGTCATAAATCCCTTTGAATGGGCTGGTCTTCAACGGCATTAGTAAAGGTCAAAGTAGCCTTCGGCAACATACAGTAAGTGTCCAAACTGTGAGAGGCATGTAGTGGTCTTCGATGGCCAGAGCATGCACCTTCTCCGTTGAAGCGGTTAGAAATGGCGCAGTCAAACCGGAATAGCCGCCAGTCTGATCGGTGGGAAGACATTACACGTTCTTTTTGGATTTGAGTGTGCATGGTGCAAGAAAGCCAAGTGGGAGGAAAATCGAAGAGCTGGCACAAACCTGGTGCACGAAAGAGTACTTGATCATTGATGAGTCCCCGATGGTCTCGCGAACGCTATTTGCATGAATATCAACAATTCTAGGTCTCATTCACCAGCATAATCATCCAGAGGAGACTTCGATGAAACCCTGGGGGGGAGTTAATGTCATCATCTGTGGAGATTTTCATCAATTCAAACCAGTTGGCCAAAACCAAGGAGCTCCACTCTATTGGCCTTCAAGCAAAGAAAAAAACACAGCTGAAGAGGAGATGGGAAGCGAGCTGTACCCCTGTTTCCAAACAGTAGTGTGCCTCATGCAGCAGATGCGTGTGCAAGATGAAGCATGGACAGAGTTTCTGCGGTACTGTTGACATGGCAAGTGCAACATGAGTCATCTAGTGATGTTACGGAGCCTGCTTGTGGGCACCGGCGACAGAGCAGTGACAATGGAGAACGACACATGGGGGACAGTGGTGTTGGTGACTTCCCAGCATGCAGTGCGAACGCAATGGAATGAGCTCGTGTTGCATAACCACTGCGAGAAGATGGAAAAGAGCTTATATCGATTCCAAGCTGAAGATCGGATAGGGGGAAGAGGTCTGACACTCAGCGAGCGATGGGCACTGGCACGACACATCTACAAAGATAATCAATACTCGGCACGATTGAAGCATCAAGGAGGGTTACTGTCAGAGACCAGATTCGAGATGAAGGAATGTCTCCGTAATGGAGGGCTTCGGCCTCAGCGACTTCTGCCAAGAGCGCTGTGCCTAGTGACACGTCCGTGCCCTAACTTACTGACTGGCAATTAGAACCTAGGGGGGGTAACTCTAGTTGATTTTACTACTGGGGCGTAACCTATGTACAAGTGGGATATATATATGGTTACAGCGGAGACGGTTCCGCAATTGGCGGAGCCGAACGGAGCGGAGCTAACGGGGTTTAACCATTAGCCGACTGAATATTACCGATGAGTCGGTTCGTGGGGTTAGCGGAAAGGCAGGCGATAACCCAGAAACAGAAAGGAGGGATAGGCCTGAAGGTGGGCTCTGCAGGGCAGGCGAGTGTATTGCCCAGCGGAGGTGGGGGTGCGCTAGCGGACGTCGGAGCTGTCCGGAAGTCTTCAGGGCTCTGTACTTAGGGAGGCGTAGGTAATAAATTGAAATGAGGGGGTGGTGACCATTGAGGGGTACCGAGAGGTTTGCGGAATACGGGGGCTCCGAGGTTGGTGAGGGAGGAGCGGAGTTAGAACGGAGGGATCGGAGGGACCGGAAGTCGATGGCCGGGGATGGATATGACAGTTACAACCAATTGTGGAGTTGGCAGTTGGCAGCAAAGTAATAATCACCACAAACATCAATACAGACATGGATATCGCAAATGGGGCACGAGGAGAAGTCATGAGCATCTGGGTGGATCCACAGGAAGATTTAACACAAAGGTCAGTGATTCATGAAATGAAATACCCACCAAGCTGCGTGTTGGTGAGGCTGGAACGCTTCCAAGGAGCAGACATTGAAAACCTTGGAGCAAACACCATACCCAGTTTTCCAACAGTATGCTCCTTTGATTTATTCACAAATAAAGGTGAAAAGAAGAAAGTGCAACGTTGCCAGATCATGATCGATTTGGCATATGCATTCACAGACTATTGGGCACAAAGACAGATGATCAAGTATTTGTGGGCAGACATCAGCACACCTAGGGGAGCATTGACACCATTCAATGTGTATGTGACACTATGTCAGGGCACACACCCTGACTAGCCCAGACCCGGACCTGCATGTGCGCTGTGCCCCACATGCTCCATGCACCGCATGCTCCGGGCCCAGTTCCCACTCTTCATGTGACTTCTGGGTATCCCCGGAAGTTTTTGCCATATTGGGCCACTGTGGGAAAGTGAGAAGTTAACCTTCTTCTCACTTTCTTACCACAGTGTCAGGGACCGGGGTCGAGAGCGGGTGTATCGCCGAGGCTGAGGGGGGTATGACGGGGTGCGTAGCAGCGGGCCGAAGAGAAGGGTTGGCAAGATAAGTGGGTGGAGAAGGTTGCTTCTCAGTTCCACTTAGGCTGTTTTATACATGTGGTGAAGGCACGTGGGAAGCGCCACGTCATCCGAGCACAGCACTCGTCTGGGTATCCGTAAGGTCTAGGAGCGTGGTGTCCGGTTGGCGCGTTATGCTGCAGCGGTCAATGGTACATTGATACAGGAAGTCGTCCGTGTGTGAGGTTATCGATTCACCAGTAGCTCTCTGCCTTGAGACTAGGCTGTTACAGGTTGAGCTGTGGGCCATAGAGAGAGGGGTCATGGGGACCTGGGGATTGTCCCCTGACACACTATCACGTGCAAGAGGGTGAGCTGTCACGACCATGCATTCTGACCCGGATGCCGGCCCTTGTTCTGTGTTCTTTTGTTAATTCATCACCTGACCCATTCAGTTCCTCTGACTATATATACAATGTATAATACATTAGTATAGCTTTAGTCTGAATATCGACTAGGTTTGGAAGATAAGCGGTTAGAATGGCTTAACAGGAAAAGTGGGAGTGGAAAAGGAGTGGGGAGTAACAGACAGTGTTACACAAGACCAAGTCAGACTTGAAGTCATGGGGACCCAGGTCAGACCGGGGTCGGACTGGGGTCTGAGCCAATTAACTACATGCGTTCTTGCCAATACTCCATCCTAGCTCCGTCAATACAGATCGTAGTCTAGCGTGAGAACATTTATTTACATTGTGTAAGGCTTTGAATATCGGGATTTCCTGTCGAAAAGTCTGACTTGCACAGACCGTGAGAGAGACTTGAGACCATTAAGTCAGACTCACAGTCTTCGGTCTTTGGGACCATTAGAGACCACATGGTAAAGAATGTAAAAGTAAAGCAAGGGGGACAAATAGACAAATATGTATAGTCAGCCAACACCGCAAAGCAGAAAGGAGAAAGAAAGGAAACATGATGTGAGACACAAAAGAGGAAAGCAAATGACGTACAAAGCGTTACACAGAACAACCAAAAAGGAAATAACATCACGTAATTTCAGCGGTTTCAGCGTCAGAAATTTACTAATATCGGTACGTTGAGTGACTCTGGTGCAGAGTAATGTTATGGTTTTTCCTTCTTTGTCTAAGGATTGTGTGACTCTATCTTATAGAATAACTGATGGATGCCACCTGAAGCGGCAAACCCACTACTCCCACATCGATGCAGTGTCACAGCCCACTTAGAAGTCACTCTGGAGCTGTCTTTGCATGCTGTGGTACTAGGTGGTACTACAAATGTAAAATATCGTTAAGTTTTAAATCAGGACCCCAAGGCCACACACCCCCAGTCTGCATATACAACCCCACTGACATTATGAACCTCAATTGAATGCCACAGCAGTATAACACTCCAAGACTGGCAAAGGAGTTTATATGATATTATTTGGTTTCGGTGAGTAAATACAAGCAAAATGTCATGACAGTGTTCGAGAGAGGGAGGTGATTGGTTTGTCAACAGGAAGGAGAGCAATGCAGACAGTGTGTAAAAGCACACTGAAGGAGAGAACGAAGGAAGGTCAGTTGGGAGGTTCAAACGAGACCACCACCAAGCTGTTCCCTGGTTCTCTAGTTAGGATGGGGAAGTGTACTAGTATTATTTGTTGTAAATATAGTACCAATCCGAGTGTTTTGGCTAATTCTATTTTTATGGGTTAGTCTAAAGTTTCTGGGAATTGACTTACAGATAAACCGAGCCCAGCGGAGCTGTTCCTTTATTGAAATTTCTTAGTTTGTCTAGGTGTAACTCTGAGTAGCGTTGTTTAATTTGGAATTTAACTTGAATTAAATCTTCTACTTGGTGAAGTTTCAAAGATTCTACTTAGTTAATGGATTTGGATTGTGTCTGGAGTGTCCCTTGAGTTTGTTTTATTTTTGTCTTATTTTATTGCTTGTTTTAACAGTAGCAAAATAACTGTTTTGTGTTTACACTTTGAAATCTGCAGTGTTAACCAGCTCTCCTGTTGAAATATCTACTTAATATTTCTCTCCTTTATTGCTGCCTTTTACTACAGTGGCAATCTTAACTGTACTGTATATAGTTACAACGAGGGCAGGTCCGCAAATGGCAGAGCCAAGTGGAGCGGAGCTAGCAGGGTTAGACATTAGCCGATTGAATATTACCGACGAGTCGGGTTATGGGGTTAACGGAAAGATAGGTGATAGCCCAGAAACAGAAAGGAGGGATAGGCCCGAAGGTGGGCTTTGCAGGGCAAGCAAGTGTATTGCCCAGCGGAGGCGGGGGTGCGCTAGCGGACGTCGGAGCTGTCCGGAAGCCTTTGGGGCTCCATACTTAGGGAGGCATAGGTAATAAATTGAAAGGAGGGGGTGGTGACCATGGAGGGGTACTGAGGGGATTGTGGAATATGGGAGCTCCGAAGTTAGTGAAGAAGGAGCGGAGGTAGACCAGAGGGATCGGAGGGATCGGAAGTCGATGGCCAGGGATGGATATGACACACAAGTCAAGTATCTTCCTTCAGACTCCAAGACTGAGACAAGTTCCAAATTCGAAAGTCTTTACCACTCCATGATATGATGAGAAAGGTGTTGCAAAGACACCAACCTCTGAGCCTCAGAACTGCATTCCAATTCATCCCCATCAATTACCTCCTCCCAAATCATCCTATCCATATTACAATGAATCTACATTCACTTCCTCATTTCACAGCATCTCCTAATCCTAATTTATCGACCCCAGCCCAAGATATACTCTGAGGTAAACCATTCTGCTGTGCTGACCATTCTCAAAACAGTCAATCAATACCTTTCCTATTCCCCTCAATCACCACTCCCGATCTCATCCTGCAAAAACGTAGTACACTACTCCATACTCAATAGTCCCATAATTTGGGCTCAGGGTCACATTCCATGCACAAAGGCAATGGATCACTTGACCTCTGTCATGCACACACTGCTTACACTGTTGCTCCATGCTAACAATTCAATCCTTTAACTGGCTGTCTCCACTTTCCTGTTCTCAACTTACCATCTGTCCACAAATGCTTCTCCTTGTGATTCTTGAGTTAGATCGTCTAAGCGATGAATTTCACTTACCCCCAAATGCATCACTCTCTCTTACAATGCCTTCACCTTCACATAGTTATACTTCAGGACTGCCTTGCTTTCTTCCACATCCACCCCCCCGATACCTCACCACATCTATCTTCTCAACCTCATATTCAACATGACAAGATCCAAACGTGACACCACTTTGGCTTCCACTTCAATGACTACGAAGAAATCCAAGAATGACAATCTTGAACTTGGTGCGGGCTGTCCTTACACATTCCACCCCCACTCCTAAACTACTCTCTGCCAGTTATTACTCCCACTACCATCGAAGACTCCACTGCTGGTTACTCTACACCCTCTTCATCTCATGACAGTGTTGTTGTTGCAGGGATAAACCCTTGCACTACAAAACAGTGCTCTTTCATTCTTTCATGTACATACATTGGCGAGTGTAGTTGGGGTAGTCCTGTGACTGAACAGCCACAACTATACAGCCACAACACCAAAAACACCGTACTCTAGGACCTCTTTTAGTGACAGTCAGTGAGGCCATGAGACTACTGTCCCCCCTGTGAGCCTGTGTGATGTTGGGATGGATTTCCCTGTTACATTGTCTGCTCACTCACTCTTCACTCAGAATCTAACAATACTGAGAACACAAAGGAGGCAGGTCCTGAAACTTCAACCATGGGTAGTATGTCTTTAATCTACTTACTCTTTTGCTTGCCATGTCAATCTGACGTTTCATTTGTTTCATTCAGACAAGATTTCCATGAACACCATCACTACTAATCCTGATGGTACTGATAACATCTCCAATACAATTACCAACAGTCCTCTTTCTCTTACTCCCTCTCACTTTTATGTGTTCACTTATGCATTTATAGACAGCAAAAGCGACGACAAAGAAGAGAAAGATACTGCGACCTCTCTCCTCTTACACCCCTCCACTGCTATCATGACAAGATTGACCACATCTCCTAGCGACGGACTCACAGATGATGACTGGCAGATAGTGTTGGATTACCCTCCTGACACCATCTTTCAGAACAATCCTGATTATCCAGAGGACCTTCAAGAGTAGGTACACTCCTGTTAGCCTCATTTCCATTCTGATACCCTTTCCGAGATGTTTGTACACATTCACAAACGTCAACTTTCTGGATCACAAGGGCATTATTGCAATCAACCTCATTAAAACATCTGACAACCATTTTGGTTTCATTGGATGTCACAAAGTTTATGTGTTCAAGACTAAAATTGGAAGAAATGGTATTGGCACTAAGTTGTGATTTCTCTTTCTTGGCATTGTCAACATCAGCAAAAAATTGTTATGCTCCTGAGTGCTCCGGAGTATGGAGAGCACTGGGAGAATCAGGAGGAGATTGGCCGGTCCAGGAACAGCTCATTTCCTCCAGAGTTGGCCAGGTACTCCAGGGCACTCCCAGGAGGGCATGGAGCATTACTTTGTGCACAAACATATCCAGTAAATACAATTTAAATGCTTCAAAATGTATAGGGGTGAGAAGCTTCTGGGAGCTCCTGGAGCATTTGAAAATGAAAAGGAAAAAAAGAGGGAATATTCCCCATGAATACCCCCTACCACAAGACTAACACAACAAGACACTACTTAACATTTAGATCAAACACTATACTATACATCAAGGACACTGAGACTCACCAATACACAGTCAAAATTTATGGCCTGATATATGATTAATCTGGCAACTTAATCACTTTTGGGCTTGCAGAATATGGAGGAGGGGGAAATGGGGGAGAATGAGGGTGGAAATGAGGGGAAAATGAGGGGGGAATGAGGGGGGGAATGAGGGGGGGAATGAGGGGGAAATGAGGGGGGGAATGAGGGGGGAATGAGGGGGGAAATGAGGGGGAAATGAGGGGGAAATGAGGGGGGGAATGAGGGGGGAATGAGGGGGGAAATGAGGGGGAAATGAGGGGGTGAATGAGGGGGGAATATAGAGGGAAATGAGGAAAATTTGAAAAATAGGGACTTCTAAAAAGTGAAAAAAAAAAATAATTAGGGAAAAAATCAAAAAAAAAAATCCAGGAACTGTAGTGCCTTTGAAGTGCTTTCAGGATATATAATTATTTGTGAAATTGAGGAAGAAATGATGGAGAAAAATGGAAAATACTTTCGGAGACCTGAGAAATAATGAGAACTGAATTGATGGGAAAGTCTGAAAATTGAATAGGAAAGTGAGGGGAAGCCTTGCAGCATTGTTATTTTCTGCTGTTCTGATTTTTCCCAATTCTTCTTGGTCTTGTTAGATTGGGCGGATTCAGATGACTCCGGAGTGGAATTGGAGACTTAGCGTGGAAGGACCTTGGCCTCAGCAACTCAGGCAGAGCGCTGTGCCATTGCTGGTTGTCCTAGGGGTCCCTAATTTCGGATCTAGCAGAGGGAAAGTCTCTTGGGGGCATTTCAGGTCGATTTTGGACTGAGGTTACAAGTTACTAGGTACATTGTATATAAGGAGGAGTCCGGAATCAGAAGGAACAAGGGTAGGATGAAAGGAGACAAAGGGAGATGGAAGGAGGAACAACACTGAGGGTCAAGGGTTTGACTCAATGGTGTTTCTCAAAGGAGGAATGAAGGGCCAAGGCCCAAGGAGGAAGGAAGGAGGAAGGGAGTGGGGAATGGCCAGCTGACTGAATAGAAAGGAAGCAGCAGCCCAAATAGGAATGAGGGAGTATAGTGGAATTGAATGGAGCAATGCAATAGTTGCAAGGTCCGAAGTAAGTCTGGAAAGTCTGAACTTGGAAGTTAAACTCCGGAATATTGGCAAAGGCAATTAAATGGAATGAGCTAACCAATACAATGGGTATAAGCGGAGGTGGGGTCAAAGTCTGAGGTCGGAGCTAAGACTGGAGGTTCCGGAAATGGAGACTCAAACAGGATTCTGGAGCGGAGGTCTGGAATCGGGAGCATAGGTGTTGCATGCTCATCTGGGAGGTGTCAAGGTTGAGGTCGGACCTGGAATGTTCCAGAGTTGGACCAAAGGTGGTGTCGGAGCCAGAGGTGGGATAACCTCTTGGGAGTCAGCAAGGAGAAGGTGATGGAAGGGAAGTAGGGCTCCGGAGTAGGTTTCGGAGTTCTGGGAGCCTGGAGTGGAGGTTGGGATTGTATGGATATGACAGGTCTCATTCCCAGCTGCTCCTGAAAGCTCCTGGGAGGGTCCAGGAGCAGCTGGGAGTGAGACCAAGAACAATCAGGAAAAATCAGAACAGCAGAAAATAACAATGCTACAAGGCTTCCCCTCACTTTCCTATTCAATTTTCAGACTTTCCCATCAATTCAGTTCTCATTACTGTCAGGGGATGGACCCGGGTCCCCATGACCCCTCTCTACAGTCCACAGTCTGGCCTGTAAACACAGCCCATCTCAGGGCATAGCTACTGTGGGTAAGAAAGTGAGAAGAAGGTCAACTTCTCACTTTCCCACAGTGGCCCAACATGGTGAAAACTTCCAGGGATACCCGGAAGTCACATGAGGTGGGATCTGGGGTCGGATCATGTGGCGCGCGGAGCGTGCGGCGCAGGAAGTGTGCGGGAAGTGGAGCGGGTCCGGACGCGGGTCCGGGTCCGGGCTAAGTCAGGGTATGTGCCCTGACAATTACTTCTTGGGTCTCCAAAAGTATTTTCCATTTTTCTCCATCATTTCTTCCTCAATTTCACAAATAATTATATGTCCTGAAAGCACTTTAAAGGCACTATAGTTCCTGAATTTTTTTTTTGATTTTTTCCCTAAATTTTTTTTTTCAACTTTTTAGAGACCAAAATTTTCCTCCCACTGCTCCTGGCACATCACATACCCCTCACCACTCCCAGCTGCTCCTGAACCCCCTCCCAGGAGAACACTATTGGCTCCAGGAGTGCCCAATCTGCTGTTTTGTCTCCCACATGCTCCAGCCACTCCTGATGCTCCAGAGCATAATGGACTTTTGCTGATGAAGCATGTGAAACAATACACAAATAACTATGCCCTTGATTTGATCCCTATACCGCCGCCACCGCTGCTGCACTCGCCTTGCACCCACAGCGGGCCCTCTCGGGATCTTCCGTGGAAGCACCCGGAGAGCCATGGCTGTGTGCAAGGGTGACGTGGCGCACCCCACGTGACCATTCCTGCTTGTATATAATAACACCTGGAGTGGGAACTGAAGAAGTAGCCTTCTTCTCACATTTCCACTTCAGGCAAGTAGTGTAGCCTTCCCTTTTAATGATAACTCACATTTCCACTTCAGACTAAGTGGCCGGGGATGCTCACCCCGCAATGGGATCGCCGCTATGCATAGCTGCTATCTGTCCCCCCAAATCCCGCACCCCGGGACCTCGCCACTTTCGGAGCTGTCCCTGATAATACATAAGAATGCATGCATCCAAGTCATTCCTTGGCCACATTATGTCCCTTTCCAAAACGTCCCCTCACCATCTTCCCTCTGATGCATGCCTCACAGTCAAAACTCTTTGAGTCGTCCAGGACGCCTTCTACTCCCAAAACTGATCGGTTCCTGATCATTTCCTTCAGCATGTCCTTTCCAGGGTGGGCAAGGTGTTTGTGCACAAGGTCAAAGGATGGTGTGGTAGCTACTGCAGTGGACTCGGTCTTTCATGGCGATGTCAATGACGAGGATGGGTGATTAAGATAGAACATTGGTGCAAATTCCTTCAATGTTTCAGCTATCAGCTTTTCATCTGCTTGCATGATTCTGCAGACACCGTCGATGTCAAACATGGTCCGGAGGCTTCAGCGGATTAGGACCCTACAAGATATGAGCCCATATGCAAGATTGGGTACATATTGAACCCCTAGAACTTTTCTGGTGACACATTTCTCACCAGCCATACAGGTGATCGATATGGTTCCCACACCAAGAGATGGAATTAGGCTCTCGTTTCCTAGGCAGATTTGTCTGGGGGGGTTGTAGGGTGTATATTCCATGAAATCATCCCTGTTCGGACAGAAGTGGTTGCTGCAGCCAGAATCAACGATCCAGGGTTTTGGGGTGTTGGACCGCTTATCAGCTACCAGTGCAGAATCAATGATATATTTGGCACACATCGCTTTCGCCTTGGATTCTTTGGTAGTGTTGGCATTCTCTCTTTCTGCTGTCCTCTTTTGCTGATATTCTTCCCTTTCAGCCTGTGTTGCCATACATTTTGTGCAGAGATGACCTATCTTCCCACAACTCCAGCATGTCTGGCATGTTACCCAAGTCGGGTCGTTCCTTTTCCCCCTCCCATAGCTTTTCTCTGCAGCGAGGGCTTTCGGGGTCTGTGAGCCTTCCACTTTCATTCCAAGGTCTTTTCCATTAGCTCGGGCCCGCAGCTCCTCAGTTTCAACTTCCTTCCTCAGTTTGTCAAGATCCCAGTCCATGTCATTGGTCGCTGCCGGGGCATTCTGAATGAGCATGGTCTGCAGAGTGCTCATGCAGGATGGAAGACAGTGGATGAGCTGCATAGCAATCATTCAGTCCTCGATGTGCCCTCGGTCGCCAGGAACATGTTTGTTTACCTCATGAGCAAGGTTCATGAGGCCAGATAGGAAGTCAACAATGGATTCATAGTCGCTGACTTTTGCCTCATAGTATTTTGTTCTCGCATAGTATTGGTGGAGGCTCCAGTGTGCTGGTAGGCACTCTTCAAGGCTTTGAACAGGGTAATAGCAGGACTTTGGGCATGATGGAAGACATTGTCTTGGACTGGTTCACTGAGAGAGAGCCATAATCTTTGGCAAGTATTGCTTTCTCCTTCAACCCATTCAGCATGTTCAGGTTTTGATTTATCAGACGGTTCAGCCAGGCTTCCCTCTAAATATCCCCAGGTGTGTCCCATGGCAAAACAGAGGTTGGTGGACCACCTGTTCCAGTCATCACATCCTTTCAGCTTGGCAATAGCAAAGACGGCTTTATCAATGGTTGAGTCTTTCATGGTGTGTTCCTCGGAGCTGATCCAGAACAGGTAAATGACAGTGAGTCAGGACAGAATGGCTTTTGAGCAATAGTCCAACAGTGCCAGGGATTCTTTGGTCAACTTAGAGCAGCAGAGTGGGACTGGGCTAAT